CAAAACACAAGAAATTCCGACCTGCTTTAGAGATTTTTGAGATGGAAAGTTCAATTACATGTTCTATGGGAAATACAAGTCGATATTGTAAAGGCGTACTGCTGAAATTGGAAATTTCTAATGAGACCAAACTGATACACATGTCGCAGAACTAACAAGCAACATTCACAATCCAGCGCCGTAACATTTAATATAAGGACTAGTAACAAGCAATGGATACTTTTAATATAAGGACTAGTAACAAGCAATGGCAATAAGAATCCACTCAAATATCCCAATCCATACGGTACGAATTTATGCGAGCTCTGACCTGGATTGAATTTTTGAAAAAGCGATAATTGGCACCGTTATATGAAAATGGCTCAGAGTCAATCGCTTTATCTCTAAGCGGTTTATCTGACAGCGTAATAAGACCATAACTTGGGAAAACTCTTGTCTCGCTGATTCTATTTTGAAAAGAACAATTTTAATCATCAATTTTGAGTGTACTAACTCCCCAAAATTGAACCCACTTCAAAACTGTAATCTTTTCCACTTGATGTTCGAGACAATTTAAGAGTTGGACGCATTTGCGCTCTAACTCATATTTATCGAACTGCATGTGCTCTGTGGGTATTTTGCATGGCCCCACAATGCTAGAACCAAGAATGGGTCAGTTAAACCCTACATAAGGTGAATCATACGTAATAATGTAATTCTAAGAGTTACCATTGACGCTCTGCCTCTACAGCCGCATCAGATGGTTCTTCCTTTGTGTCATCTTGCATTGCGGGACCACTAGATTGAAATGGATTGGTACTGTCCGTGGAGCCACTAGACGATGCTCCTGCCTTGCCTTTGATCTTTTGGTCGATTTTGACCTAAAAGGTTGCACGGCAACAATTTCAGATGGGGAGTTGCGATATTGCACAATAATTGTCACCTCACCTTCTTTGAACTCCTAGTTTCCCGATCACTTTCCGCATGGGTACGTTTCCGAGAAGAACCTTTCACTGCTCGTTGCTCCTCCTTAGACATTGAGTTAGGAACGTATTCATGGGGGTACATGTCTCCATCGCCATCTATATGTGCAACTGCGATGATTTGAGAAAGACCAGCTGAACGGTTTAAGTAAATAAGTTAATGAATAATAGTCAACGTAAACATTGCCAAAACGCATTATTACCTGGACAATTGCCTCCACTATGCCCTTCCAAAAGTGGGCCCCAAACAGAGAGATGGTCTTGTATCGGTGCTCGAGCATCTGTTCTTCTAATTAATTCACCACAATACGTGCAAGCCCACAAAAAGGGGTATTTGATCTCTACGGAAAGTGAGTTTACACCGTCAGTGAGGTCATTGAACAATAAACAAATCGCTTCAATTCTTTCCTTCTTACCCAAAGTGTGGGTAATCCCTACTTTTTCTACGCCGTGCTTTTTGAGAGCGTCAGCCTTCGCATTGATATCTGCCAACAACTTACGAAAGTCAGATTGATGTTCATGCCACTGGGATGATTTGCGTTGAACTAATGATACATGTACCTGTTGTAGATGGTGTTATTTATCAGTCTATTTTCAATGGATGTTATACTGTAAATATAGCCACACCATTTCATGCAGTAACACCTCTTTGATCGTGATGTCTGACTTGCCAGTCAGTAGCCGACTACACAAATTAAGTTCAAGGCCCATGCGAGTAAGAGCATCTCCTCTCTTATAACGGTATTTTACTTTGCCGGCAATTTCTTTCATTTGCAAAGACCAAGAAATCCGTATTTTATCCGTATCAAATTCATTTGATTTAAGGACAACCGGATTGAGCAGTCCGTTATCAAAAAAGTCAACATTGAGCTCATTATACCAATTCGAAAGTACCAGGGTTTCCAATTGGTTGTCAATTATTGAATGTGGTGTCTAATATTGAAATGGGTTAAAATTGATATACTGTTGTTGTCCTGTTCCAACAAATTACCAAACCAGCACGAGGTTCGTTAGCACCCTCCATGTTTCCTTGATTATCTGACATTCCGATCTTTAGGTTGGAAAAGAGTTGCAGAAAAGTGAATCCTTTGTCATGCGTCAGTATTTTCACTGCCTTGTAGGATATCATATGCGTTTTATCAGCTTGGTAACGGCCTGAAAAGGTAGTCTAAATCGATTTGCGATAAATAAATTGGAGGCAGAATCAAGTAGAGTATTTCTAGAGCAATCTTCTCGCCTTTGCCTCGTCTGTATGCTCCCAACCAAAATAAGCACCAAATTTCAATATGGAGGTGTTGGCACTTGTTGATGCTGAGCCTGACACGGACGTATTTGATTTGAAGTTCCCACTGATTGCAATTTGAAGGTGCTCCGATGTTACAACTTGAATACGGTAAACTAGTTTGTACACGCCTTTTAGGCCGAACTTCCCAATGTTGGATAAAATCGTTTCGATGTTCTAAGTATGAATTGGAAAGTTAATAGTAGCAATGTCTGTAGTAAACAGCCAAAATAAACGCTACCTTTCGTTTAGCACGGTCAGTTATCCCGAAGCATTCGCGAATCGAGTGCAGATTTAAAGTTCGAAAGGCTGAATGACCTTCCGTAACATTCATTTTGGCATAAGCTTTATTCGAAAAGCTACCTTTGAAATTAACCTTTGCTTCGACAGTTGTTGGTGCATCAACTTCAACACCTGCATTTGCCGATGTGGTATTGTCAGCATTGGTCGATGTTCCAACCTCTCTGAGTGCAGTAACCTATACAATAAAATTGTAAACTATCGATTAAGGCATATAGACTTCTCCCCTGCTATGAAGGAAATCAATACCAAGTTGGCGTCGTTCGTCTCCACATCTTTCAAATGTTCTACAAATGTTCCCAAACCAATTTCCGTCAATTGCTCCTGCGTTAACAGCCTATGAAGTCTTCCTACAACCTCTGGATCTTGATGGGCAGATGGATAGTACAAAACAGTACCAAGGCCCATGTTTGTGTCAGTAGTTGGTGAATCATACCATGCGGCAGGAAGTTGTGGATTACAGAGACACGAACTAAAGCTCTTGTCTAAGATGCTACGCAGTTCTTTTGGAATGTCTGACATGTCGCTATCCCGCTAAGTCACTTACAAACGACAATTAAGTGATATATCGAACTTGCGAAAAGGGAGAGAAAAACAGTAGGTTGTGTACAAATATAGGATCTGGACCATGAGCCATGCATACGGATATGGATGTATAGACGTGTCCTGTGTGTCTTATTGAATAGATGATACAGGATTACCTTGTTAGTGCTGTGCCGCTATTTCCTTGGCTCCTCTGATACCTTATACCTGATACCGTCTTTCATCTGCTTAGTCAGATGTGATGGGTTATCCAATGCGTCGTAATATATTCCCTACAAACAACGGCCATACTAGTACAGGACGAACAAGGACAAGGCAGTGAAGGCGGAGCACATCCATGGCAGGTAAGTCACGCGAATGATTGAATTCCTTAAAGGAATCCATGAAAGCCCAGTGGGAAGGGATTCAATCCTAAGTCAAATAATCGGAGTTGAAGTTGAAATATAATGAAATATAAAAGTCAAATTCAAGATGGAAGGGGGCCAAGACAAGATTGGAGGATATACTATTGATATATTACTACCAAACTAGTCCTAACGCTCCTCCTTTCTCCTTTTCCTTCAAGTTAGGTTGTCTTCACTTCGGACATCAACCATCCAAATTCAAGATGGAACAACACTGCAACAAAACACCACACAGTTCGAGACCATTCTACTCCCACGACTACTTGAGGGACTGTAAAGTAGTAGTGGTTGCTTGCCCAAAGTGTAAAACCTGGATGAGGACACGCCCCTCAGCGCTGGTGGGAAGCTGCAATACTGGCGTTTGCTAAAGGACACTCAATACCTACCCATTGGGGCAAAGCTCGAAACGTCTCCCTTTGACTATTGGTATGTAGTCAATGGGAGTTCACATCTGCGCCACTCCAAACTGATGGACGCTATTTGAGAGTCGAGGATTTGTAGCAAGTTTCAGTTTTGTTGTTGTTTGTTAAAACAATCCTTGCTAAATGCTTCACCTTTTCCATTACAGGGGCATTCATCTTGGCCATAGTCTGTCACGGGTCGTCTTACCCAAGCTACCACTAGAAATAGTCGTAAGCTTATCGGCACCTCCGTGCTATATATCTAATGCAGCCAGAGCCGGTCCCAAGTCCGCTTGATATGCAGAGGGGGGTAGCGCTTCGTCTGATGCTTCTGATGGTAAGCTTTGTTGATATTAGTGCTTCATTCCAAACAGTAAACGCACAAGATTCCAACCCGTTTTTTTTTTACTTTGCATAGGTGATGTAAGAGCAGCCACTGACATGGCAGTGCTATCAAGTCACTAAATTGTGTTTTGTTTGCTATTGCTGCTCTTTTCTATTCAACCTTGCAACATTTGAAACCTTGCTATACCCAGTCTGGTCCTGCCAGACATCCAGCTCTGTTGAAGGGTAAAGTGGGGACACTTGCAAAGCAGGATGGAGAAGCAAGTTGCCGCGCAAGTCGTTGGTGTTTTTGGGAGGAGGCGAAACACTGGAAATCTCCAGTCTTCTCAGCCAGGTAAGTGGAATGGTTTTCAATCTTTTTTCTTGTTCTTTTCACCTAGGTGTTCAATGTTTTCATTCAGGGATATCTAACAAATTGTAGGTAATTCTGCCATACCGGTCCCAAGCCCGGTTGCAAAAGCAGACTGCCTACGATACTTTTAAAGCCGGTTTCGCCCTGCAAATCTACTGTCACGAGTGTGTCTACTGTAAAATCGTTTGTGGATTTCTTTGATTCTGGTACACATTAGGACGCAATATTCCAATATAAATTCACAGTGTCAAACAACAAAGTTCTCTATGTTTGCAATTGTGATGTTTCTATTTTAGGATCCAGAAATACCTCCTAGGGACTTGAGACCATGTATATACAATTATTTTCAGTTTCCCTTATTCCCATCTGCAATATGTGCGCCAAATTCCTCTCCGTCATTTCTGTTTTCTATTATCGACGACGTGCATCAGATCTCCCACCACTAGAGACTGTACTACTACTCTGTGTAGTGGCCGGTGATGATTTGGCCAATGTTGAAACAGAGTTCCGCCTAGTCACCAAAACACCCTGTCGATCTGCAACTTCTAAATGTCCCTTCCTCACTTCAAGTACGTCCAAGACAGCTTCTCGAAAACATCGAAAGTTGTAATCAATGACACCTTGCGAAGCAAAGTTCTCCTCTCGTAGTAAGCATACTAGTGACATGTTGCTATTGGTATGTTAAGAGGAAGAAAACAGACTGGTTAGATATTCGGTAGCAACTAAAAAAGATTGAGCTTAAAGGACGTGTTATTACCGGTTTACTTCGCGCAAGTATAGCACCATATTGTTGTTGAGTTTGATTATAGATTGTGCTTCCTCGGCATGTTCTTCGTCTGGTTCTGGAGCAGTAGGATCTGATCCTGCCGACCTGAGCGTGATAGACATAGCTGAGTGTCAATCTTGCGACTCTTAATGGGGTTTTTTGTTCAATTGCTTACCCATATATACTGGCAACATCCAACACCACATCAATCATATCAGAGCATAATTCATACCATTGCATATCTACTGGTGTTGAATCAGTAGCGACATACACTTTGGATAACGAATCAAATAGGAAGGATTTCTCGACTCCTGAGGTCTAAAAGAGAGCGAAAAAGCATCAGACGGAGGGTTTCGGCGAATGATCTTCGTGATCGAATAGACTAACGTACACTATTAAACACATTCAACAAGTTCTCCAATGTTGGCAGGTAATCACCAATAAGCTTCTGTACGACTTTTGAAAAGGCTTCGTATATCGAGTAATCGTATATGGAAGTCAAATGGAAGGTGATGTGGATTTGAGGAAGGTCGACATCTGTCAAGTCGTCGTGAATCCGTTGACTTATTTCACGATGGGTTTCTAGTTTTAAGAACATAAGCATTAGTTCGTTGAGAAGCTTAAAAAAGCAATAGCTAAGGAAATGTTTTACCAATCTTGTGGTCATCCGATAAACCATCGACTTTATGCAGAAACACTTCAAAATGTATACTTGGATTCACTTTGTAAGCTTCAGTCACGATTCCATGTAGTCGTTGTAATGCATCCAAAAAGTCGTCCTTATAGGGTCAGTTGGTCGATACTTCGTTAGCAAATAAAAAAAAATCAGAAGTCTTGGATGCTTCATACTTGGGAGTCGATAACAAACACCAAGACTTTACAATTCCCAAACACGACATCAGGTCGAAAGGAAGGATCATTCACGTCAACTTGACCTGGGAAATCACATATTTGGAAGTCGATAAAGGATCTAAGGGAAAAACCACAAGGAGATCCTTTAGCATTCACATATCAAGGTAGCCTTCATGTCAATTACACAAGCTTACGTGACATCAGCGGTAGCAATCCTGACAGTGGGCTCGAGGTATAATGTATCATTGGCAGCCATTTTGTGAAATACGACTCGTTGTATACTTGATTTGCCACTCCTGTTCGCACAAGTACAGTTATTGTTAGCACTTTTTCAAGCGGGCGAATCTCATTTACAATGCGAGTTTGCGTTCTACCTTCGTAATCCCATAAGCAGCAATCTGGGCTTCTCCATTGGCACATGGAATCTAAGTCAGGAAATGTTGGAATGTTGGTTTCTTCGACTGATTCTCAATCATCACGAGCCAAACGCGTACCCATTGGTAGTGCTGCCTTCAATATCGTCATCCGTGAGCTGATATGGTTTCTAGTTCAAGTTCAGTGTAGGAATATTAGATTTCCTTGCTAACATTTGTCACAAGTTTGTTAAATGGTCAAAAGCTTGGACAATTGAATAAGAAGCAAGACATCAATGGCAGAACAAGTGAGCTTATATCGTGCCTGTCCACACTTACTGCCATCTCCTACGACAAAATTGCTTGTTTTCGAGATTTCGCCCGAGTGGATTGAATGTGACGAAAACAGATGGCAGGATTCGCAAAAGAAGAATGGTTGAGAAGCAAGCAAGGAAAAGTTTATATTAAATTGCACGCGAACGACGTGAATAAACGTCTCTTTTCACCATAACTGATTGGAAGATCCTTCACGAACGAAAGCATCAACAACACTTCTGAACAAGTACTTGATCATGGCAACGGAAGGGTTTGTTGAGGATAAAACCTAAAGGCGGACGTCTAGATCAAGTACATATTTGCCCCATTTGTTTGCATTAGTCTAGTTGATGCTGATTGGCCAAAGATTGAAATTTGGGAGGAAGGAAAGACCAACCTGGTTTTCTGTCAAGTGAGCGGCATAAGATCGTGTTGACAGGTACTTGGGTAACCATATAAACGTTTAGGACTACCAACTCCGCTTGTATATTAGAACACTAGGACCGACCGCATAGTGCTCAAGTTTTTGGACTTTGCAGAAGGTAGCAAGCCTTGCTCCTTGACCGTTGATTTCTAGCTAAAGGCCGCTCAAATCAATCTCTGACATCAATACTTACGACTAGATGGGAAACGCTAACTCTGCATACGAAGATCGTCCATCATTCTCGAGCAATCGTAGCAGAGATCCGCAGCCATGGAATTCTAGACAGGGAGCAAACGAATATCCGTATCAGTCATGGCCAAAACCAGGTCCTGAAAAGACTAGTTTTGAACGTGTATCGTCACGCATATCTATGTTTATGAGACCAAAGTCATCGCCTCCAACAACTCGACCAAATCCAAAGCCCAAGTTGGACATAAGCAAGCCTGCTACTCTTGATCAGCCTTCTCGAGGCTCTCCTTATGGAATATCTCCAGGTATGTCTTTTGTGCTTGGTTTGAGTCTATTGGAGCATTGGAAGTTCGTAGCGGCAGTGTCGCTAATGTTTTGACGATTTATAGTGTCGTATTGGGGTAATCAGGTTGAAACTCCTACACAGAGCAGTGGCGGCAGCATCTGGTTGTCACAGCCAAGCCCTATTTCATACACTGCCTCATCAAATGCCTCAAATGATAACAGGGTTCCAGCACCTCCTACACCTTCTCAATACGTACCAGGAGTAGATCAACCATACCTGCCAGTGCCTCCCGTCCCAGAACTTCCACAGTCACCTTCAACTCCTCAACGTAGTCTACGACCAGTAGTAACTCACAGCTCACCATATGCCGGCCACCTTCTCTATAGTCCGAATAGCAGACAACCAGGAATGGCATCACCACCTCCTCAAGTATTTGCCAACTCGGAGCCTGCAGAACGTCAACGTAGTCTAGACCTCTCTAGACGGGTACAAGAACAAAACCGTCGCAATCTAGAAGAAGAGCAACGAATGTTTGTAGAACAACAAAAGGCCTTTGTTGAACAACAACGTAGACGTAGAGCTGAACACCAAGCTGCAGCACAAGCTCAAGTTGAAGCTGAGGCTCGAAGGGCTCAAGAAGAAGCTAGTAGAGCAAAGCAGGATGCTGAACGTAGACGTATGCAGGAGGAGGAGGAAGTACGACAATATGACGAACAGCTACGACTATATCAAATCCAGTTAAAGGCATACGAAGAACAGCAAGCTCGACTTGTATATGAGGATGACTACCATCGTCGTAGAAATGTCGTCGCTGGTATGGTCGGTAGTAGTGACGACGAGCCGGCTCGTCGTTACCAGAAACAACAGGAGGAGCAAATTCGTCGTCAACGAGAAGAGCAGGCTCGCCATCTGGCTCTTGAAGCTGATCGTCAACAAAGAGCTTATAATGATCAACTACGTCATCAAAGGGCTCTAGATGAGCAACGCCGTATATATGACGAGGCTGAACGCGCTGCTCGTGTAGCTGAAGAAACACATCAGCGACGTCTTCATGCTGCTCGTGTGACACAACACCGGCAACACGTAGAATTGGCTCAACAGCAACAGCAGCAAAAACGTGAATCTGATGATTCTGAAGTTTTGGTTATTGATGATGAAGACCAACAGAGCTGGAATTCATATGAAAATCATCGAGGTCAATGGGAAACCAATGCCCACGAGCAGAAGCAGCAAGTCGAAACAGTCACCAATGAATCTGGTCTTGGGATTGACTTGGCACCTCCCATCGAAACATCCACTCTATTATCAACATTCGACTGGATTGAAGATGCATATGGCCTAACAGCAACCGACAGTAGCAATAATGATATGCCAATGACGACAGACGCTTCAACTAGATGGAGTGCCGATAGTGGTGCTTCTATCGAGGAACGAGATTTGCCTAGAGAGCAAAAGGAGGAAGACGAGCTGCCTCAGCCTGTGGCTAGACCTTACATGGCAAACAAACCTGCAGTACGCCTGGTATCCTTCTTGGATAACGGATTGAACTTTATTCCACCTCCTGAACGACATGAAGCTGAAGTCGTACACAAGGATAATAATAGTAGCAGGGGAAGTGCCACTAGTCTCATCGGAAACCCACCTCAACAACAACAGCAACCGGAAGCTGAGAGGAAAGCCGTACCATCAGTAACAGTAAAGACCGTCCCACTACCATCACCACTATCAATCGCATCCATTCACGCTCAACAACAGCAGCAACCGTCACTCCGTAACTCCATGCAATCATCCCGTCAAACATTCAAACAAGCAGCCAACAATGCCCTCTTCATATCTCGTCTGGAAGCTCTCCCACCAGTCCCAGCCGCTCCAGCTCCAGTGCTCCTCACTCGCCCACCGTCATCATTATCAACATCTCCAAACCTCTATAAAAAGGCGATACTCAATAGCAGCAACCCCAATTTGGCTGACAAGCGTGAATATGTCACCGATAGTGCCGAGTCACGCCCAATGTCCCTGTTTTCAAACTTTGAAAACGAGATATTGGATATGTATACACCAACAACTGAACGGGAGCCGTTTAAGGAAGTGCATGTTGCTTCATTGGGGAGACGGCTGGGAAGGAATTTGAGTGATATCGAACAAAAGGTTAACGGTTGGTCGGCTGCCCACAAGTCGCCTGTAGATTCTCACAAGTCTCCTGTGGATGACATGGAACGATCTTTGGAATCTCCTCGTTCTCAATCAGTAAGTCCATTCTCATGGAGAGACCAGTTGTTTTGGTGGTCGATTAAAAGTGATTTGTGATCTAAGGCTCCTTCTTTTTACTTTAGAATCATGCTTCTAGGAAGCCTCAGACAATGGTGTCTGACCTGCTCCATCGAGCTCCAGTGAGAAACACTGGATTCTAAAAGCATCATGTAATTAGACAGAAGGATTGCAGGATACATAGATAATTTAAACGCAACTGTAAATAAACTTTTTTTGAAGGATGATATGGGGGGAAAGAACGGACTGTACAACGCTTGTATAAAAGGGTCTGTCTGATTTTATATATTTAAAAAACGAACAAAATTGCATGTAACTACCACTAACTTCACATACGACTGTTTGCTGAACCCAATGCAGCGTTTAGTACACGACATAAGCGTTCACAGCCAAGAAGAAGCCTTTCCTCTTCGTAAAAAGCCCAGGTCAACCTGAGATACCTTCCGTGCCTGTAAATAGAAGTTTGTTCGTAAGTTCGTTGAGCACAAAAATACAAAGAATTTAATACTACGCATGACTTACGTCAAATCGGTTGAAAAGTTGTTCCCAGAAGCGAACGACACCTTCTCCTTTGGGACCTTTCTCCCTCGATAATTCCCCACATTCTTGTCAACCACATCATCATTCCTTCCACCATACCCTTGCGTACCTGTTACAGCTTGTAGTATTTCTTTACTATCTTCACCTTCAGGCAAGCACAACCACAAAAAGAAACCACCCTGTGGTTTCTGGAATGTGACATTCTTTGGTAAATGCTCTGTCAAATATTCAACCATGATGTTCAATCTCTTTGAATACGTGGCCTTCAAAAAGGCCAGATTGGATTGGAATGCTCCTGATGAGATCATCGAGTTCATGATTCCAGAGAACAAGTGGTTTGGGCTTCCACCTGCAGAACTCCATAAGCAACTGATATGGGAACGATGAGAAGAAATAATCTGGGCTTACCTGAGTACATCAGACCAGACCTGAAGTGTTGTTCGATGATGCCATCGTTGGCTTCAATCCAGCCTAGCCTTGCACCCGGAGCAAATAGCTTTGAGAAGGAGCAGTTTGATATGACGTTTCCAAACGAGTTTGGTATGTTGTCATACTATGGAGATACGGGGTTGTTGGCTGCAGTCGTCAATATGACGCAAGGGCCAACTCACTGAGACAAGCCTCCTCGGTGGGACATTGTTATTCAGAGGCAACATTGAATACACGTCATCACATATGACGAGCACGTCGTATTTGCGTGCTAAATCCAACACTTTTTGACATCGTTCTTCCTTCAGTGAGTATCCAGTGGGATTGCTGTATATGGGAACCTAAGTTGAGTACTCTTAGCTCATGTGCTGCCGAGCAACAAATAGGCTCAGCAAAGTACCATGAACAAGATATAACTGTATCTCTTGGGACCCTTCCATTCACCACCCTTTCTCCAATTCCCAGAGTCGACCCAATTACCACGTGGATATACACCATCTCTCTTAGCTTCAGATTCAAGACGTTCCAATGCAGCTTCCAGGAGATCGACTTTCACACCAGCAGAGTCAACCGGAACCGAAGTCAGTTCATTTCGTGATATGCCATGATCAGCAAGTGTTCTGATGGCGAGAAAGTACGTTGGATTTTCCAGGAGGATTTTCGTATGCTCGCCCTTGAAGAAGACAATGAGGTTGCTGAATGCTTGTGATGCACCACTAGAGTTGAAATTGTTTGAGCACCGTACTTCAACAGGCATTGTGGGAGTAGTGTACTGCAATAGACATAGACAACCAACTCACTTGGTAACACAGAGATGCTCAGGAGCAACTGTCTCGTTATATTGAGTACTCAACCAGCCAGACAATGTATCCTTAAACTCGGCATCACCCAGACTAGGTCCATATTGCAAAGAAGTCCATGCCTTTTCACGTGAGAATCGTTCCTAAGCGAGCAAGGGTCGGTCAACAGATTGAATGAGAGCTAAAAGGAATGCACCAGCGTACTTTGGTAGCATCAGTAACCAAGTTCACAGGAAGAAGAGCAGGTCCAGGTGCACCAAATTCAAAAGATATAAAGTTTGGATCACCAGTAGAGAATAGAGTCAAGTCCTCTTCCATGAACTTTTGATCGGGAGCGGTTGATGCCATTTTGCTAGGTGGGGTTTGCGGCTTTCAGGCAATCAATTGTTTGTGACAATGTCTGTCATGTTGGAACAGCCATAGGCGATACAGTAGCTTGAACATCAAGCAAATCAACGAAATCAAGTATAAACACGACTTACAGCTTTGCAGCCTTGCCTCGTCAATGACCAGTAAGCTCGCGAGTGAATGTTATCTACAGACCAGCGAGCTTTGGTCAGTAGATTCAAACGAGAACGCAACTTGAACAGAATGAAGTGGTACTTGGTAGAAATGTCCAACTGATGCTTTGTTATCAAACTGTCAAGCCTGGTTGCCACAGGGCATATGACGATTGTTTGATTCAGGTAATTAGACGCAGAGCACGACAACACGTGGCGCCATCACGTATTCTCGTGATTTTGAAGTTTAGAGCTACCGTAATATGTCGCATAATTTCATCAGAAACGTGCTGTAGATGAGAAAGTGTGGTGATGTTGAATGGGCAGTGTTTTATATGTTTCAGGAGGAATGAACGCGTTCACAAACTGAATTGACATATCCAGCGTTTATGTGATGTATATAAATTAGTTTATTCGCATCATGCGGTTGTATTCTTCTAAATATGAGACCAAACAGTTCTTGATTCGTTTTTTGGACTTCGCGAAAGCAAAGCTCCCTTCAGATGGCAGCTGTAGAGTTCCTGCAAGCCTTAGGCAAGAGGAAGGCTGGACCGGCTCCAAAGAAGGTGGAGGAAGATGATGCTACAAAGGTAGTGTGTGTTTTCTATCTTGAGCAATGGTTGCTTTTTGAACGTACTGTTGAAGCTTGTTTGATCAATATCGAGCGAAGAAACCAACCACCCGAAAAGAAATGCCAAGTCTCAAATGATATCTGATTGCTAACTACGCTTAACCAACAATGCTGCGTCTATAGAAGAAGAAGGAGGTCAATCCATTCATCGCAAACCAAGTTTTTACCACAATCGTCATTGTGAGAACTCTGATGGTATCCAGCTTGAACACAGCCGAGATAGCTCGTTTAGGTATGACGCGAAAATCTTGGGAACTCTATCAATCTGCCTCTGTTGTCGCTTCGTGTGCTCACGTTTATTACTTTAGCTCCACTGAATCGAGCCTGGCATGCTGTCTCAAACTCTTTATTGAGTCCTTTACGAGCGTCCAAGTTTCGTCTATCCTTTCGAGTTACAGGTTTGTTCGCTCTCTTAGATCCGCATCCAGGTTTGGTGTGTCAAGCCCAACTGTCTCTCGTTTCATTTAGATCCTAACGCTGTACGAATGTGGAGAGATGAATCGTACCCACTAGGGATATTGTTGCAAGCTGTAGAGCGATGGAAGAATGAAGATGGTGTCTTGGTGACTAAATTCAGAGTTGCCAAGGGACAACCACTTCCATTACGACGATCGAGTTTACGAGCTAGTGTTAGAACGCCGCCTGCAATCACAGCTAATGGTCAGACTAATAACAATAATAATGCCGCTGCTACTGCCAATGGATTTGTAGGCCCGCCGTGGACTGAAGCTGTGTTTACAGGACCGACTGCCACGTTGGTGAGGCCGTTACTTGCACTCTTCCCATCAGATGTGACTGTATACGGTCCACATCCAGGAGCCGCTATGGGAGTGCCTGAAAGACCTCAGTCGTCACGGAGAGTCTCCTTCCAGGTTTACGGGCAGGAATATTTTATTCGTATAAAATATGGATATAACGATACATGGGAGATTGTTGCTGTTTATATGACAGAGACTCTGCTAAACCCATTGGCATTTGGCGCAGCATATGGACATCGCGATATTGAGTGGATTTTCCCCGCTGCTCGTCGGCAAATCTTGCGAAAGGCTGTTGTAAGTTTGGTTTGCCATTCGCATCTCTGTGTGTACTAAAAACACATTCCCTCCACTAGCTGAATGTATGTCCACCCGGTCGCGGCAAACCACTAATCCAGCTGCTAGATGATGGTCTTGACGTTCTGTTATCAACCGCTCAAAGCGGATATACATATAAAGGCCATCTAAGATACTTGTTTGGCGCTCGCCCCGAGCTCTGGATATCAGACCTTCTCTCCGCTCTCTTGAAGGACGATGGATACCCTTGGTCGCATTCTGTGGCGTTGTATCATGACTGTGATGCAACTATACGTGATCTTATCTCAAAGCTAGAGAATAGATTGACAACCATTCGAGCATGGCATGCACTTCCGGAGGAGAAGAGGGAAGATATGATGCACAAGAACAAGTCGCGTACTGCAGAGAATTGGGCCTCTGGAGTTTTGAGTAATATTGTTCTTGAATTGCGTGGAGTCAAGATTAGAGGCAAACGTGGTACCAAGGAGTAAGATTATTGTCGCTTTTGGTACAAGTTGAACAAAGTCGACAGTCGTCAAGACTAATGATGATTTCAAATAGGTGGGTCGACGATATTGTTATGGAGCTGAAGAAGTGGGACACGGAGAAAACTAAGGAGACGAAGAACAAGTCATCGTCTTGGGAAGATGATGGGTTTTATAGATAGTAAGATAATCATACCTTTGTCGACTTGGAAAGATGATGGATTCTATAGATAAACACCCATTCTCGACTTGGGAAGAAGACGGGTTTATAGATAATCACACGATGTGGATGATACAGCAAATACAATAATGATATATCTTCATCAGTAAACACGAAGTTCGCGTTATTTGATCTTGGTTTTCTACATACAATCTTTCGACCCCTTTTGGTTTCTCGCAGCATCGCAGACAGCATCTCATCCAAAAATAAGCCGGAAGTAACAATTCTAGTTGATTCGATTGATATATGAAGGTAAGTGAAACTGTAGCGTGACTTGACAGACTGCCTCGTGACGCGGAAACTAACTCGCAGATTGTCAAATCTTCAGAAACTCCAAATCAAACGACAAATCTAAACATCGACAAGACACATCCACCGACATTCCTATATGGAAAATCCATACATCCACGCTGGTCCAAGTCTATACGATGTCGAATTGAGTGAAGATATAGTCGCATTGGCACGGACATTGGGCAGAGCCAACGGCTTCAATTTCGAAGTTGACGAACAGGACGATGATATGCCTCTAGATATGCAAATGATACTAAAGGACTTTCTAAATCGTCAAGATCGAGATCGTCTTCAGCAGCAGGACATTGGTGGGGGTACTGCATTTGGAGAGATCTTGGGAGGTTTGGAACTCGATCTGCCGTCTGATACTACAAACACTACGACTACATATACTGAAGCTCAAGTACGTCATTCGTTTGATTGATCAAATCACTTTGTCGGGCTGTACGAGCCGTGAGGGTCGAATGCAGGTCGAACGACACGTTGACACGTTGTATTTATTAGGTGACTGATCGTGACGATGACATTGACAATCCCGCATCGCCCGAATCTTCTATATTATCTTCTATAGCCGATGAAGAAGTCAAGCCTGAAACACCTGTAACTATAATATTACCACATCAATCGGGTGGAAAGATACCAGGAACGATCGCAAACAATGCAGCACACCCAGTGTCGCATCCACGAACTCAGATACTATTTAGTCATTTCTCGAGTCCTAGTATTGATCCAGAAGGTGGTGGGTTGCTCCTGGTAGCGCATTTACGTCCTCGATCGACACATCCGAAAGAGAATCGGAATGGGGTTGTTCATATGCGGGATTTGACTCAAGGCATAGTGAAAAGAAGTACCTTTTTCGTCTTCGAAAGACGAGGGCTGACTAGAGACCACTTGTTTAGGAACGTTGGAGCGACTTTGGTCTTCGATTGTTGAAGGATGTGTCAAACCAAAGCCAGAATTTATTGAACCTGCATGGAAGAGTCTTGATGATATTGAAGCACGTATGCCTCAACACGGGTAAGTGCGGTTGTGCTAACCTGCTGAAGATGCATTTGATTTGTCCAATGATGACGTGTCCGTCGTTTGTTAAACTTTATGAACAACCACTTTAGGAACTGGAAGCTGAGATTAGAGTGGTGTAGGAAAATACTCAACTTGAAAGGCTGTAAACGAGGAACGGTCGTCTCTCAGCAGGAACCCGATGCAGATGAGGAGGATATAGATATGGAGGAAGGTGATGTTGAAGTTGAGCAAGACGATAATGATGGTGAAGCGGAGGAAGATAATAATGGTACTGATGAAGAAGGTGACAATGATGGCGAAGAGGCTGAAGAAGTCAGTGACGACAATGCTGCAGAGGAAGAAGGTATTGATGATGACGCGGAAGAGTCACAGCAGGAAGATGATACGGCAGATGAAAGCGTCGTATTGCCACCATCACCGCCGCCGCCACCTCCTGTTCCCGTTATTATGACCAGAAAACGAAAGTCTTCTGCTGAGCATCCACTTCGCCCTTCCCCAACACGAATGAAGACTAGATATAGTAAATAAAGGATACCCTGTCAACTGCATAGAGCAATAATAATGATACCCACTGTATTTAGATCCTAAAAGCTTTGTATATGTCTTTTTGCACGTTATAAACATGTTCTTTGCACAAGGTATATATATGGACCATTGACCGCTCCAAGTTTTATTCAGCCCCGTCAAGCTTCCCGTATGAAGGTCTGCCATGTTTGAGGTCTAAATTTCAGCGACAAGGTCGACGTATTTCTGAAGTTGCTTCCTGTGCGTAATATCAAAGTTAGCAACTCCCAACTTAGCGACTCTGCAGACTTGATTTCTTCAAAAAGTCATGTCACCTTTTCTCTTCTAATATCCTCAGAGAAGCTTGATATGACTGTTGCTGCGTTGCTCTCGACATGTCCAGATTCGTTGCAGTTGATGCCACCTCGTTAGCCCGTGCAAAGCGTGTTTTCAGAGCCAGAGCCTACGATTACACGTAAAATGAGTTAACGCATGTTGTACATTCATTAATAGAAGCATGGATTCGTACCAGCTGTTTGATTTGTTCTGGGTGTGTTGCACGATCTCCATAGGCGCTGAGCACTTGATGCAGCAATGGTAAGAATGTGAAATCTTCTCGTACTATTGTGGAATCTGAAGCAGCTGATTGCCCTTCCATGTTGTAGCTGTAAAAGGCACTACTCAACTTTGTGACAAGAAACAGAGGGATTTGCGGGATTTGAGCTTCACGTACGAGAGAGTATAATAACGTGTTGTTAGTGCGTGATATATTGATATTCCGATAGCTTTGCTCTTGGACCCCGTTTCCTTCCGAAACTGATTTCATTTCGGCTGACGTGTCAACGACCAATAGGCAGTTGCTGCTTGCTGTGAAATCAAAGATAGACAAACTCTTGCAAAGATGCCAAAGAGGAAGCAGGAGCCTGTATATCAGGATGACGATGACGCATTCCACGATGACGAGGACGACTCGGTACGTGTTTTGCTTGAGTTTGGTCTCTTTGCGGATGATTTTGATGCATTTGACAATCCAACATCGTGTACTAAACTGGATCGTATAGGGCGGAAACGCTAATTCAAGTAGTACTAGGCGCAAGAAGCGAAGAGGATTTGTCGACAAACTAGAAGTAAAACTTGAGACTCCTGTCTAAATCTACATCAGATCACTTTTCTTTCGAGTTTGCTGATCTCCACCCCTGTTTTCTAGGTTCGTTTGCATCGCATAGAGGAACTTGTCAAGCCAATCCTTGAAGGAAGATTGACCACGCAACAAGCTCAGGAAGGGCTGGCATCGTTATCTCGAGATTTCTTGCAAGAGACAAAAGCAGACGTCGCCAAACGAATTCGCAACAGTACTTCATCAGCTTCGTCATCATCAGCATCAACTACCGTGACTGTTGCCAAAGTCACTGTCAATGAGTCGGCAAGGAATGGAGCTCTGTTTACCGATCAGACCTTAGCTTCCCCTGTCAATGGATCTGCAAGCAGCAACCCAGCAGTTGATCTGTCGTCATTGCTGCAACCTACAGTACCGATGTATCCGCTAGCTCCATGGGATATTCCTAACGCACCTGTTGCTGCACCGAGCCTGATTGATTTGTTTCAGGGGTCTCTTGTCAATGCTCTCGAAATACCGCCTATTACTCCCATTGAAATACGTGAGAAGCCTGTTACTTATATAAATGAAGATTGTCAGGGTGATCCGTTTCGTCTTCATCCATTTGTGCTCAAGTATGTGGTCACGGGTGGATTGCCGTCAAAACAAACATGTGAATGCTCTGAGACTTGCTTTGTGTCCTAACAGTCCATATCCTAACAACTAGGACTCTCATTGAACGATTCTTTTATCGTGTGAGGTTCTTCAATCCTGTCTTATACATACATCCACCATCGTTTGTGAGCAATTTCGCATCAAAGCCAAAAGGATTACTGGCTGCCATGTGTGCTGTCGAATTGAGGTACTTGGAAACTGAAGGACCAGAGGAAGGGCTCGAAGGACTAAACTGTGAACAGTTTCTGAATACCGCACGAACTTGGGTCCTCCAGAGCATCGAAGCACCTACTATAGAATTGATTCAGGCAACCTTTTTCTGTGCTGTCTTTAATGCATGTAAGTCAACTGCTCAGCCAGTAGACAGTTCACGGTGGTTCCAGGTCGGCCTTGTTCTAATTCAACGATTTCGTTTCTAGCAAACGCGGACATCGCCAGGCTTTCAACTGGCTGGCAACTTTCAGGGCTTGCTTTTCGAGCTGTAAGTTGAAAAAGCTTTCCCATTCTCTGCTTATGCACCATTCTGATTCTCCTTTTTTGCCCGTTAGTGCATGGTACTCAAGCTCGACGTTGATCCTGATGACTTTGCCTTCCATCAACGAAGGTTTACCTTCGTAGAGGCCGAGACAAGGCGTCGAGTATGGTACTACTCTGTGATCATGGATAAATTCTTGGCCATGTTTATGGATCGCCCACACCAGCTGAATGTTGTCAAAAACAATGTCAAGAAACCGCTTCCAGATATCGTCTACCTCAATGCCACGGACTTGAATTCCTTTGATCCACCCAGCCAAAACTTTATCGCAAAGGCTCTAGATCCAGTATATGATCCATTGGCTCATCGCATTGACCTTTGGTTTATCTGGACTCGTATAATAAATACATCTAAAATAGTTACCGATGTAGGATTACCTATAGAGGAGATGCAAAAGCAAATGACGGAGTATGTAGCTGATTTGGAGAAGTGGAGAAGTCTGTTACCGTCAGAGTGGATTGTAGAACCAACGCCTCCAGCAGAAACATGGATTACAGAAAAGGATGGATCTGGACGTTATTCAATCGAGACTCATTGTAAGTTACTCAGCAACTTGGATTTTGTGATGGAATTCTTGATTGACCTTCTTTACCCCATAGGTTTACATATCCTGTATTGGACTTGTCATGTACTCCTACATCGACCCGTAGTGCTTCAATTCGCTCGCAATCTACCTGCCATGCAGAACCTCCTCAGCCATCCATCGTTTGTCTCTGGCACCGCTGCTGCTCATAACGTGGTCAGTCTCCTGTTGGCTATACCAGATGAACTCGTGAAAGTTGTCAGTCCGATGGAATCATATGGTGCATTTCAAGCTGGACTGCATCATACGCTAGTTGCTGGAATCAGCAAGTAAGAATAGCTACAATGCGATCTGCTTTGGTTGGCAAGAATAGGGACTATTTCTAAACCGTCGCACTTTTTGAAAACTCAGATTCGGGGATGTTGATAGTGACCATGATCTCGACTGTCAGGAGTCACCGTCTAGTGTTGCCGATTCAACCAGTTCATCACGTAATGTTGAAAAGAGGTCTATTGAGGCCTTCCAGTCTTGTATGCAGTTCTTGAATAGGATCTCGAGGCGTTGGCCAATGGTATGTACTTGTGTTTGTCAGATCATGCTTGTTGGAAATGCTAGTGCCTTTCATTTCGCACTAACCCCGAATCTGTGCTGATAGGCCGCTACACTATTATCTTCTGGTCTTAGGATTGCCAGTGTCGGTGTGATACCTGTAGAATAACTATTAAACTCCCCTAAAACCATTTGAATTCAGTATCAGTAAACATTACAGATCATTGATGGAAAGTGACAGTTGTTTATTTGGCAGTGTAGGTATTCTGTGCATATTACAAGGTACAAAGCATTTCAGCGAAAGGAAGCCTTAACCGATGACTGTGTGTTGGCTCGTGGTTGAAGTCGCGATAGCATTTCCAACGGAGGGAGGTGCCAAATTGAGAATGAACCTAGCAGTGCAAAAGTTGTTCATGAAATAGGCCCTCTGTTTTTCTCGACCGGGCTTGGGACCGGACCTATGGCAACATTAACGACAATGTTGTTAGATATGTCTAGATGAAAACATTGATAACAAAGGGTCAAAAGAACAAAACATTCCAAAAGATTTCCAGTGCTTGGCCTCCTCCCAAAAACACCAACCACTTGCGTGGCAACTTCCTTCTCGGTAGTGATGGAGTAGTATAGTTGATGAGCACGATGTGACAGTTGAAATCCACTGCCTGTAGTGGCGTCTCGTGCGAACGATTCCTTTCTTGAGGTTTCCCGTACCCTCGGGACTGGAAGTGCAAGGTCCAAATTCTCAAGTTCTTGCTGTACGTTCTGTTCTCGTCCAAAGGCCAAGGTGCCCAACCACAATTGGCATGAGCCGAGGCTCAGAGGCTACTGTGGAACTTAAGAGATTAATCTTGATAAGACTTGAGGTCTTCAGACTTGAAGTCTATACGGAACAAAGATGAGATGGTGTGAGTGCAAGGTTTCAGATGTTGCAATGTACACTATGACAGAGCAGCAACAGCAAACGAAACATTGATAATCCACTTGAGTAGGAGTGATTGTGGTAGGTGTTGGGAATAGTCGACGAGTGGAATCTAACATAGAGCCTCGTTTCGACCCAGAGAGGAGACGCCATCCGATATATACCATGCCGGCAATGCAGGACGTGACTAGCTAGCTCCTCAAATAGTCCTGATTTGAATGAATGCTCGTTTGGAGCCTATTCGGATATTTGGACAATAGGCCAACGATTGGTCGACCATTCTTGTGTTTCAGATCGTGATTACGTGCCAATACACATACGTAGAGTATATCGTATCTTTCAATTGGAAGTTGACTGAGAGGTTCCTGGCGTTTGCGGTATGCGGCATTTGGAAAAATGGAGTATCCGTGACAGCAATGCCTTCCAAATCATAGACATTCCCAGCAATCACATTAGCCCATCTTTTCCATATTTCGGCATTTTAGACGACTTGAATTCCTGGTAGAAGGGTGGCAAGAACTAATATACAACAAGTTTAAGGAATCTTTAACACAGTCATGGTGAATTCGAATTAATGCTGTTGCGACGACAGAAACCAGTTGACTTGGAAGGCTGACACGTGCATTTCTGCCATGAATATATCAAACACGTAACATACCCCCTTCCTTCTAGCATCTCTTTCGTTTGGCTGAACATTTGAACTCAACAAAACATTAAGGTAGCTCTGTGCGGTCATCGAAGGATCAAACAATGTGAAACGCTTACAACATTGGTGAACATTGTTTTACTACATTATAGCGTTAATCTTCAAAGCAATTTAAGTACATGTGTTGTAAATCGAAAAGCAAGACATGCCGGACAAACTACTTGACTATTTCAGAGTCGTTCCGAGATTGAAGCAGACTGGTTTAAACTATAAAGTAAACATAGAGATTTGTTTAGCGAGCAGAAACGAGATCTAAAAAAGGTACATCAAAACAAGAAGCTTACAGAACTTCTTGGCCGCTTCCTTGACCGAGTCGACGATTTTCTCGGTACGAGATTTCTTCGATGAAGAAGAGTTCATGGAAGAGTTGGTTGATGTTCTTGGGAAGAACTAGTGTGACAAAGATACGTTAGTAAGTGATCCAAATTGTCACATGGTCGTAACGAGAACGGCGACACAAGTGGCCTTAGAAACAGTTCACCCCCATAAAAGACAGGGGATGCATCAAATAAGACTTACTTGAGGTGGTTTATATTCGTCATTTTCACCAGTTGAATCCTAGATGAGAAAAACACCGGGGTAACTAGTCAGCTTCATGCCCATCACGAAATCAATAGTGCATGACAACAAATACCAGGTAATGTAACTGTTCATCACTATGTTGGTATTCAGCCATTGCCTTGGCACCATCTTTATGGCCTATCTCAGCAGCTGCCTTATCAAATGACTCTTGGGAAACTGCCTTCTTGTCACTCATTACAGATGCTTGGTGGACCGAAGTACTCATGATTCAGGAGCTTTGATTGAAGGTTGAGTGAGTTGAAGATATACGAGGCAAGATTATTGAGTGAATGGAAGTTGTGGTTTGGTTTAATGCTTGTGCCCCGTGTTTGATTTGCGTCCAGCAAACGTCCATGGGCTGTGTGGAACAAACAAAAAAGGCAAGAACCATAATCACATGCCATCCGTTTTGTGTCGTACTTGCTATCTTTGCTCGAAACCTGTTGTATCATCTCAGGAGAATACATCAGGCTTCTTGAAGTAGCTAGCTCCTCAGATCAGGTACTATCGCTGCAATAACTATCACACATTTTTACAAGTCATTCGAATGCGGCACGTCTTCTTTATAAATTGGTATATTATTGAAATTCTATTAGTTTCTATGTGTCCAATTGTACTTTATAAATCCTCTATAATAACATAAAATGCTCCTCAGTCGTATTGTCCGTGTTTGATTTCTCTGCTGTCTCCTTGGTGATGGATTCAAGCATTGCCTGCTGCATTCTCATAAACTCGTCGTCATTCATATTACTAGTAAGTAGTGATCCAGGATTCAGTGACGGTATTGAAGCAGTTCCATCGTTCTCCACTACGCTATTATAGTGGATTCCTCTATGGTATGAAAGTCGTATTCTCGTTGCGTCGGCAGGTATAGCAACAAACGGGCTGATTGAATATGGAACTGTTTTATTTTGGATTGTGAATGTGAGATCCAACGAACGGGTTGAAACTGCAACCAACATTTGACTTGCCAGTATTGTCTTCAAAAATATCAATGGAACAGGAGTAAACTTCAGCGATTGCTTGCAGTTCGAGAGCATTACCAAAACAGTTTGGTCCTCGTTTACGTCGTATGTAGTCGGCGTAACTCTCAGAGTCCGTAAGGAAAGCACAGTATGTATCTTCGTGTGCCTCCTATGATTGGGAAATTAGCGATTGAAGCGACACATTGACTATAACCGGTCGTTCGTACCAGGTAGTCCATACAAGCCTTCCTGACTTCCAAGTGCCTTTCTTCAGTCGCGAATAGTTGATCCGCTACAAAACAGATACACATCAGTAAAGTGTTATACTGTCAATAACATACACGCAAGTACAAAGCACCAACTGTCAAAAACACAATCCAATGAAGCCAACTTACAAACAGCTCTAAACAAACACGCCCCATCCTCTCTAACCCTTCTTATCTTATACCCAGCACTCTGCATCCTCTTAAAAAACTCTCTGTCCCTCCCATTATTAGTAACCTGGTGGATATTAAAGTCTCTCTCATCGACGGAGTTTGGTATATACGCTGGAACACCACCATTACTATTCAACGAGCTGGCCATTGAAGAATCAGTAGACGGTGAAGAAACAACTTCAATCTCGTGGATAAGATGTCGTGGTTTGCGTTGGATCAGCTCTGGAGTTCCCGGTAGATCATCAAAGGCAAACATTCCCTTTTCTGCAGCGCCTAGGAAGCTGCCACTGTTGCTGTGAAAACTGTTTGCGGTTGATGGTTTGCTGGGCGTTTCAAGCTGGGAGGTATAGTTTTGGATTGCAATTGGATTTGACTGCATTTTGGGAATAATTATCTATAGAATGGCCAGTTTCTTTTCGTTGAGCAATTGTAAACGTTGCTGTCAAAGTGTGTTTGAAAAATATCTCCTTCAACACAACAAAAATGTTGGGAGGAGTGCTATACTTTTCTTGTCTCACATTTTCGAACAAAACGGGTTGGGGTTGATTCGCAGAATAGCTCTGTCAACCGGTGTCATTTCCTACCAAACGCTAGAGTAATCGCGTCGCTCTCGTTGAAAGGCACGTCTTTTGAGGCTCATTACTAGGTGTATGATGCAAAAAAGATTATGGGTCGTTTACAGAGCGTGATTAATATACAAGACAAAAAGACACTAATACTACTACTTATAACTACTAAGCATATCTACGTGACAGCAACTGAATTCCTTGACGAGTGGGGTGATGCCGGTGGACTGAGTTTCCTAATCTCCTCTTCTTCAACTTGAAGCTTCTGCTGTAATCTAGCTTCAGACTCCTCCACTTCACGTTTCAATTTATCATCCTCGGCTTTCTGAGTTTGGTATTCCAGTTTCTTGGCAGTCTCCTCCCTTAAAAAGGCATTCGTCGGGTTGGCGACCTTTTTCCACAGCTCAGCATCCCAACCATGAAAGTAGGCAATAAACTCTATAGGCTCATCACCTTGACTTATAAACAATACATCTCCTTCATTCCTCAATCCAGTAACTCGTGACTTCATTCTACGTAGTATGGCAGTGCGAGTGGCGGATGATATAGATTCCGAGTGTTGGCGACGAGTTTTGGGATCATTAGCAAAAACAGTATCCCGCGAGAATTTGTTGGTTATGGCTTCAGGTATTCCATACATGACACCACCATCTGGAGCCATCATACGCCCATCATCCAGATTATCTAGCCATACTTCAACGGATTTACGTGCTAGTTTACGTACGACATCGGATGTATCAGAGCCAACCCATACATACAACTTGGCAGATCCAGGATCTATTATACAGCATGTATCCGACCGTAAATCAGATTGTTGGAAGTGGTAGACTTCTTCTACTAAAAAGTAGCCTCGAGAGCACGAGCATCGTAATACTCTGGGTACTGGTGCATAATAATATTCAGAGCCAGCAGAATATGGTTGTTTACCACCTAATACATCCCAAAAGGCACGAGGCTCAAGCCTTTCATCCACCTGTCTGTAAAATGATCCGTTTACGAGATTGGCTGATCCTGCTCCAGGCATCCATATCGATGATGTTAGGGCAGTCAATGCTCCACGTAACGAGTTGTGTGATGATGAAACGGGTGCACTTAATGGAGACAATGAAGACAGGGGCGGTGATACGGGATTACCAAGGAGCGAAGGTAGTGGTGATGGTGATCCAGTACCTAATATTTTACGTATTATATTATGTGCTCGCTTCACTTCATCCTTGGATGCACCCTTGCCGGCCCATAGATATGAGGTTTGTGTTGGATCACGGAGTTGTATAAAGAAGCAGTCTCGAGTGACGAGTGACGTGGCTTTGGCAGTTACTTGTATAGCTCGTGTCGTTTTATACCTTAAATCTGTTCGGATCTGCCACATAACTGCTGGTTCCTGTGATGCTGAAAAGATATTGACTGGTGCATCATTTCCGGCCGATGCAGCTCGTTGCTCCAACCAGTCCTTGCGTGATCCTCGATGATACACACACATGTTATCTAAATGTGCTAGTAATGCTATGGGTTCACGGCCTTGTTCGAGATGTACTACTTTGACTGGACACTTGTACATTTCCTTCATCAGGTCCTCCATTTCCAATTGTGTCTTGAATAAAAAGGTCGAGTAGGCTAGTTTACTGGATTTGTCTCCTTGCCAAAAGTATACTACAGCTTCTACATTCGGCATGGCAGGCTCCACTGGAGATAAAGCAGAAGCAGCACTACTTTCGTCTTTCGGATTTACGGAGTCTTTAGATGCAGATGATACAGACGTTCGACCTGATGGAGGAGTGTTGGTACCACTAGTAGTAGCAGCTTCTTGTCGTTTCTTTTCACGTTCCTTGTGTTCTCCTTCTTCTTCTAGACGGTACACACACAAAAAGACATATGCATCACCAGCAAAGAAATGTCCACGTTCTTCTGCTGGTAGCTGTACAAATCGACCACGGGAATATATAAAGGAGGAGAAGGATAGCAACAGACGGTTTGCATGAGAGCACAGCTCTTCTATAGCACGAGTTTGAACGTCGAATGTGGCTGGTGGTTGGTATAGTGCCCTTACGTCTACTCGCATGCCTCCAAGTGAAGGAGCTACGGATCGTTTCTTCAAGTCCGCGTTTCCTGTGTTGAAGATTTCGTTAGCTTTACCGAAATCAGATCAGAAGCACAAAAAACGCTATGCTGGTACCTGACTTGACATCCTGCCAGTTTACTTCAGATGCATGTTCATCCCAATCTCTAAACATGAGCTTAAACACTTCCGATTCTTCTCCTTCTGCCATCCTGTTGAAACCCATCCATTTTGGCCTAGGCTGTACAGGTACAACACGCTAAAAACACATGGAATATGAGATATCGACAAGGAACCAGAAAAAGAGCAAAGTAACCCAGCCACTGCTTACAGCAAGAAATTCATTCGACACTTGTTTCGTATCCAGACTAGAATGTCTTCCAATCCATAAGAACAACTCGACAGCGGTATCAATAACATAACATCCTTCTGATTGAAGCATGATGCGTTTCAAAGTACCACCTGTAACCAGCAAGTCATTCATATCAACTTGATCACTCAACGATTTGGGTTCGACGCGATACATTGTTGGATTGGATTCAGCAGCGTCTCGGAATTCTCGTTCAGCAATCACAGAGTCGAGATCTGATGATGAGGAAATTACACGCGTGAATTTCAGAATTTTTTGCTAAATATTTTCCAAGCCTACCTGGTTTGGCTGCATGCACAGGAGGACCTCCAAGAAGTTCAAAGAATCTTGCATTCTCTTGTCCTTCAACTATGTTAAACATTGTTGGAGGATCGTTAGGAGACAAAAGAGTTGATAAGAACTGCAGTGTTGCTTGCCTAGCTCTTCCAAGATCGCATTCCTCGTCCTCTCCAAATTGTTGATTCTACGAGCCAACATTTTGGCTACGGTCTGATGCTGCACTTTAGACTTTGATCCAGTCCACACAAATATTTCCATTCCCCAGTCCAATACTAGAACTGCAGTTGATTCCAGAGACGCGGATGATGGTGATACCTGTTAAAAATGAGATGAGCTAAAAAGCCAATTCGAAGCGTCGAATGTCGAATGTACCAGTCGAATTTTGGCCTCACGACCTCCAAATAACTTGTATAATCGTAATGGATACGTCCTTTCTTCAACAGGTGACAGGCCTGGTTCTGTAGCCATATCTACTGCATCATATTCTATAGTCGTGAACAAGCCCAGGAATTCTGGTGATTCTTCATGAGATATCTGCAATGGAATGAATCAGCACATGATACCGATATTGTAATAGCATACCGTAGGACATAGCTTTTTTTGCTCACCTCATGTTCAACACGCCCTACAGCACCAACCAGATTCCTTAACCCAACAGAGTACATGGCAGCACAAAACTTTTTATCTAATTCAGCGGAAGCACCAACCCATGTGAATATCTGATGATCTAAAGCACCACTATCTTCATTTCGATACGACATCATGACGAGGTATGCATCTCCTTCACAAAACAGACCACGACCACGTGGTAATTCTAGTATATGTGGTTTGAGACGTTCTATGCGCCATACAGAGACTCCTGGAGAGTCTGGCAGGTCTGCGGAAAAGGTTTCTGAAAAGTCCATCATGGGTATACGTTCTTGAGCGAACTCTGTTTGCTTTTTCTGTGATTTATTGGACGATTCTGCACCTTCTTTCGTTGTTTTGATGAGAGCTGCGGGTAATCGTGGTAGTGTGGAGCTAAAAGGATTGGGTGTGAGTTGTTGGCAGCTAAAAAAAGTGCAGCCACCGCTTTCAAAACACCATGGTCAGGCTAGTGCTCGCACTTACTCCTTTTCTATAGCATCAGCAAAGGTAGAAAGTGATTCTGACTCTGAGTGTCCAGTAACTCGACTGCGTAGTTTGGCCAAGTTGTCTAGAGCCCGTAAAAACAGTCTACCATTATCGGAAAAGACCTTTTCACGTTCCTTGGCATCTCGATCATTCATATCTCCTCTCTTTTCTAGCTCTTCTAGGAGTTCGCCATCGACAGGGTTGCTAGCCGACGTAAAGTCTGCGCCATAAAAGTCTGGCGACTGCAGCACATATTTCTTTGGCCTGGAATACTGTTTGCGAAGAGAGTCAGCATATGATGATGCAACAGTAGAGGCCGACGTGGTAGCATCGGACAACATTTGAAAGGCACTTCTAAAGTATGAGCTAAATCCTCCAGTATCACCCGTCTGACTAGTACTATCGGAGCTGACATTTGCTGGAGTTGCAGCATTGTTAACTGCATCTGCATTCAGTGTCGGTCTAGTCGTCAAGCTAAAGTCCAATGATTTTCTGTTTGATGTTGCTGCTTTATCATCAGAAGCTTCATGTGCTCTGAAGGGAGCCAGTGACTGTTGCCGCCGCAACTGGCCCAACATTGCAACCTATCTCCTACTTGCTGATCCACGATTTATGCTCTTCGAACTGCTGCACAGTGTTTTTTAAACACCGTTCAGGTTGAGAGTAGTCCACTTTCTTTTCTTTAACGTACTGTACAACCCCTCTTGGGTGAGCCAGCCACTTATCAACCTCTACTGTTTCAAATGCTTGTCCGAGCTACCATCACTGATTATAGTATTTATATACTGTACATCACACTCGCGCTTACCTTGGATCGTATTATTCTCTCAATCTTTTGTCCCAATTCATATCCACGTCGCAGCTCTTGTTCCAATTTCTCTCGTTCCTCTTCCAGCTGATTTGCACGTTTCTTGATCCTCAATATAGATTCTTCTTCAAGCCTTCTCAACTCATCGTGAGGTGTGCTGCTGCTAATCAATCCATTTGGAATATTACTCGTGACTGACGATCTGATACTTGAACTGGCAACATCCGAGGCAGCCCGTCGTAGTACCGACGATCTAGTTCTCCTTTCCTCTAATTCTAGCTCCACTTCACGCTCTGCGGCACGTTGCTTGCGGTTTTGTTCTCGTTGATTTGCTAATTCGGTTTCGTAATCCATCATAACTGACGAGTTTTGACGCATCTCTTTACGGAGTCGACGTGCCTTTTCCAAGGCATTTTCCGCTACCGGCGTCGACATGTTTTGCAACCGCTCTACGTGGATGTAAACGGTTTCAGCCCTGGACTTTCGTGTTTGCAACCAAAATGACCCTCTGAAAAAAATCTGCTGCGCGAAGACCAAATCTTCTTTTCGTCACCAAAACTGCTCCTTTTCGATCAGTTGCTCAAGTATCAGTATACCTAATGCCTACATAGAGATGACCGTTGGTTTTTAAGAAATGTGCTGTTTTTTGTCTATGATTTTGCTTAATCATTCAGTACGCGTTTTCTTCTGAATTTTCTGACGATCGCTCTATCAAAGAAGCGAATAACTTATACAAAATGCATATTTTTGAATCGATTACGGGCCTCGAATCCTAGGCTCATTACGGAATGGCTGGTTTCGTTCTCCCCATGAAATTCGCAATTTTTGTGTTCGTGACTTCAAGAAGGGCTTGCAACGTCCGGCTTGAACCAGACTGATTTCACTGTGCGCTCAGTAGCTTTAAACGCACTCGGGAATGGCTAACTTTATTCCAAACGCTTGGGATCCAACGGTTTCACCTTACGAAGTTCGCAAACTCAGACCAAATGTGATTTCGCCAGTCAGGAATGTGAAAGCATCATCCGCAACGGATCCAGTAGCATTCCTGGAGCAAAGTCTTGGACTGGATAGCGATTTGGATTTCTTCATTCGTTGCCAACCGGGATCACGCAGGCATGTTATGCATCTGGTCCACGATTTGTTTCGGTTTGCTGCATCTCTCTACAATACATTCGGATGTGAATAAAATCAAAAAGATCTGAATTGTGCATAATTGAACTTTGTTTTGACTAATCCTATTGTCTAGGGTTGCAGAGATTGTGGCCAAGGAAGGCAATTGGGTCGACACGTTCTACGAATCCGCTGATCGAGTACCTCATCGTCAAGCTATTGTCGAGGCGGAGACAGGCCGTGCTCTGACATATGGAGAGCTCGATGCCTTATCAAGTACGTCTGTATTACTTTCGAATTCTTTCATGAGTGGCTCTAAGATGCAACTCGTAGATCAGATGTCACGCTGGCTGCTAGGTCAAGGTGTAAAGCCTCTGTCTATCATACCGTTGATCTTCGAAAACTCTATTGGTGAGATTAAGAGCAGTGTTTCTAGTCCTTTTGTTGTTGCATACTTGCAACTTACATTCAACTGAGTTCTTAGACTATGTCGTTACATATCTTGGTGTTCTCAAAATTGGCTGCTGTGTTGCTGCCATAAATAATAACCTGCGCGCTGCCGCCCTTATACATTGTTTGAAAGTGGCAACTGGAGATTTAATCATATTTGGAACGTCGCTTTCAGAGCCCATCAAAGCAGTCTCGAGTGAATTATCGGCTCGCTTTGTTTGTATGGGTGATGATTTCAAGAACGTTCAATGGGTGAGAGAATCTGTCACGGAATGACCATCACTCCTTTGTAATACTGATGGGCCAAGTTTTCTAGACAACTGGATGCTGCCTGGCAGATGTGCTACCGTTTGCATCAGAACGGCTGCCTTTGGAAGTGCGAAGAGCTGCGAAGCCTACTGATCTCGCCATGTTCATCTACAGTAAGTGTTTCAATGTTCTGATGACGTTTATCTCAGTCAAATCTTGGCTAAACACTCACATAGCGTCTGGCACCACTGGAAACCCAAAACCTGTCAGTATAAGTCATTCCTCTATCATGATTTCTAATGTCACTGCTTCGACCCTTCCACGGTATTTTGAGGATGACAGAATCTATACAGCCATGCCAGTAAGTTTGAACCTATACTTAGAGTGATTTCCATGATAGCGCCACTCAAACTGTTCGTTTTAGCTCTATCATTCGGCTGCTGGTAAGGATGGTTGTCTTTAGCGAGTTTCATGTTAGATGGTCGTTCTCAGCAAAGTTCTACTTTACTGACGAGGGTCATGTTTCTAGGGAATGTTGCCATGTCGAGCGCGTTTTCACTTGGTTTGACAATCAGTAAGCCATAATCAACCATTTATATTTGCTTTCCATCTCACACCACCTCTATTCTAGTTTTCGCCAAAAAGATGTCTGCACGAAACTTTTTCAAGCAGTACGTTACTGATGAATTTGGAAGCGAGTTTCTTTTTGAGAACCGCTCCTCACCACATCCCACGTTCGCACTAGTTGCATTGAGCACAAGGCCACAGTGATACAATATATAGGCGAGATTGCTCGCTACATCCTGGCGACACCACCAGATCCAGCTGTGGATCGAGGACATAAAGTGAGAGTAGCAATTGGGAATGGAATGAGATCCGAAATATGGGGTCAATTTAAAGACAGGTTCAACATTCCAATTATTGCAGAATGTAAGAGAAGTTGTTGACAAGTTTTACAGTCAATTACTCACTGCCATATTCGTTGATAGTTTACGGAGCCACAGATGGAATCGGGTTGATAACTCATTACAATGCGGAGGAGGAAACGAATGGTAATACCTATCCGACCCATCTCTCAGTCTGCACAAGGACTAACACCCAACACCACTGTCAACTAGGCACCTTAGGTAAATTAGGTCCACTATACCGTCTTCTTACTGGAATGCGAATCATTCGCTTTGACTACGAAACAGAGCAGCCAGTCAGAGGAGAAGACGGCTTTGTTATAGAATGCGATCCTGGAGAAGCTGGAGAAATCATTGCGGATATCAACCCGCTGAAAGGAAGACTGTTTAGAGGCTACCATGGCGCTCCTGAAGCTACTGAAAAGAAAATCTTACGGAACGCGTTTCGGAAGGATGATGCGTGGATACGCAGTGGTGATATTGTGATGTTTGATCGTTTGGGATTTGCTTATTTCAAGGACAGAATTGGGGTAATGTGCCATGGTCTTATGTTTGCAACGATCGAAAATTTGGAAGCTGATATTTTTTTGCAGGATACATTCAGATGGAAGGGTGAAAACTGCTCCACTCAAGAAATTGGTGAAACCATCGATCGCTATCCAGGAATCATTGAAGCAAACGTATATGGAGTTGAAATTCCTCAGAAAGATGGTCGTTGTGGTATGGCTGGACTTCAAACAGAATCGTCATTCGATGTTTCTGGACTGGGAAAATTTTTGGTGAAAGAACTTCCGAAATATGCTATACCGTTGTTCTTGAGGATGTTACCAGAGATACAAACAACTGGTACATTTAAGCAAGTTAAGACCACCCTCCGTGCAGAGGGAATTGATTTGAACAAGATCAAGGACAGGATGTTCTTCTTTGATGGTGAGTCGTTTGGATTTTTTGGTACGCTGAGTTTCAGCTTTGCTAAATCCCTCATGTAGAGGAGAAATCTACGTATGTACCATACACTACGCAAATCTATAATGACATTATGGCAGGAAAGGCACGACTTTAATCATCGCAATATTGAGATGCTGAAGTTTGTTTTATTATAAACAAGGCGCTGGAATAATATCATGATGATTATTGAGAATTAGAATGGCGGCCAGCTAGACGACGTTTCAGCGTCAGCAACTTTTACCAATCCAACCCATACAGGCTTCTGGCTCCAGAATGTCCAGTTGGTTGTCTTCGACTGTCTGGCTTCACAAGCATCACGAGCATTTCTAATATACTCTCTGACACGTTCTACTTGTCTTTTCTGTTCATGCGGCGGTAGTAAATGGACCAATGGGGTCAACTCAATGGTAAGTTCGGTCAGGGAATTGATGTTGGGTCTGAATACGACGCGACATGTTGGAGAGTCGATAAGTGTCAATGGTTTGAGGGATTCTAGTTGCTGGTATGTTCGACATGTGGATAGGGTAGCTGCTACATCCATGCTTTCAAGCGTCTCACTGATGGCCGGAACGTCATCCTCGAGTCTTGTTAGAAGGGCACTTGAAGAAGCTAGTCTTGGTTTTGTACTCGCTGAGGAGCTTTTCTTGGGTATCACCACTGACGAGCGAAGGATGATGTGTGATGGGTCGTATATCTTATTTATTCGCTTCAAGTCAGAGGGCTGAGAAAAATGAATTGTGAGATTTTGCAACCGTAGACGATCAACTTCTTTACATGCATCCCTTTCAAAGCTCAAGCGAAAAGACGTCAACTACATAGGTAAATGTTCAATTACCTGTACACCATATTTAATCGCGATACTATCAACTGTATCATCTGGATTTATCGAATGCGTCAATTCCATGTCGCTCTTTCTGCTCGCGAGTCCAGTTGACATTGAAGCTATGAGACGAGCCGAAAATCGTGTAGGAGAAAATAATGCTTGGTCTGCTGCTGGAATTGACGCATCAATGCGTAATGGGTCACTGAAATCCGTGAGTGGGATGTCTTCCAACATTTTCTGACGACAGTGCTGACTGAATTTATGCGTCACAGGCACGGCAATTGGATGCTCGATGTTCTAGCGACTACAAGAGAGATGAACGCCTTGCTTGGTGCTAGGCACTGGAAAAGCTGCGCTGCCAATCAACGACTGACGAATCTTTTGGGTTGGCTGACCATCGGTCTTGTGTCGAGAGAAACGACGTGCCCTTTAACATTCCAAAGTGCAAGAAGCGGAAATCTAGTATCGTTTATTGGCAGCTCGTCGACCATTGTTGCTATCGCTTTGGCATCACACCTGGTCGCCAAAAATCCGACTCCCCAGAAAATCACTCGTCCACCAAATCCTCAATCGCGAGGGTCGGTTTGTGGATACGAAATATCACCAGCTTTCTAGCTTGTACTAGAGCATCCGCCACTTCTCTGGTGTATGCCTGCTGGCCCAATTGTCCCCTTTTGTAAGAACATTTAACCAGTTGTTTTCTATGGTTGTGCACTCCGCCGTATTAGTTAAACTAACACTTGTAATCTATTTCTCCCATGTAATTTAGAACATTGCTATGACGATGGGGGTTGACGCTGGGAAAACCTTGCTAGTCAAGGACTTATTGACCGCAGAGGATGCCATCAATACTAAACTATCAAGGACGGCTTTAGATGGAAGGGGAACAAAATACTCACCTCCACCTTCAAACATCGACATGACAGCCGCCTCTTCCGAATCTGAAAACCTAGACGACACGTCGACTGTACAGTCACCAAGCTTGGAAATACAATCAGACTCACCGACAGGTTCATACGACTACTTCCCACACGCACCACCTATACCGAATCGAGAACCAAGCATACTTGCTATGGACGGTGTTTTTAACGCGTATGGCATCATCAGCTCTCAAGAAATGACTGCTTCAACTATAGCAGATGTTCGACGAGGAAGCTATGCAAGCTCTACATCGCCTGCTGAAGTTGAAATGGACGAGCTGATACGAATGTCGACAATGAATAATGCAGCCTTTGCTACTGCTACTCAACAGCAACAGGATATGACGTTGGAATGTGCGCAAACATCTCGTCGGCGTGCAGTCAGTTTTGGGTCTGAACGAACACGAGTCTACCACCCAGATGAAACCACCGTTCGTGTACTTGTACGTCGTGGATCAGGACCGAATGGCCAAAGGATATTATCTGCAGTATCCAGCAATTCGACAAAAACCGACGATGTGGAGTACGTATTATCATTTCTACATCCGGAACATGTCAAGTCTTGGTTTAGTGGCAGCTCTGGAAAACAGGAACGAAGAAACTCTTTGAACAAACATTCGGAATTGATTGTAGGCGCTGATGGTGTTATACGAGGCAAAGTGCTAGCAAAAGGAGTAGAACCACCACAAGTCCGCTGGACGGCAAACAATTGGCAAACAAAACAACCAGTCAACAAGTTTATTCGACCACCAACCATTGGACACGCATCACCATCGAATCCGTCTTCAGCACCATCATCGACTCTCAGTATACCCTTCCACAAACGCTTTGGATTATCACCAAACTCATCTTCCACTTTTGGTGAGTCTGGGAATAGCTCTCGAGTATCTCTGGCAACCTCTAATAGCTATAGTCCGAAATCAGAACCGACCCCACCAGTTTCGAACGATGGACTGTTTGCACCACTGACCAACACATCGACCCGCAGGTTTTCAATCAACTTTGGTGGAATAAGCGAATTGGCTGCTACAGCCGTTATTGATTTGGCACGAATGACATCCGACATGCCACCGGCAGTCAAGAAGCCAGAAGAATATGTAGTTGCAAGTGTAATTCCAGAATTACAACGAGTAGCAGCTCTATCTAGTGACTCGAATGGATCCTCTGGTGGATCGTCATCATCGTCTGGGGGATCAATAGAAGGATCCCAGATACAAATACCATCACCAACACAAACCGGAATTCATAATCGAGTCATAGTTACTCCTACCAAATCCAGTCGTCGTGCTTCATATGGTGGACCAACAAGCAAGATATCCGCCCTAATATTATCGTCCAAATCATTATCAGTGCCAACACCAGGAGATCCATCATCACAGCCAGTACCAACCATACACCAACCCACCTCAACACGACCGACCATATCACCAGCTGGCAGTGTCACATCCGTAACACCGAGTGTTTCATCCACAGGCAGTGCAACATCTCCAGTGTCCCCACAATCAGGACTGCACGAATGGAAGTTTGAAATAGACGCCATCAGCGAAGTGCTCCCAGAACTGGAACGACTTGTAGGTGACGCACCACATGAACCCGTTGTACCCGAAGGATGGTCTCCATTACGTGTTGGTGAATTTGATTATGCACGACGAGCTGGATTCCGTCCTCGAAATGGTGTTGCCATGTCGTTTCAGGGCATTGGAGCGCCTGGTAGTATCGAGTCTGTACGATGGAGTGGTGTAATCAACATACAAGTCGATGGACAGAGCAAGTCAAAGGATACTGCTGGGCTGATAGTTACGCTGGTGCAGATTATTAATCCGTCAAAGTAGAAGCTCCTAGTATAGGTAGACCTGATACACTACTCGCTACACTGAAACCACATTCCACAATTTTCCATAATCACTTAATAATGTCAAATATGTTCTCAAAAATACTGTATTTAAAAAGTTCAGTACTCGTTTCATGGGTTGCAGCATCGTCGCGTCTTTGAACTTCACCAAACATACTATCCCAACACACAGATTGAGAAAATGTCATCACAACCAAGCAGTTCCAAGAAGCGCACAGCTCCCGCAACCACCTCATTTAATGCAGAAAAGAGTTCCAAGAAGCACAAGGTACGTTGTTGTCTCGCAATTCACTGATCGGTTTTTTTTCAAGTTGACTGATAAGTTTGTTTTCTTACTAGAGAGCTATTGTAGAGGAAAAAGAGGACTCGGAATCCTCATCAAATGAACGCGTTGAAAATGATCTGTAAGCTTAAAGGACTCTTCGTCTAAAGATTGCTAGACTAACATCAGATATTTTTGTTGCAGAGACTTCAAACCTCCCAAAGGCTACGCAACCATGAAATACACGTCGAAAATGGACTTGGAGCCTCCTAAATATATAATGGACGAGCTACAAGGTGACGAAGACGGCGCAGCAAAGCCTGAGATTTGGCTGTTTCGACTTCCAGCTGGTGTAAGAAACGTCGCTTTTTGCATTCACACGCAACTAGCCTTACTGAACTATGTATTTTATTCATCCATACAGGTCCCCATAACAGCTCTCCAAAACCAATACGTAGACATTGGCCCAACACCCTCACAACGCACGTCCACAACTCGATTCTCAACCAAAGTTTCTGTAAAGGGCAAAGAACGAGCTTCTGCTGTTGCCGATAGTGCTACAAAAGCAGATGACTATATTATCAAACAGGCAGATGAGTCGTCCATGCTGGAATTGAAGAGTTTGAAACCAATGTTGGCTCGACCCGGTGCTGATTCACTTATTACAGGTATTCCTTCTTATTTGTACCACGTTTTTTTCGCAGTACTGATATAACCCAAAAACATCTTGTCTGACTCACCATTCAATCTAGCACCAAATCCTATATCACAATATTTCGTGATTTCATCTGCAACGCCCGTCATCACACCCACATTCTTCGTTGATGAAGGTGACAAGATCAAGGATGCAGGTTTAAAGAGACGAGAACATAATCCTGATACTTTGGAAGACTACCTGAGTGGGAGATGTCAAGCTATTGGTGCTGATGCTGGTGGGTGCTTTACAAACAGCAAAAAAACGAGGTGGAAGAACAAGCGGAACTGACAGTTTGTCATCTAGATGAAGAAGCTACACACCGCTCTTTATCAAGATACGTGCTGAATGGCCCTCTAGTAGATGATGCCAAACCAGCCAAAAAGAGTAAAACGGACAAGGCATCAGGCATAAAGGCATCAAAATCAAAGGAAGCTGACTCGGTAGCGAGTCCTACAGTACTATCCTCTATAAAACCAGAAGTGACGCTTAAACGAGAAGCAGATGCTGATACAGAGACAAAGAAATCATCTAAAAAAGTCAAACTCGATGCTGCTCCTGCTGTGAAGGGATCCAAGTCTACTATAGAATCAACACCACAACCTGTTGCTACATCACTCGAACCCACTGTAAAGAGTGAGACACCATCCAATAAAGAGACCAAGAAGGCTAAAATGTCTAAGGTCGATAATACTGCCAAGACGGAAACAGTCGCTAGTGCCTCTACTCCAAAAACAGCAGCAACAACTACTGAATCGAATGGTAAAGCATCAAGTGGTAAAGAAGCCAAGAGAGTGAAAAACGCTGTTGCTGCAGCAGCTCTAAGCAAGTCAGAGCCAACACCATTACCAGCACCACCTAGCGTGCCAAAAGACGTCTCACTTAAGGCTGAGACACCTAATAGTAATGATGATGTAGCAAAGGTGAAGAAGCCAAAGAAGGCTGCGGCCTCTGAGGCAAGTGTGGGTGAACCAGTCAAGCAAAAGAAGAAAAATGTCAAATCTGAAGCGTCCTAAGTATGCAATAAGTAGCATAATCCCTTTTGTATAAAAACAAAATCGCATTAGAGCAAGTTTTGTATAAAAACAAAATCGCATTAGAGCAAGAATCTTCAACACCTGTCAACAAGTTTTGCAAAGCTGTAACAGTGGATACTTGTTCTCATCGAAATCTATTGTGGATATACTAACTACCAGGGCAGCGAGACGACAAACTATATATGTATATAAGCGGCGAATTATATTCTTTTGTGTGGGTGGAAAGGCGATGTTCAAATAGAACGTCGAGAGTCTCTTCGATTCTCGAAGCTCATATACTCTCGAGCAAAAGCATCCTTGAATGCATGATCGACTTTGCCCTTTGCTTCATCAACCAGCTTTTCAGCTTCATCAACCAATTCCTTTGCTTCGGCAACGACATTATCGCATATTTGTTGCAGACCTAGGTGTCCCAGAGTAGCATTTGCTTTGAAGCGATTCACAGCTGCTTCTTCTACTAGTCGGGCCATGGTTGATATACATCCTAGAGCTGTTATTTTGGCTGATTGTGTGAATTCGGAGGCGGTTGATGGTGATGATGGACTTGGCCTTATTATACACATTTCTTCGACGGTTATGAGATTTCGTAGTGATAAATTTACAGATCTAGATGAGCGGGGAGAGATAATTTAGGTTACGAGCTTTGATGGCTGCATTGACAAGTTGTTGGACTTGTTTGACACGTCCACGTCAAAAACACAATGACATGTATAGCCGAGAAAGCGGATCGACGACATGGCTCATGAGACAAGGACATTCCTACAATATTACAAATCCTCCCCTTCGTCAATCTCACACCGATTGCATCCCTCTCTCACTGCCCGACTTTTCCCATTGTCAACAACAAACACCGCTTACCGTGCGGTATAAGTCATAGTATTCAAGTCTAGATCGGATATCTCCCTCACATAAGTCAGTTCCGGTATCGGCAAGCCCAACTTTTTGATAATCCAAGGCACATTTTGTCGACAAGTCAACAGTCTCTCTGTTCTCAAAACGTTTGTTTGTTGGTTGATTGTCCGATCTAGGACGTCCACGGCAATAACCTGTCTACTGTGATCATTTGGATACTTTCTCCAGTTGGCTATCGTTGTGATGCTGAACGGATGTGGAAGCTCCAGCACGTTCTGAAACAGTTTCATTGATGGATGTTTTGTGGTGAGGAGGCTTCTTCTATAGAGTTTATAGTGGTAAGCGAGTAGGTTCTAGTCGATAAAATACAGGTCTTGTTGTATACCTGATATCCAATCAATGGGAAGAGACAGCGAAAATTCTATGTGGCAAAATTGAGCGTCAACTTTCAATTTGTTTTTCTTGAGCGATTAGAGGAGAACTTACTTTGTTTGAAGCAATAAAATATGGGTATAAGAGGTCTATATCAGATATTATGTACTGGCACCACTCCCTGTGTCTGATTCCCTTGTCTGTCGAGTTGCCTCAGATTGAATTGAATTTGCAAGTGAGAAAAAGAAGTTCTCAGCAAATCTATAAACCCCACTTTTGGGGCTAGTCAAAATCGCTGGCGGGAGGAAACAACGCGTGAACATGCAGCTTCTGTCACTGGAACGAACAAAATCGAGGTGTTTATGCAGATCTGTCTTGAAATTTACCCGGTCCTTGAAAAACGGCCAACAGATGTTAGATCAACGTGTTCTCGGGTCAAAGTCTCGTTCAATCTCTGCCACACGTGTTCCGTCTCCTCCAACAAACCTCGTATCTGCGAATGCAAACTCTATTATTGTTATTACCTTCACTCGTGCCAATGCAACACTATACTATTCTAATGCTGGCCAAACACACGCAGGGGGTGTCCTTTACTAGTGAACACCCATTCACTCAACTCCATTTCATCATATCCTGCAAGAATTAGCCACATATACTTGATCATTTGATTCACAGCATCCGAGTCTGCAAATCCAGACCAATTGTTCTCGATGAGGTGTCCAGTGACTACTCCAGAGTGAGTTATGGTAGCATTCTTGAGACCAGTAAATCCATATGGTGTTTTGCAGTGTTTCAGTATGCTTTCAAAGATGGTCCATGCCTTTTCACGGTATTCTTGCTTTCCCGTTACTCGATACAGGTAGAATAGACTACATAAGAAGGGAAATGACGAGGTTGAAAGTGTTAGAGAACTGTTGTATCGTCTAGCGGGCTTTTTTGCGGAACTTTTCATTACACAAGCGAACCGAATGCGGTCATGGCCCCAAGGTTCTAAACAATCAAAATTACCTTTCTAGCGTGTCTGGCCTCAACCTCCAAGCAGGATCCACCACATCAAAGTCTCTACTATGTGTAGCATGTACAGCGGTTAGGGTAAACTTGACATGATCCGGTGCCAGCCCCGTCCAATGTCGTGTATACAATGCAATGCAAGTCTTGATAACATCATTAGCCGTCCTCAAATCAGCATGAGCTTTCTTGGCTCCAGCAGAATGTGGTTCTTCTTTAACGCCTTTACGACCTAACTGTCCCCAAGCACCCAGCGCCAACATTCCTGGTGCAGAGCATCCACTCTGATGCCATTCGCTATGTACACGTCCACCAGCAAATGTGGCAAAGAATGCGAGATGGGCTGGATACGATCTGCGGGATAGGAATTTACGGAAGCCAGTCATAGCTGTGTCGTATAGTTGGCGAGACTGGGATGCCTGCTGTTCTATATCGTCTTCCCCTGTTACTGGATATTTCTTGTGTACTCGTCCATCGTTATGTACATGGTGGGTTTCAGCACCGTGACCGATTTGCAGCCATTGTTTGAGTAGCGTGTCGTAATACGTATCACCGAATGCTTGGATGGTCATTACATCTGATACGAAAGCGCCTTTTTCAACATCTATAAAGGACGAATGCAAGCCGTCTACATTGGCAGGTTTCTTCATGGCGGCGATACGATTCATGACTGTTTGAGATTTACGGGCATATTTAGGATCACCAGTTCGATATGATAGTTGTTTGAATTCAAGTTGTATGCCTCCAGCTTCGGATAATACGGCTGCATTTGCCACAAATGTGTTTGTGTGATGACTGCCTGCTCCTGTCATTAGGTTGATTCTTCCATATGGGATTCTAACGACAGGGAGAAAAAAGAGGATTAGAATAGAGCATTCATGTGTGCTGACTTACAAGCGCATGCATTTACCCTGACGGAGAGTCAAAGGCAGGTAGCAGTACATCAGCTACTTCTCGTGCTTTTTGTAGAATTCGTTCGTCTCTTTTGCCGTTATTTGCTGGAATGAGATTAGACATCTCATAAGCTCCTAGCCAGCCTCCTAGGTGACGTGTAGCAAACTCATAGAAGGGCACTTCAACATCCTTTTCATAGTTGATTTGGAGAGCATGTTCAAGAGCTCCATTGAAAGTAGCTTGTAAAGCATCATCATGTGGCGATAGTAGTATCAGAGTATCCAGTGATTCCACAATCAGAGTGCTATGGAGTCGGATTAGCATATAAAAAGGAGCGAAAAACGGCCGTAATGCAAGTAAGGGACAGAAGTTCACCTGAAACCTCCCAGCGAATCAGTAGCAGCACCCGTTATAGGATGAATACCATCATGACCCATCCCACCGCTCATATAACTAGTCCACATCCGTTCAAACCCTTCAATAATATGACGTCGGCGTCCAGACCCATCTTGAACCACATCAGGAATCTCCAAGTGGCCAGCTCCACTTAGATGCGATATGGCATCCCGAACGGCATAATTGACTGATTGGATTGTATTATGAGTGACATCACTGATATCACCCATCCAGGAAGTGGCACTAGGCATCACTATCTTGCCTTCTGATATCGATCTACCAATGTATAATCCCACAATGAGCTGGAGAATGACAATACCGACGATCAGGATAAAGTATCTAGGGTCCGATGTAGCTGTATTGTGAGCTGGCGTGTTTGCTCCTTCGCCATCTTTCGGGTAGAGCTGACTTGGATTTGTTGGGATAGCTTTCTGTCTTCTGCGAAGATCACCACTCGCACCAGGTAGCAAGCCGGACATGTCTATCTACAGGCTAGATTCAGATGAATCGGCTAGTCTAAGCTGCCAGTGACCGATTGCTTAACGAGATCTGTCAATTTTTGGCAGATGTTGGTGGATGCAAGTTTTCGTTTTGTTAAAACGTGTTAAGAGTTGGAGATCGTGTGGTGTGGTGGGACGTACTGTATTGTATATGTATTGTTTTGTATGGTATATGCTATATGCATATGTTATGTGCAGTGTTGTCGTGTGTATGTAATTGCTTATACGTGGTCTTGACACCTTTGTGCGTGGTTTGATCTCCGATAAGAAACAACGCATTGAAGGAACAAGATTGAAGTTCAAAATGAATTGTGTTATTGAAATCCATTTTACTTTGTTTGAACGCTTATGACTTATGATAAAAACAACAAAATCGTCACTGACGAGGACACAAACAATCGTCACGACAGGTAGCGATCACAACAACAAGGCTTTTCGCCTAAGCTTTGGTACACACTTTCCAACCTTTGTGTTGGTGCCGTTACCAGCTGGCAGAGTGGTTCCTAAAGACAGACGATTTGGAATGTTAGATGAAATTTGTCTTTCTGTATAGAGCCTCATTTATCTGGCAAGATTTTTCAAAACCTTGTAATGGAAGCTTACCTCCTCCTCCTCCTCTGCCTCCTCCACCACCACCACTGCCGATTGGACCTCCACAAGCTAAACTTGTAAGATTTGGATAGTGTACGTTGATATAGTTGCCAGCGAGGGATGCCAATGTTTTAGGAACCTGTAGTTGAAAAATATTGGATGAGCTCATGGAATTTTGAAATATCGTGTGCGAAACAAGATACGCAGGAACGCTTTGAACTTACGTCGCTAGTTGCAGTTCCTGCTACACTAGGGAAGCTCATTGTGACCAATATGGCTAATTACAATGTTGGTTAATATACTGCGATTGGTGTAAGCATTCGAGCAAATTACATAAAGGCGTACCTCCTGTACAAGATCCAGTGTGCTAATGGGTGTAAGAAAAGCATTAGAATCATTTCCGTGCGTTAACAACCGACAGTGCGACTTACAATGTGCATTGGGAATGGACCCTGGCTTCCAACTTTGTTGAGACCCTGCACATTGGCTACGACTTGCGTGTTTCCACCGTTTGTAGTCAAAGTCACGACGCCAGTCACGCCAGAGTTCTTAGTCGATGCGAGGTTGACTAATTCTGCACCAGCAGGAATTTTCTTGCTTCCAGGAGCTGCGCTCGGTGCTGGCTTATTGGCTCCAGGACTTGGAAGAGGCTTTCCTCCTAAAACAAGGGTTGCAAAGGTCAATGATTGTTCACCATCCATCGACGGAACTCGTAAATGTAAATAATTAAATCTGGGCCACAACTTGCCTCCACCGCCTCCTTCAACGCCAATCGGGCCTCCACACGCCAAACTGGTAAGATTTGGGTAGTGTACATTGACATAATTGCCAGCCAGAAGTGCCAATGTTTTGGGTACCTGTAGATGAAACGAGATAATGAATCAGTTTCTGGAACCATGTGGTAACATGTGGTAGACTAATCTGTTGTCTTTGCACCAAACAATACAACCCAGGTAGGACCTACGTTGCTTGTTGCCATTCCTCCTAAACCAGGGAAACTCAATGTTTCCAAGATCGCTGATGAAAATGTTGATGAGTATGATACATCTGTGCAAAAGTCTGCAAGTTCCCGAACGGCGTACCTCCAGTGCAAGAACCAGTATGCTAATGAGGTTGAAGAAGTTGTTAGAGTCGCTTCCTTGCTAAAACGCAGTCAACGAAACTTACAATGTGCATTGGGAAGGGGCCTTGGCTTCCTACTTTGCCAAGACCTTGAATATTGGCTACGACTTGCGTGTTTCCACCATTTGCTGTAAGAGTGACGATTCCAGTGACACCGGAGTTCTTTGTAGACAACAGGTTCACTGTAACACTATATTCGATAGGTTTGGTTAGTGCCTGGCTCTGAAAATGTGTTGAGGCTAAATCTGGCAACGTCGGGAACCACGGGTTGTGATCCAACAAGAATCTGACTGTAATTCTCAGTAAGCCCAAGGTTATCGAGAAGAGGACTTCAGGGTCAATCCCAACAAAGTCCGAACATATTGTGAATTTGCAAAAGATGCTCAAAGGATTGGGTGACCGTCTGTTGTCGACCTATGCAACTCACATACCTTTGAACCGACAGAACGTGAAAAGCGGCAAGCAACAGAGACGAGATTCTGACGATTATCATGGAGATAGACGACGTTTGGTATTGGTATGATTTGAGGGACGTTCAAAAAGGAATGTGGGTGACAACTGTTGAACGGCGATTTTGTTGTGGTCGTAATAATTGTAGACCTAGTTGTAGCGACAAAGTGTGAGAGGGAAAAATCTTCTCAAATAACGATTCATTGCGTATAACTCACTAGCGCAGGTGTATTGTCCACATGCTTACGGTTGAGGTCATAGTTTCTCGTAAGTATCTTCCAGTAGATGTGTTTCAGCCAGTCCAATCGCGCATCTTCACACAAACTGGCACACAGACCATTGTCCACTGGCCTTCCGGGAGGCGTGCACTCCTGGACTGTCGTTCTTGTCAAACTGTGAAGCAGACCAAAGACTTGATGAATAGATAGACCACAGCAGTAAACTGATCCAATATCAAGAGTAAAGGCTCTAGAACAATTGATAATTTAGCAATCTAGTTCAAGCCTCGTCTCCAACGAGAAGGACCGCCGCCACCAACAAGAAACAATGTCGTCTTTACCAACTCATGTGCTTCAAGCTCCGAACCCGATACCATCCAGGCCAGACCTGAAATTTATACAGGCTGTGACCATGCAGACGCCCGAAGCAGTCACCCGCCAGGTATGTTCAACATCCCGTTCCAACTCTCAACATCAAACAAAAATGTGTGGATTTGCAATTTACTGAAAAACCCGCGCGCTTTCAATTAGATGTCATTGATGCAACTCACTAGAACTATATCGCAATTGAGTGACTTGTCATTATTCTCTCATGATATGCTTGCCGGTACCTTTCTCGTCTTGTTTTTCTGTTTCCTAGTCCTATCTGGAAAAGCAACAAACCATACACTTAAACCGTTCTAACCTCGTTCTCAATAGATCTTGTGGGCCAAACAGCTGCTACTATGAGAAGAATTCAGATAGTACAACAGCGTATCGAAAATTTGAAAACCACTGTGCCAGTAGTCGAGGAAATGATCTTTTCGGCTCCTCTTCAGGAAGCGTTACAATTAGAACGTACGTTCAACGTTGCAAACAGTGTCCGTCGCGAATCAAACAGAGAAACTCAATCCGCGCTCGTTTAGGTTTGGAATGGAAGTCCGATGCTGCAGTAGCCTGCAACTTGTTTACCAAACAGACTGAATCACCTGCCATCGCAAACCAGTACGAGAATTGTACGCCACCACCTCCTTTGGAATTGCTGGATGAATTTAGAAGTGATGGGCAGCCATGTATGAAGGTATCGTGTGTTTGATTTTGTCGGTTTGCATTTGATCCCAACTGACACAAATGACCCAAAACTCCAGTTCTTTTCGTATCCTGCATTCTTTATTGAGGAATGGACACTGCTCATGGAGAAAGAACAAGAAGAGAGAAGACAACGTAGGAAAGAAAAGAAGAAGGCAAAGGGTCAAGTGAGTAAACTCGTCCATTTTGCAACAGAACATCGACACTCACTGCCGTCACTTTAGGGTGCACAAAGAAACGTTGAAAAACGAGAAATCAAAGAATTGGAAGTCAAGAGATACAATTCGCAAGGAGAACTCATATCAGGTCCATCCGACATGCCAGGAGGAGCATCCACCGAATTCTACGATTCCAGCTCTACAGCATCAGGAAGTACTCGACGTGTCCTGCCCGTTGAATTGGCATTGGATAATCTCGTTAGACCTACTTCTCCATTCGGCGATTCCATGTTCTCACCAATGAGAAACGCTGGTCGTGGCGGATATCAAGAGCCTGGAAGAAATGGATTTGGCATTGCAGCTCCTCCACCGCCGCCGCCTCCTCCACCACCACCGCCAATGGCTGGTGGTGATGCTGAGACTAAGCCTAATGAAAATATGAATTTACTGAATCATATTCGAAGTGGACAAGTAAGCATCATAACGCGCTTACATGAATATACCATTGTGTTCCTGACATGAATTTTGCACGAACTTTAGTTCCAACTCAAGAAGGTCGAAGCACCAGTTGTCGCAGGAGTCAATGTCAAGAAAGCTCCAAATCCAACTAGTGAAGTGGCTGCTATTCTCATGCGTCGTGTGGCAATGGAGAACAGTGACAGTGAATCTGGTACGTTGGCTTTCTTGTACGTTGATGCTAAATGGCTTTCTTCTAACACGTGTTTCAAACACAGGATCCGATGACGGTGACGACGATGATTGGGATTAAGATTAGAGATTGTTGTTTATTTTACCATTTCAACCACCATGCAAGCCATCCTTTATACGTTAAATTCCAACAATACAGCCAAGTTTTTTCATCTTGAGTGTGAAAGGGGTATAATGCTTAATTGAGAGGAATCATGTCTGAGTTCCAACGCTAACGGAGCTGCTTTGCCTTGAAGCACGGAGTCGGTTCTCGATGCGGATGTCATCAAACACAGAGTTGCGAGAATGGGATCGGCTCCTATATAAACCAAAAATTGTTAATGCACAAGATAGGAACAGACACCGCAGAACTTTATATACGGCCTGGGAGAAAGACTTCCATCAAGTGGAGCTACATTAATCTGAATAAGTGGCTTTGAACATAAAGAAGATCGTCCCTGTGGCGGTGATTTACACGAGTCTTGTGCCTCAGCAGGCGATTTACACGAGTCTTGTGCTTCGGCAGAAGACGGCGACGACCGTTCTATTCTAGAAGAGATTAATAAAAAAGATCAAAATCTCGCGTACGTTTGATGCACACTCACCAAATAGGCCACAATTGTCAACCAATGCGATTGCGAAAACAAGTAAGACCATTGCTGTATTGCTGTAATTTGATGGGAGGTTTTGACTGTTTGTTATACACGAAGAGTGAGGAAGATGATGTTGACAGAGAAGGAGTGTTGAGTATTACACAGCGAAATATGCTCGGTACAGGTTTAGTTTTTTTCTGTTTTCGATTGTTGCAAACTTAAATTCTGCGTCAGGTTTGGGATGTTTGCGTCTATACAACGTAGTAGAATTGAGATCCAATAACATATGTGTATAACGGAAATATGATTCATTATTATCACAGTTACTGTTTATTTTGCTCCTCGTTGAGAAAAGAGGCGTTGCGTCAATAATGCTGAAGAACTTGTTTGATATGCTCACGACGAGGGGTCTGTTCTGAAAAAAGACACAAAGCGATGAAGCGGATGGCATAAAAACCATGGCGCTTACGTTACATGGGACCTGGATTGTCAGCTAATAATACGAAAGTCAGCAGCTAGTAGTACTAAAATTCATAAAGGTTTATTAAACACATACAGTTAGATTCAAACTTTGAAGACACGCATCCAGTTAGACAAGTTTCTGATAATTCGTCGTTGAACATGTTTCATTCTCCCTCAATGATGCTCAAACTGTTTATTTTGGGTACGTGATGATCCCAGCGAGTTCTGCGTGTACGACACTGCTTACTTTCACCAACAAATCGAATACAAAAATGCCAAAAGAACTTGAAGGGAAGAGTGCAATCGTGACTGGCTCGTCGCGTGGCATTGGAGCATGCATGCACGTTTCATTTCTTGTCGCCCTTTTGACTGCATCATGTTTGATTTGTTGCTAATTGCATTCTCACATAATTAGAGCCGTGGAACTCGCCAAAGAAGGATGCAACGTGGTCGTGAACTATGCTGGCTCAAAGGCTTTAGCCGAGGATGTAGTCAAACAGTGTCAGGCTCTTGGTGTGAAGGCCATTGCAGTGCAAGCTGACGTTGCAAAGATTGAACAGTCGAAGGCAATGGTGGATAGGACCATCAAGGAGTTTGGACGACTTGACATTCTAGGTAAATCAGGTTTGATACGTTTTGATGAAACGTGACTTGCAGGCATGGCGTGGGATTTCATCGGAACCGGGAAACGTTGCTTCTCAACATTCAAATCAGGCTTTCAGTGCTTTCCTACCATCTGAATCCCAAATTGTGAACAGTGTCAACCAAATCTAATGTTCAAATCCTCATTGTATAGTCAACAATGCTGCTTTGGGAAGTGGTGCTACAAATGGAAAGCTCGTTGACTTGACGCCAGAGAGATATGATGAAGCATTTGGTATCAATGCTCGTGGATTGTTCTTTATGGCTCAAGCTGCTGCTAGAGTGATGCAAGACGGTGGCAGGATAATCAATTTCTCAAGTGCCAACACGAGAATCTGTTCCCCAAACATATCAAATTGTGAGGTTTGTAAACGGGCCGACGTTGGTTTGACTATTTTAACGTTTTACAATCTATAGATGTAGGCACGAAGTCAGCTGTTGAGGGCTGGACTCGGGTCTGGGCTAACGAGCTCGGTGGTGAGTTGAAAATACATTCAGCATACTATTGCAGTATTTGATATTTTTTCCCCAGGCCGTAAAATCACAGTGAATACCGTCAGCCCTGGTGCAGTCGCCACAGACATGTTCAAGAACTCTGACAAGACTACCGGTGGTGCAATGAGTCGCGCTGCAATGTCGCAGACTCCTTTGAAGAGAATAGCTGATCCTATTGATATTGCTAATGTTGTGACATTCTTGTGCTCAGAAAGAGGATCTTGGGTCAATGGACAGAATCTTAATGTGGGTCTGGTTATGTTTATGATGGTTGTTTGAAGTTGTTGTTAAACGATTTGGTTTTGTAGGTCAATGGAGGGTTGGTGAAACTGTAGATCTAGTCACGAACTGAATCATAAACAGCATTTTCGCACCAGAGATTCGGTTAACATTGATATTTAACAGTTCTGCGATTTCGTTGTCATACTTTTTGGACGATCAGTCTGTCTAGTCCAAGGTGAATGAAACAGTAATCCACGTCATGTTCCTTGTCGCGAGATTAGTTCCACAGCCTCAGTCTGTAAGCATGCCTTCGTCAACGGGAGGACTTTTGCGTCGTACCAACCGCCAACAAGAACCTTGTTGTCCAAAACGAGCTTGAGAATTATGGCAGAACTAGCTGGAAAGGTAAGTCATTTAAGCGCGTTTCCTAAAACTTGCGACTCGAGGAACTGAAAAGTAGCAAATCCTCTCGTTACAAGAAGTAACACACTCTTCTCTTTAGGTAGCTATCGTGACAGGATCAGCTCGAGGAATAGGCGCTACTGTCGCAATCGAACTCGCTCGAGCAGGAGCAAACGTTGTCGTCAACTACACATCAACATCATCTGAATCACTGGCAAAGCAAGTCGTAGACGAATGTCAAACATTTGGATCTAAAGCTATTGCAGTGAAGGCAGACATTTCAAAAACAGGAGAAGGAAAAGAGCTCGTTGAAAAATGCGTGAAAGCGTTTGGGAGACTTGATATTTTGGTTTGTTGGACGTCTTTGTTGTTGTGATGATATTCTATGTTATGATGGACAGTATTTGACTCTACATTTGCACTCCTAAGGTCAACAATGCCGCTCAAGGTTTGTTCCTGAAACGAAAAGGCTGCTTGTGATGCGTCTCACTCCAAGAAAACATTGAATTACAGGTTCTGGAGCTACAGGAGGCAAGCTGGTGGACCTTACAGAGGAAAAATATGACTGGGCTTTCGGCATCAACACGTTAGTATAAGTCAATTGATTGCTCATCGAGCAATCAATCAGAGCAATGTTGTAAGTTTCTTTGGAAATGTCTACTCAAGGTGTGTTTTTGTATCGCGTTGCAGGAGGGCCCAATTCTTCATCTCTCAAGCTGCTGCTCGTGTGATGAAAAACGGAGGCAGGATTATCAACTTTTCAACGTAAGCTTGTTTCAGGGTGTACTTGGAAAGTCACTAAAACGAGAGTTGCACAGGGGTACGACAAAACTCTGTCCAGCCAATACAGTAAGTTCTGACCATTCGTGATTCAAGGTGTCGATATGACTAACTCACGCTTTCATTTATAGTCACTCTACGCTGTAAGCTTGCCCAACCAACCAAAAAAAATATATTTGAATCAGGATAGCTCATTTCTGTAAACATCTTATAGGCCACAAAGAGCGCGGTGGAATCATTCACACGAGTATGGGCCAACGAATTGGGTGACCGACAAATCACAGTCAACACCGTGTCTCCTGGTGCTGTCAACACGCTAATGTTCCAAAGTACTCTGAGCAAACAAAATACGGCGTGGGACTGGCCGGAATACTAACAAACGGTCTTCACATTAGAATCTAACGAGGCATCGGGAGGTCATATGCTCCAGAATTCACTAAATAACACCCCTCTGAAACGGATTGCAGAAACAATTGATATCGCACGTGCTGTTGTGTTCTTGGCTAGTGAACGAGGTGGTTGGATTAATGGTCAAAATATCTTGGTGAGTTGATGTAGTGTCTCGTGGTCATGCTCCGTTACCTTTACTGCCAACTCCTTGTACAGTCAAGTTTGTCATGTCTGATATGTCGCTGACTGTTGTGTTTTCTGGTCACAATTAGGTCAATGGTGGTTCTGTAAAGATGTAGAATGCTCTTCTATTTGCATTTCAGTGTAGATGATCTGTGTTGAAAATACCAACCCTAACGTGTGAGTTTTTTGCAAAAATTGTCCAAATTGATCCAACGTTTCTGAACTTCTAAAGCTACACCCGATGCTCCAACGTCCAACGTATCAAAGGAGGATTTCCTTGATCAATTCAAATATTTCCGTATTGGCGTTTTGAGGTCGACGTGGTGGAGTGCTGCGTCCCCTGAAATGAGCCACATCAAAAAAACGGCGAGCTCTTTCTTCGAAGAAAGAAGCTCTTTGCATCGCAACAGGTCCAGTCCTTCCAAGTAGAGTTCTCGTTCGATATATCTATTAACGTCCAGGAACTGTGGTCTTTCAGCTGGTACACCTTTTGATTCGCATCTTGGCAGCTCTCAAACCAAAATCCTAACATTTTTCCTACCCCCCACCACCAAATCTATCTTCTTCTAGCGGTCGCTCCAGGAACCTACTTACAAGATGGCCACGATTCGTAGATTCCAGATACTTTTGCTAGTGTCAATGGCCGCAATTGGGCAAGTTCACTCGCATGGGCTGTACACAGCTCTTCCGAGTCCGTTAGATGGTCCATATATCACACCGACGTCCACCCCAACATATGTAGACCCTGGTAAGAGAAGCATTCCTTTAAAATAGAATCGTTGGAGTGATTCGCCTAACTCTGTTGTGGTTTCGACAAACAGCGTCGGAATCAGCTCAACCAACAGACGCTGTGTCAACACCATCAATATCAGTCGAACCTACCTTTGTGTACATAACGCCTACGTCAACGCCAACGGATGATGAAACTGAACCATACATGACCCCTGTCGAGACGGCGACGCCGACGCCAGTGGAAAGCGCTACTGACTGTAAGTTCTTCAATACACGAATTGTGGACGATTTGATCTTAAATCTTCATTCTTTTAGATCCAGTTGCGACGCCAGTATATACTTCAGCCAGTGAGACTGCCGACGTTGGTAAGCTCTCACAGTTTGTCGACAAAACATCTCTATGCTGACAGACCACTATCATTCCTCCAGCATCACCAACATACGATCCAATCGTAACACCAGCATACACTACTGCAGCCTTTGGAATCACCTACCTTCGTATGTTTCTCAGCGATTGAGACACAAGAAGCGTGCGGATTTGCTCAACAGTCGTTTACTTTTTCCAGCATCACCAACATCCGATACAGGCAGTTTCGTCACTCCAACTGCAACAAACACCGCTGTACCAAGTACGATCACACCTCGTTTATTACTTTCAACAAAGATTCCTCTAACACGAACGCACAGCGCTAGAAACACCATACCCAACAGAAACAGCAGTCCCAACCGATATTCCAACCAGTGCAGTCAACGCAGCCCCTACAGAGGTTGTTGCATCACCAGACGCGGTTAAAGATGTTGCTGCAACCACTGCAGCAGTCGCTACGCCAACACCAACCCCAACCGACGAAGCCGTGAAGCCATTCTTTAACTGGTGGAACAAGCACAAAGCAGGACAATGAAAAGGTGTGTAGTAAATTGGATTTTGAATGAGGATGACGTTGTAGCTGACGTGTTTGTCATAGTATTTAGCCCTGACGTGACACACTTAAAGCCTCATCGTCATAAAGAGAGAAAAGAACACGAAATAACTCATATGTAAATTCTTGGAAGCTGCATAGTCGTATACCTTGTAGAAAAGGGGGAACTTTTGAAGGAAGGGAGAACGTGTTTGGCTGGAACAACATGATTTTCTTGGACACATGCCCTTGTTTTTTTTTGAAATAAAATGGACATTTAGCCTATTATTCTTAATGTGATAATGTGAATAGTGAAAACGCGTCAGGAGCTGTCCTTGTTGGTTTGCTGCCTTGAAAGTTTGGTTGGGCGGATGAATTGTGGGCTTTGTTTTCTGTGGTGTTATAGGATGAAGAGGCGATGCGGAAGGATCTGGCTAGTTCAGAACTGGGATTCGTCCATCAAGTATATATTGACACGTAATCTACTCCCCCTTCGTTGTGTTCCTTACTAGACTCTTCGAGAAACCTCCAGAAACTTGACATGGGGCTGAAAGTGACGTGACGACTCGAGTTTTTCTGCAAAGCTACGAAACATAGAAGGCGTGGATCAAACACCATATAACCAAATAGAAGGCGACACCAACCAGCATCCACACAAAACCTATAGCCAGCCATGGTTCGCATGGACACATATATAATGCCTGTTTATGATCCCTTTGAAAACGTTTTACTCGTCAACACGCATACCAACCATGTCATAACAAACAATGCCAATACCAACTCGAGTCGCCCGGTCAGCATACCGAATAGCCCTCGATCCAGACGCATACCCATACACGATGCCTCCTCGCCACGAAACCTGTCTCGATCAACCTCGACGGATTTATTCACCAGCACATTTCCATCACATGACAATCACAACATTCTAGCGTCATCGTCGGATGCATCGAATAAACGGATTCTCTCATCGTCTACCGCATCAAATATATCTATAAATGGTTTGAATCATCTTGGGTCAAGGTTGCTGCGGACTCCACGGGATGTATTGTTTGATCTGCTGGAGAGTGAAGACTTTATTATCAGGGATACACCTGGGTACGTTTTTTGTTTCTTATTCAGTAATATTTAATTGTTCCGATCGTTTTATACTGCTGTTTCATTATCTGCACGTGTCGTTCATAACACACCTCATACAAACACCAAACTTCAACAAACTAACCACACCTTTTCAATCTCTAGATCGGGTGACTGCCTCTTTGAAGCCCTCTGCGACCAGCTCTCCGACTCTGGCTACTCTCGAGCCAACCACCTCAAACTACGAGCCCTCATCGCTCGTCACATACTCATCAACCCACACATTTACAAGGATATAGTCGTCATGTCATCAGACGATACAGATAAAACAGACCAGGACGAGCTCTTCAATCGGTATATAACACGTATATCTACATCCGGAGAACTAGGCGATGCTATCTGTATACTCGCCTTTACGAGGTTGTTTGTGAGGGATGTGGTGGTACATGTCTTGGATAGCAAGAGCCAGGGGCTGTCGACGATGAAGTTTGAGGTGCCGGAAGATGTAGTTGGGAACCGTGCAAGTACGTGTCATTTGGGATGGTACCCGGGATCGGTCGAATCATCAAATCACTATTTTAGTGTTTTGCCACCAACGTCTTACTATTAGGGAGGGATGGACATTTATTATAAGTGGGGAGGGAGAATTAGAGGACTTTTTTTGGGGAGTGGGCCTGGGTTATAATAATAATTATCTTTTGGTACAAACAACACACTAGCTTTTTCTCTATTTTTGGGGATGAGTGTATATAGAAATCCTCCTTTGTCAAATAACCCCCATTCTGTCGCAACCATAAAACAATAATAAAATAGTATCACTGAAACTATCTATCTTGCGATAATGTTTACGTGTTAAGACAAGGCGTAATTTATACAACTGTTTAAAAAGACGTGAAGGACTACTTTGACAAGAAATCCGCATCACCCTTCTGTGCAAAAGCACGATTCCTCTTAATCATATCACTGCCACTAGTATTGGCGCTGTTATACACGCTTCTGTGCATGTCCATACTAAATCCTTGACCCATAGATCCAGACTCCTTCAATCTCTTTTTACGTGCTTCATCATCTACTGCATCTTCAGCCTGCTCGGCTTGCTTCTGAGAATAGACTCGTTGTTTACGTTCTAGTTCATGGGAATCAGCTGCTTCCATCATGGCTGCTATTTTGGCTTGTCGCTCTTCCTCCTGCTTCTTCTTGTACTCGTCATCTTTTGGTCGTTGTGGTTGTAGTCGTGTCGGTGGTGGTGGTGGTCTGTTACTATTACTATGATTGTTTCGATCATCGTATTGGTCTCGACGACTATAATCATCTCGACGAGGATAATCCCGATTAGAAGCCCCGTTTGTGTATTCTCGACTGCCCTTGTATCGATCTCGCCTGTCATCGTCAACAAGGTGTCCATTATTACTATTATTATACCGACTGCGGGAATCGTCTCTTCGTGAATCTAGATCAGCGGCAGCTCGTCCTGCATAAGGTGGTGGAGACCTTTCTCTTCTAGGAGGAGACCGTTCTCTCCTAAGGGGAGACCGTTCTCGCGTGGAAGGAGAAGACTCTCTCTTAAAACGATCCTCTATAGAATCAGACCTCCTTCTCTTCCTCTTACTACCACCATCATCACTATGATTGTCATCGTCATCATCCGAGTGATGTCGCTTCTTATCCTTTTTATGTTTCTTCTTCTTTTTCTTATCTGAATCATCAATGCCTAATTCTTCTTTGAGTTTCTTGGTACGTATGGGATTGGACATGACAGCCTGGATTGAAGCTTGTTCACGCTTCTTTATGGCGAGGAACGGGTCTTCGCGAATTTTGGATTGGGTGTCTCTGATGGTGTTTGCTGTCATTCCGTAGACTAGACGGGCTGTTGAGTCGAATTTATCGTTTAATGTGGCCTGTAGAGAGTGGGAGTATGTGAGCAAGAAAGTGGTGGGCCATAGATTTCTAGGTTTCTAAACATGCAAACCTCTGGAACAAGTTGCTGAGATTGGACAGCGGCATCTGAAAACTTGTCTACTCTCTTCTTTCCCAACAAGTAGGCTTCCTTTTCTTCAGCTACGAGTGAAGCGTTTCCACTTGGACCAGCAGCATACATCCAATCTAATCGTTCACTTCGTTTTCTAAGTAGAAGATAAACGCATGAGTATGCGTAGAGAAGTCATTAAAGGACTTTAAATAAAGCAATATATCTTTATTCTAGTTGCAGTACCTCAATCCAGCAGCCTCTTGCAATTCTTGCAATTCCGCCAATTGACGTTCCTCTTCTTTTTCCTTCCGTAGCTGGTCGAGCTTCTTCTTTTCGTCGTCGGCCTTGCGTTCCAGTTTCCATACTTTCTCGATATTCCTTAATGTCGCTGGATGCCATGACTTTTTCAGATTCTAAGTTTGGAGAAATGTCGGTGAGAATGTTGATGTGCCTAATGTTGTGTGTTTGTTGAATTCGAAGTAAAGGTGGACACTCAATGCACTAGCGGATGCACTATACTTACCAGATCTCCACCTCCCATAGCTTCTTATTCCTCCGCTCTTGGGTTTTGGACAAGATTTGAGGTTTTTAGTGGGTTAAGACTTGCACAGTCAATCAAGAAGCAAGACTATGAAATCAATTCAAGTCAAACATCCTATTTCCCATTTCGTGAATTCACGTAGAATCATGTCTCAAAATCGCGTACGGGCTATATCACAACGCGGCCAAATCAAGTGACATCAAATCCCTTCACATCATTCACTCATTTCGGGCAAAGGGCTGCGCTAAGGAGATAATTGTCGGGAATACGACTCCAGCCAATCAAATATCACGATTTCTTCAGTGACCCTGTGTTTTACCCTTCTGGAGATTATTTATTTGTCGTGTTTCTCTCAACCCAAAAGGCCCAACGCCGAATTGTTTAAAACAGAGCACTTTAATTTCTCGCAAAACGGGGAGGTTGCATCGTCAACGTTTGGTAGGGTGTTGTCGGCGAGGTCATTTTGTTGCTTTAGGGATTCATTTGTCGTAAGTGTACTCGTACCATTGTTGAGTTTGGCTCGTTGTCTACCTTGCCGGCGCATAACACGTGGTGTATCAATCATTCTTAGGTTTATATTATAATGTCTATACCTTCCAACTCGTCTGTGGACTCATTATTGGCTCATACAAGGCCATATGCTACATATCATCACCCCGATGTCGCGTTTCCTCAACCACCATCACAACAACCACCACATTCCACGTATCACCCACAGGCACACCTTTCTGCTCATCATCAAATGATGATTCCACCACGAGGTGGATATTCGTCTCATGTACATTCACCAACTCGCGTTCCCTATTCGCCAACCAGGCTCCCAACACCACCTAATGCCACTTCCCCATCTCAGCACTACTATACATCGCATTTACACCATCACCATGACCATCATCATCAGCCACAGCATTATCACAACCACCAGCCGCATCACCACTATGAGCCACATCATCAGTGGCAACAGCATCATCAACACCAGTCTTTAGCAACACGGACACCACCACCGCATCGCTACAATCCTTATTTCACTCCTCCGTCCTCCACATCTCCAACATCATCAGCGGGTCTTTCAGCCTCTTCATATGCACCATCAACACGAGACTCGGCATCGCCACAGGAGCGGTTGAACCCTTTTGAGCAGTCACCCTCTTCGTACGTGGCTTCAACACCAGAAGGCAACCAAATCGACGAACTAGATCCTACCTCGGCAGCAAACACTTTACTATCTCTTCAATTTGCTCGTGTGGAAGGTCCAGTGTCTTGGACAAAAGAGGACGCATCAGCACATCCTGTGACGACCACGGTTATTAAAGTCAAGGAACAGGTTTCCATTACGACCACCCAACATCACCAACATCGACACCAACACACGACTCATTTCGGAACAACTCCAAATTACGTTGCCGGATATGAACCAAGTCGAGAATCATTTTCGAGAAAGCTGATTGTAGCAAGCGCATCGGTATCTGCAGCTGCAAGTCCCAAGAAGGTCAAGAAAGTGATCAAGACCGAGATATTGGATGGTGTTGCAATGACAGCTGCTGAAATGAAGAAGGCACAGAGGAAGAATATACCTAATGGTAAGCAAATCTCCCTCTCTCAAAAAAAAATTTACACCTCCATGACAACATTCTCTCACCAAACTTTCAATTTCACAGCATGCACAAATTGCAAACGAGCACATCTAGCATGTGATTTATCCCGCCCATGTAATCGATGTGCGTCCATGGGACGAGACTGTACCGATGCAGTACACAAACGACGAGGTCGACCACGATTAAATGGTGCCGGTGGAATTTCGTCTTCGACAAGCGAGACATTGGATATGACTGCTCAAATGCTGGACGAGTTTGCATCTCGTCGTATCGAAGTTTAAAAAAAGCAGTCCCAAAGTTCTCATATAAACAAGCGTTATCTACAACTGCACACACATTTCTCATTCCAAAACCTGTACGTCCCAAAAGAGTTCCAAGTAATGTTGATGCCATATACATATACATGGTTTGCTATGTGCACTACTGTTATACAAGCTGCTATATACAGCATAATCTGCAAAATTCAATCAGTGTGTATGATATCATCAGCTGTAGGACAATATATAGCTGGGAGATTGGCCACATCAATATTTGTCGACTTTTCCTCCTGCTTCCTGAAGAGATTATTCCAAACTGATCTCGCCATAGTACTATGCGCCAGTCCAGATGGATGAAAGCAGTCTGCAGTAGACAACATATCCAATGGCCAAGATTTCAATTCAATACCTTCAAACCCCGGATCAAGTATAACACCAAATGATGGGTCGTCTCGTGTATACGATGCAACTACATTCCTGGCACGTTGCCTGTACTCGTAAGCCAAATCATCCATCTGTCGTCTCGAGTTGTCTTTGCCCAGGAATGCACAGGTACATTCAAAGACAAGTCCCCCAGCCCTCTTGGCTTGACAAGACGGGATATTATGTGTTAAGTCCCATACTTGTGATACATTGAATTGTAATATAACATTAACGAGCACTCGTGGAATATTACTCCTAATATTATCCAGCACAGACGTCAGCATTTCCTGATATTCGTCGGGGGTTGGATGGTTGTTGAATGCGCTACATCCACTACATAGATCGTTGGCACCGATAAGTATGTTGATGAGTTTGTAATCATGAACGAAATCAATGTCGTCGCGACGAAGGATTTCAGTTTGGATGTATTCTAGTTCTGTTTGCAGGGTTGCGACTACGGCTCCTGACAGCGCCCCATTGAGCCCGTCCTGGTTTACGTTGCGGATTACGGTTGGGCATCTGTCTGATGTGCATATTTCGGCGACTTGGCTGCCTAATGAGTTAATAAAAGGGCCCGTTAGATACTTGTGGTTGGACAGTTTCGCTCTTTTGGCTGCCATTATCAGCAACGAGCAACACTCAGTCAAGATCGACCACTCGTTGCTTCATGAAGCGCCTGCTAACACAACATCGAACACAAACCTGTTGATGTTCCAACGAGTTCAGGTTGAAAATGACGTATCAGATTGGCCACTGTCACAGCATCCGAGTCACCTCCCATTGAAAAAGAGATCTGGATCCATCAGGCAAAGATTAATATAGTGTTCTTGGAGATCAAGATCTTAGTCTAGAACGTAGACTTACACCGCGATCTTCAAGAGGTATGACACCTAAAGGTCGAGTATTCTTTGCGGCAAAAGCAGCGGTCATAGAGTCTCCCAAAGCAGCTATAACCTTGAAATCTCCAATGTTGAGCGCATGCACTGATGTTGGTGCAGCTGATCTGCGATCAAATGTTGGGCAGAAGTGCCTGAAGGAGTATTGCAATGGTCGTGCAGTAGATAGACCCAATAAAGCAGCGAGTATAAAGCAATACAAATGCATCCTTTGAAATGTATATGCAACAAGTGAGCTGTATTCCTGAAAAGACAGAAGTTTTAAAGTCAGCTGTCAGGTGTCCCAATCAGGCAGTATTAAAGCAAAGAAGGTTGGTAACAGTCTCTCAAATATGTTTCAACTTGCCTGTATGAGTTCACCGCGACTTTGATCTCACTAATGTCTTGTTTATTCGTGAAAATAGTGTCGATGTCGATTCAAGGGAACTCAAAGACTCAAACAACTTACTGAAACCAGGCCCGTTGAATCAACTTATATCATTCTTTACGTGATATATCTGTATAGGGTCTCAATACTCCTTCCTTGTCGTCAAAACATCAGCACAATCCAACAACATTAATTTCTGTTGCCTCGAGTGTGAGGAGAGTCTAGGACGAAGGCTAAAGCTACTATATCAAGTCAACCAAACAAGAGCATCAATCTGGATCATAAACGCAGAACACCACTCTTTGAAACAATGTCGGCATACGGGCACTCGCCGAAGCAACAGCCAAGATCTCCTCGGCCACCTGTAGCTCAGTCAGTCAACGTCGTTTCGAATTTACCAGTAGAGAAACGTAGAGCAACATTAGTGAGCCACGATGATTTCTTCATCAACGAACCAAGGAGACTACCGGCTGCACCGCTGCCTCTAGTGAATGCCCAAGGACGACCCAAAGTCTCTAGAATTCTTGGCCCTCCAGCACCTCCGATGCCTCGAGACTCTAGATTTTATGATTTGCTGCAGAATTTAGATGTAACGAGAATCACAAATCGAGTATTGGCGTGTGGATTGCCGTGGAAGAATAGATCCGAGAAGAAGAGTAGAAGGAATAATGTTGAAGAGCTGGGTGTGTTTCTTACAGCTAGATATGGGAAAAAGTATATGGTCTGGAACTTGGCCGGTGCGTATCAAACGGTGATTCTCCGTTTGAAAAAGAGTGATTTTCGCTAGAAAGAGAGTGACCCAACGCTGAACTCATTCAAATGATTCTACAGGTGACACGTCTCCTGGTTATGATCCCGCACCACTCGATAATCAAGTCGTATCGTTTAGCATGACGAAAGCATATCAAATGAGCCTAAAGACCATATTCGATATCGTGAGGTCTATATCCTCATGGCTGGCCATGGACGGCGGGAACGTAGCGATAGTGCACTGTACGAATGGATACTCGAGGACGTCCGTAGTTGTAGCCTGTTATCTTCGATACGCAGACTTGTTTGAAGATACAGCCGAAGCCTTTCAATACTTTGTATCTAGACGAACACCAAACGATGAATCATGGATTACAACGTCACAGCGCCGATATGTACAATACTTTGAGAACATATTACTATTGGAGGGTGTACCGCCCAACCCATCGCCATTAAGATTACATCGAGTCATGTTGAATAGCATACCGAACTTTGATGGAATGGGTGGCTGCCAGCCTGGCTGTGAAATCTATCAGGAGGGCAAACTGATCTACTCTACAGCTATGCCTGGAGCTCAGCACGACGGAGACGAATTACCACCTGTATATAGTGATGGCTACCACATAATATTCCATATAACTCGGAAACTGCCGCTTGTACTCGAAAAAGACATTGCTGTACGAATCTTTCATTGGAGTGATCCAATCCGCAACCCGTCTCAGCTGACGACTATGGCTGGATTTAGTTTCCATACTGGATTTATGCCGAATGGACTTATAAGAGTAGCCATGCAAGATTTAGAGTTGGCGAAACGAGATATAGATGAGGGGAGATTCTCGACTGATTTCTCAATGGATTTGATATTTAGTGATTTGAGTGATGGGGATATTTCAAGCAGTGAGGCTAGACCTGTTACGTATGTAGACCACTTGGATCGAAGATTGTCGAAATGTCTAGTCAGACTCGTTAAGTATCATCATGTAAAAGTTGATGAAGGGTTACTCAAGTCATTAGAAAAGCTGGGGAGTACCAGAATAGTGGGTAAGTTGAGTCTACTTTTTTCCCCATCGCAAACGTTATGGTCTAGGCAAAGAAACCAACATCTCTGGAAGATGTATTGAATTTACCATAGAACTCACCATTACCCATATCTAGCTTCTTTGGCATTACAACGGACAAACAACAATATTCATGACGCTCATGAATACATATCGTCAGTTTTAAACAAGTCTAGTGCTACTGCAACCATCACCAAGGAATTAGCACAAATGGGTCGTGAGGTGTCGTATAGAATGAGGCTATCTGATTCACCCGAACCAAAAGCTTCAAGGACAATACAGGATCGTCCAAATCGAGGCAATTATCATCCTGCGCCATTAAGAGCAACCACTGATCGACCTGACTCCCTATATACGATCGATGGTGCTGAATCAGACTATGGTTATAACAACAATAGCAGTAGTAGCAGGGACAATTATGATCAAGCCCTGCACATGAAGTATAATAGTATCATGTCAGAGACGGCTCCGTCTAGGCCACAAAAAGATGCTCGAAGAAGAGGAGATGATGATCGATCTAGTGTGTTCTCATCTAGTTCTGCCGGGTCTACAACGAATGTTAAGACTCGGAAACTCCGGGAATTATTAGCAAGAGCTAAATGGGATGATTATTTAGCTCCAGAAACCAAATCAGCTTTTGAAGGTTTGGACGAATCACAGCAAGCTGAAGTGCTTGAATCCGCCGTGAGAAGAGCACGAGAATCCTTACTGCTAATGAATGAGGAGGATGCCAATTATGGATCGTCAAGTTATAATAATACCAGCAGTAAAACTAGAGGTCGAGCGGATTCCGAGACAGTCGATGATATGATTGCCGCATTATTAGCATCAGCACGTGGAGAACGTACCCTCAATCAGGATTTAATAGAGGCTGCATCAGCAGCAGCCAAACAAGCTGAATTGTATGGTGGCTCATCTAGTGATGTATTTGCGGAATTAAAGGCCAAAACGGCTAGACGAACGAATAGCTCTGATGTGCTCGACCAAGATGAGATTGATCCTACAGCATCATTATCTAGGAATAAGCGGAAGAGCTTTAATAATGGCGTGCAGGATATGTTGCCCATAACATCACCACAATCGCCATCTAGTCGTGATGCCAGTATACCGCCACCACCACCTCCTCCTCCAGGAATGGATGGTTTTGGCGGGCCACCACCTCCTCCGCCACCTCCTCCTGGAATGTTTGGAGGTCCTCCCCCGCCACCGCCACCTCCAGGAATGCCGGGAAGTGCACCTTCGTTACCACCTGCAGATGCTAAACGAGTGCGAGCTAAATTGCATTGGAACGAAATTCGTGATAATTCCGTCCTCGCAGGTTCTGTGTGGGCTGATTTAGGTGATCAGGGCGATGATTTGTCGTTGGATGTGAAGAAGTTTGAAGGTAAATTATCTGTATGTCATGGCAGACTCGTTTTTTGGTTTTGTCCTGACCACCATTTTGCGTTTTTAGAGCTTTTCGTAGTTACCAATGATAAGAGCAAGGCCAAGATTGAAGTAAAGCCAAAAGAGACCAACAAGTGCGTATGCAGCGAGATCCCCGATGACTTTTTTTGTCTTGCCAATTTTGACCTCTATTTCACATTAATAGGTCACCCGTGTCGTCTGTATTGGATATGAGACGAGCCAATAATATTGCTATTGGAATGTCAAGATTCACTAGACGCGGACTGAATGCTGAATTAATTGTAAAAGCATTACGAGATCTGGACGAGTCATTACTAGATGGTGACGATTTGATTGCACTCGATCAACTCATGCCAACACCACAGGAACGGTCAATGTTGGAATTATATATCTCGTCTGGTAAAAGTGATCAAGAACCACTATCACCACCCGATCAATTCTTAGCTGATATGATGAAGGATAAGGATGTCACCATGTATAAAGCTGCCTTCATGTTCAAGGCATCATTGGATACAGATGCCACCGATATACAGGCTAAAATGTCCAAGATGACAGAAGTCGCTGAACATTTGAGACAATCAGAGAATCTGAAGACTGTATTAGCTTCTGTCTTGAAGCTTGGTAATTTATCCAACTATGATTATGGGGCATCGAATGAACGCCATGCTCCTGCACGAGCCCAGGGGTTTAAGATTGAAGCACTAGCCAAACTGAAGGATGTAAAATCAGCTGATCGAAAATCTAGTATGTTGACATTTCTAGTAGAGAATCTGCGATTAAGTCGCCCCGACGTATTAGATATAGCAAATGAATTTGCCGATCTAAAAGTAGTACGATTTTACGATACTCGGGAAATCGCTGGTCAACTCGGTCAACTCGAAAGTCAATTGAATGGAATTACGAATTATAGATGGGCATCTCGTGAATATAGTGACAAGATTGCCCCCTCTGTTGAAGAATGGAAGAAACGAATCTTATTCATACGCGATCAACTAAACACCTTTAAGGTCGCATGGACGGATGCAGTCAAATACTTTGGTGATAATCCAGCCGACTATCAGCCACTATATGATAAACCACGTGGTGGAGATTCGTTTTCGAATAGTGGGAAGGAGCCCAGTCATTTATTCTCAACGTTGGATTTGTTTTTTCAGAGCTTTGCTGAAGCTGTTGCTCTTGATAAAAAGAGGAGGGACGATGCCGAACGGGCTATAAAGAGAGAAGCTGCGAAGTTGGAGAGGGAGGCTACGTTAGGAAGAAATCGTGGGAAAAGTGCTGGAGAAAAGACTTTGCCAATGCATGGTTCTAGTAAATCTGTTGATTTGGTTGGTGGTGGTGGTCAATCATCGTCTTCTTTAAATCAGCCTGCTGAGTCTAGTGGTCCAACTGGCAGTAATAATGGTAACAATAACGTTAGCCGACTACAGCCGCCACTGCCAGAGCCTGAAGAAGTAGTGGAACCTCGTCAAGATGATGAAGATGAGATATTTAAGAGAATTGAAGGTTTGGGATCAGATCCATATCAGAAGCTGGAGGTGCCTGGATTGTGTCCTAACTGCTGTGAGTATCCTGTCGCAAAAAGTGCGTTTTTTGCTCGTTGCTCACACGCTCGACCTTATGTTTAGATATGCCATTGGAGGATTGTTTTGTAAGTGTACATTGATGTTCCTTTCATGTCTACTGGTCAACATTGGAACTAACACGTTCTTGATCGTTTTAATAGTGCACATTCTGATCAATTTACTGTTTTACATCACACATACCCCATATAAGCAGTTTGTACCATATCAGTCACAATAGCATTAAAAGTTTTAAATGTAGTGGTAAAGCCAATCTTCGTGTTTCGCTCTCTCGTCATCTGATTTGGCAGTTTCTACAATGAAACGCCGTGTTTGAAACAGGCGCAACTTGGAGACCACAGCACGTTGGCTGCTGCTTTGTGAAGATCGCTAATTTCTGAGCGATGAACTCCGGCTTTCTGGGATGCTTAACTGTCTCGAGAGTTTCTGCCACTGGATGTTTTAGAATTCAGCAACAACAGTTATTTAGTTCCATATCGCATTCATGGTTGAAAGCTGTATTTAACAGGTAAATTCATAGTCGATTTCGCCGTTGAATTGCTGCTTTGCCGTGATTGGAACTGAAAGAAATCCAAACATTAACTTTCAACATTCGTGTTTTGCAGATCGCACTTTAATCCAACATGGAGGAGAGGTATTTTACGTGCTGAACGAGCTCAATACTTATTGGAATGCTGACTGAATCCTGCTCAATTTTAGGCTTCACTCAAGACCACTCTAGATCACGACATTCCCCCTATAACAGCCTCTTCAAACTCGGTTTCGCGGTAATCCTACCATCTGCCACACTCGCATTCGCATACCAGTCATATACCAGCATATACGCTGAAACCAGTAGTCTGCAGCGTCAAAAACCATTACTAGAACTCAAACCTATTACAACAAACGAGCACCTTGATGACGATGATTCGCTCCACGATCTAGTAGAAGGAGGTGTCAAACCAGCACTAGACCCATCGACATCATCAACGTTAAAAGAGATTGCTAGAGCTGTAGCTCCAGATTGGGCATTATTGTTAGCCATTGTGTCTGTTACGGTTGCGAGTGCTGCATGTAATATTTTGACGCCTGTTGCTATTGGAGAGCTGGTTGCTGTTGTGCAGGGACTGATTAAAGACGGTGGTGGTGGTGCGACGGATTTGCAGGTTTTGAATGTGCCTGCGTTCAAGTTGATGGGGTTGTTTGCTGGACAAGGTACGCATACGATCTTCAATTCGGCAGTATTTTTTCGCCTTCTCTGTGACCCAACGGACTCATTCTGGAACCCTATTCTTTCTGCTATAACGTAGGACTCTTGACATTCATCGACGTGGCACTAGTATCACGTCTTGGTGAAAATCTTGCAACGAGACTACGATCAGACTTGTTCTCGGCGGTTATGAAACAAGAAATGGTGTGTTGAAAAGATGGAAAACAAAACCATCCTCGGACTTTCGCTCACGTAGCCCTGTTCGTTACTTACATGCATCATTTGCAGGGATTCTTTGATAATCACCTACAAGGCGAAGTCATTGGCCGTCTAACACAAGACGTTTCTGAATTCAAGCATACATTCAAACTATGCATAACTCAAGGCCTGAAATGTATAACTCAGCTCATCGGATCTGCCATCCAACTGTGGAGACTCTCTGCGCCATTGACATGGACAATGATAAAGATTATGCCGATTATATACGTCGGGATGAATTTCTATGGAATGTTTTTGAGAAAGATATCGAAGTCTGCGAGGGTTGGTGACTCGATTGCTAGTGGAGTTGCTGGCGAAGCCATTTCCAATATACGGGTCGTAAGGTAAAGCAGCGTTCTCGTGCAACTGGAGTTTCTGCAGGTGACAGCGGGACCTCTTTTCTGCTAGGGCATTTGCAGCTGAAGGACGAGAAGGAGATCGGTATTTGGAGGCTGCTGAATCATCTGCATCGTTGAATACGTATTTGGGATTTCATATTGGATTGTTCCAAGGTATTACATGTCACTGTTGGTCTTCAATGTCCAATATATAATTCGTTCGATCCTCATTTGTTTTAGGGTTGACCAACACGTCCATTGGCTTCATGATCCTCTTTATCCTGTATGGAGGTGGTGCAAAAGTGGCTCAAGGTGAGTTCTGCAAATAATATATATCCGGTCACTGCTCATGGTTTCTCACTGACTTTTCAAGGTGAAATGTCGGGTGGTCAATTAATGTCATATATGGTGGCAACTCAGAGTGCTCAGCGATCGGCCATGCTCGTTGGAGCGCTGTTCGGCCAAGTTGTCAAAGCTCTCGGCTCTGCTGCCAGAGTATTTGAATATATGGAAAGACAGTCAAGTATACCCATACAAGGAGGTCTGAAACCTGATAGCTTTAGTGGACATATTGAATTTAGAAATGTGTCGTTTGCGTGAGTGCCTTTGATCAGCGCACTCCTCGTTATGGCTTGCTCTCGTTGTTTTTTGATCTCAACTCATCAACTTGAATTGATTGTAGATATCCGACACGTAAAAATCAACTAGTTCTACAACGGCTCAATCTAGAACTACCTATTGGCAAAGTCGTCGCACTTTGTGGTGCCTCTGGTGCAGGAAAATCTACCGTAGCTCATTTAATTGAACGATTTTACGATCCAGATTCTGGAGATATACTTCTAGACAATATCAGTCTGCGCGATCTGGATCCAAGTTGGGTTCGTCAACAGATTGGGTATATATCTCAAGAACCGGTGAGTTCCTTGGGTTTGCTTTTGGGCGGAATCTGTGCAAAGCTACAAAAACAGAGACAACAGTATAGGAATTATTGATGTTCAGCATCTTGCGTTCTGCCATGACTAACGTATTTACCCTACCAATTGTTTCCATCATTTAGGTTCTGTTTGCCACCTCGATATTTGAAAACATTCGGCAAGTACATCTGTTTGTAGTATAAGACGTAGTCTGGATATCTGTTACACAAAACTCGTCATTTTGGCTGACTCGTTCGACCCTTAATCAGATACGGGAAGCCGAACGCTACAAGAGACGAGGTTGAGATAGCGGCTAAAAAGGCGAATATCCACTCCGTCATTATGTATGTTACGCCCTTTTTTATTATCGGTACTCAGTCGATATGATACCTTTTCGTATTTGGGGTACGATGTTCACATTTTCACCAAAAAATAGGACCTTTCCTGATGGATATGATACGCTGGTTGGAGAGAGAGGAGCAAGTCTGTCTGGTGGCCAGGTACTTTCGTCTTTCGCCATTCATTGTTTTTCGCCCCTCGTTTTTCTCGCCAATTCTGATTTTCATGCCTTTCATTGTCGAAATAGAAACAAAGAGTCGCAATTGCCCGTACGTCTCTCTTCACTCTCGGATCTGAGTCTTCTGATGGCTGATGGTATCTCTACATCAATTAGGAGCGATATTAAAGGATCCAAAAGTGCTTATATTAGATGAAGCGACAAGGTATGACCATTGTAACAAGTTTGAACGTGAGAGGAATTCAGCTGAAGGCCTCATATATCGTTTTATTAGTGCTCTAGACTCACAATCCGAGAAATTGGTCCAAGACGCTTTAGAGAAGATCATGATTGGGCGTACCACTCTTGTCGTGGCTCACAGGCTTAGGTATTTGAACCCTTTTTTGGCAACATTACAGAGCGCTGATTACAGCAGTGCTATCAACTCTGATTTCAGGCGTGTCCGACATTGTTTGTGATTTACTTGGCCTAACAAGCTTTTCAACTGCTTTTTAGTACCATAAAGAACAGTGATTTGATTGTAGTCTTGTCTGCTGCTGGTAGAGATAAACGAGCGGATGGGAATGTTGTAGAAAAGGGTATGACTGTTGTTGTTGTGATTTTGAAAGGCAAGCAAGAGTCGTTGAATTCATGAAAAACAAATGTATATAGGCAACCATGACGAACTCATCAAGAAAAAGGGTGCATACTATGATCTCTATTCAAGGATGGCTACCGCAGATGATGGAAGGTGAAACTGACAAGGCGATGTCCTTGTTCCAAAGTCTCGTCGTTACTAGATGGATGTTTTACCTTGTATGGAGTAAATCTGCTTCCATTAATAATATACAATATAACACATTCAATTTGAGCTAAAGTGCTGAATTCAGGCTTGTTTAGCGATTCGCGTCATTCTTTCCAACAAATAAAGGCTTATAGCAAGACAAAGTCGATGGCAAAAACGCAATGTCCAATACCTGGATATCAAAGCTAGTAGAAGCAGGTGCATACATTCATGACGGACTCCAGATACAAGACTTTCCTGACACTGGACGTGGAATTGCAACAAGTTCAAAATTGAAACATCGAGAACGAATACTTCACATCCCAGCCCATTTGACATGGTCTATCGATTCTGCCCGTGCTGATTCGAAAATCGGACATTTGATTACTGATGAAGTGTCGATAAACGATGCAATTGCCTTGCTGTTGTTGCATCATCGTTCCAAATATTTGGCAGCTGAAAAAGACGATGAAGAAGGTTGACCGAAGTGTTGCAGATGTTGGCGAATGTGATTTTCGAGCTGAAGCCAACTCAAATTCTCAGCTCTAGATTGGAGGATGCTTCACCTCAAGCACCTCCCAAAAGAATACTCAAGCACTCTCACCTTTGACTCAGACGAGCTCGCTATTCTTGAAGGATCAGTAGTCTACAGCACCACAAAACTGCTAGAAGATCAGATTGCCAATGATTATGAAGTGCTATCTCGTACAGTGTTATGTCACAAGGATTTGTTTCCACCTTCTTGTTGTGCGCTTGTTGATGTAAGGTTCTTGATCTACTTTTCTGGATTGCGCGTTGACACTGATTATTCGTTTGTTAGTATAAATGGGCTCTCCTTACAGTATATAGTCGATGCATGGACAATGTGAATCGAGAAAAGGATCGGAGGATGGCACCGTTTGCAGACATGTTTAATCATAGTGAGGAATCCGAGGCCGTTCATATGGTTGATGAGACTGGTATTACCGTGTTTGCGTCCAGAGATTATGAGTCTGGACAGCAAGTGAGTATCTCAGTTGTAACTTCGACAACATTTGTTTGTCGAGATTGATCCATTTTTGTCAGGTATATATAAGCTACGGACGCTTTGGAAATGAGAAAATGCTATGGGTGTATGGCTTCATAATAGAAAACAATCTACGAGACAGTTATCCTCTCGTACTCCACACGAATGAAGAAGCAGATCTATACAACGTCAAATCAGACTTGTGGAAACAAGCGAATTTGACACCAACATCAACAATCCCCTTAACTATGTCGAATCCTCTACCAGTTGAAATACTTCAATATCTTCGAATTCAACGGTTTAGGCCCGAGGTTTACGCCACGTCACGGTCCCAACCACCGTTTCGACAACTAGTTAGCTATGAAACCGAACACAGCATATTGGCGGACTTGAAATCTGCATTTCAAGGACTGCTGCAAGAGTTTAGGCCCCGGGATGAGTTACAGAGGATTTCAGAATCTGGTGCCAAGTTTACAAAACGATGGATGGCTGCCGTTACTGCGTCGAGTCAATATAATATCCTAGTAAAGTCGCTAGAGAAAGTTGAAAGAGAGATGGAGGTGTTACAATGTGGGAATTGTGGGAAGGTGGATGACCAAAACAAATACTGTAGTCGATGTTTGAAAGTGTTGTACTGCTCGAGAGAGTGTCAAAAGAAGGCCTACAAGGAACATAAAAAGACATGTGTGGCTCCATAAAACTGTAACTTTAGAATAGAAAGATGTTTTGCATGCTTTGGCTTTGAATGGGGGCATGTTATATACACGAAATACGACATTGTTTTATAGATATACTACTTAGCAAATATCCAAAATCAACATCACAATCTTTACTAAATTGAATTAATCACGCTGTCTACTACTTACTCTGCAAGATTGTTGGTCAAAATCCCATCAGTCAATATCGTCATCCTCATCTTGTTGTTGTTGTGGTGGATGCCCATAAACTTGTGCCGGATACAGCTGTCCACTAGTTGCAATATTCGTATACGATGATGGCAGCGGCAATGGTGGTGAAATTTCTACAACATGAGAAACCCGATTCGGATTCTGACTTTGTGGGTACATGGACCGTCCACTTCGAGGCCTTCCAGGCGCATTCAGATGTATCGGTTCAATTATATCTGCTGGCAGTCTACTTCCTACAGATCGAGATCTTTTTTTATCACGGGTTGGCGGTGATGGTGGATTTGGTTCCCTACTAATAGGTGATGGTGGTTGTGACGATGTCGTTGTTGGTGATTGTGGATAAGGTGGCTGGTATGGCTGGCTTGTATAGTTGCCTGGGATTCCATTGGGTAAGAATCCATACATGTTTGTCTGTTGCCATGGCAATGGATGGAGTGTATGGATGTGTGTTGGCGGTAGTATAAGCTGTCTAGTAGCTGAACTATTAGTATTATATGATGCGGCATGGAAAAATGATGACAATTCTGGTGCCGAATGGAATGTCGGTTGTTGAATCGGTGGTGGCATTGGGATTGACCAGCCAGAGTATGGCAAGAATGGCGTATAATACGGGTATTGAGATATTTGGCGAGGTGGCCGGTGCTGTGGGGGATGATCATAGTGTGGTATACTGGAAGATAATTGTCGGTGGTCGGTCGCTTCTGCGATACTACTATTACCAATGGACGCAATCTGCGAAGACAAGGTGGTTTCCATATCACCAGCATCAGCTAGAGCTGAATAAAAGCTTTCATCAGAGTCTTCTGTACTTGCTGTAGTCGTTCTACTCCTTCCTCTTCTTGAAGGTTGAGAAACTGCTGAGGTGTGTTGTTGTTTGCGTTTTGAGCGTCGGGTACGACCATCATAAACTGTTTCTTCCGACTCAAAGTCCTGTCCTTGTTGCTGCTGTTCCATCATCCAATCCTGGAAATCTACCGGCATTGAGCTGATATGCACATTTCTATCGTATCTACTATTGCTTGATGGTGAAATTGGAGAAATTTGCTCGTCTTCTCCTTCACCTCCTCCTCCTGACGAATTACTTTGTGATGGAGACGTCCTAGCTGTACTTGTGTCGAATCCATAAGCGCGTAAATCAAGGTTCAGATTCTTGGCATGAGTTCTGAAATGCTGTTTGTATTGAAAGTGTTGGTTTTAACCTGCCAGTTGTGTTGACAAAAATTAGGATCTCACCGCCATCATATTATCCTGTCTAGCGAATTTTGCCGTGCATCCTTTGATGAAGCAGACATGCGGTTTCTCGCCAGAGTGAGCTCTCGAATGTCTTCTCAAGTGACCACTACATCAATTGCGAGTGAGACAAAGTAACCACAAACCGCTAAATGTTCCCACAATTAATCACCTGGTAGTATACCCTTTCAAGCATCCAGGATACTCGCATATGTATCTTCTAAACAATTTTAGCACGTGTGTCGGAGATCAGTCATTTTGCCGACACGGCGTACCAAAACTGTACAGCAGAATCATGCAGACTACCTTTTGAGTTCGGGATCAGGAAATTGCTCTTGCTTTTGGATGTGTTCAAATGTTGGCAGTGTATCATTGTCAGCAATCGGCTGATGCCGGTGCTGCTGGTGTTGATGCTCTTGTTGCTGATGCAGGCGCAAGGAATCAGATTGTAATTGTAGCAAGCTGCTATAGGAATTTGAGAGATAGAGAGGTCCAGAAGTGGTTGGTATCGTCAGACCAACGGAAAGGCCAGTGTCACTGTTTAAGCCTGGATTTGTTTCCATTTCGTCAGCGACTTCATCATCATCTGTGAAATTGTAGGGGTTTAAATTGAGATTTGGTATCGTCATTTTTAAGGCTGCCAGCACTCCTCAATAATTATTATGAATGCTAGATGCTCTCGTGTTTTGAAAATCGTTTTTGGGAAATTGCAACAACATTCTTGGCTAAGCCTGCGTCCACGGAAGAGACAAAGAAACCGAAACCGGGCGCACCGAGACAGGACCCAAAAATAATGATCATATCGCACTTGCCTCAGAGCCTACGACTATTCTGGTCTTCAACGTGACAATCTTGAGCTCGCGTTCGGAAATTCTTTGGTGCGGAAATTGCGGAACTGAACACAAAAGCAAATTATTTTGGCAACCTAAACAACAAGTCACATAGTCCTCCTTCAATTCAATGCAAATAAGAGTTCCATGTTACAATTACAAAGGTTGAAGTTTTACTTATTTATACCCTATGTTTTCACGCCTCACATTCGTTTATAGTCCCCATCTCCGTGCTAAAGAAGCTAAAGAATTCCTAACTAGTTGTCTCCTACAATGAAGCGCTGTGTTAGAATCCATCTCTTGTTTGACACCAAAGCAGCAAACAGAAAAACAACCAGTCGTGACACACACTTACAACTTCCATTCCCATATCTTCATCATCTTCATCAGGCATAGGACGCCTCTTTGCACCTTGCATGAGTGTTTGTTCTGGGGTATAGTTCAGAGAAGCAATGTTTTCACGCGCATTGTATATAGGTTCATATTCCTTCAATTGCAACTTGAATTGCTCAATAGGATTCATACAAAACCTCTGTTGATGTTCGGGTTGTAGAGTGTTAGGAATGCACTGCTTGACATAGTTCACGCATCACAGTCTTTTGTCCAACTGATTGTGATTCTAGTCACGTAATCCATACGTCGTCACATTGTGATTATCCTCATTAAAGCAATCACCTGTACTACCTGATCAACACCAAGGCAACCACACTTGCCTTGTTTTGGACAAATGAGAATGCGGTGTGATAGTCCCAATGCTGCGATTCCATGACAAAGGCCACGACAAAGGCGGGAGATCTTGATATTCCACCATTGCAATGCACAAAGACTCGACCACCTTGATTTAAGGCATTTCCAATAAACTTTTTGGCATCCGGAAAGTACGGTATGAGGTTTTGCATGGGTGAGTCTGATACTTCACTATTTGGTGAAGGAGAGATTGCAATTATTTACTGGGTCAATAGGTAATCAAGATGAGAGTGACAAGAATAGGAAAAGGGTCAACCAGGCAAAGAAGAAATCAGTAAAGATCAAACCGCAAGGACAACAAGAGAGTGACGTTCCAACACATTAACCACCAACCCAATACTCTGTACATAACATGCGTACATTTCGTAGTAGATGAAATCCGTTGGGAAGAATGGCCTCACAATATGTTTCTCACCAGAGTCCCGTATACAGACCACATGTGTTATACCATGTTCTTTGAGTGCCTGTACATTTTTCGCAGATTGTATGGGACCCAGCCATAATCCAGGCAAGATTTCTTGCATTTCTCGTCTCATTTCATACTTCCTATTACCATAGATTGCGTTAGAATGGAATGTTGATGAATCTGGCGGATGTCTGCAATGTTTTGATGATGAGTTTTGTCGAATACAACTAGGGAGGCTGGAGGACAGTTCGTTTACCAGTCTTGGGCGTCCATCAATGGTGGCCTTGGAACAGCAAACATGCTTGTCTTTGACGAATTGGTATATCGATTGTTGAAGTTTTGTCGGTCATTCATCCAAAGGCTGGCAGTCTCTCTTGGCGAGATGACGAGAGCAAGCGGGAATATATATGGATATGAGGTCCGTTGCGTCTATACTGCTAGCGTCAATCAGTTTCAAACTGCGACTTTTTGTGTATGTGTAGCGATGCAGTTTCGTTTGAGAATCGCAACGATGGAAGATCAGACCACGAGTCAAGTCGCCTTTTCTTATATAGTATTTGAGTTTAACTTCATCCTTGTAATACAACAAATTCATCATTTTAAATATAAGTGCAACAAAACAAGCTCAACAAAACAATCGTCCTTGTGGTGAGGCCTCCGTAAAAAGTAAACACTCATTATTCGATGACTTTTGCTTAGTTAATTTTCATCTCTTGATCAGGCTCGACAAAGTCGACATGTTCATTGGCATCCAATACAGCTAATCATTCAAAGAGATCAGAACACATTTGAGTTTACAGCGAATTGACCCAACCAACGATATCAGAAACAAGCTCGGTGAAAGACTCACAAATGAAAGCCTCAGCAAACGTAGCAGAGAAACCTAAGAGAGTAGTACCATCATATTTGTGTCCAATCTTTCCGCCTAATAAATTGGGAGCAAAATGTATATCAGATGATACAATCCAACCACATAGATAACAAGTTCGGAGCAAGATTCAAACAGCTTCATGATATATCTCATAGGAATATTGCATTCACTCACCAGCTGCAACGACCTTGGCCGCTGCTTCATCTATCTGAGCTTGAGGAGTTCCTGCTTTGAAACTGACAATGTATGAAGGCATGTTTGCTTTTACTGTTGCTTTCTGCTTGTACTGATATCGATATTGGTGCTTGAGAGCTACTTTGTATGTGAGGCTACGAGTTAACGTTTGTGTTGTTGAGTGACGAAGCCGGAACGAAAGAAACATCATGAGATCACAACCAACACAACCGGATTTATGAGGAATCAGACCGTATTTTAATATTTTAGCATTTCGATAAGTATGAGATCAAGGCACGCGTTCAATCACGCGCTATCATTCAGCAACGCGGTAAGCAAACGTCGAGTAAACTGGTGGCAGCGTGCGATCCGATGGTGTCCTTCCTTCCCATGATGGTATAGACGCTAACGTGACTGGTTCATCATAGAACTGTGTACTCCTTCCGTGCGGTTTAGGAGCTAGTGTTGTTGACGACGTAGACGCTGATTTCACTAGTCGTTTCCCCGTGTACTGTTCTTCAAGATCCGAAGATCCCAATTCGTTCCTCTTGACGTGGTTCGGACATTATGTATCATGTTGTCCTGTAAGGTAGATTGGTGTTGGTTGCCGTGAAAGCTATTCTCAACAGGTCAAGTGTCGTGCCTTGCGAGCAAACCATCACCCACATGCTTCAACTGGGCATTGGAAGGGACGTAGCCCTAAATTTAGCTTCTTGTGCCGTATCAGATGTGCACTAGAAACACAGTAAAGTCAATCATTAGCACGATGCATCACTAGAACCAGTCTTTCTACGGTAACGCTTAGATCGTAGTAGAGAGCTTTCCGCATCCATTAAAATCACATGCGACCTTCTTGCTAGCCGGTAATTTCTGATCCCTTTTGCTCTTGTACTCTTTTGTTGGGTTGGCTAGCACAACGAGCTTGTAAAATGGATCAATGGTGGCAGAGGCCGGTATGGAGGCATGACATCGTTGGGTTGTCCATGAGGAAACCACATTGGAAGTTTGAAGTCACTAGTTATGTGATCTTTTTCTGAAAGTATAGAAGAGCTACCGTTGTTGCTTACTTTTTACTTGCTGTTTCCTGAATGGAGCTAATACTCCATAGGCGATACTACTGATACTGAATGGATGAGGTTGCTGATGTTCATAGTATACTGGAGGTTGAATAGGTTGTGGATGTTGATATTGTTTCTGTTGGTGGTGGTGCTCGTTATGGTGTTGGTATTGCGATAGACTGGCCTCTGCAGGTAGACTTGCGTGTGCAAATGGATGGACTACAAACCCGCGCCGATTGTGATGATAGTCTTGGCTGTTATAGTGGTGTGGTGATCGAATGAGCTGTCCATTACAATTAATAATGTGTATAATGTTGGTTCCTCGTTGCTTCGTTGCGACTGTTTGGTTTCGATCCAAAGCGTGAGGATATCCTTGATAAGCGGGTATTGCTGCCTTGTTGACAGGATTTGAAGGGTTGTTTTCGATTTATGTGCGATTGGCTTTATAAATCGGAAAATTGGTAGTCAACGCTCATCAGAGTAGAAGAGTTGGCCAGCGAGAAGGAGGCATTTGAAGTCTCCTGTTGTAATATGTACCATCTTTCGCGTTTCATTGTGAGCCAACTACCCGGTTGATCTATCAGGTGTGTATGCAATGAGTGACTTTTCCATGTTGTAATTGTTTGAGATTCAGGATGTCCAGTGTGCTCATAACAGTGTGACAGTCACGTTTACGTCTTTGTTTGACTTTGAAAGTGTGTCCATCCTCCATATTGGTCGGATGTTTCGCACATATGTGAAACACACGTCATTTACGATACTCCAACAGTGCCCAACTAGTATTATTCACAACAAAATGACCACACAATTGCTGTAAAATTCCCCTTGAGACCATATGTTGTGTCTCAGATCATCCAACGAATCTTAAGACAGTATTTTTGCGCTCAGCGCTCACCCAGCAATAGGAAAGTCTTCAAAATCAAAAAATGCTCCACAATAAATCAGCGGCCCACATGTTGCCCGTGACGAAGGAGGAAGAAAACCTTGCTGCAAAGAATGAAATATTGATGGTACAGTTTTCCTTGCCAGCCAAAAGATGATGATCTTGGTGATCTGAGACAGTAAGGGTGCCAACCTTATTTTCAGCCATCTGATGACGTGACTTTCTCTACCAACTAGCTGTTGGGATGGATTCGTTAGCTTTGGAGCAATGACTTGCCTGTGATTACTTTTGTTTTGTGGAGCTAAGAAGATATACTCCGACATCTTGATCATCTTGACAAATCTATCATTGACCTATGATCTATCCAAAAGCCCTACACTTCGAAGCCATATCGCGTTTACATACACCATGATTCTATGGCAAATGTGCAAAAAGTTTACTATTCTCATAAAGGCAAGGAACATGTTGCTACATCGCCTAATCTAACTATTCTGATGTGATTCTGCAACGGCAAGCAATTGCAAAATCCCTTCACCACCACCACTTTGCTTCCCACCATCTGCTTTGTTATGTTTTCCATCATTGTCGACTTTCCCAACCGGTACACCAGCACCACCACCATTACCACTACTATTACCATCATCAGCACCGTGATTCACAGACGAAGGCCCTTGGCCAGCAGCACCATCAACACCGTTTGCACCGTGAATGATGGTGCCTGTTATATGTCCAGCACTCACATTTATAGTATGGACGCCTGTATCTATACCATGATCACCACCATTTATAGCATTGACGACAGTATAACCATTCATATTCATATTCATAGCTGTTGGAATCGTTTGATGTACTACACCAGCAGTAGTCATGACTGGCCGCATTACAGGCTCATTCCTCCACATCTGTGGTGCGTATGCGTATGTTTGAGGTTGCGGATAAGCGACGTGGGTCACATATCCGTTTGTAGTGCCGTTGCTGCCATTCTCGACCACAATGTGCTTACTACCACCGTTACTACCATTATGACTCAGGACATACTGATATGGATATGCTGTTGGCTGTTGGGGAGAATGGGCAATAGTTGCATGATGCGGTACACTATATATCATTTGTGGAGGGAAGGCTAGAGTTTGGAAGGCGACCTGCTCCTGTTCATCGTCTTGCCCATCCTTGTTATGCTGTTGACGAGGTTGCTTTTGAGTCATGACGGGGGCGGAGTATATTTGAAAGGGCTGTGCTTGTTGATATCCGTTCGTGGGTTGTATTGGAGCCTGATAAAATAGTGTGGGTTGATATGTTGTGTATGTCTGTTGAAGTGGTTGTTGCTGTTGTTGCTGCTGCTGCTGTTGTTGTTGCTGTTGTGGTTGTCTATTATCTGCGGTAATGAGTGTGAGTTGTTGTTGGGGAGGTTGTGAGCCAACTGGGATGAGAGTAGCATATGGCATTTCAGTTTTGAAGTGCGTTCGATAGTGTTGCATCTAGAATAGTTGAATGTAGATGCTTTAAAATCATCAATTCACTAAGATCGAATCAAATATTACACCACATACCATATTATCGTGTCGTGTAAAACGTTTATCGCAGGTTGGAAGGATGCACATATGAGGCTTTTCCCCTAGGAATAGAGTATGGTTTAAAATGAGTTTTCATAAAATATACGTTGATGAAGCAAACGAAGGCATACCTGTGTGAATTCTAATATCGAGTCAAAAGTTCGTAAACGACGACAGTGAGATCGTTAGCAAATGCAGGTTCTGGAAGAGAACGGGAAACATTGCATTACCTCATATGCCTTGCCAAATGACCACTACGTATGTGAGATGTGGGTTAGAAGAAAGTCAAGGCGCTTCCGTTGAGCCTGATTCCCCTTGGCACATTTGGGTCTTCTTCTGCAAAAACTCTTAAAGGAGAAGATAGAAAGGAGATTGCATACCTTGTACTGAATGACTTGTTGCATGAGACATGCCCGCAGTTATATCTCCTCTTTTCTCCCTTGTCATCCTGGGACTTTTTGCGTTTGGTTTTTGGGGATTGTTCGTAATTTGTGTCTGAGAGCTCTTCAAACTCGTCGTGGTCTCGCTTAGTATTGATTCCAGGGATGTAGTCTTGATCCTGATCCGTCATCATGGCTTCTTGCTTCTATAGTATGTAGGTTTGAAACTTAGAGTCGTTTTCCTTGGAGATATTGATGGAAGAAAATCAACCTTTGGATGCAGTCGGTATCGATTCAGACAGCAGACACTAGCTTTATGAGCGATGGAGCGCAAGTAAGCCTTGTATCGGGATTCCGGGCTTCTTCCTGATCGTACAACTTAATAAGCCCTGTGTGTTGTGGATGGGTCCCAGGGAGTCGATGGGGTGGAGACACGGTCTTTTCTGATGACAAAGACAAACAACCACACGATGGAGCTTTAAAAGTCAAAACAAGATGTAAACGAACCAATTGGACGGTAAATATGTTGGAGATCTTTGAATCTGAACCAATTTGTCAACTCGCTACATACACTCCTCACAGCTCAACCACATTCGGAATAGGCTGGCGAGGGAATATGCAAGTGGAGACATCATTGAAATACATCGTTGATACTGCTGCTGGCCAACTGTTCTACTCCGATGAACTCAGCGCAGTCTTGACAACCAATTCTCCGATTCATCAAGTGAATCGCACATGTAGAGTTTAAATATCAAACAACCCCTCAAATCCTGTCAACAAGGAAGCAATACCCGCTTATCCAAGATATCCCCACTTTGGATCGAAACAAAACTTCCACAGAAACAACAAGCGACCACAGGGACGACATTGACGATTTTAGTACGATGGACAATTCATTCGATCACCACCACCACTACAACAACCAAGACCATCATCACAATCGACATGAGTTTGTAGAGCATCCATATGCACACGCAAGTCTACCTGCAGAGGCCAGTCTATCGCAATACCAATACCATAACGAGCACCACCACCAGCAACGACATTATCAACATCCACAACCTATTCAACCTCCGTTATACTACGAACATCAACAACCTCATCCGTTCAGCAACAGTAGTATCGCCCATGGAGTGTCAGCTCCATTCACTAAACAGCAGACAATCAACAACACGTCTATACCTTCCGCAAAAGATCACATAAGTCGTGAATACGAACTTCCATTGTGGTTTCCTCATGGACAATCCAACGATGTCATGTATCGAGCACTTCCACCGTTGAATCATGTTACGAGCTCGTTGCCACTAGTCAACCCTCCAAAAGAGAGCAAGAACAAGAAGGATCAGAACGTACCGGCCAACAAGAGGGTTGCTTGTGATATTGATGGATGTGGAAAGTACTTTACCACGACGTAAGTACTTAGTGTGGACAACGTGGGTCTTACGCTGTATGGTCTTGATGATTGACTTTACTGGGGTTTTAGTGCACATCTGATACGGCACAAAAAGCTACACTCTGGTTTGCGCCCCTTCCAATGCCCGGTTGAAGAATGTGGGAGGTGGTTTGCTCGAAAGGTATACAAACTCAGAGTACAATATCTACTGTAACCAACACTGTTTACCGTACAGGACAATATGGTGCATCACGTCCGGAATCATGTCAAGAGGAACGAACTGAGATCTACGGATCTTCAAGAGCAGTACAAGGGGAAACGGCTAGTGAAATCTGCCTCTACTTCGTCAACCACATCAAATGCCACCCTAGTTCCCAAACCGTACGGAATGGGAACTCAGTTCTACGATGAGCCAGTAACTCTAGCTTCTATACCATCATGGGAAGGAAGGATATCATCGGAACGAATGCTGCCACCAGTATACTCAACATTTGCTTAAGGTGTCTATGAATACATGCCCGTGATTGAACGTGTGCCTGCTATTCTATATATCTAATTATCAAATAAAGTTTGATTTGTCTCATCCCTATGTCCGTGAGCTGATTGCTTGAGTCGTCGGCAGACATGCTTTCTTCGTATTGCCATGTTCGTTCAGCTGAGAAAAGCCTAATTTTGGCAGATCAACAATAAAAACAACGTGATCTCGACGTGACGCCCTCGTTTTGTTCAAAAGATTTATTATGTCCTGTTCAGGCACAGAACTAAACTACAAACCAGCTTAGTACACTTCGATCAACTGTAAACGTGCCAAAAGAGGACGATATGGATGTGGATGAGATCCAAGTGGACTCTGATGATTCTCCAATGGCCAAAGACAATGATTCCGCCATGTCTGAAACTTCTGATGTAGAGGTTGAAGACAGCGACGACGATGCTGAGATGAGAGACAGTACCGATGGTGATATAAATATAGATTCAAAGCGTAAAGGAAAGGCAAGTCCATCATTATCCTTTTTTTGGTCTTGTATTTGGCAAATGTCTTCAAAAATCATTTCGAGCATGCTGCGACATTTTCCTTTCCATATATTTTTCTTTGGAAGCAGGATCTCAAACCTCAGCAAAATAATTAATGATTATATTCTTTAATGTTAGTCACCAGCCAAAGTTCGCAAAGCTGAGGGCGTCAAGCAACGAAAGGCCGCTAAAGCAAACCAGAAATCAACCTTTGACAAACAACGCAAAGAGCTCAATTCTACTCGCGAAGCCGATACTTTGAGACGGTACAAGTATCTGATTGGTCAGACTGAAGTATTTGGTATGTTATCGTTGATTGTGTCCTACTGCTGCATTTGGATTCGCGCTGTACTTGGCCGAGAAGCTTTCTACATGCTCTGTCGAAGAGTTGAGAGAAGCAATGTGCATCATGAGGGACTGCAAATGCAGAATCAGGCCTACAATGCCGTGTCGCGTCTGTATCGCAAAAACCAAAAGAAGTCCTTCTCCCCGCACGAATGGATCCCAATCATTTTTGATGGTATTCTCGGTATCATTTCACTGCCTTACATTGTCTCCCGGGTATTTTGTAGCACACTTTTTGAATCTCAAGACAAAGGGCATTGGTCTTGAGCCTTCTGAAGCGAAAGCCAAAGCATCATCAAAGGCATCATCCAAGTCTACCGACGCGTACGTTCACTTAGTAATGTTTTCGGCTTTCGTCGTTGTTAACGATTCAAAAAGAATTGGTTGATAATTTATCTCATATCAACACTTCTCATTTCTTCAGATCTCACCGCCATCGAAAGACTGAAAAGGAAGAGGATGAAGAGTTGTTGCAGGGTGATGATGAGGACGTCATGCAAGTTGTGTCTGTGTTTGAAGAGTCGCCGGCATGTAAGTGTCCGGTTCTACTTCACCAATTTACTGATGTCGACAAACAAGAACCGTCTAACCTCTATTTATTGTAGTCATCCAAGGTGGCATCATGCGAGATTATCAACTGCAAGGTCTCAATTGGCTCATCTCGCTATACGAGAATGGTATCAACGGTATCCTCGCTGATGAGATGGTATGTCCTTGTGTACTTGGTTTGCTGTTCCTGAAGGAGCTGCAGCAAAACCCCTGCAAAAAATGTCGAAACGACACAAGCAAATCTGTTGCTTTTATAGGGTCTCGGGAAAACGTTACAAACCATCTCTCTTTTGGGCTACCTAAAGACTATTCACGGTGTAGAAGGTCCGCATTTAGTCGTAGTTCCCAAAACAACTCTTCATAACTGGATGAGCGAATTCAAGAAATGGTGCCCAGAGATTGATGCATTCATGTTTCATGGAGACAAGGAGGGTCGAGTAAGTAGTTGGAAAGGATTAGACTACCAGTGTGAAGTAATAGTAATATCGACTGCTCACTTTTTTCTGCCTTTTCGTCTTAGGCTGCTCTTGTCCAAGATACTCTTCTTCCTGGGAAGTTTGGTGTTTGCGTAACATCGTATGAAATGTGCTTACGTGAAAAGACCCACTTGAAGAAATTCTCATGGCAGTACATTATTATCGATGAAGCTCATCGTATCAAGAATGAGAACTCTCTGTTATCCCAAATAGTACGAGAGTTTCCCTCTCGAAATCGCCTCTTGATTACCGGTACCCCTCTACAGGTATGAGGGTTTCAGAAAACGCACCTTGACTTCGGTTCTCCACCAACTAAAATGCGTGTTTTGAAAGAACAATCTACATGAGCTGTGGGCTCTCCTCAACTTTTTGCTTCCTGATGTGTTCGAAAAGTCGGCAGACTTTGATGCTTGGTTTGCCAAGCAAGGTGCTGACCAAGACAAGGTCGTAGCACAGCTTCATAAAGTACTCCGTCCCTTCTTGCTTCGTCGAATCAAGGCTGATGTCGAGAAGAGCCTACTTCCAAAGAAACGTATCAACTTGTATGTTGGTATGAGTTCTATGCAACGACGTTGGTATCAAAAGATCCTGGAGAAGGATATTGATGCCGTTAATGGTATTTTAATGATACATGCAGCCTCTGGTGGTTCAGATTTCTCACATGCGACAATCCGGAATAGGTGCAACTGGACGTGGTAGCAAGACACGATTACAGAACATTGTGATGCAACTTCGCAAATGTTGTAATCACCCATACCTGTTCGATGGTGCTGAACCTGGACCACCATACACGACAGATCAGCACATAGTTGATAATTCCGGTAAAATGGCCATTCTAGACAAACTGTTGGCTCGTATGAAATCAAAGGGATCTCGAGTCTTGATTTTCAGTCAAATGAGTCGTGTTCTTGACATCCGTAAGTTAGTCCATCTACAGCTATTGATTTCGGTCTTCGCTCACATGTTTTTAAATCCAAGTTGAGGATTATTGCTTCTGGCGTGGTTATCGTAAGTGTTACCATTTTGGAAGCTAATTCAAGTATCTCTCCAAGTCTTATATTTCTCTTTTTCACGTTCCAGAATACTGTCGAATCGATGGTCAGACTGCACATGAAGACCGTATACGCATGATTGACGATTACAATGCTGAAGGAAGCGAAAAGTTCATCTTTCTCTTGACAACTCGTGCTGGAGGTAAATGCTCAATAACGGGGGCTTTCTGTGACATCGCCACCGCACCGCCGCTTACTTGATTTTTTCCTCAAAACAGGTCTAGGTATTAATTTGGCCACAGCAGATACTGTCGTCATGTATGACAATGATTGGAATCCACAAGTTGACTTGCAAGCTGAAGATCGAGCACACCGTATTGGTCAAAAGAAACAAGTGGTGGTCTTTAGATTCATCACCGAAAACACTATTGATGAAAAAGTCATTGAAAAAGCTACCCAAAAGCTTCGACTTGATCAGCTAGTTATACAGCAAGGTCGTGCTACAGTCAAACCTGGCATGACTAATGAAGATTTGTTGTCTATGATTCAGCACGGTGCCGAATCTATATTCAAGTCTGCTGATAGTACTATTGGCAATGACGATATTGAAGAGATTCTGAAGCGTGGTGAAGAGAAGACTGCTGAATTGGAGGGTAAATATAAGGATATGGGATTGGATGATTTACAAAAGTTCACCATGGAGGCCAAGACTATGGAATGGGAGGGAGAAGATTACGGAAAGGTTGGTCTTCCCATTCATTTCCTTTTTGGAGCGTACTCTCACTGCCTTTTTTTGCCCTAGCGTAATGCTGTCATCAACAAGACCTGGATTGCACCATCCAAGCGTCAAGCAAGGGCCAAAGAGTATGATGTAGATGGTTATTTCCGTCGTACTCTAGAGACTGGGGGCAAGAGACATATGCCAAATCGACCCAAGACTGCTACATCCAAAGTGTATGTGTTAGCTTTCGCTGGATTCCCCATTCATGTCCTCGCGGCTAATATTTCTTTTTGCTACTATTAGTGAAGACTATAAATTCTTCCCACGAGAAATGGAAGACCTGCAAGAAAAAGAGACTCTGTTTGCCCAGGTAATTCGTATGCTTTTGGTCCTTTTTAATCGTGTGCCCAATTTCTAAGCAACATGCTTGTTTTTAGAAAACTCAAGGCTTCAAAGTCCTCAGACGCACACCAGACGAAGGTGAAGTAATAACGGAAGAAGAATTGGAAAAAGAACGGGAAGAAGAGCAAGCCAAGGTTGATGAAGCTGAAGATTTAACTGATGAAGAAAAGGTTCAATTGGCTGAGCTCAAGAGTCAGGTAGTCATTTTTTTAAAGTGTCTTCTGCCCTTACAAATTCGCGTTACAAACTTATTACATTTGTGCATAATTAGGCTTTCAATGATTGGAATCGAAGAGACTTCCAGTTGTTTACCAAAGCTAATGAGAAGTATGGTCGCAAGAACTTGGAAGCCATTGCCAGAGATATCGAAGGCAAGACACTTGAACAAGTTACTGCGTATGCCAAGACATTCTGGGAGAGATGTGAAGAACTCATAGGTACTGAAACATGTTTACTTTTTTGTACACTTTGAAAATGGAATGAACTGACTCGAACCATCTTCTAGAATGGGAACGTATCAAAGGCAATATTGAGAAGGGCGAAGGGAAGATCCAAAAGACTATTGAGGTTCAACAAGCCTTGCGGGACAAGGTTGCAAGTTACCGCGAACCTTTACTTCAAATGAAACTTCAATATGGTACTAGCAAGGGCAAGAACTTTAATGAGGAGGAAGATCGTTTCCTGGTATGTAACGTATTTATGACCGGTGTTTTGTCTCCTCACTAATCCACTTTCACGTGTACAGGTCGTCATGTTGGAACGATTTGGATACGGGACGGATGATGCATACGAAAAGATCAAACAAGAACTGAAGAAATCTCCCATGTTCCGATTTGATTGGTTTGTCAAATCACGTACTGTTGCAGTAAGCTTTGTCACAATTCCACACAATTAAAAGCTTCGTGGTGCAATAAAATATATTTAACACGTATAATTTGTTCTCTGTAGGAAGTCCAACGTCGTTGTGGTAGTTTGATTACCATGATTCAAAAGGAATTAGACGAACCCAACAAGGCTGGTGGTGATGCTAGTGCTCCTGCTGGTCCTACTGCTACAGCTGGTGAAGAAGAGGTCAAGGAAGAAAAGAAGGATACAAAGGGGAAGCGAAAAGCTAAAGAGCCTGCAGCCCCACTTCCAGATGTGGCTACTACTGCAACCAAGAAGCGCAAAAAGGCTTAGAGGATGAAAATTCGTGTATTATATATACTAGAGATGGTGCTTGTTGGGTTTGTTTTTGCTGTACATTTTATAAAGATGGTTTGGGTGCATGAATTGCTGTTTCAGGTGGTGTTCTCACGAATCGTGCTTTAGTCCATTTTGGAACCTGTGGTGAAGGATATTGGTTAAACGACGGATTTTCATGAGTTCGCGCGAAAGGGTATTGTGATCGGGCATTGACAAGGCCTTGCATGTTTCGCTTACCCAATGAGCAGGCTTGACAGACCCTCTATACCGTTTCGAAAAGACCCAATATTTCTGACTTGACGTCATTTCATTCTCTCTAGGTTCCCTTTGTGCCATTTCCTGGTGAGATACGTCAGTTAAAGAGGTGCTATATGGCTAAGGCACAAACTCAGAATTTACCAAAGCACGTATTTGAACGCCCGAAGTAGCTATAGCATCAACGACATCGTCCACTTGTCTCAATCGTAGTCGATGACGGTACTTTTGTCGCTCTGTTAATCGAAACCGTCTCTTCCTAAAACGATGCAAGTTACGAAAAAAAATCGTGAGTTTTGATGTTGGCTGAAACAAGCGAATATGTGATGAGAGAGGGCTTTCGAGCGATGCATCGGCGTAGTAGGAGGCTTGAAAAAGGAGGCGCAGTTGACGTACCATACTATCCCGCCCAAGGTAACGAGGGTTGACTTGAATGCACCAAACATGGTTTTAAGCTTTCGAGCTCAGCAGAGATTCTGAAGAAGAGGGTGGAAGGGATGTATATGAAATGAAGTCGCAAGATGCCACGTATATATGGGCAAAACTTGGTTAGGAAAGCTTTAAGCCAAACGACCAAGCGTCTAGTAGTTGGACAGAAGATACTACAAGGTATGCAGCAGTGATTTAAGTATTGTACACATGTATGGTCGTTCTTTGTTCTTCAGCGGTGTCTTCTGTATCTCAACGTCCATGAATTCCATGACTCGACACCGACGTCAAGGGTGTTTCCTTTGGTCAACGCGTCTTGTTCGTTGAGCTGCGAAAAGCGCGGAAAGCACTTACTTTCATAGATTCACAATAGATCTGACGTGATCTCGACGTGATCTCCCGGGTTTATCTCTCAAATCATGCTCACCAAAGTCGCTGCTCAAAGCTCCATCAAACAGAGCAAACCTAGCTAGGCACAACAATGGACGCATACACAGAGGGACTCATGTCATCAGACGATGACGATATATTCAACTCGGTCTATGAAGAGGCAATTAGCAAGCTACTAATCGCTGATCAAGAACAATCTATTGCTGCTGTAAAGTTGCTGAAGGAGAATTCTACTATTGAGGATGTACTGTTGCAGCAGGCTGGTCCTGCTCCGTCATCCCAGGGTTCATGTAGTGACGCTCCGATTGATATCGAGGATTTGCCTATTGCAAAGTAGGTACTGGAGCGCAGAAATCTTGTTTGATCTGGCACATTTTGTGAGGTGGTTTCATTTGTGTGGTTTTATTATCGCTTACAACTATCTATATCATTCTGTTCTAGATTCAAAACTCCGTGGCCCTCCAGAATCTCAGTCACGGATATTGCATACCTCACATGGTGCGAATCCCAGACCATCCTAGAAAAAGTGACCCGCAAACCTCGTCGCCAAACAAAAGCCATGAGTATCGGACAAGAGATCCACAAGACTCTTGAATTGGAACTCGGGCCGCCTATTGAAGTCGCCGTTACGACTAAAGAAGATGTTTGGGGACTGCGATTTTTGAATGCAGTGTTTTCTATAGATTCGCTTGTTAATGGTGGTGGACTGGCGAGGGAGATTCCTGTGCTTGGACGGGTTGGTGACTTTTTGGTGTTTGGAATTATTGGTGAGAGTGTTGTACATATCTTGTTACTGTATCTGCCCAGTTTTTTTTTCGGCAATCTGTTCTGAACAAGTGATTTAGATGAGGTTATCAAACGAGAATCTGAAGATGGTAGTTGTACGTGGCATCTTCGGGATACCAAGACTCGAATGAGACGAAGTTTGCCAGGTAAGTGTTTTGTTGCCAAAAAAAGGACATGCGACTTTGGACGGAATTGCACGACAAATCAGCGTCATCTCACTCCTTGTCATGACACCCCTTAGGTGAGGTATCATCTCGTATGGGCAAACTCCAAGTCGCAACATACCGCAAAATGTTTCTCGAAATGCCATCCCTCGACCAATCCTTTGTCTTCACCAAACTTGGACTCGACCAAACGAAACCATTATCACAACCACTTGTCGACCAATTTAAGCTTCTCGGCCTAGACACCTCATCGAATGCCACCTCATCATCGTCTGGTAGCAATGGCAGCAACTGCAGCAGTAGTCCCGTCAGAGCAACCTCATCATTCAAAACCGCTCGTACAATCCATAATCAAGTCACACTAAACAAGCTCTTCCCGATCGTGCAATCGTATTTCGAACTCATACCGACTATATCAGAGACGCTCGAGTTGTCATATGTGCATCAGAAGAGTAAGGAGGTTATTGATGTTGTGAGGTTTGTGTATGATGGAGGCGTTTTGGATGGGGTGTTGGAACAGGCTAGGTCCTTGTTCAATGGGGAGCGGGTCGCTGATGGGGTTAGTGTTGAGGAGGCGTACAAGTGTCAGAGTTGTGATTATGTAAGCTATGTTGGTGTGATGCTGATTCTCGGCCATTGGGTTACTGTTTTTTTGGCTCTGGACTGACTTGCTCCTCGTAGGCTCACGTTTGTAGGTTTCGGGCAACTAAAGCCAAGGAACTAGCTGCAATGTAGTTTGAGACGTGTATATTGGACCTTTTTTTGTATATATGGACTATTTTGTAGGAAGCAAAGATCATAAATTTGTCTCTCATAAATCACAAGTTCCAACACGAGGGGAAAAAACCAAAGACAACAAGGACTCAAACCCACTGCTTTCGGCCGTTTTCGCGTTTGACAATAAGCATAATGACAGGTTCCAAAGAATCTCCAAATTTCGTGATTAAGAGTGTGAAAAAAGTTGTATAATAATATGAGTTTAGTGTTTTCATCTCCCAAAAATGTTTACACAATGCAGCTGCCTTCCTCAACACACTATCAATTAGTCGGCGACCTAATTTACGGACTTGGTGCTGGGAATGCAGCCGCTGGCACCGCCGGCCGGGGAGGAGTGATAACAAGTGTGCAATTGCACAGCAAGTGATGGTCTCATATGCGGATTACTTGAATTCCGAGTTCCATTTGGTGGTCCAGCCTGATATGTGCTTGTCACTACCCACCATTACTCCTGCTATTTATAGGTTGATTCGTCATCATATACGTGTGATTAACTGCATTCCACCAATATCAGAATTACTATTATATGGTAGATGCGATAGCGGCTACGAGTACGTCGAGTCACCAGATGATGAAGCAGTGGATGTAGTAGCTGTAGTAACTAGTATAATATTAGTATTCACTGGTCCCGCAACATGTGGGGCTCTCTCAACCTCCTGATGCAGCATATGGCCGTCTAAGCGGCTTCTGTTGAGACCTGGAGTCCATATTCCAGTGTCAAATGAGACTGCTGGTGTCGAGTGCTGGCGCTGTGGAGCATATGTTGTTGATGGCGCTGGTGGGGATGAGCTTTTGCGCAGAGAGGGCTGTTGAGGGTGGGTTGTCAAGGGTGTGCTGGTGGTGAAGGAATCTGTGGAGGGAGGAGCGTGGAGGGATTTTGAAGCCTGCTGGTGAGCTGAATTGGGAAAGAGAACCCCGTAGTTTTAGGCATTCAGCACGATCGGCAAGGGTTTTTTGGCTTACCTCAACGGGACCGCTGCATCAAAATCATCCTCCTCTTATGTCTGTTAATGACGTCTGTGTGGGATATGTGGTCTGCTTCCACAGAGACGTTACTAGTTTTAGCATGACCAGCAATCGAAATCTCGTTTACCGCCGTATCCTGACTTTCAATAACACCAGCATCCTCAACCCCACTATCACCCAACGAGCGATCCGACTGCTGATGTTACAACTCTTTTTCCTTCTTTCTCTGTAGCTTGTTTGAGAAATTCAAGAGCAGTGTGACACCGCTGACGATTACAAACCATCCAACTACAAGCGTGACACATGATACGACACCTTCTGGGGTGAAGCCGTTGTGTAAGATGGATGAGGATACGAGGGTCATGGTTGTGAAGGATAAGTTATATACGGGTGTTACGACGGAGGTGGTGAAGTGGTGGAGGGCTGTGTTTAGATAGTTGATTTGGATGATTACGAGGACTATTACGAAAGAGGCCTGAGTCTTTGAATTGGTTGCCAGTGTTCCAGTGTGTGACGCTGTATACTACGGCATGTCCAAAGACTCAGGAAACGTAAAGTGTGAGCATACCATTATACTGTGTTTTCGTCAACCAAAAAGACTTTCACAAATCAAGCTGGATTACTGAAAGCTTCCATACCTTGAACAGCCAGCACCACACACGACCCACCGATTGAACAAACCGCTTTATACACAATGGGTTGTGTCTCTCCCCATCTCGGTGTCGCATAGAATATTAGCACTAAATATAATTCCATAATTCAGCCACGATCTGTGTTGGAGTGTTGACTGGGGCATGCAACACTACTAGTGTGGCACGGAGCAAGCATTGCACGGCCCCGAATTCACCACTTAAAGATAAATAGTCCCTAAGAAAAAAGTTGGACAGGAATGCACTGACTACAACCGATACTGCGTCAGCCGTGTTACTCCTACTACTGGTGCGAATGGGTCTGCGTTGACAGTAAGACAATTGAGTTTTAGTATGGGACAATGTATAGGAGAGTGTCAAGGGATAGATGGCGTACATGCTACCAAGTTGAACACCTCTCCGAACATCTAAGGGAAGAATTTCACATCAGCCAAAACTCCAGATTTAATGTTCCTGAATGTTTGTCTCACTTGGTTCAAATCCATGATCGTCATCATTCTTGTCCCGGGCGTTGCTGTAGCGATCATCAAAGTTATTCAAAGGCTCGCTTTCGTCTTGGTGACCTGACGGTGTCTGATAGGGCTAGACCGCAATCTTCCAACCAAAGCTCCAGCAAGCATCTCTCACTGGGTTGCAATTCACAATCTTGTCTTTCTTTGACTCGGATATTGTCGTCAATAGCGTTAAAGTTCTCAAGCTTTGCCTTCTCGACCTGCCGCAAAGCTGACGGCGCATAAGTGAGGTGCATTGCAGATTACAAGAGCAGCAGCGTTTTTTTCAGTAAAAGGCTTACGTTCAATTTTCGGCAAGTCATCTACTGTTTTTCAGTAGTACTTTTCAAAGATCTTGTTGATGGCTTGAATGTGTCTTGAAGTTGGCTTTTGTTCTCGAATGGCTTTCTCCTTTAGCTGCAATTTCACGTTGAATTCTACTACAGTATGAGATTGCTTTTGATATGTCATCATTGCTTTCGGGCCACCAGCTAGACTGTTCATCGACATCTGCTCGTGAAAAGAAACGATTTCGAAATTAGCTCTCAAGTACAACAAATCAACAAGGAGGAGACTGATGAAGCATATTCTTACGTTGATAACGGTGTATTTACTGCTGGAGAGAATCGTCTCTTCCTTTCCTGGCTGCCATCTTGGTGATTCTTTGATGAAATCTGAACGTCAAGCTCAATCAAAGGTTAGTTATCAAGAGTTCTGAATTTGAATACGCGTCAAACACGTCCAATCTACTCGTATAGATGCAGCTGATGCTTACTAGATCACTTTGCGAACATTTGAGAATCATGCACTTTTGAAGCAACTTGAGAACCAACAAGGTTTGAAGCTCGTGTGTAATTATTAATATTTAATTTAGTTTAACTTGTTAATTTATATGATTAGAAGACTAAATTAATTTAATGGTCTATATTTTTGGGAGTTTGACTTTTATTGACTAAAGAGGGCCAGACGATGATTATGATGGTGTTGCGGTCCACGATGTTGTGGATGTTGTTGATAGTGATGGTGGTAGTTCTGGTGCTGGTGGTGCTGGTTCTGCTGGTGTTGAGGAGGAGGCTGAGGAAGAAGATGGATTAGGTGGCGGTACCACTGAGCTTCCAGGCGGAGCGGGGACTACAGGAGGTGGTTGGCCATTTCCAGCTGGTGTAGTTTGAGCAGTCGCTTGTTGTACCACCTGTGGGTACGGGACCTTGTCATCACTGAAGTGTTTGACACCTGCGTCATCCACCCAGTGATACTTGATCCCAAAGAAGTCAGCGGTTGCGCATGTAGCAGCAAAAGCACAGGTGTTATCAAACATTTCCTTGGCAAAGACCTTGGAAATGTTTGCTCCACCGTGTACTCTGCCACTGACTCCATACAAACGAAGGCCCTCTTCCATCAGCTGGTTGTGGTTCAAGCCATTTGCATTGCATACTCTGAGAGTATGGTCTGCAAACCTCTGGAATACGGTTGGGTGGGGGCTTGGTATGGCCAAGCCACTCCGAAACAACTGGTCAAGCTCTGCGGTCACATTGACTCTCGTCCCAAAGGGGTGAGCTCGTTGGTTGAGGTTAAAACGCTCATACGCAACGACACAAGCTGCATATTCACAAAGACCTCGAGCGTCTACCACAGCTTCGAATCTTTCAGCTCGTCCCTTCCAAGATCGGACTTCCTGGGTCAGAGCAGCCTTTTGCCTTTCCCATTCACGGGCATCAGAAACACGGGAGTCTCCCATAGCAATGATACTAGCTCGGACTCTATCCTCCCGGTCCCTTTCTGCTTGCACTCGGATCCGTTCATAACCACGGTCCTCATCCCGTTCTCGTTGGAGCCTTTGGTTGCAATCTCTCTCCACTGCCAGTTGAAGCTTGAGCTTCTCAATCTCTAACATGAGGGTTTGGACTTCATCAAGGTGAGGGCGTTTCAATCCTTGGACTATAAAAATGGAATTTCTAATCAGAGGCTGCTTTCAAAAGTCTTGTGTCAACCAAAACAGCAGACACATCACCAAACATTAGAATCAAACAACAACACCATTCAGACGAAACAACTTACGAGCAACCTCATCGTGCAATTCATCAGCGCTTTTATCAGCCGAGTGTTTTGGAAGACTTGTTGAGACAGTTGGTGGTGGAGCAGCTCTGGCAGTATTGTCTAGCTCATCAAGTCGAGCTCTATAGTTTACCCTATCAGGCTTAAAGAGTTTGTGTCAGTCCAAAGGACTCAGTAATCGACAGCAGGAAGTACAAGGCTTCCACATGGGTAAAGAGGAGAGGTGTTCCAAAACAGGGAACAAAGACTGACGCTACCGACTCGAGACGTAGTCTAGTGCAGTTCGGAATACACCGAAAGGCACCACCTGGTGCTGTTGCCAACACCAAGCTGTCATATGTTAAGCGCAGAATGGACCAGTAGCCCAAGCCTATAACTTCCATCCCCCAAGGCGGTACCTCGAGAAAGGGATTGCTTTGTCCGCATGGTACTAGAAGCCGGCTGACTAGCCCATTTACTGGTTTGGTCCTTTCTACCTCCTCAAACTGTATATCTTACCTCGATAGAGCTCTGAAGAGCTTTGACCTTGTCTGTAGAAGCTTGATCTGGAAGGCCGAGCTTGAGAGCGTCTCCGAGACACTTGCGGTATGATCTGATAATCTTTTCGGAGGTCGAGTGAAGTGGGAGCTGGGTGTTGAACAAATTTATATATCGGAGTAGCGTCCATTCATTTGCAGATGTGGTGAAGAATCCAGTGTTGATTTGCTTGAGAGTCTCTATCAACAATGTCGAGGTGTTAGACTACAGAATCATGCAAATGTTTTTGAAAAGTAGGGGGAAAACCACAAATTCAATAATTTCATACCGAGTTCAAGTGGTTGGAAGCTCATTTTGGAACTCAGACCACTGTTTTATCTAGCTTGGACCGGCTACGGGCTACAATTTCTTTTTATCTACTAGTCGGATTGATAAAATGAATTTTGGAAATTGAGAGAATCGCCGAAATTGGATTTGGGTTGAAGGAAAGTGACCGTTAAAGCGGCCAGGGAAGGCACAAACCACTCCGTTCCGAATGTTTTCATCTACATTCAAATACGAGTAAAATTCCTGTAGTTATCCAAACATCAACAAAGAAAACCGATCTGTGATTGGGGATTCTCCACTGCTTTCTCGTCTGCAGGCAACAAACTGCATGGGATGTAGCCCCTTTGTTGTGTTGGTGATGTGGAAGAAAGTGATTTCAGTAGTTTGACGCAATAGAATATCGATTTTGACTCCAGCAGACGGTTGTGTTTCAGTTTTGGTCTTTCAAATTATTCGTATTTGCAAGTAGAGGGCCAAAAATCAGTCCAATTCCTGGCAGGCGATATCGATGAAACCAACCCATACATTGAAGCAATGCGGGAAGCGTTACAACGTTGGCTGAAGTTAGGGATTCGATTTCCTTCGAAATTTGAGTCCATCTGCCGTATGAGATTGAGCGTGTAAGGGTGTGTAAAAGCATCACGTTTCGCGGGCCAAGCAGAAGCCTGAGTTGGCCGAATTCGGGCGTGAGAATCGGAATCTTCTGACAAACGTTCTTCCACGCACATTCAGCAATTCTAGTATCATGAGAATTGATGTTGCGTATCAGTCCTCGACCAGGACCAACCGCGACGTAGGAGATGCATGGGGTCGATTTTATAGGTCGGTGGTTGAGTTTTCTATTATGAACGGTTAGTAAAGGCGCTGTCAAATCAACAACAATCACAACACAAAAATGGAATTGAGTTTTTGAATTTTGACACTCAGAACAATGACCATACGATAAGGGCGATAGGTGATTAACAACCGTTTCACGTTTAGAATCACATACCACCTCGGAACTTTGACGGCTTTTCTAGCTGTATCGCCACGACATTTGGAGTGCGGGTTATAACCCACATTCCAAATACTTGATAGACGTGAAAGACCAGAGTCAAAAACGAGCTGCCTTTGTAAATTACGCGTATTCTATTACGTGTGATGATCTGTGATGATATCGAAGTCTATTGAAAGCTCCTGGATCCAAACTATGTAGTTGTCGAGATGATGGATCAGTAGCTCGGAAATCAGAGAGCTTCATGACACTTGATATTGACGGATCTCGATACTTTGAAAGAAATCAATGAATGATGAGCGTATGGGCTTGCATGACGACACTTTCTAAACCCTCAACATTCCTGCATCCGTCGCCACACCAGAAACACATTGGTCTTTTGCTTTACCAACAAGCCGTCGCTCAAATCAAGACTAGATGCCACTCTTATTATCCATGATGTCTCTCTACCACGCTACGGAAACCTCTCTAGACCTTTCAGAGTTGTGTACATCAAATATGGATGCTGTCAAACCATCAAGCTCAAGCTCAAGCCTACTCAATAACTTTGAGCGTCGCCATACTTTCAAACGCCATTGATATTGCCAAACGAGAATCTGACGTTGGTGGTTGTACATGGCATCTTCGAGATACCGAGACTCGAATGAGACGAAGTTTTCCAGTCAACCGGTTTTGATGCAAAAAAAACCACTGCATACCTCTATTGAATTGCACGACAGGCAAGGTCGTTGTTTAATGGCGAATGGGTCGCTGATAGGTTAGTGTTGAGGAGGGGTACAAGTGTCCGAGTTGTGACTATGTGAGTTGTGTTAGTGTTTTGACAAATCTTGCTGACTTGGGTTTTTTTTGTTGTGGACTGACACGTTTTCTCGTAGGCTCACGTTTGTAGGTTTCGGGCAACTAAAGCCAAGGAACTAGCTGCCATGTAGTTTTACCCATGTATGTATTGGGACTTTTTTTGTATTTATGGACCATCTTGTAAAACAAAGAACATAATTTTGCACTCTGATAAAACAATGTCATCGCCAAAAAAACCATACGTACGCAAGAAGAATGACACAATGACAGTCTCCAAAGACTCTCCAAATTCATTATTAAAGGTGTGAAAAGAGTTGTATAATATGAGTTTTACTGTTTTCTTCTCCAAATGTTTACATAATGCGGTTGCCCTCTCCAACACCACATAATCAATTAGTCGGCGACCTGCTATACGGACCTTGTGCTGGGAATGCCGCAGCTGGAACCGCCGGCCGACGAGCAGGGATAACAACTCCTGCCCCTGCAGCAGTTGTTGTAGTAGTCATTATCGGAGACGATACAACAGGCGGTGAAGCCCTCATCTGCGGATTACTTGGTTTCCGTGTTCCATTAGGTGGCCTAGCCTGATATGTACTTGTCACTACCCCGCTATTATTACTACTATTTATAGGTTGATTCGTCATCATATACGTGCCACCCCTTCCACCACCGGTATTATTATATGGTAGCTGCGATGGTGGTTGCGAGTACGTCGAGTCGCCAGAGGATGACGCAGAGGACGTGGTAGTAGTGACTGGTATAATATTAGTATTCACTAGTCCCGCAACACGTGGCGCTCTCCCGCCCTCTTGATGCAGTATGTGGCCGTCTGAGCGACTTCTGTTGAGACCTGGAGTCCATATACCAGTGTCAAATGAGACTGCTGGTGTCGAGTGCTGGCGCTGTGGAGCATATGTTGTTGACGGCGCTGGTGGAGATGAGTTTTTGCGCAGAGAGGGGGCTGTTGTGGGTGGGTTGTCGAGGTTGTATTGGTGGTGGTGGGATCTGTAGAGGGAGGAGCGTGGGGAGATTATGAAGCCTGCTGGTGAGCTGTTTGAAACGAGAAATGTGAGTTCTATATGTTCGACATGAAGAATCAAGTTTTTTTTTGCTTACCCTATCGGGAACGCAGCATCAAAATCATCCTCCTCATATGTCTGATAATGGCGTCTGTGCGGAATATGTGGTCTGCTACCCCCAGACACGTTACTAGATTTAGCATGACTAGCAATCGAAATCCCATCCACCGGCTTATCCTGACTTTCAATAACCCCAGCTTCCTCAAACCCACTATCACCCAACGAACTCTCCGACTGCTGATGTTCCAACTCTTTTTCTTTTCTCTGTAGCTTGTTTGAGAAATTAAACAGCAGGGCGACACCGCTGACAATCACAAACCATCCGACTACGAGCGTAACACCTGATACGACACCTTCTGGGTTGAAGCCGTTGAATAGGATGGATGAGGATACGAGGGTCATTGTTGTGAAGGATACGTAGTATACGGGTGTTACGATGGATGTTGTAAAGTAGTGCAGGGCCTTGTTTAGATAGTTGATTTGTATGATTACGAGGACTATGACGAATGCGAGGAGGCCGTACAGGCCTGGGTCTTTGAATTGGTTGCCAGTGTTCCAGTGTGTGAAGCTGTAGACTACGGCAGATCCAAAGCCTAAGGGAAAGTGTAGAGTAAGGTTTGACCAATTCCAGGTGCGTCAAGTGTGAGATGCTTCAACAAAAAACCCACAGCTCATGAAGCGACATAACTGAAAACGTTCATACCTTGGACAGCCAGCACCACAAACGACCCACTAATAGAGCAAACAGCTATGTACACGATGGGTTGTGTCTCCCCCCATCTCGGTGCCGCATAGAATATCAGCACTAGAATCCCTACAATCATTAACATGGCATACACTATAAACCCAACACCCTTGATATAATTCCATATTTCAGCCACAGTTTGTGTTGGAGTGTTGACTGGAGCATGCAATACTACTAGTGTGGCACCGAGCAAGCATTGCACGGCCCCGACTTTGCCAGAGAAGGATAAATAGTCCTTGAGAAAAAAGTTGGATAGGAATGCACTGACTACGACTGATACGGCGCCCAGCGGTGTTACTAGTACTGCTGGTGCGAATGCGTCTGTGCAGAATAAGCGATATTAGGACTCGTTAATTTCGGGCAAAAAATCACGATAACGGGCAAGAATAACGCACATGCTACTAGGTTGAAGACTTCTCCGAGTATAGTCAAAACCATACCGGCCCACCACAGTGGGGAGCTCAAATATGGATGTTCCTTTTCAGCTGTTCTGAGATGGCTGGTAGCCTGTTGGATTGAATGTATGTGAGAACATTGCGGAGACGCTGCCAGTTCACGAGCAACAACGTGTCCGTGCCAAGCCCGATACTTTGATTGCTGTTAGTACATACCAATAAAGCCTTTTTGGTGAATACAAACGAAGCACCTACAAAACATGAAAGTTGTTGGTACACTGCAAGCCTGTGTCATTGCTTGTCGGGGTTTGAAGAGCGGTGCAAAGTAATGATTACCAATGAATATGCCACTAGATAAGGCCAAAACAATGCCTATTATCTTGTACATCTATTTAAAAAATATGGGAAAAGATGGTGTGAGAATCAAGGAAGGCAGAAAGTAGCCTAGGAGGGTTGCTTGGGCAACTAATGCAGGCAAGCACTGCGAGATGCATGTGTAAAGTATGGGGGTAACTTACAGGGTTTGCATCAGAGATGCTTCCATCGTCGATGGTTGAATTGTTTGAGCTCATATCCGCTAACTAGTATTGAGGCCACAAGCTCTGCCAAGGCAACCACCAAGGGCAAGAGATACAGGCGACAGGGCTCCTTCTAGGACAAGTGTATCTAATGTACGTAAATAAATGCAAACCTTGGCAACTTTATTATATCTAGAAGGCCGTTTCTCGTATGGTGGAGCGAGCAAGTCGAAGAATACCAAGCCAAGCGAAAGACAAGATCGGTGTGAGTGAAAAGGAACGTGAGAATGTGATGATGGAGAGGCTAATGGGTCCTAGTTCTATGGAATGTATGCTTTCAGAGGCAAGACTTTTGCCAGTTGATCTAGTGCTTTTCAGTGAATTTTTTTGAGGTTACCTCGATGTTGCGGCCTGGTACCGGATTCACTAGATCTAGAACCTATTCACGCTCCACTATCCCTCAAATGTGAGGCATGTCAGCTGGAAATTCGTATAGAAGGCTAGGAGTGATTGCGCCCGTACGCAATTGCTTTGGAGTAAATTGTTGGGATCCATGCCGCTTTGCACACTTGCACGCAGCTACAAACAGTCATTCAAAGTCATGGCACTCGCAGTTGGGTCAACTGTATTGTGTATTCTTTACAGCCTCACATAACAGCCTGTTCATCGAATTCGTCACAGCAGACCGTCAACTGTTGGTTGTGGATTGCGAAAATCACGGTCGAGTCGCCAGTGCTTTGATATTGCATCACGCGAATGTGACTTCCTATAGCAATATAAACCGCAAATTGTTCTCTTTCATCCGCTTGTTTTTCGTTCACATCGTGACAAGCAGTCCCCGAATTCGTCAGTGCCAGCAAAAACTACACACAGCACAGCAACAAGCTTTGAAACAGACAAGCACTACCCTTTCTTAGTATTATATGAGCGGAGGACATACTCGAACAATGGCAACAAGTAAAGCTGCAGGGTAACTACTTCCGTCCCTCCTTCCCTAGTCTCTTTATGTGAAGAGCTTAAATTTCTAAACGCAACAGCCATTTGCAACATCTTTCATACAAGAACGTACGGTAACTAAAAAGCAACATTCTATTCACTAGAGTCCAATCTCAAGTCGATGAAGTCGTGGGAATAATGCAAGTAAGCCCCTTCTCCTCATTTTGGTCGACTTTTTGGAATCTCGAGAATGGCTTGCCGCTCATGTCGCAGTGCATCAAGACTAAATAACTAATAATGAACTTTGGATCTGTTAGGAAAACATATCCAAGGTCCTGCAACGAGGAGAGAACTTGGATACCCTCCAAAACAAGACTGGTATGTAAAAGTTGTTGCCCAAAGGGCTTGCAAACATGATATGGGAGAGGCAACGAGTTTAGAGACAAAGAGACATAATCAGAATGATCATGGCTACTCATATCTGTCATTCCGACGAACAAAGTGTCAGAAACAAGCCCCGAGTCACCACGTGTAGCTCAAGTGTATATTGACAAAACAATCAACATCCTCATCACTCTCCTTTGCATAGAAAACTTGCAAGAATCATCAATGCAATTCAAACGAGGAGCTTCAAAAGTCCGATCTGCAATGTGGTGGAAGGATACCAAGGTGAAATTGATTATAGGAGGAATCGTTGTTACCATCATTCTCATCATCATCAGTGAGTTTCATGTTTATAAGTATATAGGAGGGTTCGGAATGATCTAACAACCTCTTTCTGTAGTTGCCGCTGTGGCTGGTAGCAAGCATTAGAGAGATTCCAAATTTGTAATTATGTCCTGGACTTGTCAGTTGCTGCTTCTTTAACCCCACCATTATCTTTCAAAATATACGATTATGAACTTTCAAGATGATTGTCTCCGTTGTTGCAGTGTCTTGTAGTGAATTATCTGTGGAGTTGGAAGCAGCACTCAAGACTTAGGTGCGCAGAAGAAATGAAGGTACTCAGAACCAATGCTATGTGTAAAGACGGCATATCGACGTGATTTCCTCAACGAATTACCAGATATCTCATGATGAACGCGTTGGATAATAGCAGAAATGGTGTCTTCGTCTGTCTATTCTCAAAACACGAAGGGGCTCAAGAGGTTTGTGGAGCTTTAGGTGCAGTGTCGAGTTGTAGAACCACTCTCTTGTAAACAACACATGGTCCATCAGTCTTTGAATCGTCCTCTGTAGTTTCAATGGCATCAGACTCGTGCTGCAGTCTAGCTGTCAGCAGCTTCATACACAAGCAGGGCAGTTAAAAGCGCTAGCGCTTTATAGCTCGATATGTATACGGGATGATGGCAAATAAATGCCCATTTATGCGTCGAGTTCACAGAATTTGCAGTGTCCAGAATTTTCGGAAATTGGTAAATGATTGGGCTAGCAAGAATTTCTTCCATGCTCGCAACCTAAAATGACAAGAAATTCAGTCGGTGCTTCATTCCAAAACAGTGAATTGGACGTGTTTTCAATGCATCGCTTTTGAGTGTGAAGGACACTAGCATATTGCGTCTGAGTGAAGATTTTTTTGGCGAAAAACACAACGATGAGGGAACCTACCCTCAAGAAGATTGCTCAAAGTGAGCCGGATGTCTCTTCGATACTCAATTATAAATCGGAAGAGGTCTCTATTATGTCTCCGCCCTCCATAAGTATCGGTGATGAGCTGAACGAGGAGCACGAGAGTGAAACGAATTCAGGCTCTTGCAAAGTATCGTTGCATGGAGTCAGTGAGAAGGATATTAGGAAATTCAAAAAGGAGTTTGCTACTATTGCTAGTGATCACCTTGTTTCAGGTACGACGCATTGGTTGGTGTTAGTATCCTAGACTCTAACATATTTGGAAAATAGTGTATCGATGCGCTCTAGAAAAGGAAGTCTTGTGGCAGGGAAAATGTTATGTGTCCAACAACCATATCAGCTTCTATGGAAAGATATTTGGGAAGGGAGCTAAAGTTAGTCTTCCGTGGACAGATGTCACATCAGTTGAAAAGAAGCTTACTGCTGGTATCATACCCAATGCCATCCGTATTAAAACTTCTACTAGTCGTGTAAGAGGTATATCTCACTTGTCGCACCTGACTGATTATTCACACTTTTCTTCGCAACAATAGTACATTCTAACAAGTTTTCTACGACGAGACAATGCTTATACTGATATGATGGATTCATGGTCTCCTAAACGTGAACATACCCCATCTCCAATGTCTGAAGATGCTTCAATCGAAGATAGAGACCGAGAGTTGGTGGGTGGAAGATTACGCTCTGCGTCACAAATGTCAAATCCGAATGATACGTCGAGTGATGCCGGGATTACCACGTTTGCTATACATGGTGTCGAGTCAGATACTGATGAGAGTAGAGCTAGTTCGCCCGTTCATAGGAAGGGGAAGTTGCCTGTGTCGAGGTCGCCTTCGCAGGATAAACTAGCCAAGTAAATCAAACATTGTTTTCCATAGTCTCGTATGACTGTGACTGACGGCTTTGTAACCTTTCTAGTATTCCTGAGGTTGTTACGTTAGCAGCACTACCAACATCGAACGAACTCAGACGGTCTGTCTCAGAGAGCGAAATCGCATCTGACGGCCAGTCTGGTTTCCTGTCTCCAGAAAGGCATACAGGTCCCGTCAAGCAAATATCTCAGCATACGATAACCCTCCCCCGATCATCAGAGTCTCAAAAGCTTTCGAGTGAGACTACGCAACAAACCCTTACAATCAACAATACTCAAAATGCATCGAGCTCCACCACCGCCTCAACCAAATCAATACCTTTGCCAATTTCAGCACCACCCGCACCTAGCCAACTTCAACCAACACCACCACCTCAACCACCAACACATAGCTTGTCGAATCGAAACTCGGCAGTATCGCTTCCATCTTCAGCACCACGAGACCTTCCACCACGTAACAGCCACGACTCACAGCCTCGGCATAGTAATGACTTGTCACCACCGCGGATACCAGCTTCGACACCAGCAGCCGCCATGCTGGATCCATTAGGCGTACTTTCTGGAAAGGCAGACATATTTGCAGAGACGTTGCCTGTTAAGAACACGTCTGTTGATTCTTTGAATAATAGTCCGAGGGGGCAAGCAAGACCGTCTATAGCGGCACAGTATTCTGGATCGCTGGTGAATAATATGAATGATTTCTTCAGACGGTTTGTGCCGCAGGGAGCTTCGGACGGTGGTCCTAGTCTTGGGATTACGAATACGCTTCCAGAGTCAGGATTGAGACAATCTTTGTTGGCTGAACAAACATCGAGTGCTTCATTGTCAAAAAAGTCAATACCTGAAACCACAATATTATCATCTCCAGCAGTCACCGCTCTCTATAAAGTAGTTGAAGCGGAAACTCGTCGTAGAGATAGTAAAGAGACTGACGGCGTTTCATTATCTGGTACTGGGTTGAAGAAATTGGGAAGTGGACTACCACCACCAAGCAAGAACGAATGTGGATGTGAGACACACCCTGAAACAACGTTACTAGACGAAACCGTCGACATGAATGTCAAGAATCTCTTCCACTCCGTGTTTGCTCCGACTGGATGTATCCTTCGTGACGTACATACCCGACGTGGTGCAACAGACTTTAGAGCTAGTGATTGGGAACTCAGGGATGGCAAGTGGTCTGCACGGGAAGTCACGTATAATTTTGCGCAAAGGCCAAACAAGACATCGACGCCATGTTTTGAGCGACAAGTGATTTTGAAGCAGGATGATGAGGATGTGTATGTCGTCGAGTCAACAGTCAAGACACCACAAGCGCCGTTTGGAGACTCATTCCAGTTTGTTAAACGAGTCTGCATGTATCATACGACGTTGGGCAAGACGAGAGTTAAAGTTACGGCCAAAGTTGAGTTTGTAAGGAAGAATGCGTTGATGAAAGGTATGTGTTGTTTCAAATTTTGAAAATCTTTCAAATTCAAATTTCTCATTTCATTGTTTTTGCATGTATTAGATAAGATCGAACAATCCTTACTGGAATCATACACATCTTTCGCCAAAGACCTAATCGCCACAATCCAAGAACATGGTCTCAGTGCATCTCATGCAACACCATCCATGTCTCATGCAGCCGCAATAGCACTTGTCAAAACGACTGCATCACCAGTTATAATCCGTCATCGTCGCAACCATTCCCACCATCATCGAAAAACAAAGTCTGGCAATTGGAAGGTTGTAGACTTAGCCGCTACTACTGCATCGTCCGAAACATCACCAACATCATCATCCCATCATAAACGGACTGTCAGCTCTGTCTCAGCCATCCAGCCCGTCGATGACAACCAAGTAATCGCCGGAATCCAAGGATGGTTTGCTGCTATTTTCTGTGGGCTGCTAATGTCATTCCCAGTATCAGTATGTGAGCTGGTTGCCAAATTGGTCAAGACTGCCTACGAGGCCATAATAGGTGTTTATCAAATGAAACGATCTGGATCACTGAAGCGGTCTGCTTCGGTTATCGCTGCTGCCAATCTACCAAGTATAAATACCGGCAGTCCAAGATCTCGTCTTTGTCGGGAAAAATCAACCGAGCCTGCCACTACTGCTCGAAACCAACGTAAATCCGACGATGGATTATCAGCGCCTTCATCATCCGCATCTCGATTGCTTGTGTTTGTACTCGTAACTGCAGCTACTTTGACGGTGTTTAACGTCTATTCCGTCCTTCAAATCGCCAACCGATTAGACGCTGCTATTGATACCGTGCACCGGGTGTCTCATCATCAGGACAGAGTAGTAAACGAACAGCCTTCTGTAGCATCCGATCAACCACCAGTTAAGAAAGCAGCTAGTATTGGATTGGACGATGCATACCAACGAGCACTTTATCATACCAAGAAACGGATGGATACTTTGTATGCGCATGACTTGAGTGCATTAGAACATCAGGAGATGCTGGTGCAGGATGCTATTGTTAAAGCTAGAATAGAAGTGGAGAACGCAATGTCGTTTCTTGAGCAAGGGCAACAGCATGACTTGATGACCACCACAACCAGTTACTAGTTTCTCAAGTTTAACTAGTCATAGTTATATTTTCTCAAAGTCAAGTTTGCCTTTTATCATTAAATACAAGTTAATAATATAATCAATATAGTGTATTTACAATCTTCATACTCTGTGCAATCTTATCTATCTTTTCACGAATGAAGGATGTGCTCGTTTCGGTATCTTGATCATATACTCTTTCTTGTTCCTTCACGGGCAAATGTGGCAAATCTTTAATGATGTTGTCTTTCATGGCTTTCTTGATCCTCTTCTTGATCTGCTTACGTTCCAGCTCGTCCAACAACAGCGTAAGCCCCTTGAATGATTTCTCAATCGTACCTACGACAACTGACAGGTCTTGTCCATGATCTACTGTTCTTGCTGGTGCAGCCGTAACCATTCCTCGCTTAGCTTCGTGTGGTTCAATAAGCGATGCAGGTACCGACGTGTCCAGATCTATCGACTCTGTCTCATGCTGTTCATGCTGTTGATACTGGTTCTTAATCACAGACATATCCTGATGCACGCCAACACTCACATCCCTCACACGATGCTTCCCACTCGCATGCACATCAATCAAATCTCGAATTACCTCTTCAGCCGCGGCAACCTCCATATGCGACTGTGAATCCGCGTCCCAGTCTGATCCTGCCTGTGTATTATCCGGCACGGATGGAGCCCGTGATGATCTCAGTGAAGGGTCTAGCAGCGCTACGGCATTGAAGGCACGTTGTTTGGGACGGATCCAGCGATTGTTTGATCCGGCGGGTTTCCATGCTGGTTTTGATGTTGGGGTTGTGGGGTTGGTGGTTATGACTACTTTTTTGGATTTTTTCGGTGTGGTTGGATGGAGGGTGTGTGCTGAGATGTTTACACGGTTGAGTGAGGATTGTGTGTGTTGGGTGTGTGAGACTTCGCAGGATACGTGGAAGGCGTTCTGGAGGGGGTCGTGGGCTGGTAGGAGCAGTAGCTCAGAGTCTGGCAGCTAATGAGCGTCAGTGTCAGTACAAAGTATGAAGCCTTTTGTGGTTTTTTTTGCTTGTCTTGAAGTCCAAACGAACTCGCCTCTGAAATAGCATGTCCAGAGTAAATTTCATTATTTTCTCGAATCTTGCGTTGCATAAGGTGATGTAGCACTGGGTCTATGTTTGAAAGTATGTCAGAATGGCAAAAAGAGAACACATTTTCTGCTGCTATACCTATTAGGTTATTCCTCAAATCAAGTAACACAAGCTCCTTGTTGAAATCCAGTACCTGCTGAAACGCCCTCCCACCATGCGTCGTAATCTCATTAAATTGCAAGTCTAGCGCCCGCAACCCAATCTCCTCCCTCAACGCATCAGCCAAAAACTCACATCCTTCATCACCGATAAAATTACAGCACAGATTGACCCTCCGTATCGGCGACGAGTCAGCAATAGACTCTAAATTCTCAGCAGCCCGTGGCAGATCGTCAGATGAAAAGCGAAGTGTCGTAGCCCATCTTGATGCTTGTCTCCGTAATGCCTGGGATTTAAGCAGTTCAGCAAGGAGGGACGCACTGAATGATGTTAAGTTGCATGCCGATACGTTGATGGAGCGGATGCTGCATGATGATTTCAGGCCGGGAGCGATTGCTTTGAATCCGTCGTCGCCGAATCGGCAGTTGGCGAGGGAGAGTTTCCGTATCGATGCGTTTGAGGAAATTGCTTTACCGAGGTTTACTAGGGCCTTGATTGTTAAGGGTAGACCGACAAGGTCCAGTGTTGTGATTGTGTTGTTGAATGTCACATTCTCTTTAATAGCGTAGCAAAGATTCTCTATAATTTTCGTAGATGTACATATCGGTGGTGATCGTCCTGTTTTTCCTAGTCGTGATAGTGCGGCATTCCATAATGCGTATGTTGGCCCAAATCTTGTAGATTCGCCCATAGATGAGACTGCTGCTGCTAGAGATCCTCGATTGTCTAGCATTGCGTTCGAAAAAAGCAACTTTAGCATTGATAATTGCAAATTTTGTGATTCATTGTAAGGTGTTCTTACTACTCCCGACATTCAACGAACAAATAATCCCCACTCCTTTCAGCCCATCACTAGTCAAAAGTGCCTCGAACAGTGCGTTCCATTCAGACTCCTCTCTGATCTTGTCAGCTTGGACTACTAACAAACTCTTTCCTTCCAGCTGGGGTGTTATAACTTCGGCCAACAACTAGTTGGTTTTGTGGGGTTTGATGTTACGGAGAGTTGACGATGAGTTACAGGATATGATGCAGTGTTTACAATCAGAAATGTACTCAATTTACCTGTAACCCTCGAGATTTACAAGAATCGTAATACGACAGAGCAAAGTTGGTCTTCCCTCCATTTTTTGATTTTGCATTGGATATCATGGCCGTGGCAACGTAGAGTTCGAATAGACAATAGAAGCAGAGGGCTAATGATTCTTTATGTTTGTGTGTATTGGTTTACCGCTACTGCCGTGAAAGTGCAGGTTTCGAGACGTTTGTTCTGTTTGTGAAAGAAAGCACGCAAGTGTGAACAACCGCGTGAACAGCAGCTTAAAGCTGAAGTTAATACCAAGGAATCAAGGGACAGCACATATTCGTCTCCTAATGTGATTTCAATAGTCATTCATTTAGAATATGCGAGAACTGAACAATGTGCATGCATATTGTTCAAACCATGTAGGCTCACACCGCCCCAGAACATACCAGTCCATATTCTCAAATCTGGAAGCTCGATGCAAGTTCGAGAAAAAAATGTGGCTAAACCAGCAGTAGGGTTCCGCTTTATGAAGAATGGGGGTCATTTGGTCCTCGAATCACCTTCCACAATTCCTTCGCATCCGTCTCTTGAAACCATCACGAGCCCGAGCCACTAGATCTTAAAATTAAATGACGGCCAAGAAAGATTCCAAGAATAACAAGTCGGCCTCGGGAGGCGTGAATGCCACGACACTGGTATGAGGAATTGGCCAAAATCCAGGCTCATGTGGAAAAAACCTAACGTCCTTGCATTTGTGGACTAGAATCTGACATGGATTGATAGAATAGAGCGCGAGCATAAGGTGGCGTAGAGCTTGTGATGCAGGTAAAACGGTCGTGGACTAACGCAAAAAAATATAGGCTTCGAAAGAGCATACTACCAAATGGGCTGAATACCAAGCGGCTCTGTATCCAGAGAGTGGCGCTAAGCTTCAGCAGGTACAGCGAAATTCCATCTTCAGACACGCATGTCTATTTGGAGATGCTGAACCGATTCTCGTTAGATGAGTCTCTGGAACCCTGCATCATCCATATCATACAAGGTCGAGAAAACGCCCAGACCATTCCCTACTACCCAACACATTGTTGGAATGTCTTCAAGACCGGCTCCTCCCCCAGCCCCAAAGTCTAGATATCATCACCCTGCAACAGAAGGCATGGAAATAGGATGGGTGTATGAGGGCTCCAAGTCCGTGCTGTCGTTAGAGTCAAAACTATTTTAGAGTTTCAAGAACTTCGTTTCCCCCCTTTTTATACCCGATAATTTAATACATAACCAGTTTCTTTATTGCAATGTGTGTGGTGCCTGTTTTGTGTTTACAGATGAGGTTTGATGATTCCAGCCATTATAGCTTCTATGTCCACGACCTCCTTCGGGGCTTCGGCAGACAAGACTATATAGTCTCGCTCACCCACGGCAATGTCATCTTCTATGCGAATACCAGTTCCACACATGGACGGCGGATATCGGTTGGGATCATTTGGTATATAGAGACCAGGTTCTGTTGCATTGTTAGAATTAAAGAGTTGGCAGATGTATTGATATAAATGCTGATGTGTATAGCTAACTCACCAATAGTCACAACCATGCCCTTCACCAAGCGACGGTGTCTTGGAACGTCATCCGTATCATGGACGTCCATTCCAAGACTAGAAGTTTCGTGTTATCTCATTGTGTGAACAGTCATTACAATGAGAACGTCTTTACTCACTAGTGTCCAATGTGATGAGCCAGCAGTGACCTCGTCTCTTCCATAGTCACTCCTCTACCAAACAGAGCTTCCAATTCAGTCTTCAAGAGGTTCATGGCAATACCATGAATGTCATCCAGTGAGACTCGAGCTGCTTCAGTACATTTCTAAATCATCCACACGCAAAATGATGTCAGACGTTGCTGTCACGAAAAAAGAAAATGGAGATGACTCAGAGAATGAGAAACTGTTACCTCAATGCACTCTTTCTGAACCTTCAAAACAGCATTATAAAGTGCCTTTTGTGATGAGTTGAATTTTCCATTGACAGGAAACGTCCTGTTTCCATTCGAGATTGGTCAGACCACGAAACTTTGAGTGTGGAATCTTGACATTGGAAACGCATGGAAACTTGACTCTACCTTGTCACATCCGAAGTATAAAAGCCATATTCACAACCTGCGTCCACCAGCACCAAAGAGCCATCACTAAACACCAAATGAATGTTCACCAAGCCATTAAGTTACTTCATAACATTCCCCGCTCTTACTTCATAACTTGCTCGTTTTTGACGTAATGTATCGCCAACGCGTTCAATCCAGAGGCCACAACAGGTACATAACTCAATCCCCAAGCCCCTTGCCTCTTCACATCATACTCGATTCTGGCATGTAGCCAAGACTCGAACAACCCGATCCGTGTCCGTGACATTGCGCTTTGAAATGCTCGGCCTGTTATTCGACCAGCCGTTCTCATGAGAGCGATTTCCGCATCTGATTTGATCAGTCTCAGTTCTCGTAAAAAGGGCTTGAGTTTAAACACTTTGCTCTTGTTTGTGCTGCTGGTTTTACTTGCACGTTGCCTCCTGCCAAAGAAGGACGATAATGCACCGATGGACGGTGTATTGTCTTTGGATGCCGCCGCATGTTGCGAAGTGCTTGTTTGAATGCTGGTGCCGGCTAACGTGGACGACCCAGTGTCGAGCGTCGACATATCCAGATCTGTATATATAGGTCTCGAGCCATTATATAGTTCCTGCAGTATTGTTGGGAGTATAGAAATCGACTTTGCCTGCAACAAGGAGCGTTAGTGATGAACATACAGTCCATGTATCAGAACCTTACTTGATCAGCTCTAAAGACCTCTTTAGCTCCATCCAATCCAGTTCGTGGACCATCCCACCTGTCTGAATGTGCATCTCTTGGTTTACAAAACAAGGTCATTTTGTATCCTCTCGGTATTGACACATTCTTCTCCAACATCAGCACTACGTCGGGCTCTGACATTCCTGTCAGGTATAGCAAATCAGTTGTCTGATGAAACGGATAACTAGAATGAAATGTAATGGTCAGCTTAGAGTTGCATTGGAGCAAAACAGCACAAGCTCCTTTTACAATATCCCGTTAGTCATATATCGCAATCCATGTCCACAGACAATCAATATTGCATCATCAGCCTTGATGGATTCGACTAGACGTCGCCTTCTCTCTTCGTACTCTTCACTCAAAATCTTGGGTGCGAGATCGTTTGATGCAAAATGATGGTTTGTAAAAGGAGTCGGCTGGCCTGCGGAAGGCTTAATTGGCATTGGCATTGGTATCTGTGACGGTATTTCTATAGTTGCGGCGGTGGTCGCTGCTGAATTGTAGTATCTTGAACTTTCACGAGCTCCGACTACTAGCAAAGGCCGTTGGGAAAGACTTGAGCTTCTAGCTGATGCCGACTGATTTATGGCTTGCCTGGCAACCGCTAGCCCTCTATTCCGGAGCGAACTCATTAAGATTTTGTTAGTTGTCTAGCAATTTGTGGAAAGGTATTGAAACACGCATACCAAGACTTCGAGCAAATTTAACCCAGAAGGATAACACGGTTCTCTTGTATTCACGCCACGATCTACGCTGTTGCAGAATCGTCTTCGTAATCGCTTCAAAGAACTGACAAGGAACTAATACTGATTTTGTGTTAGTGTGACCTGGACGTTTGATGTTTGTTCTGAACGCGATATCAATAGTAGAACTGTTGTTTTTTCACTGATTTATTACATGATTGCCGAAATAAAGATAAATCGAGTACACAGCTTATTGCGAGAACAGAGCCAACATATCAGGTTCATCACTCATGTCTACAGGCGAGAATCCCTTGTTATTTTTTAGCTGGGGTTGAGCACCGTGTTCGAGTAGCAGCTTAACGAGATCCTTGGCCCCTAGTAAGGACGCCAAATGTAAAGCCGTGTTTCCACCACCGAAGGTGACATCCAAATCCTCCTTGAAGGTTCTTTCAGCAATGTCATTAGCTATTGAGTCTTGTCCTACTAGTAAGGAGTACTGCAAGGCTGTCATCTATTAGAGGTTTTGCTAGTGAGTTCGTAGGTACTTGACGACAACATGCCCGACGAGCATCTCACTTGTCCGAGGTAAGCCCTACGCATGTGGTGAAGATAGCATTTAGTTCAACAAGACGTCCCAAAATAGCAATATGGTCACCCGATTGCAACTCACCCACAAAACTTGTAAAGATCCAGTTCAATGGCTGCATCAGGTTTGGCAGTTGGATCACGGTGTTTTTGAGTCAATAATGTCTTGTCATTGAGTAACAGTGCTCTAACTTTATCAGAATCGCCAGCCTTGATGGCTAACATACAAGTTTCGAGTAAATACAATGTTGAGTGGATCTCTTTGACAGAGGTGTAAGACCATGAACAAAAATGTTCATGGTCAAAATCAGCTTCGTGATAGTGTAGAGATATCTATCTCCATTTTACCTTCAAACACATTCTATTGTAGAAACTAGGTGTTAAAAAACGGGGTTTGTTGTTGTGGGCGCGATGGACAAAGCAGGGTATCAACCAAATAGATGGTGACTAGTTCCAGGCTAACATACCTCTATAGTGGCCATTTGGATGCTGTAGGATACTTATTATCTCTGATCCCCTCAAACACCTGGAGTCTATTGTTGCAAAATGGTTCAATTTGGAACTCAGTTAAAATGGTTTCCGACATTTCTGGCAGGACGAAATCCGTCTTTTTGAACCTTTAGAACGATGCTTACAATAGCGTAAACCGATCGTGAGATCGTTGGTGAACGTGATCAACGTGATTCCAAAAGGATAGGTGGTCTCTTACAAACAAATCACGAAGTAAGTAAGTAGTATTAATGAATATAAATTAAGGCATAAATTAAAAAGTAATAAACTAACAATGTCATTCAAGTCTAGAATGTCGTAACATTCACACCGATTCTGGTCGTGTTTCCTAATGGCATGACGCCTTGTGCACGAGCATCAGCACAAACTTGTTTCCAAGCATGTGGGAACTCCAGGTCAGCCAATTTTTCTTGGGCCTCAACTAGGTAGACTGCGAACCCCAAATTCAAATGCCAGTCGCTAGAAGGAAAACGATCAAGGTTAGCAAGAGAGTGACGAATGAAGAATAACGAAATGAATCGTCGTACAAGTGACAGTGGGAAGCCCAGACTCCTGGGTTGTTGGCAACATATCGTACAGTTAGCCATGTACCCTGCCAAAGAATTGTGAACTGTTAGTTTCGTTGCAATGAAAGAAAGCACCGGAGAGAGAACTACAGAGAGTACTTACTCCATTGACGGTAGCTACATCTCGAAGTGGTGTGTTTGTTGCACCCTTGGTCAAATTCGTGATACCAGATTCGATATCGGCAAGAGTGGGCAATATTGTCTGTCCTGTAGCATCGACTTGTAAGTTACCGGATCCCACGACCCAAAAGTTGTGTCCGTGTAAATGAAGCGGGTGATCGATTGGAATTGGTGCGAGGATATTGATCCAAGTTAATTCAACTACATCTCCACCAGGAGTCGCTAGTAAAGTGATTACATTGAGTAAACAGTACATAATATACTCTTTGAGCAGCAGATGATGATACCCACCAATAGCATTCCACCCTCTTGGGAAGTTTGCCTTGTTAGTAGGGGAGACAAGGTTGTTGCTTTTAGCACCAGCTACTGCATATTCGAGCGCAGTGACGTTGTCGGGGTTCCATGTAGATCCACCAAATAGACCAACTATTTCGTCATCAATGTATTGGTAGACTGAAGCAAAGTTGTATCGCTGTCCGGTAGCATTGTCGTTTGCAAACTATTGGGGGTGGCTGATTAGAAGCGAGTCCTACAAGGCCACACGAAGTGAAATTCGATACTTACTTGGAATTCATACAAGAGCCTCGTGCTTGGAGTCATGTCCGTGATTTCTGGAACACTTCCTTCAGTTGGAGGAGCCCAACCGACGACAGTCTTGTTGACGTTTTGCACGAAACCAGATCCATATAGTTGCAAGGTGTCATTGGCATTGACTGGAACTTGGATTGCTGGTGTGTTTGAGCCATCAACTCGGATGTATCCAAGGTTAATCGCTTTCAAACTGACGTCAGGGAACTATTAACAGCAAGGGTTTTAGAAACGTATGTCATCAGTACGCGTACTGCAAAAGCACAACTTACAGCAAAACGGAACTGGGTCAAGGCTTGCATGGTGAAGAGTCCTGAGGAGAGAGTGTGGGCGTCGACGACGAATGAAACACGTTGTCCAGGTTCTATTTGGTCAGACAGGGTTAGAGAACCATCACAATGAACATATCAGAGGAGGGTGTACCAATAAAGATCTGATCCACTGGCGTAGGCACAGTCTCAACACCATCGGTTTCAACAACGTAAAGTTTAACACCCGGAATTTGGAAGACAAATCCAGAAAACGCAGCCATGTTGATAACTCGCACCCAGTATTTCTTGTCTGAGGCAAAATCCAACGTAGAATACAGATCACTTCCACAGACAGTGGTGTTTGGCTCAAGATTAGCAGCCACTAGAGAGCTACAGTTTCCTTGACCACGACCGTTGATCAAAACAGAGTCCGGGGTGGGTGGGATTCCGTTAATGGGGCTTGAGAGATTCTAGTTGGTTGAATAGCTCTCGGTTAGTCTGTAGCGCCCCTGTTTCTAGGATTGGTACGCCACTCACAAAGAGGTTGTTGAAGAGAACGTCACCATTGCCATGGTACCAATCTGATAAAGTAATAAGAGCATCGTGACTGCCTTTTTGTACTTTGCTGTAAGTTTTAGGCAAGATGACGATTGCTCCACTATTCGGTGCGAGGTGTTTGCGTCAGTTCAAAAGTTGACAACTGTTGTAACAAAGACAGGTGGTAACTGGAAGAATTATGCTTTACCGTTGTCCTTCTCCATACTGGGTCCTGTAGTGAGAATGGTACCAAAATGTTCCACTTTGCTTCAAGTACATCGTATAGGTGTATTGATGACCGTCCACAATAGGACATTGAGTAACGAAACTGACTCCATCGTTGATTTGAGTTCCGTTTTGGAAGAGGCCATGCCAGTGCATAGTAGTAGGCTTACCGCTCCCAAGTCTATTGACCACCGTTACTTGTAGAGTCTCGCCCTACCGTTTAAAGTTTCCATTTTGAGACGTACACTTTCATAAACAACTCAAATAATTCATTATGAAGTATCATAAACAACTCAAATAATTCATTTGACTTACTTCATAAGCCACAATAGCAGGGGCTGGGAACTGTCCATTGACCAATATACCATCAACCAAGAAACCGTCTGGCGAGACTTTTCCATACGACACTGTAAGAGTTACGTGACGGACATTGTTGCTGACTACTGCAGGTACAATGTTTGAGCCGACAAGGTGTAATGGATCTTGATGGTTGTCCTCTTGATGTCCGTAGTCTCCTTCGTGGTGGTTGTTTGAGAACTTGCCGACATTCGTGTTTTTCGAATCATCGTCCCTCCAGGAAGGCCCATTAGCACTAACAGAGTTGAAGAATAGAGTTCCTAGCAGCGAAGCCCATATTAAATTGGGTCTCATTTTTGGCTGGTGTTGCTAGTAAGTGCTCTACAAAAGGTGAAGTGTAAGTAAATTGTTGAGAAAATATTCAATGTAAAATCAAATACTGCTTTAACAATCTAAGATAGTACACATACCTTCAATGGGCTCCTTTCCGGACTGTCCTAAGTTTCGTGGATGTCGAGACTTGTAGAAACCACAGATTTGTGTGATTGACTTCACTAACTATTTCAGGACTTAGAATAGACACGGAAAATGTAATAAGAGAGTTCCGGCATTTAGGGGCTAATCTTGTAACTATAACTTGCACAGTTATTTTTGTACCCTGGAGTGCTCTTCTAGAAGTTCGCGTCTCACGTACGTCTTATCTGCGGCAGCTGTCCTTGTTTTTTCTTTTCTACTAGAGTGTTTTCAAAAACTCTTGCAACTAATACCACAGCGAAGCACAATAATATCGTAATAACTGAATTAATTTGTAATGTTTTAACGCAGTTTACTTTGAAAATGACTATGTTTCCAGTTTGAAATTGGCTTGAAAACAAACACGTCGTTAACCTGAACGAGTTATGACCTAAAGACCCACTTCAGGAGTTCAACCCGATCAGAAATAAGACAGGAGAAACCATGCAAAAGCCCAATTTTGGTGGAATTTCTATTTCTTAACCAAGATACGGACAAAAAAAACTTTACCACACCTAGCACAAAGCACAGTAGTCTGGCTTCCTCTACTCCTCTACCGCTTTTCACTACCACTGATATCCTTCGATAGTACCAAGCTGATAATCAACGAGGGGCCAAAAGCAGCTTGAACATCACTTGTAAAGCTGGAAGGTCCAGTACAAATCGACCCTGAAAAGCTAGAACTCCAGTACAAATCCACCCAGGATTTCATCAGAGCCTACTGCAAGAAAGACCAGAGCACGAAGAAGTTCTATTGGAAGCAGTAACTAATTTTTAGAAATCGTTTCAACAACATCCAACATAAATTGAGCATATTACCTTGAGCACTGAATGGTTGCGCTGCAGCTGGAGTACCGTAATTGTTGGACATATTGACTTCAACTAGAAGTGGAGACCAGTTTGTGAGCCAAGCAAAAATGCTACGCGAGAATGATGGATGTAAACGTACATTGACGAGTTGCCCATAATCGGACACAGAAACGAGAATCATTACGGTCCATCAATTCTGGCATTCAAGAAGTCAGATTACGCAAAACGATACGATGTGCAACACATACCGTTTCTTACCAGTGAATACGCTAAATCAATGATGATCGCGCGAAGGAGCTGGGGACAGAACCAAAAAAACAAGACTTTTCGTGCAACGTGTAGCAGAGAAGCTCACCCATTGATGAAAGCGCATGGCAGAATGGACAGACACCTTGAGTGCTCGCACCGAAAAGGAATACTTTGAGACCGGGATTATCGCTAACCCAGTGGGACGTCACACCAGTGAGCTGTTTCAAATGGTGTGAGACTCGTCGTACCGAAGTTTTAAGCAAATACAAGACTGATTTCTTACCAGAAGCAGTGAAGGCTGCAGACCATGGAATCCCAGGCTTGTTGTTTGTAGACAGGCGGGTTTTCTGTAAGATTTCGGCAAGGTTGACTAGAGAGCGGTAGGCTGCAGTTGTAACCAAAGCTGATCGTTTGAGATTTCGATATGAAAAGACTAGATGCTTGTCATCGTAAACGTCAACTAGCATCAAATGTACTATCTCAATTATCTCAAGAATGTCACATTTCATATCCTTGAAACGGCGATAAAGCACTATGCACGGGGATAAATATAGTGAATATCACGTTAAATCGGTGTGTTCCAAACAAGTCTCTGTCACTTGCAGGTGCAGTTTTGAGCCTCTCTTCAAAAAGCAATCACAACATCCAAAATCTTTGACGCATTCCGCATTTGCCAAACCATGGAAGCTTGTTAGTTAGCGGGAGGTCGTGGATACTTGTCGTAGAGGCAAGTGCTCTTTCGCGGGGAGTCAGAAACCATCCATGCTTCTTCGTGCGATATGCATAATCTTGCAATTTCTTTCTCTCTATAACTTAGTTCCATTTCCGAGGTTACTGGGCCAACTTACAACGTCCCTTCACGTGTTACATGGCACGTCGTATATTGGAAACTGATGAAGCAATAGCTGCAGAACTTGGCTTGCCAAACTTTGGAAATGTCGTGGATGAGAACAAGCTGTTGAAAATAAGACAGGTTCTTGAATCTTTCAAGGCCAGACATCCAGTTCGGTATCACGAATTGGAATTGGAACAAAACTTGAGTCAAGAGCTGAATGTTCTCGCCAAATGTCTGAGTTCACAAGGACGAGGTTTGTTCGTGGAATCTTGCAGCTATTTTCGAGACGGTGATGTGACGCTCACACACGAATTCATAGGATTTTTGCAAGCTTTCCAAGATTCTGTAAAGCTCGTTCCGAAGAAACTAGCTCTACGTGAGTGAGAAGCCATCAAAGTTTCCATCGACTGACGTTAACTCTGACGGCACTTTTAGAATGTGAAAACAAGACCTACACATACGAGCAAGTTGAACTGCAGAGTAACAAGTATGCCAACTACTTTCTGGCAATGGATCGCTTCAAACCAAAGGACGTTGTCGCAGTGTTTATTGAAAACAGTCCAGAACTGATATTCATCTGGTTGGGTCTCAACAAGATTGGAGTTGCTGTCGCTATAGTAGACTCGAGTCTACGTGGAGAGCCGCTGATAAAGGCGTTTGGGGCTGTGAAACCAAGAATGGTCTTGTTCGGTGATACTTTGGCCAAAGTCTTTCTGGATGAATTCGTGTGGGAGCTTGGAGGCAATTATCTTTTGTTGTGTGCTAGTACAATTACTGGTAGTGGTGCGTCTCATGCTGAACGTCTAGAAGCCTTGAACGAAAACTGAGAAACCAGTCATTGGTTTTAGGAAGAACACACATACCCAAGATTGCAGCTGGAAGCTTGAAAGATGGTTTGGCTCCATCATCAGTACTCGCTACAAAGCCAGATGATGTTGCCTTGATACTACTTGACGGCGAGAATCAACCTCAACGGATCACTAGTTCGTCGGCTTTGGGTACAGTAGTGTTTTTTGTTCTAAATTGACGTCTGCTTACTTGAACTCGATAGCCATCCCGTCACGTATATGGAATGGTTTGAGCTTGACAGATCAGGATTGTGTCTATTCAGCTGTAAGCAGCAAATGGTTTGCTCAATCGTCTCCTTTTTCCAACATCTGCTTTTTTGGTTGCTAGTTACCACTTCATCACTACTCTTCAGCTCTCATGGGAATGATTGGTTGTTTGTCTCACGGTGCAACACTGATACTGTCTCGCAAAGTGTCTCTAACGAAATGGTTTGACGATTGTCGAAATACACAAGCGACAGTAATGCTATACAATGGTGAGCTATGCAGGTATGCCATGCACCAACGACAATTCGACATTTGCCTTTTGATGTTGCTTTTTTGGTTGTTTACCTCATTCTTACGCGGTTTAGGTATTTGCTCAACACGCCTCGTAGTCCAATAGACAAGCTGCACAGTCTTCGAATCGCTGTTGGAAGTGGCATGAAGGCAGATATCAATGACGCGTTCCGGTCAAGATTCAAGATGTAGGACAGTGTGAATACTTCGTTGATACACATTCGAGACTAAACCCCTCTCTTTTGCGCAGAAAACAAATCGGGGAATACAGCGCTGCCTTCCTATACAACCTACAAACGGACGATAGCCATGAGTCCATGGCAGCTTGTGGTCGTGCCGGATTGCTTCTCAGGTAGCATCTGAAACATGTGTTTCCTTCAATAACTCAAGTCGTTTTCGTATTAGAAACTATTCTAATGGCTTCAAAATCGTCAAATATGATACAAACAAGTCTCTAGCCCGTGATAACACGGGACGCTGCATCGAGGTATGAATAGAGGAGTTGACATTCTATTTGTCACTCCAATCAGACCAAGTTTTTTTTGTGTAGTGTGGAGTCGACGAGCCAGGTGAACTCCTCATTCAGTCAAATAAGTGTCTGTACAGCTCTGGAAGCGTACAGGACGTATCTGAGTCCGGAGATGCATATTGCCGTACAGGACACCTCGTCGTCAGACGGGCTAATTCGTATGTAACCCACTGGGGTCGTATTGAGGACTTGGAATTTTCAGTACTAGAGGGATTAAGCACGGCATACATCACCACTATCTGCAACACCGTTCCGTATGTGTTTGAAACTTTGGTCTATGGTGTGAAGGTGACGGACAGAATGTTTTTGTGTGTTGGGATGGTGCTGTCACAACCCAAGGCATTCAACGGCAAGAAGCTTGCTGAACATTTGAAGGCTCGTCTGCCAGATAGTTCGGTCAGTGTTGCTGTCTTGTTGTGACTGCGATTGAATGTTCGAAAGCTAAAACGGTTGATTGCTCTAGGTCCCCCGGTTTGTGAGAATTTTAACGTATGGACAGCATCTGAATGCTACGTACGATACCATGTCAACCGAACGATTGGCAAATGAAGGCGTTGAACCGCCGAAAATGGGCAAAGAGACGATTTTTATACTTGACGATAATCGAGGATATGTTCCGTTTGGACCAACACAACTAGCATATATAAAATCTGGGCGTTCCAAAATATAGAAGGCTAATTTTAAGGCACTAGGAAACCATAACGTGGCTCCAGAGACGCTTTAGTGGGGTTCAAATGACTTCAGATTTGCCTGCAGCTGATTGGCTAGGGCACTACCGCAATAAAAATGTGTGAGCGCAAGCCTTCGCAAACAAAGGCATTTGATTGGTCAGGGCAAGACGCCGAGAAGTTGTTGGTTTTGGTGGCTTGTTTTGGAACCCCAACAACTCCCATCACTCCAAAAAACTGAAATAATATCTACACACTACAAACCCAACCAAATTTATCGCAAACATGAACGATGGTATGTACGCTTGTCATCGCTTAGCAGTTCTATATCGTTCTCGTTCTTTAAATGAACAAGAACCGTGTTTTCTTGATATTTGGCGGCAACCTGTTGTTTCTTCAAGATATAGCCTCAATAAGCAACTAGAACAATACTAACATATATCTTACTTTTATGTAGATGTCGCTGCCGTAAGTATCTGCCCTCCTTCACTCAAAAGATATCTTCATTGTCTTGCATTTCAAACATTTGTTGACATTACAACACATGTCATTCTTAGCTCGTTATTGACAATGGATCCGGTATGTGCAAGGCCGGTTTCGCTGGTGATGATGCACCAAGAGCTGTAAGTCACCATCCTTCTTGTTATTCATTCATCTTGTTGCTTCGTTGATGTTATCTCTTGATGACAATGTTGTTGTTTTTTTGCATGAAACATCAAACCCACGTACAAAAGCGCGTCTTTTTTATTTGTAGTCAATGTATCCTGATCACTAATTGAATATCCTCGCATTTAGGTCTTCCCATCCATCGTCGGTCGTCCCCGTCACCAAGGTATCATGGTCGGGATGGGCCAAAAGGATTCTTACGTCGGAGATGAAGCTCAATCCAAGCGTGGTATCCTTACCTTGAAGTACCCAATTGAACACGGTATTGTTACCAACTGGGACGACATGGAAAAGATCTGGTATGTCGCATAGGTCTGCATGCGAGTGGTGTCGTTTTTTGTCGTGTCAAACAAATGCTAATGACCATTTATTGTTTCGATTAGGCATCACACTTTCTACAACGAATTGCGTGTCGCTCCAGAAGAGCACCCAGTTTTGTTGACTGAAGCCCCACTTAACCCCAAGGCCAACAGAGAAAAGATGACTCAAATCATGTTTGAGACATTCAATGCTCCAGCCTTCTACGTCGCCATCCAAGCTGTATTGTCCTTGTATGCTTCTGGTCGTACCACTGGTATCGTATTGGACTCTGGTGATGGTGTTACCCACACTGTACCAATCTATGAAGGTTACGCTGTAAGTTATTTGATAGGTGCATTACTTAACTCTATCGTTATGATCAAAAGCAACTTCTTAACCTTCTTTTTTGTCCATTCATTAGCTTCCCCACGCCATTCTCCGTCTGGACTTGGCTGGTCGTGACTTGACCGACTACTTGATGAAGATCCTCACTGAACGAGGCTACTCATTCACCACCACTGCTGAACGTGAAATCGTTCGTGACATCAAGGAAAAGCTTTGCTACGTTGCTTTGGACTTTGAACAAGAAATGACCACCGCTGCTCAATCATCTGCTTTGGAAAAGAGCTACGAATTGCCTGACGGACAAGTCATCACCATCGGAAACGAACGATTCCGTGCTCCTGAAGCTCTCTTCCAACCTTCCTTCTTGGGTTTGGAAGCTGCTGGTATCCACGAAACTACCTACAACTCAATCATGAAGTGTGACGTCGATATCCGAAAGGACTTGTACGGAAACATTGTCTTGTCTGGTGGTACCACCATGTAAGTACCATTGCATTGGTTGAAACTCAAGTTTAGTTGGCTGTCAAGATGAGCTCGATACTTACATTCCGTCCATCGTCTTTAGGTACCCTGGTATTGCTGACCGCATGCAACGAGAAATTACCGCTCTTGCCCCATCATCCATGAAGATTAAGATCGTCGCTCCCCCAGAAAGAAAATACTCTGTCTGGATCGGAGGTTCTATCTTGGCTTCTCTATCTACCTTCCAACAGATGTGGTACGTTGACAGTATTCAATCGTTTGTTTGTATGTTGTTACCGCACAAGAGAGACGAGTTCTAATTGTTGCCCTTTCTTCAATCAATAGGATCTCCAAACAAGAATACGACGAATCAGGCCCATCCATTGTCCACCGAAAATGTTTCGTAAGTTCACAAGATGGTTATCTTTTTGTTGCTTTCGACCTCTGAATCGAAGCAATATGCTCATTGGCTGTCATTTTTCAAATCTAGTAAACGTATTGCTTGTGCGTGTGTTACTATGACATTATCAGTTATTCGAATGGGGGTGTCATTGGTGTCGTTTCTTCGATTTTATCAGTATGGTTGACGTTAACTTGTAAAAAAATCCAGCACTTTTTATACCACAACAAATGATTTCGTAAAAACAAAAATCTGACCTTGCGCGACTGCGTTGGTTCGCAGGAGGAAAAAAGGAAGTTTGACTTTTGCCATATCATAACATTTCCTTTTCTACATTTTGTTTTACAAAAGATTTACTCTACTTCCTCCTCATATGTGATGATGATAATGAATCCCTCTATACACCGACAGCCTTGTAGGGCCCCCTCCTTCAAATGTCTTCACCAAATCCCCTCCACTAATTCATTTTTGGGAAGCACCTCCTTTTACAAGCCCATCATTGACCACCCTTCCGAAGCAGACCAAAACTGGTGTATCAGCGTTGCCAGTAGAGCCAAACTGCAAAACCACAGTACGGAACAAGCGGCTGTAACAAACAACCAATCTCGTAGTGTCGGTATGATTTTGATTACAGTTACATCACCCTTCCTCGCTGTACCAGTTTCATGACGGAATTCACCACGTTCGAAAAAGTCGACTAGTTTGGCATCCTTTTCGTAGAATCTGTCTCGGACCCATAGGTTGAAGGATTCTTTACGTTCTTCATCTTCTGTTTCTGCTGTTGTTTTAGTGGTTGTGGTGCTGGTGTTGTTGGTTGTATGTCGCTTATGGGTGCCGTTGCTAGTACTGACATTGTTGTTATTCCTACTTTTCCTAATACTACTACTCGATTCCTTGGCTTCAGGAGGTGACATTCCAGGCAAACTAGCCAAATCGAATCGTTTCACATGGATGTAAACCCTTCGTGGTCCATTTCCAGCAAAATACACTGTAGATGGTAGATGCTTATAATACGGTATTTCATCAGCACTTATACCCGAGTATCCTATAGTCAAATCATACAATGTTTGCAGCTCGGGCTGTAGATTCGTACAACAATACTGTAGTCCTGTAGATCGTGGCAGTAATACATGGACGGGGTGAGGTGATATATCCATCTTTTTGGCATATTCGTTCGACAGTTTCTTTCCTGGTGGTGTGTTTAGGGTACCTTCTGGAAAGATTATTAGCCAGTAGGGGAGGCCGTCTTTGCGTAGGTTTGTCATGCGGGTGTGGATTAATTGTTTGTCGAGAGCCCATTTCCTCTTCAAGAAGATAAAGTCGAAAAACCACATTCCTTGGCCGGCTGTGTGTTAGGTGGTTTGATGTTGTGAGAAATGGTGAATCTAGAGCTTGACAGCAAGTATTCAAGGAGAGCTTACCTATCGGTATGTACTTTAAGATGTCCATGAGCATTATAAATAGGTCGCCATGTGAATACGATCGACGGGCTAGTAACCTAAGAACAAATTGACTTCGGGTGTCAGCGACTGTATTCTGACAGCGGAAGAGAGAAGTGACGGAGTGGACAAGACAAAGAAAGAGAGACGGTCATTCGACTGGATATTTTGTCCAAAATCACTCCACATGGTTCAAGCTCGAGTCTGCACAACAAGGACAACAACTCACCAAATCCACCACCAGTCAGTATAAGTTTGGTGATTTGCCATTATGACAACCTATGATTAAAAATAAAAGTAAACACCGCAATAAGGCACAATTTCCAAACGCGCCAATATCTTGCTGGCATTACCTGTTGTTCTTTTGCCAATCTGTCATAATCGCCCGTCAGGACTAGCTCGATAGGACCAGCACAAGCCCAAGTGACAATGACAATCCAACTTGCGAATACTTGCTGCGTATACCGTATATACGTTCTATACGCCTTCCTTGAAAACACCAGAAGTACTAACGACGGCAATGAGCACACATTGACTGCGGAAGCAACTGCCAGGAACGATGAGAGGAACACTAATGCGCCTGTTATTGTGCGGAGCCAGCTGCCTGGTCTAAATAAGGACACCATTGGGTGCTGCTAAGGTTTGATGTTTGGATTAGGAGAACAGACAATAATGATTTGGTGAGTGTTTTGGAGATGCCACAAGCAAAATTCCTTGTTGGAGAAGTACGAAAAGGTCAATTTTTCGCGTTTTGAAGCATGGGGATATGATGCCCGATGGAGATCTTCGTTCTCTATGATTCTAACACGTGTTTTTTATCGTTTCTTATAGTCCCGGCTGGAATCTGCCACTTTGTGGTGACTTTTCGCACCAGGCTGCTAATAAGATAATAATGTGTATTTGTGCAGAAGAGGACTTGCTATTTCGCAACATTCTCACATTCAATTGACTTCGTTTGCTGAAAGTGCTTGAGTGCTCCTCGGCAGAAGTCTGTTCCGTTTCGCTCTGTTCTTTTTTGCAACACCCATACCCACTACATCATCACCACGAATAGAAGACCTTAAAGGTATGATTGCAGCTTGAATCGAAGCTTAGGACCGTCCACTAACAAGCTACTTCGTCTCTAGTTCAACCTTGAATCTAAAGGAAACATGGCAACTCAAGTAGCTACCACCAAATACTCGGTGGGAGAAGTAGCCAAACACAACACTGAAGATGATTGCTGGATCATTATCAACGAAAAAGGTACGTGAATGACCGTACTATAGATCCTCTCTGAACCCTCGTCAATGATCTGTTTACTCACACGGCACACAAATTTTAGTCTACGAGTAAGTTCTTTGTCAAGCAACCACCAGTTTCGAGGCGCGTGCGACATATGGGCTCTTCACAAGTGTCGTTTCGTAGTGGTTGCTCTGCATTGGACGTAGATTCTCTCGTTACTTGGTGCCAATCTATGCACGAAACACCAATGCAGATGCTTCTAGCACGACGCACATTTTGACATTAAGGAAATCATATCTCATACATGCAATTCCTTGATTTTAGCGTCACCGACTTCCTCGAGGGTCACCCAGGAGGAAAGCGTATCTTGATGTCAGTTGCTGGCAAAGACGCTACCACGGCTTTCGCCAACTTCCACAAAGTCGCAGCCGTCATGGCCTCTTACGGAAACAAGTTACAAATCGGTGAATTGGACGGTGCCCACAAGGAAGCCCCCAAGCCCAAGTCTGACTTGTTTGGTGAACTGATCCCGTAAGTTCTCCTAGGAGTGACGTGGAACATGATCACAACTCAATTTTTTTTTTGATAATAGATACGGCGACCCTAACTGGTACCAAGGATGGAAATCCCCCTACTACAACGAATCCCATAAAGTATTGCGAGCATTCATCCGTGACATTGTCGACCGTGAATTGCTACCTTATGGAGAAGAATGGGACCGTGCAGGTGCTATTCCAAAGTCGGTTTACAAGTCATGGGGCGAACGCGGTCTTTTGGCTTGTTTCTCTGGTGCCCCATGGGTATGATTTTTGCCTGCTTACAGAATAAGCGTCGTGAATGTCGTGCATATTTTTTGTTGACACGGTGAGGTCAAGCCCCAAACTCATTCTTTTGTATTTATTGTACACAGCCCAAGGATGCTCCATATGAACCACCATGTGGCATTCCAAGAGAAAAGTGGGACACATTCCATTGGTTGGTCGTCTCTGACGAACTTGGACGATGTGCCAACGCTGCAGCTGATGTCTTGACTCTGTGTCCTTCCATCGCTCTACCCGCAGTAATGAACTTTGGTTCTGAAGCCCACAGGAAACAATTGGTACCCTCTGCTTTGAGGGGTGAAATCACTGTCGCTTTGGCTATCTCTGAACCATACGCCGGGTAAGCTGGGCTGCAATGAGACAATCTATATATTTGCTCTAATTCTTTCGGATTTTTTTTAGCTCTGATGTCGCGAACATTTTGACCACCGCAGTCAAAACCGCAGACGGACGACACTATATCGTTAACGGCGAGAAGAAGTGGATTACCAACGGAACTTGGGCGGACTGGTTCGTCACCGCCGTCCGAACTGGAAAGCCAGGTTCTGGAGCTGCTGGCATGTCAGTCATCTTGATCCAACGTGGTGCACCAGGATTCAAGATCCGTAGTGTCCCAACTCAAGCTGGAACCGGTGCCGGTACCTCTTACTTGACATTCGACAACGTCAAGGTCCCAGTTGAGAACCTTATGGGTGAAGAAAACAAAGGATTCAAGATCCTGTGAGTGATAAAAGAAAATGGCCTTTGCAGCAACAACAACATGAGGACTAACCATCTTTTCCGACGTTTAGCATGTTCAACTTCAACAAGGAACGTCTTGGTATCTGCATGGGTACGCCACGATCTGCCAGAATGTGTTACGAAGAAGCTATGCGATACGCAAACAAGCGTAAGACCTTTGGTCAATACTTGATTGAACACGGTGTCATTCGAAACGTACGTATTTGTGATTTTCTTTATTGATGAGAGTCTCCTTCCAAGCTGCAGCCTGTTCGATTGGAAACAAACTCAGCAATCAAGTCAATAAAAAGGGACAAAGTCTCACAAATTCTGAATTCAAACAAATAGAAATTCGGTCACATGGCTAGAATGATTGAAGCTACTCAATCATGGTTGGAATTGGTATGCTACCAATGGGACAAGGTAAGATCAATGAATATGTCGTGGTCTCGCCATTGTCGTGTTTTGCTCACCAATGTTTTATCTATCAGATGGACAAGAGCGATGCCGACCTAAAATTGGGTGGTGCTATTGCTGTAAGTTATTGTAATAAAACTTCAGTTTCTCCAGAATCCTTTACTGACATTATAACTTCGCCTTCTCATAGCTCCTCAAGGCTCAATGTAAACCAAGCACACAATTCACAGAAACTTCGCTCCTGAGAGACTAACACCATTTTAAACTCTTCCCCTTATAGGTTCCGTGACATTCGAACTTGTAAGTTTAGCAAGAATTGAGCTGTGTGCTGTTTAAATGGTGTGCTAACGACAGCCTTTGCGATTGAATAGTGCGCTCGTGAAGCCTCTCAAATTATGGGTGGTATTGGTAAGTGTCGCGGGACAAACAAGAAAGCGGACACATTTTGTGCGTAGCATTAACTGCGACTCTCAATTTGTTCTTTAGCCTACACCAAGGGTGGTCAAGGTGGAATCGTAGAACGTCTGTACCGTGGTGTCAGAGGTGCTGCCATTCCCGGAGGTTCAGAAGAGATCATGTACGTATTAGTTACCTCCTTTTCGTCTCGTGGTTATGTTCGTCTTCTTGAAGATGACTGAACTGTGGGCTTCAAGGCTGACGTACGCAGTATGCTGAACGCTGACATGCTGTCCTCTCTGATCTTCAGGTTGGATTTCGGTATCCGACAAGGACTGAAGACAGCCCGTGCTCTTGGAGCCAAGCTGTAGGCGTTAACGTGAAGTGCGGTCAGCCAGTTGAACATTTAATATTTTCATTCCTTCACTGTGAGCTATAAAAAACAGAGAGAATATGTCGCATGAGCTTGTATTTCGTGTTTGCGTCTGTTGCACAGCGAATTTGGAACTTTTTGTCACCTTCAACGACACAACAACAAGCTCTTATAGGTAAGCCTCAAACTTGAATCGAAGCTTACGAGCTGCTAACAAGACAATTCAACACGATTGATAGCTGAAAAACAAGAGCCATGGCGACTCAAGCAGCGACCACAAAATTCTCTATTGCTGAGGTAGCAAAGCACAATAATGAAGATGACTGCTGGGTTATTATCAATAACAAAGGTATGATATGCCCATAATACCCCTCTTCAAACGTTCCTGACCCTTCTGTCTACTGACATCGATTCTCAAAAAAATTCGGCGTTTTTCAGTTTACGAGTAAGTTGATGAAACCCAACCGCCAGTTTCGATCCTCGTTTGAATTTATGGATTGCTTCGAACTACACTTCTGGCTCGCCGCTTGGCAATGGCCGGGGCATGCTCTCGTCGCCTTTCGAAACACCAATGACTACTTTCCAAGCTTCGCAACAAAGCGCACATTTCTTCATGAGTGAAATCGTATCTGATACACGCAATGCTCTTTCGCAGCGTGACAGACTTCCTCGATGGTCATCCAGGAGGAAAGCGTATCTTGATGTCAGTGGCTGGCAAGGACGCTACCACAGCTTTCGCAAACTTCCACAAGGTCGCTGCTGTAATGGCAACCTACGGCAACAAGTTACAGATTGGTGAATTGGACGGTGCTCACAAGGAAGCACCCAAGCCCAAGTCTGACTTGTTTGGTGAATTGATCCCGTAAGTTCTGCTGGGAGTGACGTGGAACATATTGTTTCGACCCAGTGATCCTTTCTTGGTATAGATACGGTGACCCTAACTGGTACCAAGGATGGAAGTCCCCTTACTATAACGAGTCTCATCAAGTGCTGCGAGCATACATCCGTGACATTGTTGACCGTGAATTGTTGCCTTTTGGAGAAGAGTGGGATCGCGCAGGTGCTGTTCCAAAATCTGTTTACAAGTCATGGGGTGAACGTGGGCTTCTGGCTTGTTTCTCTGGTGCCCCATGGGTAAGTTCAGTAGTGATGGAACATGTTGGCCGCAGCCAGAAACGGGTGCCCGTGCGTCGTTCTTTGGCCGAATAAGGTCCAACCTTCTTGCAGACACACATCTGATATTCTTTTGCTGTATATAGCCCAGAGATGCTCCAACTGAACCACCATGTGGAATCCCAAGAGAAAAATGGGATACCTTCCACTGGTTGGTTGTCACTGACGAACTCGGACGCTCTTCCAGCGCTGTTACTGAAGTTCTGACTCTGTGTCCTTCTATTGCATTGCCCGCAGTCATGAACTTTGGTAGCGAAGCTCACAAGAAGATGTTGGTGCCCGCTGCTTTGAGGGGTGATATTACCGTTGCTTTGGCTATCTCTGAACCTTATGCCGGGTATGAATTCGTGTTGCTTTATGAGTCGCCAAGTAAATCCGCTGGGTTTCTCTAACTTTCTTGTCGTTCTAGATCTGATGTCGCCAACATCTTAACCAGCGCCGTCAAAACCGCAGACGGAAAGCACTATATCGTAAATGGTGAAAAGAAGTGGATTACCAACGGAACTTGGGCAGACTGGTTTGTCACCGCCGTCCGCACTGGAAAGCCGGGCTCTGGAGCCGCTGGAATGTCCGTTATCTTGATTCAACGTGGTGCGCCAGGTTTCAAGATCCGTACCATCGCAACTCAGTCTGGAACTGGTACTGGTACCTCGTACTTGACCTTTGACAACGTCAAGGTCCCTGTTGAGAACCTTATGGGTGAAGAGAACAAGGGATTCAAGATTCTGTTAGTGCCACAAAAGTCGTGTACTGCAAGTAAAATGGACTCACACCGTTATGTTTTCGAACCTTAGCATGTTCAACTTTAACAAGGAACGTCTTGGCATTTGTATGGGTACCCCGCGATCTGCTAGAATGTGTTATGAAGAAGCTATGCGATACGCAAACAAACGCAAGACGTTTGGTCAATACCTGATCGAGCACGGTGTCATCAGAAACGTACGTATTTTCGGTTATCGTTGTTGATTATCACCAAGCTTTCCGGACTAGCTAGTCTGACTGGTGGAAACAAACTCTGCAACCCAGTCAAAAACCAAGGACATCTCACTCACGCTGAATACAAACCACTAGAAATTTGGACATATGGCCAGAATGATTGAAGCTACTCAATCATGGCTGGAACTGGTATGCTACCAATGGGATAAGGTAAGGTTGAGGAAATCAACAAATCGCATAGTTCTTTCTTTTTGTCCTTTCAATCGAGCTATTAGATGGACAAAAGCGACGCCGACTTGAAATTGGGTGGTGCTATTGCCGTAAGTGATTTGAATACACTCTCAAGTTTGCTAGAATGCTTTCTTGACTTGGGATTTTTTCTTCTCGTAGCTCCTCAAGGCACAATGTAAACCAAAAGCAAACTATTCGTAGAAATATCTTTTTCCATCAGTCACTAACACCTGAAAACTCTTCTCATCATAGGTTCCTTGACATTCGAACTTGTAAGCTTCGCAATGATTGCGTAAACCAGCTTCCTGTTTCAATGCGGTGCTAATCGCGACGTTTTTGGTTCTATAGTGCGCTCGTGAGGCCTCCCAAATTATGGGTGGTATTGGTAAGTGTCTTGGGACGAAAAGATTCCGCCAGCACATTTATATATTAATAACGTCGATCCTCGTTTCTTCCTTTAGCCTACACCAAAGGCGGTCAAGGTGGTATCGTAGAACGTCTGTACCGTGGCGTCCGAGGAGCTGCCATTCCCGGTGGTTCAGAAGAAATCATGTAAGTGCTATGGGTTATTGATTTTGTTGTTCGGTTCTGAACGTTGGTACTGGTTGTCTGAAGATTAGCGTATGCAGTACCCTCACTCTTGCTTTTCTCTGACCTTTAGGTTGGATTTCGGTATCCGACAAGGCTTGAAAACAGCTAGAGCTCTTGGAGCCAAGCTGTAAATACCTTCTATTCTGCATTCTGCTAATGGAAGTCCATAGGTTTTGTCATTTTCTAATCGTAAACCAAACAATAGACAGTAATAGAGTGAAAATGAAGGGTGGCACGTCGCTTAAGCTCGGATTTGGCGTGTTTCTGTGTACGGTTCTTGCAATCTTCCGTTTCTTTGCAATACGCAACACTGACTTTTGGCATCATCACCAGTCATAAAAGAAATCAAAGGTACCATTCAGTCTTATATTGAGGCGTACCATAGCACAGTAACAAGCTAATCTAACCTTACTTGACAGCTTAAATCAAAAAGATGGCAACTCAAGCAGTTACCACCAAATACTCTATTGCTGAAGTAGCCAAACACAACAATGAAGATGACTGTTGGATTATAATCAATGACAAAGGTATGAAAAACTTAGCATTCGTCTGGAACCTCGGTCGTTGAAGTCTGTTACTCACATCACACACAATTTCGGGCAATTTTAGTTTACGAGTAAGTTGATGAGTCCCGACCAGTCTCGAACCGCGTGTGAGCGCACGAGCTCTTCAGAACTGTAACTGTCTATTTGTCGCTCTGTATTGGACGTGGTTGTTCTTAGTGCCAATGCAAAGAGGCAACGACTCAATTCCAAGCTTCAAACGAAACACACTTTTTTCTACATCAAAGGACGTTGTGTCTGATACTTTGCAACTCCTTTATTCTAGTGTCACCGACTTCCTCGACGGACATCCAGGAGGAAAGCGTATCTTGATGTCAGTTGCTGGCAAAGACGCTACCACAGCTTTCGCCAACTTCCACAAAGTCGCCGCCGTTATGGCCTCTTACGGAAACAAGCTACAAATTGGTGAACTGGACGGTGCTCACAAGGAAGCTCCCAAGCCCAAGTCTGACTTGTTTGGTGAACTGATCCCGTACGTACTGTTAGACCTAGTGACACGGAACGTAATCTTGACAGCTCAATGCTTTTTTGGTGTAGTTACGGTGACCCCAACTGGTACCAAGGATGGAAGTCGCCCTACTACAACGAGTCTCACAAGGTCTTGCGAGCATTTATCCGTGAGATTGTCGACCGTGAATTGTTGCCTTTTGGAGAAGAATGGGAAGCTGCTGGTTCTATTCCAAAGTCCGTTTACAAATCATGGGGTGAACGTGGTCTATTGGCCTGTTTCTCTGGTGCTCCATGGGTATGTCAAGTCGCGTGTAGCCTTGGCTATAGGCATTGAGCAAAAGTAGCTGTGATGTGTTTTGACCTTACTACGGTCAAGCCACAGAGCCCGAACTGACCTGTCTTCTTACTGTACGCAGCCCAAAGATGCTCCATATGAACCACCATGTGGTATTCCAAGAGAGAAGTGGGATACCTTCCATTGGTTGGTCGTCTCTGACGAACTCAGTCGTTGCTCCAACTCTGCTGGTTCAGTTTTGACCCTATGCCCTTCCATCGCATTACCCGCAGTAATGAACTTTGGTACTGCCGCCCAGAAGAAGCAATTGGTACCCTCTGCTTTGAGGGGTGAAATCACTGTTGCTTTGGCTATCTCTGAACCATATGCCGGGTAGGATACAGACAAAGGGCAGTTATACCACAGATTTGTTATTTTTTGCTGATTCTTCTATGCCTCTTAGCTCTGATGTTGCCAACATCTTGACCACCGCAGTCAAAACCGCAGACGGAAAACACTATATCGTCAACGGTGAGAAGAAGTGGATTACCAACGGAACTTGGGCGGATTGGTTCGTCACCGCCGTCCGAACTGGAAAGCCTGGATCCGCAGCCGCTGGAATGTCTGTCATCTTGATCCAACGAGGTGCACCAGGATTCAAGATCCGTAGCGTCCCAACTCAAGCTGGAACAGGTTCTGGGACCTCGTACTTGACCTTTGAGAATGTTAAGGTCCCAGTTGAGAATCTTATGGGTGAAGAAAACAAGGGATTCAAGATCCTGTAAGTGATGGAAAACAGAAAAAACCTCGGCTAGAGAAACACAGTATTATGTATGGACTCACCACCATTTGCCACCTTTAGCATGTTCAACTTCAACAAGGAACGTCTCGGTATCTGCATGGGTACCCCACGATCTGCTAGAATGTGTTACGAAGAAGCTATGCGATACGCAAACAAGCGTAAGACCTTCGGTCAATACTTGATTGAGCACGGTGTCATCCGAAACGTACGTATTCTTGGTCGTCGTTGTTGCCTTTCGCCGCGATTGCCTAGTTGCAGCATGCCATCGTGTCAAAAAAAAGTCACTCTGAAGCTCCCTCATGATGAATTCACACAATTAGAAATTTGGACACATGGCACGAATGATTGAAGCTACTCAATCATGGTTGGAATTGGTATGCTACCAATGGGACAAGGTAGGATCAACGCCTCTCAGTCTCCTTTTGCGAGCTTTTTGCTCACCAGCGAGTTATCTATCAGATGGATAAGAGCGACGCCGACTTGAAATTGGGTGGTGCTATTGCTGTAAGTGATTTGAGTGGACTTTCAGTTCTTTCTGTCCGAGTTTGATCATTTACTGACTTTACAGCCTTGCCTTCTCATAGCTCCTCAAGGCTCAATGTGAACACCGCTTTTGAAGAAATTCACTATAGACCGCTACTAACTTTCTCCTTTTCTCTTTTTAGGTTCCGTGACATACGAACTTGTAAGTCTGACCACAATCAATAGATAAAAGGGTGTAATATAAATCTCGTGCTAACCACGATGTCTCTCATCAATAGTGCGCTCGTGAAGCTTCGCAAATCATGGGTGGTATTGGTACGTGTTCCGTGGCCAAACCAAAAAAAAATACACGACGAGTTGGTCAAATGATTGACAGTTCTCCTCATTTTTGTTTCCTTTAGCCTACACTAAAGGTGGTCAAGGTGGAATCGTTGAACGTTTGTACCGAGGTGTTAGAGGTGCTGCCATCCCCGGAGGTTCAGAAGAGATCATGTATGTATTCGTTACTACTTCCTTTTCTTGTCGTCGTTATGTTCGTCTTCTTGAAGATGACTGAACTGTGGGCTTCAAGGCTGACGTACGCAGGATGCTGAACGCTGACATGCTGTTCTCCATCATTTCTAGGTTGGATTTCGGTATCCGACAAGGATTGAAGACTGCCCGTGCACTTGGTGCCAAGCTCTAATCATTACTTGAGACACACCAAGATTTCCATTTTTGTTATCAATCAGTTGAGAGAAAAAAAATTGGTATACTTGGAAGCTATGTTCAATGGTTTATATACGGCGATTTCGACAATATTTACTTTACGTTTACGGAGTGAAAGATGCAAGCATTACTAGTCAAAGTTTGTGGACGAAGAAGCTTCGCCAGTCCCAGGGATCAGCCTCTTTATGTTTTCATTCCTCGCTTCCAACTCTTTTGTAGTGATTGTGCCTGAGACTTCTACACCTCTTACGGAATCCACCAATCCGAAAAAGTCTGGTAGCAGACCATCTCGATTTGGAGGTTCAATGAGCAGCATCAAGGTGTATGAATACACTGTATATCCCTTGTATGTTCCTGTATCTCGTAGTAGGAGATGATGTCGAGTTTCTGTTGGTCTGAATGTATAAATCATCTGAAAGACTGAATTCCGGACGTATTCTCCAACACTCCTTCCAACATCTCTTTTTATAGAGTCCTTGTTGCTCATTGATGTTCGAATGATGTCTGCGAGGACTGTCAATAGTTGCTGTTATAGGATTGTCAGTTTGTCGATCGCAAATTGATTCTAAGAAAGAAAAATACCGAGCGAAGTCTTTAAATCAAACGAAAAATAATATAATAATTACCTGAAAGATTGCGTCTGTGAACCACATCTGATTGCTTCTGGAAGTATAAACAATCATTGGCAAAACCAACTTTTAATGTCGGTTAGTCAACCACAGGAGGTTCAAGGAGGAAGCAAGCTAAACCTACGTTTGGCCCAACTCTCAAATATCGGAGCATGAGCGAGCGGAAGGAAGTCCCGTCCGTCTCCATTTTGTCAAAGCTTGGGGGTTGAAAATGATCTTCCGAAAAAGTTATCGATGATGAGTGAAGGCGAAGGCCAATGTACTATGCAATTCTTCCAACCGATTGTTTTATGATTTCTCTCCTTACCTCACACTTTTGACTAGGGTGCACTCGTCATTTCACGTCGTCAGCCCCAAATGTTGGATTTGAAAAACCTGGTTTATTACCAATAAGGATTCGCAGATTCAAGATTCAAGGCCAAGTATCAAGAATGAACGTGATGAGCGCGTTTTCCAAGCAAGATACAGCTCGGGATTGGAATGGGTTGAGATTTTTCACAATATCTTGTTGCGGCAATTATTACGACTTTACAGCATTTGAACACGTACCAGCCAAACACTTCCACGACTTTGATATGGCACAACAACGTACCCTCGTATATCCGACGCAGTGTTGCAGGGTTGTCCTTCTAGAAGTCAGGGGCAATCAAAATTGGTCACATCCCCAACCCTGCAAAAGCAACAAAGGTGCGCTGACTCCTACGTCTTTCCCGCACACAACCGTAATAGGTTTTCAACTTTAAATTGCTCTTACCAGCTACTCTCCTAAACTCTAGTATACAAAAAATATGCCAGTCTTTTCATCGTCTGCCAGTCTTGCAGCAAGCATTATGGGAAGCAATCCCAATCTGCTCGCAACTGTGAAGCTGCCCTCACCCATTGAACCTCAACCAAGTGGTATCGATCTTGAAAGCGGCCGTAAATCATACGAAAAACCCGCCTCGCCCATTGCTGCCATTCCGGGAAGTATCGAAGTCTTGTCACCCATTGTCCAAGACGAAGATGATGTCTTGGATGACTTCCTCGGATCCGACACGCTCCTGACCTTCCTTCGTCGCAAGAGTACCGACACCAACTCACAAAACCAAGTATCAGAAGAATCTATTGAATTGGCTGTTGCTATTCGCAGTGCTGAACAAGCTGCCAAGTCTGAACCCGACCCTGAACGTAAACGATCACTGATTTTGCAACAATTACGTCAAATCGGTGAAGAATTCTTGACCACGAACCCTACGGATGTTAACGGTGGAATGGATTTGAACTTGTCTCAAAAGTCTTATGATGATTTGCGAGGAACTCTTAAGATGGCTGAAAATGGCGAAGGTGATGTTAATTCTTGGTTGGCCAAGCTGGAAGGAACCAAGAAAGAAATCCATAAGGCTTTGGTATGAAGTTCTACTTTGTTTTTTGGGGTTTTTGCTTTATTGTTTGACCTTTTTTTATGTTTCTGGACTCACACAACTATATCCTTTTTCTAGTTACCCGTTATTAGAGGTTTCACACCTTCCTTCGAAGTTGGTTCTATGACGGACTTGACCTTGACCAAGCAACCATCTGGACCACGACACGTAGTCGTTATTGGAGGTGGTTTCTGTGGTACTCATGCTGCCATGATTCTCGATCGCATTGGTCACTTCCATGTTACCCTCATTGACTCCAAAGAATGTAAGATACCAGCTCTTGGGTGGTTTTTTTTTGCCTCAGGTTGCACTTCATGAAACTAACACGCTTCTATACTCTTCAGACTTCGAATTCACCCCTGCAATGGTCGCCGCAATGTGTAAACCAGAAATTGACATCCGTGTCGCTCACACCAAATACATCAAGAATGGTCGTTTCGAACTCGGATATGTGAAATCCATCTTGCCCAACGCTGTCAAGCTTGCTGACAAAACCATCCCTTTCCACTATTGTATCGTTGCTACTGGATCCACGTACTCTGTTGGGTTCATCAAGGGCAAGAACTTGTCTACTATTTACCGTACCAAGAAACTCAAGAGTGAATATGCTGTAAGTGCATAATCTTGATTCAATATCAAACGATTTTGTTATGCTATTGCATCGTATCGGGCGACTGAATGATTTGAATCTAACTCTTTAATCAATAGGCTCTTGAAAAAGCAAAACGTATCGTCATCGTCGGTGGTGGTCCAGTTGGTGTCGAAATCGCTGGTGAAATAGCTGAAAAGTTTCCACCTACCGAAATCCGCAAGATTGTCCTCATTGACGGTAACACCAAGCTCCTTAAACGATGCCCAAAACGTGCTCAACAATTGGCACTAAAGACATTGAAAAAGATGGGTGTCGAAGTTATCTTGAACCAACGTATCGTTGATTACTCTGAAGTCCGTGGTAACGGTGCTGAATCGGCTACCAAGATCATCAAGAGTTCAGTTGGTGCCACTTGGACTTGTGATCGTGTGTTTTTGGCTACTGGACCCAAACCTAATTCTAGTAGTATGAAGGAAGCTTTTGAGGATCGTCTTGATGCTTCTGGTTTCATTAAGGTATGTGTTACTCTGAATATAGAGCCAAAAGATCTTTTTGTTTCTGATTCCAGCGTCCCTTTTGTATACAGGTCAATGAATACTTGCAAGTCGTAAACTCTGACAACATTTTCTGTGGTGGTGATGTTGCCAATATTCCTGAAGAAAAGTTGGCCTATGCTGGTACTGCTGAGGGTGTTGGTATTGCTCGAAACATTTGGAGGCTTGATGCTGGTAAACGTCTCATTAAACAAGGCCAAGAAGGCTTCATCCCAGCACAGACGAAACCTATGGGACAAGTGATTTCAATTGGTACCAAGACTGGTAAGCCAAAGCGTTGTCACTGTGATCAACTACAGTGCCTTCTTTTACACCCATAAATCTAAAACCGCACTCCTTCTTGACCATAGCTGTCGGATGTTTCTTCGGGAAGTACACCATCCAAGCTACCGCCCTGATGGGAATGAAGAACAAGATTCTTTCGGACTATATGACGCGTATTGCTAACCGTGATATCAACTTGCCATCTTACCTCGGAAAGTTGCCACCCAAGGATGTCTTGAACGCACCTTAATGAGACTGTGATCGTGCTGAATACAGGTAGTGTACTTTTAGAGGCCAGTTATAGTAGTAGTTGTAGTTGCCAGTAAAACAAAGGGGAGATAATTATACCAATACAGTTTATGATACCTTTATTGATTGGTTCCTGTTGTTTAGTTGCTCGCTGTCGTCATTGAAGACACTGGATTTATTTATTGCTTTTTTAGAAGTGTCGGTTATCGACACGTAGTAGGTAGTCGAACACATACGCCTTTCAAAGGTGCCCATTGATTAACGCCCATCGAGGACCTTAATGTGCCGACAAGAAAGTACGCCATGTACCCTTTGCCTGAGTGATATGGCAGTATGGCAGCTAATATGGCTATTGTGGGATTTTCAAGTTTCGTTTGGACTTTTGGACGCACATCACAAGAAAACAACGTTCCATCTAACCGCAAAGTAAGAAAAAACGTGTTCAAACATCATGAATACACCTTCACTTAGTCACGAAGGTTGCCCGACACGCTCTTCTTCGGCCAGATCGTCATTTCCAAACTTCCTGCCTATTCTTTCACCTTGACTCATAAAACCATCGCAGCTCGATGTAATATGATGCTGACCTTACTTTGGTTGGTCGTAGGCATATTTAATGTAGCCACAGCCGCCACAGATGCATCCTGGGTATTAAAAGTTTCCTGACGGGGTTTTGACATTTTGGAATCAAAGCTAACCTGAATCGAATTCAACACCTTACACTAGCTTGCCAATAGCTTATTGAACCAGCGAGATATCTCGTCTATACTCCCAATAGATCGAGCACTGTGGTATGGTGTCAGTCTTAATGGGAGTCTCTTCACATCACATGTGGTTTCGACAGCGAAGCTGAATGTCATCACATCACCTCTGTCTGTCAAGTATCAGCGGCTCATACTGGACTTGTATTGGTAACGTTTGCTGGGGCTTACTACATTGGTTGTATTTGGTCAACTTCTATTTCAGAAGTCAAAACTCAAATCCTTCCTTCTTTGCTAGGGATGCACAACAGAAGACCTTTCAGATGTGCCCTCAGCCGTATTCATCTGCTATTCCATCACCGACAGTAACGACATACACCCTGACAGCTACAGCCACCGTTACAACACGTAGTCCATCACCATCACCCTCAGGAGCCGATGTGAACATTAACGGATACATATGCTCACAGAGTATTAGAACATTTCCACAACTACTACCCCAGTTCTCAACCTGGCTGAATGGAACGTCGACACAGTTACTGGCAAACGTAGTGTTCCTGATACTTAATCTAAACGATCTCGCAGTGACGCCCAATTCCAATGCAGCAGCAAGCACAACTACACTATCATCGTCGCTGCTAAGCATTATTGGCAACGCATCCATGTACACGCCCGCAGATCTAGCCAGTGATCGAGCAGATATCAACAACAGCTGGGGATTTATCAGCCCGTACTATGTAACAACGTTCGACGCAACCACCAACAAGACCTCAACAACGAACGGGTGGCCTGTAGGTCAATATCTAACTCTTGTAGGCAAACGACTGCTAGTCGGATTCGGATCCAACACCATCTCAGCAACCAGATACGACACATCCATAGACGCCAACACAATATTCTCATCCGCAAGTCTCGGCTCAACATCCTTCCTATCCACAGACGCTGTAGGCTCGCTCGCCAACTGCTCGAGACCTACAACAGGTATATCGATGATTGGCACAGGAGGGTTTGATTCGCCTTATTACCCCGTCGCGCAAGGAACAAGTGCGTTATCGTACTCGTTTGCGAGTGTCACGGATACAGTCACGACGCCATTCACATCCACGAATCTGGTCAATGTAGCACAATGTGGGTTTACGCCGATATTTACGCAGAATTATTCAATGGATGCATTAGCGAGTACTATATGGACGTGGGAAGTCGCTGAGCCGAGTAATCAGGGTCGGTGTGCTGTTATGAATAAAGATTCCGGGAGATGGGCGGCTGCTGATTGTGATGTGCGGTATCCTGTTGCGTGTCGGTCGATAACGAATCCATATAACGTAAGTTAATTAGCTGTTTGTATCTCAAGGGTTTTTTGGTTGTTAGCCCCATTCGTCTCTTTTCTTAGACAGTTAATTTTGCCACCGTTTTGTACTTTCAATCATCGGTGATTTGTTGCCTTTACTCACGTCATTCTTGTTTAGTGGACAATACCAGACGGAATAGAATACTACTGGAACGGTGACTCGTTGTGTCCCGCAACATACCGATTCGCTATACCCAGATCACCAATAGAAGCGACACACTTACACAACGTGCTCCTCAACACTCCAAACATTGATAGATTGTGGATAGGTGAGCGTTTTGTTAAATAAAATTCCCACTGAATATTTGTCCTCACGACAATCTTGAAACAAAAACCTTCCCAGATTATAACTCGGTATCATTAAAAGGCTGTTGGGTCGTAGGAGGCAACACGGTATGCCCATACTATGACGCGACGCTCATCATCCCTGAAATCATTGCCGCCAGCTTGAGAGAGGGCTTGCTGGTCGTGATTGTTGGATTTCTCTTTCTGTTGTGGCAGATAAATAGACAGTTGCAGTGGAGACGGTTGAGGATTAGACGTGTTACTGTGAGGAAGAGGATTGAAGGTATTCTCATCTGCAGCTTTTTTTGTACTACTGGTTGATTGTGTTTTTTTTTCTCATTCTGGAAACTTTCTGTTTCTAGCCATGGAAAAGGAATTCACAGCTGTAGCCTCATGATACCCCACGCCCCCACATTTATCGTATATAGCAAAAATACCCAAGGATTCGCAAAGAACCCCACACACTTGTTTTATGTATATAATAACCAAAAACCACAGCTGTATCTATTTGACCCAAATGCTACACCATAATATAATACATAAAACGCATCAAGGCAACCGACTACCCTCCGTTTCGAGCAACGACATGAGCTCAAACAACTCCTCATCACTCAACTCATCCTCTTTATTCACAGGTTTGCTCAACATGCGAGCTTTCCCTGGCCCAACAGGTGCAGTTTGCTTTGGCGGTGAGTTTGGGTGTTGAGTAGGACCCCATGTACCATATCCTCCTGCTGCCTGTTGACTGGAGCTGGCATTTACATCAAGGGTGTTGTCGGGCGATAATGGAGATACTTTAGAGTTTGAGTGGACGTCGATACCGAGTCTGTCCATCATTACGATTGACATTTTGTGGAAAAAGACTTGCCAGAGGACCGCGGCGCGTTCTAAAGTTGGCTCTACGGGGATTTTGCCAGATAGGTCGTTGATGTACTAGGTTGAAAATATGAGATATTTTCAATTTGAAGCCAAAAAAAGAAAAACCGATTTAGCAAATACTCACTTTGAGGGTTTCATCAAATGCTTTGCAACTCGTTATCAGACTTCGACGATGTTCATTTATAATTGCAAATGCGACGATGAGGTGATAGTGTTTCGTGTATGGACATGCCCAGATTGTCTAATTACCAAAAAAAGCTATGATAGGAAGCCAAGATGGTTTTCAGAAACCAAGGAGTTACATCCACATACCTCCCAGAGCCTGAACGTATCACCAAAATCAAATTCTCGTTTAAACCAAACTAGAATCCAACGAAAGCAACAAAACAGATTAATGGAATCTGTATCAACCAAATGATGATATAGATATGGGTCGATAAACTTGAGGAGGAGTTCCAACCGTCGTAATTGTGCTCGCATTCCAGATTGATCTCGATAAAAGTTGAATTGCTGAGAAAACAATGAGGTTTAAAAGGGGTTAAAAAACAACAAAGCCATAACCCATCAATGCAAGGAGGAGCTCTCGACTTACGACACCACGATTCATGAATCCGGCAAAGCAACAAAACGCCTGCACCTGTTAGTTACAAAAGTGACTGTGAGATTTCAAATCTGTGAATGCGATGGCAAACGATGCAGCTCGTACCTCATCCCTTGTGACTGCTAGTATAGGAGCCAGGAGATCATTCATTCCCTGAACGTAACCTAGATTTGGCAAAAAAGAAAAACAGCTCACGTTAAAACTGGAGAACACCGATATGAAAGGCAGACACAGCAAGACACATACCAAGTTCAAAGTTATATACTGTATAAGTAATCAGCACATCTCTCAAAAGCAACAGATTCGCATTCTTGTCTCCAGCGTGTGTTTTTCGAAGGGCTGTTGGTGATAATGCTGGAGGAGATTGCGAACCAGATGGTACAGCACCTTCTTCACCATCAGCTGATACTGGAGAGGATGGTGACTTGGGTTCTTGAAAGAAGGCTTCCGTGCGATCAGTTCGTACAACGTCCTTCTCTATGTATCCAATGATTGGGTAACGAGGAAAGACAACCAAAACAAGAACAGAGACCTGGGTCATTCATGTCTGGGACACATACCAATCCGATACCGCCTTTCCTTCAACTTCGACAACACATCACCGTCTTCCCGCTCATCACCAGCTTGAGCATTCGAATTTATTTGACCTGGTGGTACACCATTGGCCACATCTTCCTTGTCAACATCGTTTAGTATGATTGTCCATTCTCGTTTCATTGCTTCGTATTCAGCTCTGAAAAAGAAAAGAAATGGTCAAACGCATCGACACAAAAAAAGCGATACAAGGTGACAATTGCAATACCTTTTCAGCTCCATAATTTCATTTCGCTCCTTCTCAGTAGACGCCCATGGATAAACTCCCAACATATACATCCACACTACCGGCCTCACATCATCTTCCAATCCAGCGTTGTATATCATCTCACGAAGCGTCATTGGATCTATCAGTAGTCGTCCTGTATTATCATATAATAGAAGCCACCTATCAGCAGACACAGCCAACTCTTCACGTCCATGCGAGAGTCCAATCTAGTATCAAATGGTGATGAGAATTCACACGCGCGACGAGAGCAAAAAACGAACAGACAAGTTGGTGCACAGCTCACAGCCAAGTTCTCATAATCACAGCTTGTATCAATAGGACCTTTGAGTCGTGGAGCATTTGATGGCGATACACCTAATACATCTCTTCTGAACTCTGAGGCTACTTTTGCTAGATAGTCACCAGCGTTTTGATATTCTTCAATCATTGTTGATGTCTCTCGTGACGAGAGTATGGATTGTCGTATGTTGGGAGGGACAAGTGGCAGTAGTGGAGCAAACTGTGGATGTGAGATCAGCTCCCCAGCACGGGCCTTGCCAAATTGGGAGACTTTAGAAAACCTTTCAAGTATTCCCCATCCGGCTTCTTGCACTCGCTAAGTAAGTTCGTTAGCATGGGAAAACGAACGTGATGAACGAAGAAAGACGTTCACTCACATTGGCAGCGCCTGCTCCTGCGACATCTCTAACAACTGAGAGTCCAAGATTGCCTAATCCAACAGCCAAACTTCGTAATGCTCGATCTGTATTAGGCGATGGTGCTCTTGCTGGCTGGTCTCCACTAAAAGGAACAACCAAACCACCACTACTGCTACTAGACCCAGATGTGGTGGAATTCGATGCGTTAACTCTACCCTGCCTGTTCCTCAATTCTGGTGCACGATACGGTAATGGTATTGCGGCCTGTCTCTCGCCAAGAGGTTTTGTTGCATATAGATTAGGAGTATCTGAAGACTGAACTAGCTGCAAGTCGATAGCAGCCATCCAGCCATTTAAGAGTTTTACTACGGCTTCAGGATTCGGTGGCCGAATTCCATCTTCAGAGTCAAACCAAAAGGCTGGGATGTCACTGTCTTCGCCACCAACTAGGGCTACCTCTACACGTGTTATTAAGACAGCACCTCCTTTCGAGTTGACTGTGAATTCACCCTCGACGTAGAATCCTTTTAAGGATGGTATTGGCACGTATATCAGATGATCAAGGCTGGAGAATAATGACAGTGGCGATGTAACAAGGGCAACGCCATCGCTCCTTGCACTGGCCTCAGGAGCTAGGTCGTGAAAGGAACGCCGTGTAAGAGTTAGAACAAGGAATTTGTAGCGTACAGTAACTTACAGACTCTTGTCCTTGTGTCAATCTTTTTGTAAATCTCGCGTTCAACGGCATTCAGGGCATCAGCAGGAAGCCATGAGATAACAGTAGTATCCGCCTAAGATCGGGAACGTCAGATCCAACAATTGAAGATGTAAGATTCAAAAAGTTTATATAATGACGGCACAATCCAACGATAAACGTCACGGCGCAATCAAACGATAAACAGGCAGTGCCACGACTAGATCTAACCAACTGCCACAGGGAACAGAATAACACGATTATGAATAATTACACGACTCTCTTGTTTCAAGTTTGAATCAATCAAACAACAACCACAGCTTGGCACGTCCAATTTGAGCTTTCTGACTTACTTGAATGTCTTGGAGCAAAGTCAAGAAGCCTACCAGTGGCTCCAGATTATTTGGCCGAATGGTAACATTGCCATTTACACAGAGTAGCCGCACTGACATGTCTATTTCCTGTTTGCTCTGTTTGCTCCAAAGTGTCCAAAAGTCAAACGTGCGAATGCCAGAGCCTCACAACAAGACCAAAGTTTTTTACCAACGAAATTTCAAGATTCCATAGATTTACACGTACCTACACGTGGAGAACACAAATTGGAAGTGTTTGGATTCTTGTGAGTTTCTTCAGAGTGTTTCTAAACACATTCTGGTCGATTTTTTGGTTGAATAAGATGATGGACTCAGTTGGAAATTTGATGTGACGCCTTTTGCATTTCAATAACGTCATGGTCGACTCTGTGCCCTTCTTACGCAAACAAACTGTCTGGCCATTGTTCTCAAATTATGGTGGACGGTGGACATTACAAGGCCGGTGCCTTCTCCGTATCTTCTCAAAGGATTTCAACGACGAATCATTCGCTCGAACATATCTGGACCTGCTCAAAGTACTGATTCAGAAGGGTTGACCCAACAGAACGACATTCAGTGAAACATAAGCCCTGAACACTCTTGCAGCAAATCTTGACATGACGTTCTGAAGCGATGGTGTTACAAAAGGCCTAATCAGTCTTCACCTTTTCTTTGCTTCAATATGAGAAGAATTCGAATCACAACGGTGGTTTGTTCATTGCTGCTACCAGCATCAATACTGCTACTAGGATTTTGAGCCCTAATAATTCAGTTACCCTCTTTACTGTTTTTCATGAGTTGGCTATGAGATTGTTGATGATGACAAAGAGTAGTTGCATATAGGTTTGGAAGCAGGCAAACTGATGGAAAGTTGTTTCGAGAATGGTTGCTTTTCGGAAGTGTAACAAACCGTTGAGCAGCATTGTTCCTGTCGAAGGGGAATTAATGACGAAAGTTATATTATGCACCGGATCTATGCCGGAGATGCATTAGCGACATGAAGTTCTTCCGTCACAATCAGTGGTTTCACATCGCAGAACTCCAGCTCCACCGTGATTCCTAACAAACCGGCCAACTTTAGAAATTTACATGAATCATATTAGAACGGTTTACGGAATGTCATATCATCTGCTGGCGAAACGACTACAGCCCCGAATGGAAAGGGTTTTCGCAATTCAACACAAACCAGTCATTGGAGCTCAGCAAATGAAAGAAAAGGCCAGAAAATTTGGCATGAATTTTCTGATACTGGTGATCGAGCCTGAATAAAAGGTGTAGTTGTTCCACATTTCGCATAAAAAAACCTGAGCCGACATTGGTCGCGACTCGCGAATAGAAGCCAAATGAAGATAGAAAAGAATCAAGCTAACAATTCTCTGGACTTAACCAGTCACATCATGTAACGGTACTTATATTCTCGCAAATAGGGTCACCTTGTCGAAAACAAGCCCCTCTCCAAAGCACCAACACACAAGAAGACAATTTCTGCAACGTTTTGGCTCTTACATTCTTGCATTAGACATTCAAGTGATCTCTCAGTTTCTCAGCTTCTCGTACTCATTTTATGAGTCTCTTACGGTCTTCTTAAGATATGCTTGATGGATGTATCGCGAAATGCAACTCCTAATTCCATATTCCATATTAAATTTGTAAACATTTACACGTAAATGCACGTCGCGAGTACAAGTTTTAATGTGCTTCAGTCACTTTCTGATCGGGTTTCGCAGCGTGAGTTTGCCAGAGAACCACTCGAACAAGGAATAAAAGCAGCGAAGCTTTTGGCCTTCTTTTCTATATATATCAACCAGGTAACAACATCAGACCCGTTGCCATCGTTTGTTGTGTTAAAAGCTTGCGATTTGTTGTTTTGACACTTCATGCTGTATCAGACAAGCGTTTTTTAACCCCTTGATTTCTCAGTCAGGTCATACACATCACAAGTAGATACGCTGATTCGTCACTACTGGAGCTAAAAAGAATCCATCGCCAAAGAGTGTTTTGCATCAACATCTTGTCAACATGAACGCTGGAGATGTCGTGTTAGAGTATGCTAAAAGTGGTCGCGCTTCTTGCAAATCTTGGTAAATTTTGTTCTTTCATACCAGTTCCCTGATTGTTCTCGTCAGTTTTAATCATCGTCTGCAAGGACCTAACACTGTTTGACCATTCTTAGCAAAAGTACTATTGCTCAAGGCTCTGTCCGTATTGGCGAACACTATGCTCTTCCTAACAGCGATCATATCGGAGTGGGATGGTATCATCTTGGTAAAGCTCCACTTTTGCAAGTCGTTGTACATTCATCGCCATGTCACACCTGCCATCATTTCCATCAACAGCATGCTACTTCAAACGCGGAAAGGCAAAATCCAGATTTCCCGTCGCTGCCGCCATTCCAGGTTTCGATAATTTGCGACCTGATGACATGGCAACCGTCGAAGCAGCTCTCACTGGGCTCCCAGGTGGTGTGAATTCTTCTCCAGCTGCTGCTGCTCAACCCTATCAGAAACCTACTGGAGATCAAGGATTTGTTGCCGAATATGCTGCTTCAAGCCGAGCAAAATGTCGAGTTTGTGAACAAAAACTGGAGAAAGGAGAGCTGCGGTTATCGCTTCCTGTACTCAGTGAGAATGAGAAATGGAGTGGTGCTGTTCCAGGTGTGGTGTTGAGTTTCGAGGCGTATTTGCTGGTGGATCCTTCCCGGGATGTCGTAGATATGTAGGCTGACCTTTTTTCCCTTTCATTTTCAGGATGGCATCATCCTGCTTGTTTCTTCTCGATGCACAAAGCAGAGGTGAATGCACCAACTGACTTTGATGGATATGACAATTTACGAGATTATGCAAGTGAGTCTAACTTATTCAAAACATCCCGGAATTCTCAGTTACCAACTATCCTTAGAATCTGTCATCAATTCTCTTTGCGCTGGATTGCCTATTCCTGCAGCACCAGAAGAAGAAGTCGATGCACCACCAACTCCAGTACCCAAGAAACGTGTCAAAAAGGCTCCAGTGTCTGATGATGAAGATGAAGGTGTTGACCTAACAATTGATGAAGAAGCTGAATATAAACCTCGTCCGACGAAACGAGGTCGAAAGGCAGCAACAGCTCGTGAACCAGAACCAGAGGTTATAGTCGTAGAAGACGATGAAGCACCTCCACCTAGAAAATCAAAGTCAAAAGCAAAGACCTCAAAGGGCAAGGGCAAAGCTCGTGCTGATGACGACGATGATGTCAAGATGGAGGTCAAGCCAGAAGTCAAGACGGATGTTTCAGTCGCTACTGCCGCTACTCCCATCAACGAAAGCCCTTATGCTGCTCAAGCTCGAGTTTTACATCGAATCCGTGATGAAATAAATGCTGCTGTTGGTCCCAAAATGAGAGGGAAATGGAATACTCGAATTGCCATATTCCAGCAATTATTGGCCGCCAACAATATCAACATTGCAAAATCGGACGATGATCTCTTGTTTGCTGCATTGTCTGATGCTATGACGTTTGGTGTGGCACAGATGTGTACAGATTGTAACTCTAGTCGTCTTGTATATACCTCTCCTCCTGGTCATTATTTCTGGTATGGTCAACGTCGTTTGATTTCGCAGATCAAGTGCACTCACAAACCCTCAAATGTATATATAGTCCTGTCTTTCATGATTGGGGACCATGTATTGGAAAGTCAGACACTCCTGTCTTGTCACCATTTGTTACAGTCCAGGATATTGAAGTCGACTACTTTCGAAACTTTATCTTCAATCCGATTCCTCGTCTTATGCCACAAGTGAGTTTTCATCGCTCCGTGCATAGAGACTGTAGTGTTTTGGAAAATTAATCTTCAATTCGTCTCGTCAGGTCACTCAGCAACGTCCGGTTTCCAAGATGATGACTTCTGTGGAATTGCGAGCCAAAGTTCAAGAGCTTGAACTTGACTCTGACAAACCTTTGGCTGGAAAGGTATAGCCACAGATTTTAAGCTCAGATCCATTTTTCTGCTTGATAATCTAACTTTTCCACTAAAAGGTGTTGGCCTTTTGTGGCACCCTGGGAGCTACTCATGCTGCATTGGGTGAAATTGTCGAGGAAAATGGTGGCACTGTCTCGAAGAAGATTGATGCTTCAGTCACTTTGCTCATCACCAATGCTGCTGACGTTGAAAAGTCGTCTACAAAGGTATTATGGTGGTTGTTGTTGTTGATTTAGAACATGGTGCATGAAATGTAGTTTTTTGCTTTGTGTACTGAGTTTGAGTGTCTGACTGTATCATCTTTCCTTTAATCAAAGGTCGTACAAGCACAAGAAGCTGGTATTGATGTAGTTGACGTCCAATGGATTCATGACTGTGCGGAACAAAAGAAGAGGTTGAAGTACAATGTACCAAAGTACCTCTTGAAGCACAATCGCAAAGACGAAGAGGCGGGACCATCGGCAGGCAGCAAACGCCCTCGTGTATGTATTTAACATTGAGAACGTATCACAGTGCAATTCTTAAAAAATAATTCCAAACCACAGAATCTTGAAGAAGAACGAGGTGAAAAGAAGGTCAAACTCCGTGTCAAGGATGGAATTCCAATCGAACTTGAATCAAATGTCGCTGATACTCATCACGTATTGCGTGAGCAAGGACTCATTTACTCAGTGTCTCTGACCAAGGTTGATATATCTCAGAACCAGAACTCGTACTATAAGATACAAGCCTTGATTCCTGATTCAAGTCGTGGAGAATGTGTCTTGTTTACAGCATGGTAAGGTTGGGTTTGAATTGCTATCATGTGAGCTGTATTAACTCTTTTGTTTTTCGCAGGGGTCGTCAAAACACAACTCAAGGCTCCAATAAGGTAAGACAAAACCAAATCTCGGTGTTTAATCTTTATGCTAATCTTATTCTCCTCAATTAGGTCGCTCAACATCCAAATAAACAAGCTCTCATTGAATCTTTCAATGAAATTTATACTGACAAGACAGGAAACGAGTTTGGTGAAGTATTCCGCAAGGTCAGAAAACAGAGCATCTGGCATTTATGAAGAAGAGGCTGTATCTGACGGGCATTCGATATTTGACACTTAGGTTCCTGGCAAATATAATCTGGTTGAAACTCATGTCGACGAGGACTTTGGCAAGTCAAATGTTGTAGCAGGTAGCAAGTCCACTTTGCCTACACCAGTCAAGGATCTCATGAAGATGATATTTGATGTCCAAATGATCAAAAATGTACGACATATGTCTTTCTGTTGTAGCTTGGAATTTTTTTTTTCGACGACATCATTCAGACACCCACAAGTTTACTCATTACATATCATGAATTAGACTCTAGCTGAACTCGAGATTGATGCCAAAAAGATGCCTCTGGGAAAGTTGAGCAAAAGTCAAATTAAAAAAGCGTATATTGTACTCGACCGATTGTCAAAAGTCGTGCCTGGTGGTACTGTCGTTGATCCAGCGACTGATGTCGAACCTTCTGGATCCTTGACTCGTGGTGGTTCATCGAAACTGCAAATGGTGAATCTCAGCAATGAGTTCTACTCCCTCATTCCACATGACTTTGGACGAAATCAAGTTGTTGTCATTGACAGTATTGAAGGTATTATTGTTTGCTTGCCCCTCGTTGGCTCTTGGTTCTTATTCTCGTATTTCAGCCGTCCGTCAGAAAATCACGCTTCTCGACACCTTATCTGAAATGGAAATCGTTCAGCAAATCATCCAGGCTGGAGAAGGTGATACTGATGAGGATCCGATAGACATTCATTACCGCTCTCTCAAGACTGAATTGGAACCTATTGAACGTGGTTCTGATATATTCAACATGATTTCTGAATGCACTACCTCTACACATGCGCCAACGCACCAGGAATATAGTCTTGAGGTCTTGGATATCTTCAAAGTCAAAAGGGAAGGAGAGGATACACGGTTTGCAAAAGCAACGAAACGTATTCCTGGAGTACGTCATTTGCTCTGGCATGGGTCGAGGTTGACGAATTTTGGTGGTATTTTTTCCAAGGGATTACTCATCGCGCCGCCAGAAGCGCCCTCGACGGGTATGTTGTGGTTGAGTTTCAATTTTTTTAGTCAGAAGAGTTTCAACCTCACAGTACATTTCAAATAGGATACATGTTTGGCAAAGGGATTTACTTTGCGAATCTTGTCACCAAGGCGAGAATTCAGCTATTGTTGCTGACATGTTAACCTAAGGGTCGTTTGTTAATTGTTCCTTCTTGTCAATCTAGTCTGCCAACTATTGTTTTGCACATGCTCAGCAACCCGAAGGAGTTCTCCTCTTGTCTGAAGTATGTCATTCAAGGAGTTTTCGAAGATTGTGGTTTTCTCCCAAGCTTAAACAGTCATCTTTTCTTGAAGGTTTTACTTGGTGAACCTTATGAACGAATCAAGGCTGAATATGTTGAAAAGTTGCCAGCTGGGACACATTCAACCAAAGGTATTGAGACTTCGCAATTAAGTGTTTGGATTTCTCCAACTTTCTGGTTCTCTACTGCGTCCGATTTAGGTATCGGTGGATCAGCGCCTTCTCAATGGATTCCTCATCCTGGAGATCCAAACTTGCTCATTCCTATGGGGTATGTAGTTTGGTCCCGTATCCAACCGTGATGCTTTCTCACTGACATCCTATCAACCCGTGTTAGTCCTGTTGCAACTCAGAAGATGCCAGAAAGCTTTGGTCGTCAAAAGGGTGAATTGCTTTATGTAAGTTTCGGCCAAGGAATGCGATGTCGTTCTTTAGTTATCGAGAATAGCTGGTAATCTCGTTCCTGCTGTTTTTTCCAGGATGAACATATCGTGTATGAGACCGATCAAGCCAAGATTCGTTATGCTGTAAAGGTTAAATTCAATTTTAAGAAGGGAGCTGGTCGTCGCTGAGACAAGATTGTGAGAGATAGAAAAGCAAAGGGGACATTTGTTTTTAGGGTTGTTGGTTTTATCGCAGTGTAGATTAGAAGCAAGTTGATAAATTTATTTTTCGTTTTCAATCTGTGTCGCTCATATGTTTTGGACTCTCTTTTGTTTGACTTGGATTCTCGGTCCATACCAACTGCCCTGATACGACATAGAAAAAGGTCAGACCTTTGAAGGCGTCTGAAAGACGCCAATACGTTCTGCGAAGTTTCGCTGGTAAATTGAACCTTTTCGACGCGTCACGACATATATACAGATCAGATTTATTTATTTTTAAAGACAAGCTACATTCGTACATTAGCAACCTTTTCTAAACGCATCCCCTGCCAGCTAGCCAGCTAGAAACACTACACCGACTTATGCACATCCCTCTCTTACTAACAAGAATAACCACTCCTATCTATTGATATTAAAACTAACAATCAGGCTCTGACTCTGACTCCAGATTCAATGGCCTTCTTCAAATCATAGCATTCATGATGTAAAAATCGTTTTCCTCGAACCTCGACTTTGACACCATCTTGCATCTTGCTCAAAACCATCATAACAAACAATACATTGAGCCTTTACATTCTTCTTTTCACGTACTGGACAAGTAGAGATGAACAACCTTTCACGCATCGAATAATGGATATTAGGTGGTTCCTGGAGCTTGTCTTTATTGTTGTCGAACAAGCTGAATGTCTCGTCACGTCGTTGAGAGATACTTTATGGCTACGGCCTAACAGTGAAGAATGCCAACTTGTTACTGGTACATGACGTTCCGGTCGGGCACTAGAGTTATATTGAAATACCGTCTCCTGTGATTGTCGGACATCCGCTTCGTGAGGGTTTGAGCACTGTGCTGTTTACGCTCAAGTAAACTGCAGCTCTTGGTTGTACTCTTTTTTTTTGTTCAGAAAAATTATATTCCAACCATACCGATTCACAAGAACATTCGACTTTCTTGCTGAAAAGCTTACATATGACTTCCCACAGATATTTACTTCAACTGGTGGTCGTGACTGAATTCACAATTATCATGCAGACTGGTGTCGTCTTTTTGTCAATGCAAAACGACAAACGGCTCAGGACTACCAGCTGGTTTATCAATCGCATCATTTTGGCTGGATGAATAGGGCACCCGTCGAATGGTTTGCAATGGGTTGCGCCTTCTCATCCTCATGATGAACTTGGTGTTTACTTGGTTTCAGAGTATCTGGTCTGACGAGATGATTTTCTTTTACCTACGCAAAAGAGGAGTCCTAGTGATTCTCGTCTATACCCTGGTTTATGGGGTCCACGTCACTCTGAGTGTCAATCAGTATGTACACGCTAGACGGGTTTTCGTTGCTTAATCCCCAAACTGATCAACAAAACAGGTCAAGCCCAACTGCTAAAGAAAGAATGCAGACATGAATAACACCGAATCAAGCTTTCAGTGCTCGCAGTATGTGCCCTGCTGTGTTGTCATTGTTGCTGAAATGCAAGAAAAAAACCGTGCACGTACATTCTCGTATGGCTTCTCAGCTTCGTGGCCTCAAAAACCCTCGTCTCCAGTAGTGATACGTTGGGTGGATTTTTATGGGGTTCTGATAGTCTTTTATTGCCAAACTGCCCTCGAAGTCTCGCAAGGTTGCTAGTTTGGTTTATTCTGGAGTATCATTGGTATTTAGTGGTGCCAAATCGGGAGCCTACGTTTTCGGAGCCTTGTTTGTTTATAGAAGATCGTGTTTGAATCTATCGGTACAAAACCTTTACGACTAGCATACATGGTATTTAATTCTTCTAAGCATCTAGAATCTCATAAACAAAAAAATCTGTCTAGTTGCTAAAACTGTATGCTTCACACACACCATAACCACACGCCAGTTACATGCGCAAAAAATCAATGAATATATTTTATCAGGTCTCCCCTCATAAACAAGAATAAGCATACAAAAGCCCAAGGAAAGCAATCCCAACGGTACAACATTGCAATCCTACTAGTAATTGTTGTGCCTTCTCAACGCCCCTTGGTCTTTTTCGTCTTCTGTACCTTGTTGCCGTTTCTAGCATTATTCTTCTTGCTATTCGACCCACTAGACCCAGCACCACCAGCTCCCGTATCTGGATCCTTATCCTTATCACTGTCTGCCGAGTCTACAGCGACGGCAACAACGATTTCTGTACAATGCACAAAGGACATTCGTGCCTCCTCGTCTTTGAGAGGATTGAAGAATGAGTACTCGTTTTCTAAAAACATCCAAGAATAGGGGGAAAACGTCAAAACATAGCGATGAAAAGAGCCCCGGCTTATTTGGTGGATACTCACGTCTTGGCACAAAGAAGATACCACCAGCAACAATCCTGAATCGTGTTCCATTCAAAGTCACATCGACTTCACCATCCGTGACGGTAAATACCATGGAGGAATTGGCTGAATTCTTCGAGGGCTTGCTAGTGTTTGGCGGCAAGACGAGTAAACCAGACGCCATGAACTGTCCTTCGTCAAAGAGTCTCGTAAATAGGAAATCGGCATTCTGTACTGGCTTCATTTCAACAATTCCCGGATTCACGCCAACCACTGTTTTACAAAATTGAATATCAGATTAGATAGAACAGTAAAATCACAATTCCAAACTTCGAAATGCTTCCCCAAGAGGAAGCAACCAGTAACGACAAACACACTTACTAGTCTGCTTTTCAGCCTCATCGATATAATCGTAAGCAAGCACATGCGTAGGTTTAGCCCTCGGAAGTTTTGTTGATTTGGATCTTTTAGCTGCTCCAGACGATGATCCGCCACCTTCGTGAACATCCTCATCGTTAGGTGTAAACGATTTACTGGTCTTTGGCCTAGGTTTACGTTGTTTGATTTCTGGTTCTTCCTTGGGTACTCTAATAATCTCTTTTACAACAGGGACCGGGCAATACCCTAGAAAGGGTTGAGTGCAATTTCTGTTAGTCAGATGAGAGCAAGTAGATTTGTACGTAACCCACGACCAACAAAAATCGCAGATATGAAACATGACGTACCAGATTCTCGCCTGCCCAACACAACACGTTCCCCTTTCCACCAATCCAAAGGACTATAACGGTTTCGATTACTCCTTCGTTGGCCATTTTCATCCACAACTAGACCATCACCAGGATTTGGTATAAACTCATCCTTAACCAAGGTGGACTCTGTCGTTTTCGTCCTTTTGGGGTTCTTATTGACACGACGAATTGGATTCTTGCTGCTACCACTGCTGCTTTTAGCCTTCATAGGAGATTTAGACTGCTCAGTACCGGCCTTAGTTGGCTTCTTGGGTGATGTGACATGCTCATTTATCTAGTTTTGTAAAATGTTTAGCCAGACAAAAAAAGCAAAGACTACTTTTTGAAATTACCTACCGGCTCAGCTCTCGATTTGCCCTTGTTGACGGCAGGTCGAACCTCTTCTTCACTAGATTCGCCTTCACTAGATGCATCACCTTCTTGGCCACCCTCATTGCTAGGCCGTTCAGCTCCGTGACCTGTATCATCTTCATCTTGTATTCCAGAAAATTCAAAAGCATCCCGATCGACATCCATTGAATTATCATGGGCTGGATTATCGGCAGTTGACTGTTTTTCTTCGTCAACCTCCTCTATTATTTTTCTGGCATTTTTGCGGGCGGATGAGGTTGGTGCTGCTGGTTTTGTGACTGCGACCATTTGTTCTTGTTCGCCTTCTCCTGCTTCTTCATCGTCATCGTCTTCAGATGATGACGACGATTCTTCTTCCGAAGATGAGGACTCTTCTTCTCGTTGTCGTTTCTGAGGTGACAAAGATACGGACGGTCGTGGAGACAAGGACACAGATGTGTGTGAAGCAGGGGTAATTGCAGCTGAGGATCTTGCTACTACAGATTTGGAAGGAGTTTTGGTGGGTGGATTTGATATGGTAGTAGATTTCGACGACGTAGATGTAGATTTCGATGCTACCGACTTGGATGCGGTAGCCTTTGATGCTGTCTTACTGTTACTCGGAGCAGCACCATCACCAATATTCTTCGTGGCGGTCGTGGGTATCTTTTTCGCGGTATTGGGTGTAGCCTGTTTTAGAGGTGATTTACTACTTGGCTGTCTGATAGTAGGCTTTGGCACCCTCGGTGTGTTTGTTGATGCGTCTACACTACGTTTGAAGGAGCTGGCTGACTTTGTGACTGAGCTGGCTGGCTTTACAGGTGATCTGACAGACCGATACGTCAAAACAGATGCACTAACATCCTCATCGTCTTCATCGTCCTCTTCTTCATCATCGTCTTCATCTGCAGCCTTGGCTGGCTCTTCTCGGTCTCCTTCTTCCTCTTCGTCTTCATTAACTTCATCGTCGTCTGCATCTGATTTATTGGACGCAGTAGGAGAAGGTGGAGCTTTTATGGTAGCGGGGTTGTTACGTAGATGTTGTAGTATTTCAGCAGCAGTTATCTCTGTATCCAATCGATCTTCCAAGAATGGATTACTTTTACGATCGTTGGTAGGCCTACTACTAGTCCTTCCTATTCTGGATGCAGATGCTGGGTCTGGAGGGAGTATAACAGATCTTATGAGTTTATGTGGGCTGTAGACTGTATTTAGTTGGAAGTCTGGCATATCAGGATCATCGTCGTCATCGCCCATTGTGATATCTGGTGACCCTTCAATATCTGCGAATGTGGGAGTGCTGTGGTTGGACGAGTATATAGAGGTACGTTTGTCAGATGTACGTGATGTACGTCGTGCTACGACATGAAAAGTGCATGTCAATCTCAATGTAGCAAAAAAAGGAAGCTACATTTGAGTTTAAAAGTAATTACCCAATCCACGCAGTGCATTTTGCTCTAACGAGTCTATATCCATAGAATCCACAGATTCGTGGCGACTAGATCTGCCAGCCCTATCACTCTTCTCACTCTTCCTTCTCTGCTCTTGCTGTTGCTGCTGTTGTGGCACCTGCTTCTTCTTGCTTCCATTTACAGAATTAAGACGATTGTGCGAGTTTGTCTCCTTGTGGGCAGCCGAATCGACATCACTATGTTGACGTTCTCCTCCTCGACTAACTCGTCCACGTTGTTGAGGTGGCTGCTGTTGATCCACTTCTACTTCATCGTCCTGTTCTTGTTCTTCTGGTTCAGACAGATAAAAGTCTTCAATATTGTCCATACCATCGTCGTCTACTTTTACGTTTTCTTTTGCCTTGATGCCAGTTTTCCTATATGGAACATCGAGTTAGTACGTAGATCAAGCATATGAGCATCCTTTAGAGCAAGGTCTTCCGTATTTGGTCGTGACACGAGGTAAAACCACTGTAATGAACGTCCATCACAACAAAACGTGTTTTTGATGTTGAGATTCGTACCGACCAACACCAACGGCAAAGAACTTGTTTTGACGGTAGACACCATTCTCGCCATTCTGTAATGAAGATGCATAGAGTTCTAGTAAGTAACTTGTTCATCATGCACTGTTGGTCAGATTAGAACAAACTGACTTTGACAATGAAGGACTACAGCGTACATACCCTCCTGGTAGAGATCTGTCCTTTAGAGTCAGTCATAACGACGGCTTTGTTTCGCAGTGGCCTTGCCATTTGAATCAGCTTGTCATCATATAATCTCCCAAAACGAACTCATGTAAACACGACTGACAACATGTAAAGGGCGTTAAGGAGGTAGCAGAGACGTGATTTTGGATATTCCAAGGGCATTTATGGACTAATGTTGTTTGTTCAACCAGCGAACTCGACACAATAGAGGGCTAGTCAAAAGAACAACATTGACACTGTGATAATCATGATTTCTACGTGATTTATGGATTGAAGTGCAGCCTTGAATGAGAGAATACTGATTGGAGGTGCTCTAGGCGCGTAATTATTGCTACTCTAACTATTATCTGGAGGGTACAAAACAAGCCTTCTCCTGAGCTTTTGTCGTAACATCAAACCCAACATTTTTCGACCATCCATCTACGGACTCATCCATCCAATTCCATCAAATCTTTTACAAATCAATCAATCTCTCTTACAAGAATCTCAATGAGGAATGGCAAGATGCCTGTGGTGTTGGGGGCAATACAACAAGGAAAACAAGGGATTCACATCTTTTGTTTTTCTTACTTATCATACCCTCGAGGAGGCTCCCAGAGTAACCGTTTAATCGCTCGAAAGGAGCTAGCTGCCAATCTAGCTGCTGCGGTCGTACCAGAAATACCTTACACTCTAGTCATTGGCAGAAGGCAAAGATGAAGTGCGCGGGTTTGTCTCGGCAATCCCATCCATTTCTAGCTGTGAATTTAATACAAATGTCATGATTGGTGGTTTGAGAAAGTGCCGCTGGTTGCAAATGTTCAGTGCAATACACAGGCTGGAAACGTCAAACACTTCCAGACTCAATTGGGACGCTCTCTTGCCATTCCTCTCTGGGTCACTGACAGTTGGGTTATTGGTTGATTTGAAAGATGATGGGTGGATGGACACTTTCTTGGTGGATGCTTGGATTCTATACAGATATGTTATGTCACTTGGTTTTTTTTGTACTCTGCTAACGTTCATTGGAACTCATGAATTAACGCACATCATCGTCTCCAATGCATAGGCAACAACACGTACACACATGAACTTGGTAGTAAGAGACTCTCTTTGTAACTACCATATATTGTTCAATACACTTCCAAGTAAATAGTGAACTAATACTTCTTGTACGGATGCGACCTTATCTCGATGCATGCTGCTGATTCCAAAAGTACTATGAGATTGTAAAGTCGTGTCACCATTTGTCGCAAATTGCTGACCGCTTTTTTTTCGTGGTTACGTGCCGAAAGCCACTTACCTCAAACATTGTGCTGCTGAAGTTCTTCGATAGCTCTTTGCACACAGACATGACTCGACATGGAATAGGAAATGAGAAGAGCAGAATTATGCGGGCAGCGTTTGTAGAGGATGGCTCATATAAATTCGGACTCCCCTTTATTCCTCAGCAGGGTTCTAATATGCTGCTCCTTCTCACATTCAACATCGTTCCCGATTGAGTAGCATTATTCGGCAACAATCCAAGTAGTGTGGGAAGAGTGAAAGGTGACCTGAAATTGCATATTAGACTTTTGAGTTCGTAACGGATCTCCACCCAGGGCATCCCAAGAAATGGTCGTGACGACGTTCTGGTCCAGTTAGGCTTCTTCTTTTATAGTCCGTCTGCAAAACACACAATGTCTTCCAAACGCCACAAACTCCAAAACACACGTAACAAAAACACCAAATTTTGTGGGTATCCCTGATTGTTTCATTTGCAAAACATATACAACCTTCAACCTGTTTTAATAAACCTCAGCCATAATCAACGTAATCAGTGAACTCCACCCTGTGAATGGATGTGACCTTTGACCATGTCCGTCTATAGGTGAATACTGTTCCCAAAAGTATCCACTGCGACGGTATTCCTACGATGTTGACAAGTCAATATCATATATCATCTTAAGCAGATTTTTTGTTATCATCAAGGTTTGAATACTCACACTAAACATGTTGTTAATGAGATTTTCACGTAATTCCTTATACACTGTCTTGGCTTGACTTTGGTATGGACCAGGAACGTGCATATAATTCTGATGGAAAAAAGTGGTGAGTAAAAAAAGGGACGAGAAAGGCACCAATCAAATATTTTCTATACCTTGTACAAGGACCACAGTGCCATATAATTCAAATGAATCCATATAGGTCCTCTCCAATAGTTCTCATGTGTACCAAAGTACGCATCAGATTGAGATAGAGATGCTAACCCATATCTAGATGAGAAAAAGGCATTGTCAGCGAAGAGGGAAAAAAAGGACCTCCACGCAATATAAATTCCTCACGGTGTCCAAAGATGCTGTTCATCCTTCATCAGATCCAACGTAGCTCCCAATTGAGTAGCATTGGCAGGTAACAATCCAAGCAGTAATGGAAAGAGTGAAACGTAGCCCTTGTGAACTACAAAAGCCGATTTTCCTGACAAAAAAATATAAACGAACGTCAGTATTGCTTGTAGGGATAGCCACATCCTCATAACAGACTACATACCATGACTACCAACAGTCAAATCACAAAAGCATTTGGCTGCTTCATTCCAATGTAAATCTGAATTCAGCAGAGGAACCTTAGCTTTTTAGACGAAAACAGAAACAAACACAGAAAGGATGTACCTTCAAGACTATACACCACATCCTTAACATGCTTGGCATACAAGGCAGCATCCTCTTCAAATCCGATCTGCTCAGCAACACTTTGCAATGTCTTTGCAAAGAATCCAACCCATGATAACAAGTCGACATGCAATTCACCAATACTTGGGTCGGTAGCTCGCGGATAGTCATCGAGACCTGTATGTGAACAAAGTGTCAATGCTTCTCTCGCGAACTTTTGTTTTTTTTTGGCACTCTACCTGACGTCAGAGTATGAACACCTTTCCGACCTCTCCATCGATACGCTTCAGTGCTACGACTCGTTCTGCCCCACTCTTCAATTTCACCCCACTGAGTGCTTCTAAACCACTCGTACTGGAGCTTGAATTTGGGGTATATGCGTTTCAGATAGCTCATGGCTAGTTCCTTGTCGAGCAGATGACGTTGTGTGAGATATACAGGATCGTTTGTGCCAATCATTGGTTCTGGAAGGAGGGTGGGCTTGAGTTTGGAGAATAACAAAAAAGGGATCTCTTGACGGATGTACGTCAAGACTGACCTGAACCAGGAATGCTAACACGATCAGCTTGATGTTGCAACCTCTCAATAAACTCCCAAACAGGTAAAATGAGAGTTGGAGGGTTGGCGTGGTGTGGAAATTGTGTGACGAATTCTTTTGGAACCTGCGAAAAAATATGTAACACTAAATCAATGCACGGAACGGTGTCTTCCAGTACACAAAAACAAATCACAAACCTTGCTACGTGCTTCATCTCCAAGAATCTGTTCACGAGCAACCCATCCATTATCTTCGATCAAATTTGCCCATGATTCAATTATGTCCAGACTATTTGTGAGAAGGTGCTTAGCAAAAAAACAACCGATACGGTATCATTATAGATAAGGGTTAACGTACCTCAACTCATTATCCCATTTACCAATTAACTGCAAATGAAATCCTTCATCCCTGTGATGGAGAAAAAATGGCCATTATATACAAATCATCCTTTCAGGTCGCACTCTCCAACATACCACAAAAACCCCCTCGGAAAGAACGGCCGTGACGGCGTAGCAGTAAACAACTCTATCGGTCCTTCAATCTGTGGCTTAGGCGTGGCCTTGACCTTCTTCTGACCACCTCTAGATCCACTTGTATCAAAATAATCATCTTCAGCTTCGTCGTCGTCGTCTTCTTCAAGAAACTCGGTGTCAGGGTCTACTTCGGCACGATCGACGACCCACGTTCCATAAAAGTATCTAATATTTGTAGAAAGAACTTCAGCAAAAAAACGATGGCTGCAATCACCACGGAATGGCCCAACAATCTTCAACTCTCTACATACCCAATCCCACCATTCAAACTCCCAAGAGAAGTCTTTGCGAAATCCACTTGATCTGAAGTGAACCCCTTCTTGCTCAAACCAAACAAATCTTCAAACTTTTCATCAAATGCTGTAGCTCGTTCTCTGATCAGTTTGGTCAATGACGGACCACTGATGCGATCAGCTAACAAGAAAGGATCAATGATTGTTGCATTATCAGAGATTCGGAAGCTGAACCTCACCTTTGTTAAGAACTTCTTTCGCATCTAAATTATCAGATATCTGTGATACGAAGCTTACATCAAACTAATTCGAGATTCAAACAAAGGAATTTTAGCAAAAAGAAGATTTACTTGTGGCTATAATGAACACGCAAGTGATTTCCAACCTGAAACGGAGCACGTAACGTCTTCTGTACAATAAACACATTAGGATCAGATCCACCAAATCCATTGGGCAATCGAATCAGATGAGCAGGATCCAGCATGGGTGTTTGATAGTTCTGAATGATTGTTTTGGCACGTTCTACGAAATGCTTTACAAGGACATCTAAAGCAATTTACATTTGAGTTTCAATAATTGTGGTCAAAGCATGTTCAAACTTCAATTCCAGCTCGAGTCTCCTGGTACGCTGACAAAAGTCCAGAAAGCAAGTGTGCATACCTTTCAAAGTCCACAACCCTTTCGGATCAATCTTACTACCAAGAAATGCAGTTTGGTCTAAATCTGTCAGGATGCCATCGTAACGAGGTGGGTATGGACCTCCAACAGGCGGTGGTTCATTGTTGGGATCTAGAGAATGAATTGTTGAGGCAAAAAACCAAATCCACACTTGAGCAATCTGATTTTTCTGTCAGTTTCCACTAGCACTATTACCTCCAGACACCACAAATGCAAAATTCCCTTGATGAGGAGTATGGCCAGCGAGAACTACTTCATCGGGAATTCCCTATAGCATCCACATAATTGTGAGCTTGTCAGTGTATCGAATATCAATAAAGCGCAAGTTCACACCTTTTGAGTGCCTTCACTAAGCAACTGAAACGATCCTCCTTCTTCTTCAATTCCCATGTAAAATATCATGGAGATATCGGCAGTCACGTCTGCGTATAAATATTCGTTTGGGTTAGCAAAAAAACCTATCGTACTGCAACGAATCGATTGCGAATGTACCTGGATCTATCGGCTTTCCACTAATACGAACAGCCCAATCTCCACCTACAGAGACACGTGTCAACCAACGTGACAAGGCTAAAAAACTAACAGCGTTCTCTATGCATTACCTGGTCCAGCACCATCAACCTTGACAAATTCGGTGGTAATAGTGACATTATTGAGCCCATCACGTATTTCCTGCTCTCCAAAACTTCTACCATCGTGCCTCTTGTATCCATATCCTTGCATGTTATCACCTTGTTCACATGAGTGTCGTGTTTCTGTAAGATGAAGTGAGCGGTGGTGAATGTTCCTTTCGACGTGTTCCATGTACGAGACACTTCCAACTAGATGTGTATCATACGTGATAAGCCATTGAGTTCGGAGACGCCATGCCACATGAGACCCGTTATGATTGCATCTGGAGTACGCGACCTGGTACCGAAATAGAGATTTGGACGGTATGTGCCTAGATGTGAATGTAATATGGCAGTAAGTATAATGAAGAAAACAAACTAAACTGTCGCGTTACTCAACATCAAACTCCATTTCATACCCCAGTGTAATGAGTTATTGTGACTTGATGATCCAATGTCAGAAAGTGCATTCGTAGAGATGATGACAGTAGCGCATAGTAAAACCAGTATGAAATTAGTCATGGCTGCATCTATTGCGGAAATCTGTCCTCCTCTTGTTCTGTTCAAATCATTTGGGAATTGACTTTGATCTCTTCGTGCTAAATGTTTGGACCAAAAAAGGAGGAGACGACAATGAGGATGTTGAACAACCATTACAAACAAAGCGTGTTTTGCTGCATAGCGCTTTTATTGGCAATATCTACTGTCTCTGGTAATTTTATCAATCACAAACCAATGGTTTAAATCAACCATTTCATTCGTGTCGTGATTTGAAGTCCAAAGCTCACACAGTTTCCTATAAATCCACTCATAGGACACGAAGGCCATGCTCACAATGAGCAATACAGTTTCGGATACCAACCACAATACGGCGTCGTCGGAAACAACGACACATCATCATTCAAATTCAAGCTGCTGTATTTCGCTGCAAGAGGACGAGGAGAACTCTCACGTCTCATCATGGAGTTTGCGTAAAACACAATGTTATTGCTCTAGATTCCCTCCTTTCAATTCGCCAATACTTTCATTCACATAGAAACGTAACATGGCACGACGAGCTCCCCGTGAACTGGACAACCCAAAAGCAATCAATGCCATTCAACCAACTGCCCGTTCTCTACCACGAATCGCATGGTGAACCAGTCATCGTGTTGGCTCAATCTCATAGTATCGAGAGATACCTGGCGAGGATATTGGGATTATGTGGGAGGTCTGTCACAGAGACTGCGTATCTCGATTCAGTGTTTGAGTCATTCTTGGATTTCGAGCCGGATTTGAGAAAGGTTGCTGTTGCCAAGCCTGAAGATAAGGTATTGGTTGAAAAGGTGTCATGTTCGATTACCAACCAACAATTCACATTGACATGCAAATAGGGCGATCTTTTGGCATATTTCTTGGCCAAACCACTACCCAGATTCGTAAACATTCATGAAAAGCTACTGAAGGAATCTACTGGCTACGTCTCAGATCAAGTACAGTGTTCTGAACAGACATCTCTGTCAAACCGGTATCCAAGAACTCAATTCACCCTTTTTCGCCGTATAGATCACATACGTCGACCTAGCACTATTCCTCAATGTTGAAATAATGGTTGGAATCTCAGAGGCCATTGAAGAGCAGCTCAACAAGACGGCTCCAGCCATCTACACATCGTATCTTCGAGTGGGGAATCACCCACGTGTAGCTAGCTGGCTAGTTGATCCTAGGAGAATTCCACCACGTAGATAGGGCAGTTGTTTGGAGAAGGAAGGATGAAACAAATACCAAATATCATTATACCTGTTGGTTTGATCTGACAATCCAATGTGTATGTTTGAAAGAATCATCATATAGCGCGTCTGTTACAAGAAATTACGTTGAAAGCTTTGTAAGGTTGCAAACTCACCTCGCAGTGTTCAAATGCGTCCATCGCTCCAAGACAACACTCGTGTACATACCACCAAGCTCAACCGCTTCAATATGGGGACACTAGCACGACACATCCCAACCATAAGACCCGTAATACGGCAGCACATCCATCTCCACCCTCGCTTCGGCTCCTCATCCTCAACACAATCAGACATCCTTTCAATCCGCACCAGTTACCGCACCCAAGGCCATGGCCAGGTCATCCTCGAAAAATACACGTCGCCAGGTATCGCAACCATAAAACTATCTAATCTCAAACGTCGGAACGCTCTCTCCCCGAAAATGATGTCGGAATTCGCTGATGTTGTTGATGAATTGGAACGTGAATGTACGAGTAGTGAGGCAGCACATGGAGGTGCCAGTACAAAGAATGATGGACTGGGAGGTGTTATATTGATGGGTGAAGGGAATACGTTATGTAGCGGGTTTGGTATGTCGTTATCTGTGTTCTTGACGGAAACCTGCAATTTTAACACTGCTCTTTTTGTGCTAGATCTATCACACGGCCAATCATTCATGACATCTACAGCGGGTGACGATATGGCTAGACTGATGCATAATACGCTTTTACGGCTTCGCAGGTACACGGACAAAAAAAAAAGTTTATCTTAAGTGAGTCAACGGGATCACTGACACCACTTCTTATATCTTAGACTACCAATACTATCATGTGCAGCGATAGAAGGATTTGCGCTTGGAGGAGGTGCTGAACTCTCTACGTCGTGTGATTTCAGGGTTATGAGTGAGAGTGCTTCGTTGCGATTCGTGCAGATACTTATGGGGGTTACGCCTGGATGGGGTGTATGTATACATTGCTGTAGCGCTTGCATTATGAGGTATTGATTGTTGGTTTGTTAGGGAGGTACGAGGTTGACTCGTATAGTAGGACGATCTAATGCTTTACGGTATATTCCGTGAATTCTTGTTGGTTTTTTTGCGCATCATATCTCTTCACTCAACTCACCACATCCCATTCACATAGTCTCCTCCTCTCAACACCCGCCCTCAAAGCCCCCGAAGCACTCACGCTCGGCCTCGCAGACGTGGCGTCCAACGATGACCAAGTCTACGAAGAATGTGTGCGTCTGCTGCACTCGATGATGTACGAACAAGGTGGTAAAGGCGGGTCTCGCCACCCGGTTGAAGTCCTGCGTGCCATGAAATCCGTAGTGAATAGAGCTGATGAAGGGCCAGACACGGAAGCAAGCTACGAGTATGAGAGACGCGTGTTTGCGTCGCTTTGGGGACAGGAGGCTAACATGAATGCGATTAAGAAGGGGAGTAAGAAGAAACATGCATAATAATTGAGAGCGCGACGGTTGACTTTTGGGCAACAGTCTTTTATAGTTATATTCGAGATGGTTCAGTAAAGCATATACAAACAGCTTTTGAATAGCAGCAGACAATCTACTTGTTTCGACGCTCACTAGTAATATACTTGTGAATAGGCTCATACGAATGCACGTTCTCATAAATCTTCATCAAGAGTGGTGCCTTCTCCTCCAGCATCTCCTTAGTTTCGGGCTTTGAGTCGATTATATCTTCAATCAACAGAAAAGCTGCCATGTCCACGTACGTGATCTACGCAAAAACCGCATTCATGATTACCCTCATGTTGACAACCCAAATCAAAACACACACACCTTATCACCAACATAGCACCCGTCTCCACCATTAGCATCAATCAACACCTCATGTTTAGCAACCCCATTCTCCAACACTTTGCTAAAGTCCTCCCAGAGCCCGTCCTTTGCGTCAGGGTCTTTCGAGTATTTGAACCTGTAGAAGGATGTGCAGATCTCGGTTAGGGATTCGTGGATGGAGTCGAGGAGGGCTTGGTCACGGTCGGTGGCGCCCATAAAGTTGAATTTCTTTGCTCTATAAATAGGATGGGGTGAGTGAAACGCGTGTAACGGTTTGAAAGTTGATAGTGCTTACAGGTATCGAGCAATAGCAGCGGACTGAGCGAGGGTGAATTCCAAACCGCCTTTGCCTACAATAATGAAATTGGTGAGCTCCATGACATATATCACGAAAAACTGCAGTGACTCATGTATTTGCAACACATTCTTGTCTCCAACATTTACCATATTCTCTCAAGATAGGCAACTGTCCGAATGGAGAATCCGGTTTCAATTTAGCCCAGTCAGCACCTGGAGTAATGTCCTTCCATTCTGCTCCACCACACTAAATTCCCAATTGTGAGCCTCGATGAACAACATTGAATCAATGGACTCTGCTTACTTCGAGCAAGAGACGAGAGAGTTCTCCACGAGCCTACATGAAACATCAAATAATATATTAAAACGAAAAAAGAGAATGCATTATACAAAATAAATAATCTTTGGTTTGAATTCAGTGACTTCAACACAGAACGACACGTTACCCGAACGCCAAAGTATAAGAGCTCGTAGTGGGTCTTGCTGGCCTTTGCGGCACGTTTAGGAGGCATCGTCCCTAGTATTTGCTTACTCTGGGAATGAATTTGTTTGAAAATGCAACGTGCTCACCCCACACTTTTCGTGTCACAATCGGACGCAAACTGAGATTTGTCAGGAACAGAAGGCCCAAAGGTGAGAGCAACGCATGCCTTATGTTATCTCTTTAATTCATATCTATATTTTCATCTAATACCTTCCTTCAGTAGTGAACAATATGGAAACAAAATCCTTCACAATCCCATTCCCCAAATCAGACATACCATGCTGCATCCAAACACCACCAGCACCATCAACCGACACAATAGGAATCATCCTAGCACATGGCGCAGGCGGTGACCTAAACTCTCCCGCAATGGCGTCCCTCGCCACAACACTCACCAAACACAATTTCACAACACTGCGCTTCACTGCATCATCACTAAATCTCGATCACAGAGTCAAGCAATACGAAGCAGTATATACATATACTCAATCCCCCTCCTTTGCCACCCACGTCAAGACTGTTCCCAAACAATGGATTCTCGCAGGCCGGTCAATGGGCGCACGAGCATCAGCAGCACTCTCTGCATTGCCATCCACGGATTGTGTAGCTGTATTAGCATTCTCATACCCGCTACATAACGAGAGACATACGGGTGGATTGCGTGATGCGCTACTCAAAAATCTCACACGGCCAATACTGTTTGTGTCGGGAAGTAATGATAATATGTGTGATTTGGGTATACTGGCTACGACAAGGACGAAGATGCGTCAGCCAAATTGGCTTGTGACGCTGGAGGGTGGTAATCATTCGGGGAGTGTAAAAGGTGGAGGGAAGGCTAATGCATCGGTTTTGGAGTGTGTTGGGGAGTTGTGTCGGTCGTGGGTGGATTATGTTGTTGATGGAGATGAGGGGAGCAAATGGAAGGATTCGGAATGTATGTTGAAGGCTGAAAAGGGTGGGAGTGTTGTGAGGACTTGGAGTAAGAAGGTTGGTACAGGTAGTAGTAGTAGTAAAGTAGGTGACGCAGAGCAAGCAGATGAATCTGGAAAAGCTGCTGATGAAGACGCTGAAGAGGACGCAGAACCGCCTGTAAAGAAACGTAAAGCAGCAACGTCTAAGAAAGGCAAGGCCGCTGCTGCAGACGATGATGACACTGACGTCGAAGTTCCTCCTAAGGCAACACGCAAAACAGCTAGAGTAACCAAAAAAGTGAAGACCGTTGTTGAAGAAAACGATGACGACGACGAGGATGAAGAACCACCTAAATGAAACGTAAAGCCATAAATCCAAGAGGTAGTGACTCAACAGACCTCCATAACCTCGTACACACGGCAGCCGCACATACATTAAGTAAATCGTTTAAACGTCGATGCAAAATCGTTTCTTGTATAAAGTTGAATTGAGTCCTGTCATAACAAACAAACATTTGTTATGACAGTTGTCATTGCAGATTGTGTCCAAAACACATGTCCTCTCAGTGTTTCGTCAACGACGCACATGCTTTCTCCTTTGCAGCATCTCCACACACCCAGACGAGCAATGAGACGAGGTAGCGCCAATACTACATGACTGTGCTGCAGCCAGCGACGAAACACTGACTGTTGCGTTTGATGCCACATCTTTGGTACAGCAAACAAGCTGTGCCTTACTATCCATGACACAGCATCAGTTTGAATTGATATTTAGCAGTTCTTGCAATGCTTGCTTAATTTTGTGTCAGTGCTAACTCAATTTTCGTACATGATTGCAAAAATGCTAAGAAGATCGTCAAAGTCTAGTATGAGACAGTACTGTGAGCAGAGAGGTATATGAATTGCATTCAAATGACTGGTCTCTTACATATTTTATTATTTTTAAATCGAGATCTTGAATATAAAAAAGTGTTGGCACGCCTCTTTGACAAATTGTGGAAATGGGCTCTTTTTGGTTTGGTGGAAAGATCTCTGATCTCTCGTTAACTTTCACACAGAGAGAGATTTGAATGCTGTTGAGCGTAGTTCGTGGACGCCCTCGAATTCTTTCTTGGACAGGTTTGTTATGTTTGGTGTGGAAAAACCTACCACCATTTGGCACACCCCACCGTGAGCCGTTTGACACCAACCGCAAATCACCCAGCACAACAGGATAAACTCTCTCTCTCATAGATGGGGGATAGCACAATGTAGATGACAACACCTTGGCTACCTTTGATGAAAACGGTTTCCGTAATTTCTTCCGCCGCTTGTGATTGATCTTGTTGAAATCAGGAGTTTAGACACACAGAATGATTGGGTTCCTCTCATGTATATCGTAAAACCTTGCATTGTTGGTCTGTCAAATTGCTGCTTTCTTGGTTCGTCCTTTTTTCTGCGGCAGACAACGGTTTGTTGTGTCAGCGACCACTCAAGGGCACCACCAACGAAAACATCAATATCAAGCACAGAGACAAGAATGATGTTCAAAAAATGTCTATATAAACCACCTTCAATACATATTTGTGCAACACCTTTTCACAGACTGAAACCACCACCCAGTGTTTTGGTCTCAGTTATGAGTATACATGCAGCACGAATCTCTCTGTGCAATGTTCTGCAAACAACCTGACGAACAACAAAACGTTGCTCCATTCAGGTTACATGATTCTGCTCCAGTCAGGGAGGCAACACCGATGGTTGCATTAAAAGGGATGTCATCTTTGAGGCAGCAGATTACTTGTGTAGGGTCTGCCATCACACAGTTTCCTTTTCCGACCGTGACTGAGAATTCGGCTGTGGCTGCTAGTCTGCGAAAAAAAAATGGAAGGTGAGTTGATGAATGAGAATTTCTAACGGAGCCCAATCATTCTGACTGGCTTTCAGATTCATGTTTGGTGTTCAACTGATCACGGTTGTTCAAAAGTTGTTGGCGATATACCAACTTGCGTACATGATTGCGAAAAGAGCCAAGAAGATAGTCAAAGTCTGTTTCGAAGAGATTTTGTGAATGACAGTGAACCATATTTACAAGTGACACCGTCTTTTCTTACATATTTCATCATTTCAAATCAAATTCCAGAATGCTAAAGTCTTGGCACAACTTTTGCAGTTCAAACTTCCTTGCTGGTGAAAGTTGAGGGCCTTAGATGGACAGGATGGTGTTAATCTGAGTTCAAGTGCAGCCTGAAAGGTATGGTTGTGACGTGTTGATCGTTCTCGAATTCTTTTGTTGGTATTGTGATTTTTTTTGTGGTTGAACGAGAAAAGATGTTCCGTCGATAGTTGTGCTAGATATTGGCACAACCACAGAGTCATGGAGTCGTTTTGATCACAAGCACATGTGATTAGGTGGAAGGTATACGTAGACGGCATCAAAGTCACTAGAACCAAATGAAAATGTGAAAGCCGTGACAATCAACCCAACAGCAAAATTCAACAGACTTAGAGTATTTCAGAATTCTTGCATAGGCTCCATCCAAGCCCCAGCTAGCAGAGAAACTCAAGCACGGTTGGCCGGTGGTTCCATTCTCCTCCTGTGCAAGTTGGAGAAAGAGGTGAAAATGTTAGAAAAATGGCAGCTCTGCCTGACAAATCATGCTCTCAGCTCTCCCCACTTCCTCTTTCGCCCTTCTGGAATGACTTTGAGCGACAACAACAACTCAACACTAAAACCAAAACCACCCATCACCAATCAAAATAATATTAATGTGTATTTCAAAAGCAGCAGAAGCACCAGAAACAAACCAGTCCCTCAAAACTAGATCCTAGCGAACGTATCAACTAAATATTTCGTCACATCGTACGATCCATCCTTTCCATTCCTAACAATTATAGCGGCATGAGAATGGCTACGCTCAGTCATGACATCAACTTTATCCCATGGTAGCGTGTTGAGCTGTTCTATTATATAAGCACGTTGAGCTGGTGCTGATGTTTTTAGTAGCTCCGGGTTTGACGATGCGTGGAATTGTAAGTCCTTGTCACTCCACACCCATTCAGTCTCGGTTGGTTTGGTGGTTATATGGTAGTATGCGCTCCACTAAAAAAGAGAATCGGGGATGAGGTTTGATCAGGTACCGCTCCAATACTAGCGAGAGAAAAAAAGCAAGAATCACGAGAATGTAATTGACTTACACCAGCAAGAGTCGGTAAAGCCACCGCAAGCCATAACGGAACCAGAATCGGGCTCAGTATAATAAAGATACTGAACGTAACTTTCCCCCTCGTCGTCATAGGCAGCTGCGTATACGGCACAGTCGACGGTTTCACCAAACTTGGATACTCATCTCCATACCCCTTCATAGGCACCCATCTATGGTACGGATTACTCTCTTTAAACGAGGCAGTAGTATACGGCACAGTCCTGTCCGACTTGATATTAGCAAAGGCCTGTCGTCTTTTAAACAATCCCAATGCTTTGTAAAACGGCGAGTTCGGCATCGCCATAACGACTAGCAGCGGTAGTCCATTCAGATATACATCCTCTAATGCCATTTGACTACCAGATCGAGACGTCAGTGCTGAGGCCAGGGAATTAAATATTTTTTCAATGGTCTGGTTTCCCTTTTTACGGATGCCGAGATGTGGCGTCGCGATGGTCACAAAGTTGATTGGCTGAATTGTGTCAAAGAAGTGGGTGGTGTAGAGCTTGCCTATCGTGTATCTCATGACAAGGCCACCTAATGAGTACCCGATGAATGATATCCTGGTTACAGTTTGATCCTTCTTTTTCATCGTGGCGATTGTTTCGTGGATCAATTCAATTAGTTTGTCTCCGATTAGATCAATTCCGGCATCTAAAAAGGGAAAGGTCTTTGTTTTCAAGAAATGCACTCATTTACGCGACCAACACAAACAAGATCCTCACATGTCTGAAACCCCTGGCTGATATTCGAATTCAGTATTCTCACTTCAGTATCACCATGCACGTCCTCCATATGCTTGAGCAAGACATTAAAGTGCGTTGGCACGCCCCACAGTCCATGCTGCATAGTAAAGAGACGATCAGGCTCCGAAATCCAACACAAATGGAGTTCATTAAATGCATCTTTCAACTCACCTGGCAAACAACCAGATGGATTTCCTTGTGCTCATTTGTAGTCATCGCTCAAATGTTCGTTTGAAATCAGCCTAAACCAATGTAGAGTAGCTGAAGCACCAGATCGAGGTATTCACTGTATAAAATTATAGATAATGAGTTGCTTTTGGTACCGAGAAATATTGAATTTCAGGCCCCAGCTTCCTCCACCATTTTTCGCTGCCACGTAAGACTTGCGAAGAAAGGGAAAAAAGAAGTTCAAATAGCTTACGTGAAAATCGAAACTAAAACCTATAGTGATATCTACGCCGCGATTCCTCCTACACAGTTCCTTGGTTCCAATAGCTCTAACTCGAGGGTTTCAAAACGAAGCAATACAGACGCACAGGACGGGTTTTCACTTTACGAAAGACGAAAGACTCTTGTCTAGCAATTCACTTTGTGATGATAAATGCAATCTTGTATTTAGTTTATCGAGTCTTTCTACATCTAGCGTGCCTTCCATATAAACACTAATCTTGCAATATCTAACAATAACATGATTCCTAAGTGGTTTATCTATGATGATTTATCGTTTGTTATTTGGCTGCGGTGGCCACAACAACGATCAAAGGGCTTGAAGCAAGTGCTCAAATTTCAAGTTTCTCCAAAAATCACAGAGAGTGAGCTGTACGCACACACAGCATACATAAGGCAAAAGGCTCCTACCTATATAATATTAGCTGGCTTCTCGTTGCGTCTGTGTCAATCTACCATACTGTCTCTGCTCTGCAAACAAGATGGGTGACTTTCTCGATACAAACGAAATGATTGTCGATGATGGTGAGCATCAACAATAGATGGATTTGATTTGATTTGATTTGTATGTATTCTTTACGCCAACACCATTCTCCTCCCTCTCTTTCTATGTAGACAATACCGAACAGGTCAAGGCATCAGCAACAAAAAGGAAGGGCAGAGGCTTCGGGCAACAGACTGGTACATAGTGAACGAAGGCTGTATGTGGATTATTGTATATTGGACTCCATGCTAACATCCATATTCAACTTAGCTGACTACCACCATGATGAAATAAATCAAGCTGGCTTCGAGTCTGTAGAAAACAATGAAGCAACTGGGAAAGCACAACGATGTACGCTATTATTGACATTGAAATTCATGGAATACAAGTTATAGCAAGTGAATTACCATCAAACCTCTAACTCAACACATACATATACTCATCTTACCAGCTGTGGAAGGATGGATTATTCTCGTCACTGGCCTACACGAAGAAGCTCCAGAAGACGATGTCAAGGAAAAGTTTGCAGAGTTTGGTGACATCAAATCACTACATTTGAATCTCGATCGTCGTACTGGGTTTGTCAAGGTGCGTGTTAGATTTACATATGAAACTGTTGTAGGATACGGCTTTTTTTTCATGTACAATCGTTTCATTTCTATATCTCAACTGATTATTTTACTCTCACTCGCATTGCAATCTTACTTATTCCACTCTCACATTAGGGATACGCACTGATAGAATACGAAACATTCAAGGAGTCCAAGGCTGCCGTCGACGCTACCAATGGAACCGAATTCTTGGGGAAGCTCATTCAAACTGACTTTGCCTTCATTCGTGGTCAAAGCGCCAGCAAGAGTACATTGCAGAACAGTAATACACGTGGAAGGTGTGTAGTCGTTGATTTCCGCATTTTTTTCGCTGGTTTTAAAAGTGTGGATTGTTGGTGGAACGCATTGACAACATACCTCCATGGACAGCAATCAAATCATTATGTTATGTCAAATTTCACCTCCATATATCAATCTCACCAGGTTATTTTTTATCCAAAAAATAGAGGAAGAGGTGGATTCCGTCGTGGTGCTGGTCGATAGAAAGAAGAGGAATACTACTTTGTATAAAAACGTCTACATTTGCTGATAAAAAGGCACAGATCAAACTCCTGGTTTCTCAGCAACTCGTCGTTTTATAAGTGGCTTTGTAATCGCACCATTCAATTCTCTGCTTCACCACCTCGCTTAACAATTCAAAAAACCAAAGCAGCGACGACGAGAACTAGTAACTTTACGAGCACATCCTCCTAGCAAGCTCAGCAGCAATGGCTCTCCGTAGCCCATCAACTTCCGGACGACTGTTTGCTCGCATACAGCATCAGCACCCAACTCTACACAGTAAAGCACACTATTCAAAACCAACCAATGCCGTTCGACAATCTGTAAGCATGGACTTGCCTCACCATAGATACTATCCTCAACCGATATCTGCAAAGGCTCAGATCCCACCGATCGCTACTACGAATACTACTCTTGCTCCAGCTGCTACGATCTTGCCAACACTGCAGCATCAACAACCAATACCCGTAAAGCCAGTCAGTAAATCAGTTGATAGCAGCACCCATAGGAGTAGTAAACCATCAAACGCACCTCTCGAATTCCCTTGTCTCGAGAAAAACGCAGAGAGAGAACGATCGCTCGATGGTGGTCCAGAACCCGATTATCAGAATGTCGTGTCGGGTTACTCGCTGTATCATCATAATGCTCCCTTTTATACCCATCATGGGGGTGTGTTGCCGGAATTCCACTTGGCGTATGAGACCTGGGGAAAACTGAATGAGAAGAGGGATAATGTTATATTGGTACATACAGGGTTGAGTGCGAGCTCGCATGCCAAGTCGCATGCAGGGAATATGAGTCCTGGGTGGTGGGAAAAGTTTATTGGTACGTATCATCAGTGTGTTGGGGTTGGATTTGTTGTATAAAACAAAATCTAGAGTTGATTGCTTTTTTTGCACGCATCATTTCTTTGCTGGAACTAACAACAACACTCTTCTCCTTGTTCTCACAACAGGTCCAGGCCACGCACTAGACACCAATAAATTCTTTATAATCTGCACCAACGTACTCGGCGGCTGCTACGGCTCCACAGGTCCAGCCTCGATAGACCCATCAGACGGTGAACGCTACGCAACCCGCTTCCCGATAGTAACCATATTCGACATGGTCCGAGCCCAATTCCGTCTCCTCGACCATCTCGGAATCGACAAGCTATACGCGTCGGTAGGTGCCTCGATGGGCGGCATGCAGTCTCTCGCTGCAGGAGCCTTATACCCCGACCGTGTAGGCCGCATCGTATCAATATCAGCCGCAGCACGATCACACCCATACTCGATTGCACTCCGCCATACACAGAGACAGGTGCTAATGGCCGATCCGCATTGGAATAAAGGCTTTTATTATAATGGGATTCCACCACATGTAGGCATGAAGCTGTCTAGACAGATTGCGACAATCACGTATCGCAGTGGCCCGGAATGGGAAAAGAGGTTTGGCAGACGTAGATCTCGACCTGATGAAGTGCCTGCCCTATGTCCCGACTTTTTGATTGAGACGTATCTAGATCATCAGGGTGAACGGTGGTGTTTACAGTACGATCCAAACTCGTTTCTCTATATATCGAAAGCCATGGATTTATTCGACATGTCGGCTCCACTCCCGCTAGACCCAAATATACAACCCCACACACGTAAATCACACACTAAGTCAACCGATAAACAGTCATGCTCCGTCCCAGCTGTAAACATATCAGACGAATCAACCCACTACCAACCAACAAACCCACAGCAGGATATGAAACAACTCGTAGATGGACTATCACCAGCCAAGCATATCCCGACGCTTGTGTTGGGTGTGCAGTCTGACTTGCTGTTCCCGGTGTGGCAGCAGAGGGAGGTTGCGGATGCGTTGAGACAGGGTGGGAATGATCACGTTACGTATTATGAGTTGGATGCCATGTATGGACATGATACGTTCTTGATTGATTTGGTTGGAGTTGGTGGAGCTGTGAGTGGAGCATTGGCTATGAAGTGAGAGGATGTATGATTGGGTTGGAAAGGATGGAGCTGGAACTTGTATCATAGATATAGCCATAGTAAACTAGTTTCGGGATTTTAAATGAAGATGGACTTGCACAAAAAAAAAGATATGCTGTTCTCTCTATGCGACCGAATTGACGTTGAACCATCTCCCTTATCACATATGCTTTGTAAAACTGGTGTGGATATATTTCTCAAGCGTATACAACAAGATGCATCTTCTCTAACCTCCTATCTACTCTTCACGAATGAACACCCTCCTTCTTCTTCACCTCCTTCCCAACCTTCGCCTTCTTACTCTTCTCATCCTTGCCATCAACGACAACCTTCCTGTTGCCGGTAACTTTTGTCCCCGGATTCTGCTGCCTCCAGAAATCAACCCTCGTATTCAAATACCTTAGCCCTTCCTTTGCAAGCGCGGTGACTCCATCGTTAGGGAAATCAGAGAAATCACGATCTTGGGCTAGACCAGCGAGATAGACTTTATCTTCGAATAATTCACCGAGTAAGCGGACTTCGAGAGATGCTGGGATGGTGATTGGAGATGGGATTATGAGGGTTGGTGGTGCGGTTGTTTTGGCATTGGAGCCTGGGATTGTGGAGGATTGGGTGGGGAGGGAGTTGGTGGTGGATGCGAGTGCGATTGTTTTGCGGATGCGTTGTGGGACCCGGATACGGAAACGGCCTTGTCCCCCAACAGAGTTTTCGATTGCTTCTCGTGCCTGTTGACAATACAATGTAGTTGTGTTAGCAAAAACAGGGTACTACGTGTTCCTGACAAAGTGACAAACCACCCATAACCACCATAAGGCATACCTTCTGAATTCCAATCCGAAACTCAGCCAACTCAGGCCTTAGCGCATGTCCTCTATGATAGTGCATCAGGGCCAGCTCGAAATCTCCCTGCGCATATAATGCTTCAGCCTTCATAAACACCCCTTTGAAGAAACTCCCATCTTCTTTCAGCGCACTGTCTGCATCTTCCAGTGCAGAGCGCGGGGATCCGACCTGGACGTGGCACTTGGATCGAGAGACGAGGACGTGCTTGTCACCGGGACGTAAGGTGAGGGCTTTTGTGTATGCTTCGATAGCTTCGGCAAAGGAGCCGCGTTGGGCGAGAAGGTCGCCTTCGGCGGCGAGAGTGCCGAATGTGTATTGTGGGTTGGCGAGCGCGTCTGGGTCGAGGAGGTCGAGAGGGGTTGGTGGGGAGGCAGCAGCCATTTGATGTTGGAAGAGGAGTTGGTGAAGTTTGGGTGAAGGTGGTGCCTATTTATTATATGAGGTAATTTGAGAGTTAATGAGATGCGTGAGAGGTGTTTTATCTGAGCTTCAAATGCGCTTTTTGGTGGGTTTGAGTCAAGGTTCAGAAACAAATTGATCTGTGTCGGAGGTTTTTTGGGCAAGTGGATCTTCTGAATCAAATTGATTTAGCCACTCGATGAGATAGATATACGTACCATTCATAGTTTGTGGTGTCTGCATTGCACTTGGAAGCGATACAGTGTGTGTCTTCCTTGTTTGCGTCATTTGCAAAGCAATGGAGTCGAATTTAGACTGGGGCGCTATGATCAGCGTGCGCAATTAGCATGGAACTCTATTTCGGAATATGAAACGGATGTTCTGTACTCTGCTGCAAGGAAGGTATTTGTAGATCTGCATACAGAGGACGCGAAGTGTGGTTGTGAATGCATTTTTGTAGGTTCGAGTACAGATATTTTTTGTATATCAGTCAGCTTTGAATGAAAAATAAATCAAAGCTTAATTCAGAATAACTCTCGAAGAAACGCCAGAAGAAACGTATGCTCTTACTTGCCATGCATTGTCCAAACATGTTAGCTGCCAAGCAGTTGGGGAAACAATGAGCGCTCAAAAAGACAAGGGAAAAGAAGCCGCCACCAGACAACCGGAGCCACTCAGACGTCCAATTTCAGCCTGTGTGAGATGTTTCACAGTCACTGGCGCATCTTCGAAAATCCAAGCTTGGACAGGCAGTAAGGCGACAAAAGGTACTCAAAGACTATCTGAAAGTGAGTTCTGTGCTATCACACGTTGTCTTTTCACGTCTTTTATTGGTCTTTGTTGGTGGTTTGTGGGATTTCATGCCGGCATTAAAAGCACTAAAACACGTTTTTGAATCTTAGCTATGGCCAGATACTGGAGTGATTTTTATCCTGCTTTACGACTTATGGTGCCGTTGATGAAGCTCTCGGGTTTGGTTTTGCAATCAACCGACCAGATCAACGTTGTTTTGTCAGTGCGACAAGGAACGAGGAGTCTTCAACGTCACAGAAACAAGTCTCGCTAAAATCTACAAAGACATTCTCAATTTGAGCTACATTTCGGGACAACATCTCATTGATTCGAAGGTATGTTTGTGAGAAGCACAGTCGATTGTTTTAGGTGGCCTTCATAGGAACATGGCACTTTTTCCTTTCGTTAGCATGTTTCTGGAGACTTTTCTTGTTGGATTGGTGTATACGAGTTGAAAAGTGTACTCTCAGGCAGAACATCAAGGAGAGGAGAGTAGACGAGGCGCGTATACCGATGTGATTTTGGAGTGGGATGTGATTAAGTCAATATGTCCTGTCTACGGCTGTGTGTTGAAGCAATCATTCTGAATCTTGACAAAATGTACCTGACAATGTTTCTACGCTAAAGAAGCTACGAATCTAGAATAGTACAGCTGTATTCAATTATCTGACATCTACACGTTGTCTTTTCTCCTTTGCAAGTGTTTCAATTGGTTGAGCCCTCCGACCATCATCTGCGACAATTCTAACGTTGGCCGGTCGACTCTGGCTTCCTGCAATCGTATGATGTGGGGTCCAACGCCAATTGAGATACCTGATTGTAACTAATCGGTAATGGACGAAATGTTTTTCGCCAGTGTCGTTGATGCTTCCAGACAATTGGATGCTTGATGCTCACAGAAACTATACAATTTGTGCAGCGCGACTTTGAAACTTCTCGTGTCAAGATTTTCGAGGCAGGGTTTACCAGCGTATACTATCGTTTGTGGATGAAGCCAGTTCAGGGAGCCTTTACGAGGATCTGTTCCTTGTTTTTGCTTGGTCTAATTAACGGACGCTTAAGACTCGATCTACTCCAGCTAGACTTGGGCATCTGTTCTCTAAACCAAATATTAAAAAGGATCTACAAAAGCAAAAGGAATCTACAAAACAAGCGAATGTCCTACTCAAAATCGACAAGATATATCCTACTAGCTCTACCACTGATAGCCTTCAACATGAACCAAGCTGACAACCTTGGAGGAGTTGAATGCGGCTTGTACATCACTCGTAAATCCACAAGGACCACATACAAATCCACCCAAGACATCACCAAATTGCATTTTCGATATGACCATGGTCCAAAGAAGCTCTATGGAGATAACTCATGATTACAACCTTGGGTTTTTGGTTCCCACTTGAAATATTGAAAAATTCAAATACCTTGAGCACTGAATGGTTGATCAGGTGCAATAAGAGTTTGATTCACATCATTCCTCCGTAGTTTAGCTTGAACTACTATTATGGTTGGATCAGTTAGTCTGTGAAAGAAAGAAATACCCCTAGAAAAAACGTTCAAGATTCACACTCACAGTCACGCGTAGCCCACAACTCAACACGCAGACGAGAATCCTTACGGTTCATCAATTCTGTCGATGAAACAGCTGTGAATACTATGATCAAATATTATCAACACAATGTAAGCACTAACCAGTCAATACACTAAGTCCATGATGAGCACGAGAAGGCGCTACCCAAAACAAGTACACTTGACCAGTGCGTAATTCATCATCCAGCCAAGATGACACGACAGATAAGGCGGCTGTTATTCCTGATCCAGCAGCAAATACAGCTAATGTGTCGACTCTAAAGACAGGAATAAATTGAGTTTCTACATGGAAAGAAAAACGAGAAAAGCGACGGAAGAATGTTTGAACGCAAGCTCACTCATCCAATTTGAAGCTCATGCCACCGGTAGGAGAAGATATCTTGACAGGTATGTCATGTGTGAGCTTTTCAGCAAGAGACTCGAATAGTTTCTTGGTAAAGCCTCGATATGGTTTGATGATGAACGTGGCCATATTACGATGAATTTTCGTGACACTAAAATAGAGGGCATGGAATTATTAAACGATTCAAATGAGTATAATACAAATAAAGACACTGATATCAAGCACTTACGAGAATGGATGACCGACATACGAAATAGAAGGTATCTGAATATGAGTCCACTGACTTGGATGCCACGTGCTCTTAACAGGCACATCAAGACGTATGTATTTACATTCCTCAATCGTGGCAGTAGCCATAACGGTATCACTAAACCAGGTGCAGAGACGATCAACCAGTTCGATAAAATAGAGACCACCTCCAGGAAGTACGTAATATCCACAAGTTGATGCATGAACGGCAGCCAGTCCAATGATGAGTATAGCCATGTAAGAGTGTGTGACTACGAAGAGGACGTACAGGCGACGTCGAACTATTGGTAGAGCCAAAAGTCGTAACAGGATCAAAATTAAGAGGGCGATGATTCCAAAGAGAAAGGTGAAGCTATGTAAAGAATCGACTTCTTTATTTACATTTGCCTTCTTGAGTTGTTTTTGTGTGAAAATATACCTTCGACTCTTCCATCTAGTCCAAGCACTCGGATCACCAATAGAAAAGTACTGCCACGCTACAGTGTTTTGTGGTGCTGCCTGTAACGATGTGTAGACACCCCATGTTAAGATGCCGTGTACCACTACACTGGCAATGAGGAAATTTGCTATCTACGAGCAGGTTTAGGGGACAAGTCAGTCGTGATGAAGAAAAAAAACTTAGTGCAGTAAACTATGCTTACCCATTGATGAAAGCGCATGGCAGCATTAACAGACACCTTCAGCTCTCGGACCAAAAACGAATACTTGGAGACAGGAATCATACAGAGACCAAGTGCCACGTCAGCGAGATGTCCTGGTGTCATTGGTGAGATTCCAACTTTTGATCAAGCAGTTGATGGTTCTTACCAGACGCCGTGAATGCTGCTGACCACGTCATTCCGGGAGGGCTCCTTGCAGACAGACGATCCTTCTGTGAACCAAACAAATTGACATTCAGTCCCAATTCAATACTGTGTTATCAAAGACATGAGTTAGTCAAACTTACACGCCATTGATACCACAACACAAAATTGACTATCATAATGATTCCAACGAGAAAAAAATTAAGGGCTTCGGCCACATTGATGTGCGGCAACAAAGCCGTCTTGAAGACGCGAGCAGCCATGAACTGCTTGAGTTTGTTTGGAGCATGCTTTGATGATAGGAAGATCAAGGTACCAATCACTAGGAATAGATAGATTCCAAACATGATCCAAACTTGATTCATTACAGGTAGTGATGATGAATTGATTGGCGAATGTGTAGCATAGTCAGGGAGAGTGAAGAATGCGAAGGGGCCAAAGTATCCAAACTATTTAAAACTGATTAGAAACAAGCCAGATATGTCTATATGTAGTCTTCCCAATGCGTTGAAACAACAAAGATCACGTTCGCATACCAGAAACAAGATGATGGAAGCTGCAGATGTCCAATGCATTGTGATGATGGGTATAGACGTGTTTTCTTGTAATCTAGGAATAGATTTGAGGAGGAGAGGCTCTCGTTCGTCCATTTTGTCCGTTCAATGTCGTCAGTTCGGAAGCTTGAAAAATTGACGAGTTATCCATTGGTGCATTTTCCGAGACGACGCAGATGAGTCAAGGAAAGTTGAAAAGAGGCTTCAAGGTGTTTCCGAGTGATTGAATACGTGATTTGGAGGCGAAAATCTAATACACTCGCCATTATGTCTAGGTAGCAGGATTGATTTTTCCCCCAAATTGAAATTAATGTTGAGGGAGACCGCGGGTGTGCTTGACTTGGACACGTCAAAACCTCCCATTTCGGAATATTATCTTTTGGTTGAAAGTTTCAACTCGTTCCAGCAGGAGTCCCAAGCGTGCTCTCCCTTCTTCTTCAACTTATCACAAAACTCCAAGCTCTCCGACGCATTCCAAGAAGACTTGTAATAAAAGCAAAGAAGGAGGCCACTGTATACTTGTCACACATTACTATTGCCACGGTATGTTCTTGCTATGTTTGTTTGCTTGCAATCCTGTCGATTCTCTTCATTGTTTTCACATTTTGCAAAATGCATCTGTTGACACAGCTCTGTATATTTTTTTAGGATGAAGCTAAGCTCACTGACAATATAAGTGTCATTGTTCGCTGCCATCTCTTTCAACTCGGCTCTGATGTTATGGTGCTCCTCATCGCCATAGCCACTGCAGCATCAAGCAACTCTTCGAATTGGAACGTTTGGTTGCAAAAAACTCAAGAGGGCCATTGAAGACTGCAGCTCTGTATACTTGGGTGGCCTGAACTGGCGTGGAATGTCTTGTACTGCTCGCAGCTTGGACATATACTGCCCTGAACGACGAGCGATCGTTTTAGCGACTGCTGGCTGCTTCAGGACTGACTCAACGTACGTAAGCTACATATCAATGAACTCTGTATTTGAGTTCAAGTGCTTGTTTTCTTTCATATACAGGTCAGAACCAACTGGTTCCATCCTTCTCAAACCTTTGGATGGCAAGATGCTCAACATCAACTCTCTTCACCAAACCGACTTTGTCTATAATTTGAAACAATGTATTGCCAAAACGAAAGGAACTCCACTGGTGACGAACGTCTTATCTATGGTGGTAAACAGTTCGAGAACAATCGTACCCTATCAGCCTATAATGCAGAATTCAGAAGCACTCTGTATTTTACACTTCGCTTACGTGATGCAGGAAGAGGTGTTATAGTATTGAGTGATATGTCAAACTTACGAAACATGTCATTAATCAGATTCAGCAAAAAAGCTCCTGAATAAGGTTGACAGTATGTGAAGGTCTCAATATTGAAGGCCCATGTATGAATGCCAGCTGCAAAGCATACTTCCTCCACATGAAAGATAATGCTATCAGCAAACAGCACTTTGGTGACTTTGATCTCGTCAACTTGTGTGGTAATGATCGAGTAAAGTGTCCCCTGTGCCATACTACAATCAAACCTGTTACTGCTGGCTTCTCTGGATGTGAATGGTGGTCTACTGGTATCAAACAAACTTATGATGAAAATGGAGTCCCTACATACGAAACGGTCGATACCCATATTGATACTGTATTGAAGAATTATCATCTCTTTTCTTCAAAAGGTGCAAGTATGGCTGTATGGTCTAGCTTGGTCATCTCCACTCGACGCCCTCATAGTAAAGCAGACAAGAAAAATGAATGTGGTGTATGCTTTGATGACGTCCACAAGGATGATCTCAAAGTCCCAAAGGTCAAAGGCAATCACTCTTGTCATAGTGATGGCCATAGCTTGAAGAAGGCTATTGACTCTTCATTCAAAAAAGTATGACGTGGCTAAGCCTATGAAACATGTTTTCTCTTGCAAAAGTAGTGTTGTATAAGTTCAAGTGTATTCTGTTGCAAAACGAGGGTATGTATGTATTACAAGTTGAGGTGTAAGTGTCTGCAGCTAGGAGCGTTTTTGTATCATAAATGCCTTGCTAAAATAGCTTTCTATTCAATGAAAGATAAATGTGATCATTAAATACTTCGAACTGGTAGACGTAAAATGCACCTCGTTGCTGATATATTGGTGTACGTATGCTGATACATTGCATAGAGCTGCATAAGACTGACTGTTTTGTGATGAAGAGATACAAGTGAAACATATCTTTGTAGCTTTAAAACGTTCTGAATCCATAAAATTGAAATTTACCGTGTCTACACATTCACTTCAAGAAGCTCTTCACTTCTGGTGCGGTAATCCCAAATCTGTATTCTCTGCAAAGTTGACAATCTCTGTATGCTATTATACGAAAGTAGTCATCCTTCCTAGTTGACACCAATTCAAGCCCAGCCAAAATCGACACTTCAAACATTCTCAAACCACTTAGACCCAATTCAAATTTTCGGATTGGAGCAGTACACAATTGTGCTCCCACGGCGGATTCGACTTTGATGTTTGGAAGGTCTTATCGCTCAAGTTGTACCAAATCGATAATGGTTACCTCGCAATTCCAGTCTGCGGCAGTTTTCTTTTCGTTTGCTAAAACGTGTTTTTTTAACGAGCTCCCGAACATAAATCAAAATTTAGAAGGAATCGGAAGATCAATACTTCAGCTAGACGTGAGCTGACGCCTGCAGCTGCCTTATGCTTCTGTTGCTGGATGGAAGACACTTTTTGCACACTTAGACTTTAAGTGATGTATGTATTTACAACGAGTCAAGAAACCTCAACGTCCACTCGAATCCCAGAAACGTAAACATTCCTCCCATACAGCTTCGACAGAGTGATGGTAGCAGCCCGTTATAAAACGCCAGTGGCCCTTCTCGACGTATCAAATCAGAAACAATTTTGGACGCAGAAATATTGTGTGGTGATGCTTGATATCGGGATTTGATTGTGTCAAACTATGGTGTAAGGTTTTAGTAAAGCATCAAAAAACAATTGCCACATGCAGAACATGTGAGCAGGAGACACTCACAGGAAAGCAAACCAGACAATTTGCTGTGCCACCACAGGCTACAAAAAGAATTCAGAGCTCAGCTAAGAAGTTCAACCATCCAAAATTGTCATGTGTACCTCCAGCAATCATAATGTTAACAGCAGATTTAGCATCCAGCTTCCTTTTAACAGCCTCAAACACACCAAAATAAGCCGCAGTCCCAGGCATATCCCGAATCACAGTCAATCCAGTTCCACGAAACAAATTCGACGTCATTAATTTCTTTGCAGTATCCTGTGTTTGTAAAATCACCTGTGTCGACGAACACAAAAACTTCAGCCTCTTTGCACTCAAAAACGTTCGAAAATTTACGGTTACCTTAAATCTCTCCACGGGCCCCAGCAGCACCGCCGTACAAGCCCCCGAAACACTCCCAGCAACAACATCCCTCGGCCACTGCTCACCCCAGCCTGCATCATTCAGCACTCTCTTTGCCGTAGTAAAGCACCAGAATTCACATGAGAATGCAGGTGCACTTGCAATTGCTATCGGCGCCGCCCCTCTGTATAATCCCGTAATTCCACTTTGTTTAAGAACAGATGTCACTGCTTTTTGGATTGTGGTTTCATTGTTGATGCCGACTTGGAGACGTGTTTTGATGGTATCGAAGGGAGATGTTGATGCTACCATGCATATGCCGGCTACGCCTCCTGCGATGAAGCGTTGGAGGGATGTTGGCCGTTGGTGGTGGTCCTGCGTACCATTGGACGAAGGGATGGCGAGGGTGTTGGTTTGAGGCGTTTTGGAAAGAGATATTGTTGGAAATTAGTCGAGAATTTGAAAATTAAAATATGACTTCGAGCAGAGCTTGCGAGAAGCCTTCACGTCCAAGACTCTGTAAACTGCGTGATTTTTACGATTTCGAGAAATCAACCCCAACCACCAAATAAACTCTCGTCCAAACCGCACAGCCAAAAAATCATAAACTATCGCGACGAATTCTCTTGTTGTGTTGTCGTTGAGCGCTTGTCTGCGAATTTTGGCATGGCTGACGTTCGTCGTAAATTCAAAATATGTCACAGAGTAACTAATCAACAGTGCTAACGGCTTCAAGATAACTTGCATCAAAATATGTGAGTCATTAAAATGATATTTTTATAATCAATATCATTATTGCAAATCGTGGATAACAAGATTGGGAAGTGTACGGCCACCCTTGATCATAGACTTGATCGGCCGTCTAGTTTTTCCCAACGATATAGTCGAGCAACTATCATAGCGTAAAACGAATGAATTTTCAAAGCCTATATACAATGTCGAGGCTCACCAAGTTTGCTGGTATAAAAACTGAAACAGGTTTAAACAGTGTCAACCAACTACAAGCCATTTCAACCTAAGCGGTCCCACTTGTTTCACAACGCCATGACCAGATCCGGAGTATTAGACACATATGGAATCTCATGGGATCATCTAGTTTTTTTGTGTGGTTTATTCTATTTCACAATGACGGATGCAGTTTTCTAAACAAATAAGTTACATAAAAGTCCGTGATACAAAAAGCTTATAGTAGACAATATCTACTGTCCCGATCGAACCAGCTCTTCGTAAACAGTCCACGTTATAGCAGCACTTAACGGCTTTCTAGCTAATCTTGGTCCAAGTCCAGACATGAAGGCTCGTATTCCTTCCTCCTATAAAGGAAAAAGAGTGGTTAAAGACATGAAGCATTTGCAGATGCGAAAGAGCTATTGACGGTTGAAGCCATCCTTCAATATGAGCTTCTTTTACCTTTAGAATCTTTGCCACAGCAAACACAGTATTCCGATACTCTTGGGGTTTTATTTGAATCCTCGTCCGAATCACATCGAAAGGTTGGGTCACGACCGAAGATAAGATAGCACTTGATATACCTGAGGCCATATTTATGACTGGTTTAAAGTCTTCTGATTTCATAGCAGCTAAAAGAATCCGTCAGTCTACAGTCACAATGTTCTCCACGTAGACTGAAATCGAATGACTTGTATACCATGTAGAAACAATTTCATTCTCTCATACACCACCACGTAAATCCCAGCATACGGAGCGTCTCTTATAGCAGTTGATCCAAACCCAGCAAAGAGACCACGGATACCTTCCTTTCGAGTTATGGTTTGGAATGCATTCCATACGGATGTGTAGTTGTATAGGTTGCTCTGCAGAAGCCAAAAAGAAAAGATATAGTCTCAGGATTCAAATGAAACATTATGTGTGTGGAACTTTCTTACTTCGTAGCGAACTTTGATGACAGTCATGGGCATCAGTATCAGACCTACACCCTAATAAGTGCATGGGGATGAATTTTCTGTTCGAAAAGAGCACAAATGCAGAAGCTTTGCAAGAAATAACACAATCAAACACGAACCACACGAGCAGTAGCACCCCCAACCAAATTAACCATCTCCTTTGAAAGGGCCCCACTACTACCATCCAATTTAACAGCGGACAATCCTCTCCTCACGACATCCAGCGCAGTGAAGTACATTGCATGTCCAGGCACATTTCTCCAGATTGTCGGCCAAGTTCCACGCCATAATCGCCAAAAGGAAGGCGATGCGGCATCTCGGACTGCTTTCAAGAGTCCAGATCGTTCTTGTTGCAGCCTCTAAGTAAAACAAGGAGGGTGATTAAGTACGTGTTTCCTTCAAGATGGAAATTCATCCCCAAGCTGACATTCAAAAGCTTACAGTTTTGACTAGATCGAAGGGCTGTAGGAGCAGGACTGTTAATAGCCCAGAGGAGGCTCCAGCTAACAAGTGGATTCGTGGGTCATTGGTCTTTTTTTTGTCTCCCATTGGCCTAATACCATGTAAAAGTGCGATTTCTGAAGTTTGGTCGTGACATTCGGAATTCTAACACGGTTAAATATTCGAATCCTAGTTTACGTCTCTGGACTTGGATAAAATTCGCGACCAGGAACTCGCCATGAGTGTCTTGCACGTGTTGGATCAGGTCAACATCCCAGCATCGAATTCATACAATGAATTTTACGACTCACATCCGATCTCTTAACAGACACGCTGGATTGTAATTAGCATCGTCGCATCAACAATCATAGCCACACGCTCATTCGAAGTATGCTATGCAACACTCGGCGGGTGTGTTTGCTCTGCCCTCGCCAAACTGCTAAAAATCTTAATCAAACAACCACGCCCAAACGCCAAACATAAGAAAGAATACGGAATGCCCTCATCTCACTCACAAGCAACCACATACTTTGCCTCATACTTGTCAATCTGGTCTCTATATCACCTTCGGCAACCCTACGCCGTTGGAATGGTCGTAGTGCTAACGACGTTGTGTATAAGTGTGCTGTGGTCTCGTGTAAAGCTGAAATATCATACGCCGATACAGACGGTTGCTGGATTTACTGTTGGGTTGGTGTTTGCCACATGGTGGTATCATAGTAGACTGCAAGGGTTGTTGAAAACACAGTTACTTCCGTTTGTGCCATTTTTATGCTGATACACATGCTGTACTTATAATATGCCATAGAATATGATTATTTTGACCAAGTCCTCAAAAGCTTATCGAGCGGTCCACCCACAATCAATGGAATGAGCTGATCCAGTAATGCCACTCCCATAATCACTGACTAGATAAGCAGCAAATTTCGCCACCTCTATCGGCTCCAGCAGCTTCTTGATTGCAGCTGGCGCCAACATGACTTTGGTAATCACATCCTCGACACTCATGTTGTGCAAGTCTGCTTGTCCTTGCAACTGATTTTCCACAAGTGGAGTTCGTACATACGATGGAGATATCATGTTACATGTCACCCCCTTCTCAGCTCCTTCCAGGGCTACGGTTTTTGTTAGGCCTAGCAGACCATGCTTGGCGGTAACATATGCAGATTTATACGGTGAAGCTACGTGGGCATGTATGCTACCTGTTGTTTAAATCAAATGTGTGAACATGAGGTTTCAAATGCGAAACTCTGTCTCAACGGGCACTGGAGCTACTGCAAATCAAACTACATACCAATGTTGATGATACGTCCCCAACCATTCTTGTACATGCCGGGCAGCGCCGTCTGTGTTAGCACGAATGGAGCATTAAGCATCAGCTCCATCATGAAGCGCCACTAAGTTGCAAGAATTTCGACTGTTAGTCACTAAGTTTGCGTGCAACCTTGATCGTTCACCTACTTTGTCTTCAGGGAAGTCCTCTACCGGCGAGACAGTCTAACGAAACATGAACATTATGATACATAAACCAGAGAACTAGCCCACAATTCCAACAATTCGTCCAAGTTGCAACCACATCGTAAAGCGCAACGTGCCTGTATACCAGCGTTATTGCACAAGATAGTAACAGTCCCCAACAAAGCAGATACTCTCGAAACCAAAGTCCTAGTATCCTCAGGTTTGGACAAATCAGCTTTGAAGAAGGCAGCCTTTTGACCGTCCTTTGCGACTGAGTTTAAATTGTGTGCTTCTTGAATGCCTTTGGTTTCGTCAATGTCGCATAGAGCGACTGAGCAGCCTGTTTCAAAGAATTCCTTGGCGCACGCCAGACCTAGAAGAAGAGGAAGAGAACGGTTGGGTACGTTGAATGTGATGAGAAGCTAAAGAGCCTGAACGTGGAGCAAAGATGGAGTTTTCAAACAGTCCAACAGGTGAAGAAGCGCTCACACCTATTCCACTTGCAGCTCCTGTGACTAGAGCGACGTGATGAGTCATGATCGTTCTTGGTTTCCCTGGTGCTTCTCGGAAGCGTTTTGTCGTAGTGTGTTGCAACTTCCAACAATCAGTGAATTAAAGCAACAGGCAGGTCCAGAACGAAACAAACGCTAGATAAACGAATTGTACGTGTCGCTGAATCTGTCACTGACTTTCTTGGCTCAAAGTTGCTTCCGTTTGCTAAGTTCTAAACGAGCTTATCGCGCACCATGTTGTATAAGGAGAGGTACGCAAAGCACTTTCAATTCACATTGGAACTATGAAATATTCAATCAAGGTATCAATCTAACGCGGAATTGTCCCACTATAGGGTATGTCCAAGTCGCGAATCTACCAGCAACGCCATTAACATTAAGCAAGGCTCAACATTTTTGAAATCTGTGTGGCGCTTAGATTGCAAGATTCGAACTGCTTGTTTCGAAAGATGTTCCTGCGACTGAAACGTTTGAATCCTTCCGCTTGCTATGTCTTTTTGGAGGTAATGGTTGGTGGCAAATTACTCGAGCTACATCAGAGCTAAACAATTCACACGATCCTCAGGAGCTCCCGATGAAGCTGGCATAAGGCCTCGTTGCTGGAAGGTCCGTCTCATCATTCCTACAATACCGAACTAATGAGATCTAAAAAACTTGAGCTGCCTCTTTCGACACAACCATAGTTATTACTGAATTACCTGCCATTTGAAGACCGTGCCTCATGGGACCAAATCCTCAAGACGAAACGAACAGTATACTATGATTTCGTACGAGAACTCGCTGCCAACAACTCGCATGAAGAACCAGCTAAAGATCATCCTTTAAAAACTGGTGGCAAATGGCAGGCTTGGTTTGATGAAGGCAAGGTGCTGGATCAGATAGATAAAGATGTTAGGAGGACGTTGCCGGATATGGGTTTCTTTCAGAGACAAGGTGAGGTGAAATGTTGGAAGTAAGGCATGCCGCAAAAAACTCCTCTGGAAAACATGGGTGGAAGCTTCCATCCTTCTTTTTGTTAACTTGACCTCCTACAACTCTAAGTTCCACCATCAATTTACTCACCACTTACTTGTGGTCCAACTCAACAACCGGACGAAGGAGCATACGAAGGAATACCAAACCGACGAAACCTGTTCAAGAGATTAGCATCAACCAGAGATGATGTGGAATTTGGTGCAAGAACGAGAAAGAATGTTACCAACATGAATGGAGATGTCGAGGAAAGTGATGAGCCTGAATATGATCTTCATTGGGAGGTATGCCAAGTTCCGATCGATACATCGTTTTTGGTCGAACCACACTGACATATCAAGTTCGCAAAGGCAATTGAGAGGCTACTCTTCATATTCGCAAGACTGAACTCTGGAATTGGTTACATCCAGGTTAGAGCTCATCGTTGAACTATCATTCCTTTCAACCCGAATCAATATTCGTTCGCTCTCACTCAAGGGCATGAACGAACTCCTCGGCCCAATCTACTTTGTCCTCGCATCGGATTCAGATCTAGCTATGTCATCACACGCAGAAGCAGATTCATTCTACCTGTTTAGTACACTTATGGAAGAGTTTAGAGACCACTACAATCGCTCGTTAGATAACATTAAACCAACACCATCTCGGTCTTCGTCTGCTACTCCATCGACGACTTCTGCTTCGTCAAGAAAGACTGTCGCCGCGACAGAGTCAGTTGATTCGTCATCGATACCGGGCAATAATGGTATTGGAGCATCAATGGAACGGTTGATGAAGAAACTTGAGGAGGTTGATTCGGAGTTGTATGATAATTTGGTGAGTTTTTCATGGGCATTTAGGTCCCTCTCGCAAGATCATGTTGTGCGATGTGGCCGTTGCCTGCGTGATCGAACAACATCTACAGATGTCTGCCTTTTTTTGGTTGCTGAAATAGTATTTCATAGCAAGACAAATCAATCCACGCAGCCTTCTTCGGATTCCGCTGGCTCGCTGTGCTTCTCACACAAGAATTCGAGCTGCCTGACGTGATACGGCTGTGGGATTCTTTATTTGCTGATATCGCATTGGACATTCGAGCACAGCAACCGCACAACGGACTTAAAAGGAAGAAATTTGAATTCTTGATTACGTTTTGTTGTAGTATGTTGATGTAAGCGCACTGTATACAATCCAAAATATTATTACTGGCTTACTACTGACTTTTTTCTTTCTTGACAGATGTATAAGAGACCAACTCCTCCAATCCGAATTCCCACAAACCGTAAAACTATTACAATCATACCCGATACGAGACGTTGAGGTCGTGTTACGGCAAGCATATGCTCTAACACCCAACTCAATGCCTCCTGGGTCTCCAGAAGCACCGATGTCCCCCGTATCAGATGCCACAAGTGTAGATGTAGATCCTCTTAGGCTGTCTAGGACTCCATCGCCAATAAGGCGGTTTAGTGAACAGATTGGGAATTTCTTTGTTACGTCTTGGAATAGTAGTGTTAACGGAAGTGTGGGTGCTATGCCTGTACAATCTAGTGGTCCCGATAACGGTATCGTAAACATTAACGGTAGTAGCACATCACCTCCTAAAGCCCATGAAGAACCAATAGTGTCTGTAGCAAACCCATCACCGAAACGGTCTTGGGCTTCGTTATTGGCTCGACCTGATAACATTAAATCCAAACCCAGCACTGCTGCCAGTAGTAGTGTAAAAGTCGACGCAGGTCACGCTGAACAAAGTAATGGGACGACAGAAGAAATAAAATCATCAACAACATCAACAACCCCAGATTCAGCAACATCTGAACAACGAGCGTTATCATCACCACGTATTCAATCTATCGCATCATGGTTTCCGAGAATGAGCATATCTGGTACATCCCCAACAAAGACTGCTGACAAACCAAGGAGTTTAGTAGAGATCGTCAAAACTACAGAGGATGTGGTGTTGTTTGATTCAGACAATTAGACGAAGTTGTATCCGAAACGTTTTTGCACTCTGGTAGTGTGTAAACCGATTGTACCCGAAATTTGTATTTCTGTAAGCATTCCAAAGTATTATAATAATATTCACCATCATTGATACAGATACAGATCCCACTGTTATCCAAAGTTTTCGGCTTAGCTTGGAGTGTCCTTCAACACCACCTCCTCAACTTGTGACACCACCATTTCTACTGCGTATACACTGCTCTGACGACGTGTTGATCGTGTGATGGTACTGGCAATATGAAGAGAAACGACGTCAGGAGGTGCATACAAAAAAAAGAGTTGGCGACTACAGAATAATCCATCCTAGGTATCATAGCTCCAGCACATGCTCTTAGTGAATCAGTCTATGAAAGGAATGCCTCGCTTCATCCACGGATTGAAGTTTTTCTGAGGAAAAGAGCGAAAACCAAGCTCACGGAACCGAGAAAGGTCACTTCAATTAGACAGCATACACCGCGCATTAGGCAAACCACGAAATTACACCCACACCCACAAGGGAAACAATTATAGGCTGATTTCATTCAGGTCCTCAGAATATGTTCAACCTGCTCTTGTCGCCAAATGTTGATGATAAAAACCAAAAAGGAGACTCATCGTTGTAGTGGCAGGCTCAACACTGACAATTGTGGATGGAGGTAAAAATATATAAGCATCATGAAAGAAACAAAAGTGACTATTAACTTGGACTGTCTTACAATTCGACTAGCCGCAGTATCGTACGAAAGCTTTCTGAAGCCGTTTTACTGTTTCTAAGTACTACTAATCTCCTGCTAGCGTTTTGCAAAATTACCCGAGTCTACTGTTCTAGCTCTGGCCAAATTTCATAACACAGAAAAACAGAAAACCCAAAGAAGAAATGCAGTCCATAGGTTCCATAGCAGCGAAATACAAGGTATTGTAATATCCTATATTAAAACACAAGCGTATATCATCGTGACAAACAAGCCAACAATTGATACAATTGTGCGTTTTGATTCTCCGGCCTTGGCTGTCCTATTTGGACGCAAAACTTTCAATCTGTTTCCCGTAACCATTACAAGACAGTAGGCCTCCTTAGGATATATTTTTATTCTGTTTCCAAGCTTTTAGGCTATAGCGTTGGTGATCAAACCGACTCACCATAGAGTTAGTATAAAGTGATCACAAATCACAAATCCGATCAAAAGCATTTTGCAACATTTCTCATCACTTGCGACGAGCAAAATCATCCGGCACGCGAGTACATCCACAAACTCGTTTAGATAGATTAGCACTCGTGTCATTGAGTCATTGATCAAAACAGTATGTGACGAGTCTCCTTCTCTACAATTTCATCACTCAAAATAAATAGAGCAGGGAATGAAACTGTTTGTGTATGAAAGGTATTGAATTATTGAATCCACACTAGGTTGTTGCCTTCGTATCCGATCCGACCTTGACTTCAACATTTGGAAAGGACGCCATTAAGTGCTTGTCTGGCTTATTCATCAGCCAAATCTCGAGTGTCACAGAGTAATGAGTGTGTACTTGTTCTACACGCGCCTTCAAGTTGTGCATTTGAGTTTTTCGGTCTAGTCGTATGATATACAAGATGCTATATAGTAGGAGTCTGTGAGGAATTGAACATCAAAGTGATGAATGTCACTCCCTTGAGGCACTAATGAATGATGATGTAATCTTCAAATAGCAATGCAACCAGCGTCTAAAGCCAGTTGCGACGTGTTCCTACGCGTCATATATCTATTAGATATATAATGTTCATCATATAGGATGTTTCTCTACGTGTTATACACGTAAGTGTGAGGAATATCTAATTCCTCAACTTCAGTTCAACAGTTATTATTGTCAACTAAAGTTTTGTACGAATGCCACATGTGCGATAAGCTGAACAAGCTGCAACAAAGCTAAGGTACTTATTTTTGGGACGTTCGGAAAACCACTTGTTTTCCTTCCGTTGTGCTTCAGCTTGTACTAGAACGTCAAATCAGACGGTGGTGTTTCGTGAGGGCCATTGGACCTTTATTGCTTATTGTTCGCCATTCTGCATTGAAAATCACTCATCATTTCCGTTGCCAATTTAGATAAATCCCATGGAAGTTGAACCTGTCTCCAGTAATGAAGCTAGTCGGACATTTCGACTGACGTTTACAAACGACCTGTTAACTATGTCAAACTATACACAGACCACTCCACTCGTAATGGACCAAATCGTCTTCAGTACCCAGCACGTAGCCGGAGGCCAGCCTTTTTGGGAATGCTTCTTCTAAGGGTGAGCACGATAAGTGACAAATGGTTATTTTGAAGAGGAATATATGTGAACATGCACGCTCGTCTATAGGGAAACCCAACCCAAAACGACGAAATCACCTCAGAGAATCCTACAGGTTAGTACCCTTGTTTACGTACCGTATGTTCCTACGGTCTGTGCATTGTTAAATCGTTCAATAATCAGAAAATAGAAATGATTCAGCACGGACGTCTTTCGAACAAAGCAGGAGCGGGAGTAACGGAGCCCAAGGTCAAAAAAGCCTAGAACAGGTCCGAGCAGCAAGAGGGGATATGCTGACAGCTGCACAAACTATCGCTACAGTATCAACGTTTTTGGCGTCTCAGGCATTCCTCGCTGTCTTCCCTCAGCAATCTTATAATGCTCCAACTACTGCTGATCCAATGTCGCTTGCCAATTGCGCCAATTATGCAAATTCAAACACTCTAGCTGCTGCTAAGAATATCAATATCACTCAGAACCAAAAGGCGGCTATATGGTCTTATTATCTCTCTGCTTGCACGAGTGGCATTGTTGCCGGTGATGCTGCCAATGCTGCCAAATATATAACAACTGCTCAAAGCTTAGCTATATGGTCTTACTTTCTCTTTGCCGTAGGGGCGGTAGTCTCTGTTGCTGTAACTTTGCTTTTGGCAAGATGGACTCTAACGGAACAAACGGTTGATATCCATCATAAACTTCTTCCACGTTGCTCTAAAGCTATACTCTTTAGTGCAGGGTTTGGGGCTGTAGCAATAATTCTATTGTCATGTATTCCATTTACCACCGTTTCTAACCTTCAGTTTTTGGTGGCGGCAATACTGGGCATCGCCACTATAGTCCTAATTATGTGCCTAACTTCGGTTGGAATTTACCGTGAAAATGGATCAAAGGATGCAGGTGCTTGGAGCGAGTATTAGGGATAAATATAAGATATGACAAATAAACAAAACGACGTATCTAACAATTTGAATACCAGTGCGGTCGTTTTTGGGGGTACATGTGAAAGAAGGTGGATGGGAAGTCAGGTGCGTTTAGATGCGCTGTTGGCGTCAGAGCTTCGGCACCTCGGGCAGCCCGGTTGACAAAGGCAGAGGGCCTACAATAAAGAAATGAATCATTGGTGATAAGTTTTGGGTTACACTATGCTGATGTTAGGTTTGTTGTCTGGATAGCGTATAATAAACAATTCAATCGAATTTATTCTGTAACCAATTTTATATGCGGACACAGGCTTGACATAATCTTAAGTATTATAATTACAGTCACCAAAAAAACTAGGAACATCGTTACAGTTGTTGGTATCATTGCATTGCTATCATCACCTTTTAGCACTACTACCCAGCTTTTTCGGTTTGACTGTCTTGACATATTCATCAACACCACCTTCTAATCGTGCGACACCACCATTCCGTACAGCATATACTTCTTGAGATACCTCTCTGACAAAGTGTTGGTCGTGAGATACTGTTGAATGAGGGAGAGAGAGAAAATGTCAGACGATTCAAAAAAAAACCTCTTATTAAAGAAAATGATTCTTACTCAGAATTACTGCTCCAGTGAATGCCTTCAAAGAATCAATCATTGCTTGTATTGTATGCTAACGAAAATCAGTGTGATAATTTTGGTCAGCAACGTGAGAGAAAAAAAGAGCCTCTGAAAATGGAATCATACAGCCATACCATATCCAAATGATTCGAGACCTCATCAAGCACAAGCAAATGCGGCCTCTTATACACAGCAAGCGCAAACGCAACCCGAACCATCTGGCCCCCACTCAAAGTCTGTACAGGCTGTAACGGTAAATTCCCACCCAGCCCGAAACTTCCCAAAAACGCCCTCCCATCCTGTTCCGTCGTTCCCGGAAACGAATCCTTAAACAATGACAACGGTGTAGCTCTCCCAGCAGTCTTGCTCAACAAATCAACATGATGTTGTGTAAAATATCCCAACTTGGCTTCGGTATGTATACTAATCTTGCCCGACGTAGGTGATAATTCACCAACGATAAGTTTAGCGAGCGTTGTTTTACCTTCACCGTTAGCGCCCACCATTCCGATGCGTTGACCTGGTTGGATGTTTAAAGTGACGTTTGAGAGGATTGTAGGTGTGGATGGAGAGTATGCAAAGGAGACGGATTCTATTTCGAGGATGGCGCCGTGACGACGTAGAGGGTCTGGAGATGGGATGTCCCAGCGGACTGGTGGGTCAGCGGCGTCAAGGGCTTGGAAACTACGTGTTGTTAGGCCGTATCCTGCGTTGCTATCGGCGTTCAGTCTGAATTTGTGGCCATGGGCGTTCACGTCGAGACCCCATCGATCATCCAGTTTCTAGAGTTCATGATTTTATGGTTGGTCATCGACTGGAGCAAAAAATATTCTAGTAGCATGGTTCAACAGTGGATGCATTTGATACCTTTTGTCTCGAAGCAACCATTCCCAACTTCTTATCATCACCACTCTTCCTAGCAGCTTTCAAACCCTCCTGGATTGACTTTTCAATATGTTCTCGTTTCTTATCTAGAGCATCTTGCTGCCTTTGCTGACTGAGAGCCTTCTCTTCTCGATTCTTCTCATACCTAAAAAAATCAGCGTAGTCCGTCATTTAACAAGTCTTGTTGATACTCTTTAAAATATCAACTAACTCACTCTTCAAAGCTGCCTTCAAAATACTCGAGCTTTTGCTTTCTGAATACGATAGTCTCTTTAGTCACTGTATTCAAGAAAGCTCTGTCGTGAGAGACAACGACTAGTGTGACGCCTTCCAGAGATTCGAGATATGCAGTCAGCCATAGTATAGCAGGCAAGTCCAAGTGATTCGCTAGATGAAAGGTGAAGGTGAGCTAACAAACGGGGCATTTTCGATAAAAACAAACCGTACTAGGTTCATCCAGCAACAGTATATCAGGTTCAGTAAACAGGGCTTGAGCAAGCGCAACACGAATTCTCCAGCCTCCACTCAGGGTAGATAATGGTCCATCTTGATATGATTCAGGGAAGCCAAGACCTTTCAAGATCTTGCGAGCTTTTGATTCGGCAGCAGCATCGTCATTCTAGAATGTGATCTCTCTCAGAAAAAAGTAGGCAAAAATCCTATAAACGGCTTAGCATACCACTTCTAAGATGGCATAATCTTCTTCTAATATCCTGTGGCTTTCAATCGGAGCAGCGTCTAGTTCTGCTTTTGTTGGTTTGATGGCGTGTGCTCTGAAAGTCGAAATTGAAAGTCAGGCTGGCACCAAAAAGCGATAAGAGTCTCCAAGGTAATGATGCTTAACACACCTTCGAGTCTCAGCAACTTTAGCTTCAGCCTCCAGTTGAGCTATACGGGCATCAGAACCTCTCGCTCCAGATCGTTTAATAGCAAGGGCATTAGCTTCATCTAATTCGACTTCTATCCTCGTCATCGACACCTTTCGATACGCAAGACATATCGTCATGGAGTCAGCAGTTTCAAGAGCTGTCTGTAGGATATTGATTTCATCTCTGACTCGGACGAGCTTGCGATCAGCGTCGACTACTATATTGATGACAGGTCGTGACGTATCGACACCTTCAAGCTGTTCGACGTAGAGAGCACGAATGTTTTTGGGGAAGCCGATTAGGTAGCCGTGGCCGATTGCCATCAATAGTGCTAAGGGACTGCAGTGTTAGGAATGAGGGCGCAAGCAAAAAAAAAGGATTCAATCGATGCGTGATCATGTTGAACTCACTAGATTTTCCAATCCCATTCCTCCCAACAAGCCCATACTTGACTCCAGCGAAAAGCCTTAAATTAGCATCAACCAACAACTCTCGTTCATTAACACTCAGTTGTATACACTTCATATCCACGTCATTCGACAGAGTTTCGACCGTATCAAGATAAAACCGGGATTGTTGTGATATAGCTACTATATTCCTTGCGGATGCAGATGATTGCTCTGAAGCCGTAGGCTGTGGTGTCGATGGCTGCATCTTGGAAGCAATAGCATTCTTGCGTCGTTGTAATCTGTCATTGGTTTTAAACGTTGAGGTAGGTTTACTATTAGGTTCAGCTTCATCGGTATCACCGGATTTAGCATCAACTGAAGACTCGTCTACAGATTCAGATGGTATTGTGTGCTGGACGTGTGTTTCAGATAATGGCATAACAGCAGTCTTCTCGGGAGTCATTTCACCACGTAAAACCACGTCAACAGCATCTTGAGTCAATGAGAAGGTTGACCCGGACGTCGCTTCTGAAGCTGAGGATCCTGAACTTGACACGGTTGATGGTGCAGCGAGTAGATCTTTACGTTCAAGTCCTTTTTTGCCTCGACGTTCCTTCAATTTCTATATAGAAAGGACAAGTCAGCTCGCAGAAAGTCGGAATTGAAGTAGATCCAACATGGTTCTGACCGGTTTGCTAGATGCTGCAATGGCTTCTGGATCCATGGTTAAGCTCGTGATGGTGTGTAGTTGATGTGCGCAATAGGAGCTCTAAGTAACACGTTGATTCATTTTAGTATCTTGTCAGCCCGAATCAGCCAGTAATACTGGTCAAAATGTCCTTTGCGTCGAAGAACTGCGTGTGCAATGTTTGCTCAAAAAATGGGTAAATGCTTGCAACTGACCTCCCACTACAGCAAAGCACGGATAGCAAGAGCTCAACAGTCACGTCAAATATATTCCGACACGTGGACGGCGACGATTCCTCTAAGCTGCAGATCTCTTTTTGCGGAATGGATCGTTTTCCTGCTCAGCATCCAAACATATTTCAAGACCCTTGGCGACTGAACCGCCTAGCGACGACTTTATTAACGTCAAAAATTATCGATTCTACGCGTTCCGAGCTCAAACTGACGTGTTGGGTGACATACTACTATATTATTATTTACACATTTCACATGAGGAGGTCAATACTACAAGTCCCAAGTCCGGCTATTGTTCTTTCACTTTACGACGATTCTGCACTCTGGATATAGTGTTCGAAGCAGCCACCAAAAAGTACGGTGTTAACTCACCCAAAATCCCCATTGCACCTAAGAAGAGAAGCACTATAGACGTAATAGATAGCGAGCGTTCCTCAGATCCAGACTTCTTGACATTAGCAAGGTATCCTATTTGATTGAAGAAACTGTCAGCTGAATACATCTTGCACGAGCTTGCAATTGATCACATGGAATGTTGCGCCGAGATGTTCCCCCACGTACCCAACGAGATTTGTATCGAAACATACAAGACTATACCCGCTACTACTCCCAATAAGAAACTTATTTGATCCAGAGGCGACTTCCAGCTGTTTACATTGATCTTGTCGGGTTTGTTCAGCTTCGGGGCCTCGATTGGAGATTGTAGGATGGGAGGCAGTAGAATTGGACCTCCATTCTCGTTCTTGATAGGCGGTACGGCTTCGACTACTGTCTCTATCGTTAAAGAGGTCATGATGCGGCTGTTCGTGATGTTATCTGTGATTCGTGAAAGTTGAAACCCAGCATGCACAAGCTCCGACAGAACCACGTCGTCGCGATTTTGGCGTCATTTGGCTTCATTCATCTCGAGTATGTGGTATTTTCTCTTTGCAAGTTTACCTTCTGATTGGAACGGGCAGACGCGACGAATTTTGTCAAAACATTCGGCTTATAGAAACAAACCCGATTCTCTCATCTCTCATGAAGTAAGCATGAGCTTCTTTATAAATAATTTATTCAAAAGCATCAAAGCATTTCATCAGAAACGTACCAAACGCGTCAGTGAAAACTTCCAAGTAAGTCCTGAGCGAGTGCCATTCATCGATTCTCGAAAGAAAAGCTGACATAACTGCGTCCTAACCCTGGACGAGCGCGAAAAATCATTAATGTGAGCTTCAAGTCTATGAGACTAGCATGCCTATTGCGTTTGCATGGTAACCACTTGAGGCTCTGACATCAAGGGGTTTTCACAAAAACACCTGACTCATTAAATCACATATTTCACACCTGCATCTCCCATCACCTGGAATTGTTCGAGGCTCTACGGTATGTATTCACTTGTACATCATTACTACATATTCTTTTCACTCTCTTACCCTTCATTTCTCGTAGCTTAGTTAGAAGAAAAAAACAAACAGGTGACGTGTTAACACGTCACAAGAGGCTCACAATTGCGCATCTCGTATATGCACAGCAGCTAAAATTGGAGTCCCAGCATATAATCCATCATCATTATCGAGTCCCATTTCTCCGTTTACGTCATCCTGGGGATTTAGCGGAACGATTATTAAAGTTTATACGATTTGCAGTGGAGTTTTGCTGGTGGTGATAGTATTTGGGTTTGCACACATCCATCGCCAACAACAACCTAGTAAACACCTACAAGATACTGAAAAGGGAATCGTAATTACCTCTGCACCGGATCTCATCAAGACACCGCCCTTCACCAATAGCGCAGCAACACTTACCAAAACAATAATCCAAGATCCAACAAACATGACAAGGTTAAACGCACACATCGTAAACAACACTATCCTCCCACAACTAGGAGCAAGCACCGATGCCTTCTCCCCCACTTGGAATAAGCCAACCAAACATCACGATCTACCATCTATAGCAATTCCGGAAGCATCAGCTCTACCACAATACTTTGACAAGGTCTACATGTCTCCACTCTCGGAACCATGCGATGAAGGCTACGAGGGGTCGTTTGAAGAAGATTCCATATATGAAGCATACGAGATGGAACCACTAGAACTCCCACCAGCAGTCACAACACATATAGTATCTCCATCACCATTTAAACTGCACTACCAGGAACAACAGATGCTTCCATCGGTGTACACGGATCCTCACTGGTCTACCACCCATCTATATGACAACGACGATGCTATATACAGGTTATCTGGTCTTACAGCATATTTGGACGACCAACTGCCAATGCCACCAGCCAATAGGTGGCCTGGAACTTCCGATAGATATAACAATGATAAGATCAGCAACTTCTCTCGCTACCCGGATACAGCTGCAAGGGAGTCGGAGGACATTGATCGACTGTCTGCTGGCTCGTGGTTATGCTGAAAGGAGTGATGCTGGTGCTGGAATCCGGACCAGCAGGAGCAGCATAGTTTCGCATCAGATACGGAAGGTCGATGCAGCTGACTTTGCTGCTAGACCTCTACCACCACTACCACAAAAGCAATTCTGGCCAATGTAAAAGGGCTTGCTATTTCAACTGTATCTCTGTCTCGAGTCTCGCCTATTTAATATGCTGTATCTAATAGTAAATAAAGAAATAAGAAAAATTCAACATTATGTGCTCTGTGTCTTTACATGTTGCTTTCACCTAGCATCTTCCTTCTTTTTTTCTCAAGTCCCAACGTAGACTAGAAACATAAAAAGATATAACTTAATTCTATTGCGTGCCTGACGTGCCGTTTCAACTTTGCATCTTGCCTTCCTGCATCTTGAACATCTTGTTTCAATCCAAACACATTTTCGCATCAGACATGGTCAAGCTTGATTATAACGTATTGTCCATAGCGCCGAGCGGTCTCAATCCAGTAGGAGACTGGGAATTAGATTTGAGAGGTAATACCATTTTGGAATCATGGAACATCGTCCCTATTCGAAAAGTTAATGTTTTCCGTGCGAAGAGCAAGACATACAGAAACGAGATGAAGTACTAAGCTTACATTTGATACATTATTTTAGGGCTACGGATACCGCGTATTGAGAACCTGGCTATAACAAAAGTACGTTTTGCAAGCCCGACATTAAAAACCATTCTAGCTTCACGAAAAAACCAAACCAAACATATCTAACCCATTCTTGTTAATAGGACCAACATGACTCAATCGACTTTACAGACAACGACATACGCCGTCTCGAAAACATACCGCCCTTCCATCGTCTAACCCACCTACACCTCGCCAATAACCGCATCTCACGTATCGACCCCGATATATCAAAATCAGTGCCGAATCTAACCACACTAGTCCTATCCAACAACCAGTTGGCCGAATTGGGTGATTTGGATGCATTGGCTGGATGTAAGAAACTGGAATTCTTGAGCTTGTTGGAAAATCCGGTGAATACGAGACGCCATTATCGACATTATGTGATTATGAAGTGTCCTAGTGTGAGGGTGTTGGATTATAGGCGTATTACTGATAAGGTGAGGCTTGTGTGTCGCGACGATATCTCCAAGATGTCCAGTTGTTTTTTTGCTCATCTCAAACTTCACAAAACCACAAAACAGGAACGCCAAGAATCAAAAGTAACCTTCCAAGGCACAACAGGAGAAGCACTAGCAACATCTCTATCAAACCAAAAGTCAAACAATACATTTGAACCAGGTGATGTCAATGCACCTAAAAAGGAAGCACAGATATATCAGCCATTGTCTGGAGAAGAAGCAGATCGTATTCGGGCGGCTATTAATGCAGCTTCGGATCTTGAAGAGATTGAACGGCTTTCAAGAATCTTAGCAACTGGCCATGTGCCTGATGATAAGGATAAAAAGGGGAGTGCTGCGGCTGCTGCTGCAACTACTGATGGTGGTGATGTGGAGATGGAAGAGGATTGATGAAATAATACTATATAAAATAGTCGACTCTATGTATAGCATATAAACGAAAAGGAGATTTGCAAACTCTCGGATGTTGTGGGATGAAATGGGCTTTTCTTTTGGTTCGTGAAAGAGAAACAATCACGATACAGAGACTCCAACAACCAAAACTGACGATATGGTAAACTGTGGTATCGGGATAACATGTCTTTATATAAACGGATGAAAATTTACAACGAGGAGAGAGAGGAACCCTTACAACAAAAACAAACTCACTTATCATACACAACTGCGAACTACCGAAACACAAACCACCACTTATTACAGCATCGCGACCAAAAACACACCTATTACAAAAACCTCACCCGTCATACTGTTTCAATCATCCTTCAATTCATCCACAATCCGCGCACGTCTCGTCACATTCCCAGCCTCCTGTCCAGACCTAACAATATACGTATCCGTATCCTCGGAATCATAATAGTCTCCACTTCCAGAGCCGCTACCACTTCCAGCCCAGTATATACCAAGACCCCGAGCAGTACCAATAGCATTATTTACTGCAGCCGACACCGACACTGGAAGTGCAGGCATCGACTTGATCGAAGGCAGATAACTATTTACACTGGCAGGTATGTATTTTGATACATCGGAAACCGTTGGGAGTTGAGGCAATACTACATTCGGGAGTGATGGTAATGCAATGTTTGGCAGAGACGGCAGTTTGGGCATAAAAGGTCCCAGACACATCCCGAGCGCTGAAGGCTGCTGCGCTGGTGGTAGATCTAGTGATGACGATGACGATACTGATGTGTGTTCAGTTGATGTTGATGCTCGACGTAGATTTGGAGTTAAAGGTGGTGATGGCATATGGTTTACTACTGGAGACTCGACTTTTGTTTCATTCCAGTCGTCCCATTGTTCGTCGAACGCCAAGTCGTAGGATTTTCTGCGAACCATTCTCTGTTTGTTGTTTTTAAAGTTTGTAATGTGTCGGTTGATCCTTCTAGAGAAGAGGACGACGGATTGGAGTTGTTAGAATAGATTCAAATGACGCATACAATGCTTGGATAGGTCTCATACCTGTTTTATGTTTAAATCTCTTGTTTCAAGCTGTCACGTTGGTGTGCAAGTGTGAAATGGGTTTTCTTTCAAATGTCACGAGTTTACACAACGCCGACATCACGTCAGTCGCGAGATGTTCTTCAAAGGTGTATTTAGTGATCATCAACGCGTCAAAATAATGTTCAATACTCATACAATTCAATTCAAATCTTTGAAATCACGTCCGTTGTCTTCGTCAACCAAATGACTCCATTCCTCATCACATCGACCTTCCGCTCCTCCGATCTCATAAGAAACCCGACTTTCATACGCGCACTAGTAGATTCAAGCAGCCATGAGTCCACAATTAGCGTATCGTCCTTGAATTGTGAGTAAAGAGTCGTCAGAGCACCAAACCAGGAACAGCACCTTTGCAACGCATACCATGTAAACAGGATTCGTAAATCGTCCATTCTGACTAATAAATCTCGATCCGTCATTATCGGCCCAGCACTCCAGGATAGCTCTAGCTGCGATACCGTATGTAGCGAGACCGTGTAAGATGGCTTCTCGAAAGCCTTTCGAGCGAGCGACCTAGATATCAGATACGTTCAAAACTAAAAGAACCTCCTGACATGGCGTAAATTGATTCCATACCTCAGGATCACGATGTATCGGGTTGAAGTCTATGAGAGAAACACTGATCATTGCCCATGCCATCCTTCCAACAACAGACACTCACACATACCAACAAACCCAGTCAACGAGTACAACAAGTGCTGGAATGGCCACACCTAAAAAATACAACTCATTCAGGTTTCCTGGAAAAAAAAGGCCAGCTCTTGAAGCCCTGATACGAAGCGTACCTTCCACTTCCACGTCTTATCAGGAACCCTTGATGGCATAACCACATTCTCAACAACTCGTTTAGGTAGATGCGGTGCCGGGATATTCAGCGCAAAGCTCGTAGCAATCATTCGACATATTCTCGTCCCAGTATTCAAATCGTCCACAAAGAACTCTTGTTCGGTAATGTATCCCTTTGTGCCAGCAGAATAGGCACCAATCATTTGACCGTGAACTTTGAAGCGTCCTTCGACTGGTATTGGAGCCTAAAAGATCATAAATCTTGTTCAGATGGGTTCAACATTGTTGTCGATAAGCTTGAAGGCTTACATAGATCTCAAGGAAATGCTCAGCATGCACAGCACCCGCTGCATCAGTAGATTTAGCAATCCCAAGCCCCAGATTACCCGTATTTCCTTTCGCTTTCGTCGCGTAACATAAAGTATTGTCGTCCTCTCCCGTTTTGAACATCATAGAGGCCATGAGTGCCGGAAAAGCTTGAAAGTTTGGATCTAACATAAGAGTTTTCAAGTGAGAAAACGACCTTTGTGTATTTGGATCGCGTCGAAATGTTCAAAAATTTGTGTCATGACATGTATCGTGGATTTTTATTTGAAATGTTTGGTGCGGTGCAATACAGCAAGCGACGAATGTGCACTTGTGTGATAACAATGAATATGAATTTGAGCTTACCTTTCTCATATGTATACCGCAAATCATCATGTCCAATGCCACAAGCGTAAAGCAAACAATAGTGTCGATTGTATGTAACAATCTCTTGCGTATACGTTGACTTCCAGTCAGGTTTAGAACTCACAGCACTCATTGTCGCGTGTTCAAAATCAATGGTAAATTAAAGAAGTTATCAAGCATCGATTTTCATAAATCTTATATACAAAAATAAAAGGCGTTTTGTTTCTTTTTGACCAGCAAGTAGTAAAAAACTAAGAGAGTTGGAACGTTTATTCATCGCCTTTAGAGTTGGAAGGGTTTTCTGGTGCGTTCTTCCAGTTTCCTATGTGAACAATGGGAAAGGTGTTGGTAAAGCTGGCATAGTCGCAGTCAAACACTAAAATGTTGAATAAAAGACAGAGCAAGCTCCGGCTCGGAGGACAAGTATAATAGTTAAATAGGGCATGATCAATTACCTGCAGCCATCTTGAAAGCCTGTTGAAATGGAGGGGTTGGTATTAGTCATTCCGTTATTCGAAAACATCAAACATGTGAAAAGTAGGAATAAACGATCGATATATGTGCATACCTCACGATGATTCAAATTTGGGTGCGAGAGTTTGACTTTAGCGAGTTCAGTTTTCATGAATTGGTTGTATGGGGATACTCGTTTGCCACCGGTGCCTATGTTTTGACAGGTTGGGAGGAGAAGTAAGAAATAAAGGAAGAACTCTAAAAATGATAGCATACAGGCAATTGCTGACGCAAACTTGTGTCCAAATTGTCATTCAAATATGGGGTTTCATTCCAAAATGGGTGGGTCATCAATGCATTGTTGATGCAAAAGACCCATGATGTGAAATGGAGAAACACAAGATAATAAAAGATACATACCGGCAGCAGCCTTCTTGGCAGTGGTCTTCTTTTCTTTGGTTGCAGCTGCAGCTTTAGGCACTATGATAGTAAATGGATGGGTTATTCTATCATTCATGTTATCATTTCCCCAATCAAAACAAAAGACGGCCGTTCCAACTTGATCCACCAGACTGATATGATAATATATCCAAGTTCTCTGTAGTTGGCCATGACTTACTTGTTGTCTGATTAATGGACTTAGATGGGGTTCCTTACTGGATTTTGGTTTTTTATATGTGTGGGTTGTGGTTTTACGATACGTGGAGAGGAAAGTCGAGAAGTGCGTCGTTTTTGTAGTCTGCGCAGATGAAAAGTAAACAAAAAACGAGACTTCGCATCTCTTCAAGGCTTCTTATTGGTCAGAATGCTATTCTAGGTCCCGTTCCTTACCAAAAGCCTGCATAGTAAGTAGCAAGCCAGCCAAAAATCCTAGTCAAGTCATAGATGACGCTCATGATGTTGTATGCTATTAATTATTCCAAAAATCATGTATTTAATCATATTCATATATGAACTATTAATTGAATCATAATGGAGCTTGTCTTGATCTACTAGCGCCTTCGTCGAGCTTGCAACATCTGTATCAAAGCTCCTTGATGTTAATGTGCATCCAAGGAAGTCAACGATAAGCCTAGAAACGATCACGAAAATAGCACCGGGTCGATCTCATCATACATCTGATATCATTGAGATTCGTTATTGATCGTCCCTCTTGTCATCAAGTGGTCTGGAACAAGGCAATTATGTCCCGATGAATTTGGTGATGATTTGCATCAATGCAATTAGAAAACATGTCGAGTGGACTACATGACGAACGTGTAATAACATTGCATCATGTAATATTAACAAAGAGACGTGAGCGATCGGTTGCATCTTTGATGTGTCGCTCTAATGGTGAATGTTGGTCCCCAAGCTTCAAATATGTGTCGTGTTTTCATGTCCAACCATGATGGAGATTCCTAGTGAATATCATTTCAATATACTTGAAAAGCAATCTGGCCAAAGGATTTTCTCACTCGTGTCGTCTTGAGATCACAATCACCCAGATACGACTCCAATAACACGTGAACAACACATCCACAACAAGTTACACCACGAATTCAAGTTCAGTATGTGGAAAGAGGTCGTTTCTCTATTGAAATAAGTATCCAGCCTTACATTATTATTACGAAGCAACTATATACTAATGTCAAACTACTAAAACTGTGTGTCCTCGTAACTTGGCCATGCTAAAAAAATTACGTACACAAGACCCGATAATCAAATCAGGTATCAATCAAATTCCATCCGAACTCTATGCATCAGATGTCGTAACAGGTCCACCAGGTGCCTCCTTCACAACAATCATCTCCTCCTTCCCAACACCCTTTTTAGCATGATACACGAACGTATCCCACGTCTGTGACCGAAGAAGACTTAAACTAAATGTACACTCTCCATTTTTGGTGTACTCTAAAGTAGCTTTCTGTGTACGAAAGCTGATTTTCTTCGTATATGGGTTTATCCATCGAGCTTCAAGTTGTTCACATGTTGCTAAATCAAAACGTCCCTTGGAATATGAATATACATAGTTTCGGTAGTGTGGGAGTGTGTAGATTCGTTGCCCATCTAGGATTTTATGAAGAGATCAGAAAATTATATTCTTGTAACGAGGAAAAAGAAGGAAACAAAGGTGATCTCAAAGTTCTACAGAATCTTTCTTAACCCACAGCACCACAAACTTACATTCTTGAGACAGTACACTCCTCCACAAATTAGGCCTCCAAACAGGTATACCTTCGTATTCAGTCCGTATCAGAGGAAAGATTTGCTCCAAGCTGTATTTATGTGGCGACTTGCACTGAATTCTAGACCAACGATCTGGTGCTTTACCCGGTTGCGCTGAAGCCGTCCATGACAAGGCTGTTATATCTATAAATCGACCTGTATGTGTATCGATGAACCGAGCATCTATGATGTTTTGTCGCTGATATGACCTCGTTTGCCAGTTTGCACTAACGAGGAAAACAAGGTCAGATCGATTTGACGGACAATGTTCCACAACGTGTTTCACGTACTTGATATCTAAAAGATACCGATTCCCCTCCCCTGTATAACTCCCATTCTTATACATAAACAAGTAAGCCAGCCCCCGTTCCGTAATCTGTACATCTAAATCATCATCAAACGGCATTATCGATCCGCCCCATGCCCAGCCGATAAGCGCACCATGCGCAATCCAATAGATCAGCCTCTCTGAATCTGCGAATGCTGCCCATGCCGCTAGTAGTCCCTTCATTTGCTGAACACGAGCGGACACGATGTCAGCTGGTTCATCGGATACCACTGTTTTGCCAATTTTTATTTGGTATTTTTTGACTTGTGCTTGCTTTACTGATTCTGGGGCTTCTTGTGGGTCTGACGAGTTTGAGTAGTCGGTTGGTTTGTGAGGCTCTACGCCGAATCGTGTGTCTATGTGTCCGCCACCTGGGAAGTACCGTTCAGGAAGGTCTGAAGCTTTTACACCTAGAATGAAACAAGGAAATGAGTTGGCATGTCCATGGTCATAATGGGCAGAAAGAAGAGATATGTGGCTGCACTACGTAACCGCGGATACGGTACATTGGACCTCTCTCTAGCTTGATCTAAAACACCACAAACCACCACCACACACAAGCCCACCCAAACACAACTTACGTTCAAAAGGCGTCATATCCTTTGTAAACACTCTCTCGCTACTGGGAATAAACTGCTCAGCACCTACAAACAGCCTCGTTCCAACAGGTATAACCCCATTCCTACTACTCGTCCACCTCCCATCATTAACAGCATCACAATAAACCAACCCATCAAGCTTCGGATTGCCACCATGCACAATCACATCATCGCCTAATGTTGCCCACATCCAAACAATTAGCATCAGCGATATAGTTGAAACTGCGACGAATAACATCCATAGCTGGAGCGATGCACGTTTTTTGGTTTTTGGTGTGTGATGAGGAGCAGGCAGGAGTGACGATGTGTGATCCTTGTCTTTGCTTGGTGTTCCGGGTTCAGACGGTGTGCGTGTTGGTGTTGGTGGGGGAGATAAGAGGCCGAATTGTTTGGATCGATTGTTTAGTTCTGAATTACTGTGCATTGGTAAAAGTAACGGTCGAGAGAGTGTCTGCGTTATCAGATATGATGGTCTTACTGTCCTGCTCCTCATTCCCCCCCTCTCTCTCTCTCTGCTAAATCCCGCTCCCAAGCTTGCGACTTCCAAAAGAACAAAAGCTTAAAACTTGTTGGCTCTGGATAAACAGCAACAATTGTATTTAAATAAAGTTCAAATTCTAACAACAAGAGGAAAACTACTAAAATACACTAGTAAAACAATTCAACTTCCAACTTGGGCACACCCAATGATCGCCTTCTTCAGTTTCACCGGATCAAACATGGCCTAAATGTTGGATCAAAAAGCTTTTCTGTGAGAACTCTGTCCACAAATGACCAAGACTGGTATTTTAACCTTGACATAAGCAGCAGCCTGCTTTTTGGCACCTTCAACATCAACTTGGCGTTGTTTGAGCATCACATTTGCCCCTTCTTGGTCTGCCTTGTCTAACAGAGAGATCAGTTAGCTTCCTAAATTCGATTCCATAGTGCTTGCTATGTATTCACCAACCTCTGGCATCCAGTAAAGTCATCATTTGTTTCCAGTGAGAATTCGCTTGAGCACGTTTGGCGTTCTCTTCTTCTATTTCACCCAACATGGCAAGTGTAGCTTGTTCATTTCCTTTGCGTGCCTTTTTCAGAGCCTTTTCTGCGTTACGAGAATTGAAAGAGGATTCAAAGTCTTGAACGCCACAACGAGGTAGCCGACAATAATGTTCTACAATAAGCGTTTACCATTTTCAGAGAAATCCAATTTACGTTTACGAGCTTCCAATTGTGCCAATCTATAAATTGTAAAAACGTAGAACCAAAACTATTATACGACACAGCATTGCTATCATCCACATACGGATCAATTTGACTCATAGCTCGTTTAGCCTTCTCCAAAGCTTCCCAAATGAGCTTCTCACGTTCAGAAACTGCTGGCGTCTCTGCTGCAACAACATGTGCAGCAGCACCACCACCTGATGCAGCCTTTTTACCTGCTTCTTTATAGTCTTTATAATCTTCATCATCAATATTATCATCCTCTTCATCAGCTTGTGCTTTTCCTTCTTCTTCGTCATCGTTTTCATCATGTTCTTTCTGTGACAAGTCAACAACATCTTCCACGTCATCCCTACACTTTTTTGTTGTTGGTGGTCTTGTTACGCGTCGAGTCTCACGAGATGTAACTGGTGGTGGTGGTGGTAATGATCGTCGAGATGGAGGGAAGAATGTTTTATAGTTGTTGTTGAGGTCAGGAGCAAAATGATCAAACGATGAGTTCGATATGGCAGTTGGCGTTTGCTTGATTAGAGGTTTTGTGAAATCACCAAATAGCCTCTTGCCAATGCTCGTAGGAGGTTTTATTGTCCTTATCTGCCTCGGATCTATGAAGTTGCAAAAATCGATAAATTATATCGATGTTGAGCTCATAAACACAAATAAAAACATAGGATATGAATACTTTACCAGTAGCATTTGCTACATTTTTCAACTGCTTATGAACTCCAGAGCGTACATCTACGCCAGAAATCGTAGCTCTTCTGGGAACTTCAGTGACTTGCTTTTGTTTGGAAGAAGTACCAGCAGCTGCTTGTTTGTCCTTGACTTTGGCCATCGTTCTGAGATGGATCTCTGCCCGAAAATAATCATATGAGCCTTGTGTCTTGGCTCCTCTTCTTCTTGTCACATATATTTGTGAGTGAGCGAAGCGCAGAGCAAAGTAAGCTCTTGGACAGTCCAATCTTTGTCGCATTTTTTGCCCGGTTTTTTGCCATGAATGAAAACTCGTTAAATTGCTCATCAAAGGAACAAAGAACAAAGACAGGTTCGCGCGTCAGACACGTATGAGGCACGCTCACGATGAAGTTTGTTAGCAAGGAACTAGACATGCAAGAAATATCTCCTTTTACGAACGGCTTCCTCCCTGCCTCATCCATCCCTGAGAATTCCCTGTATAATCCAAAAGGTCACTCGCACTAGTTGCATTAGACCCGTTACCACCGTTATTGTTCAACGCCTCCTCTAAATCCCCAATGTGACCTGGAGCTGCACCATCGGGAACCTGTTCATTCGAGTTCCTTCGCGTCTCTGAAGGTGCTGTGGTGCGAGGTGTGGGTGATGATTGAGATCGTGGCAAGAAGAGGTTTGCAGTCGATGAGGATGATGTGAAGGCTGGCATGTCTTGCTCGTTTAGAATGTTGGAGAGTTCGCGGATTGGAGGTAGGTGGAGAGATGGGTGAGGCAATGATGTGGTTGGATGCTGGGTTGTGTGTTGTTGTTGATGTGGTTGTTGTTGAGGCTGTGGTGGCGAAGTGTCCTCTAAATGAATGTTTTAGAATGTGAGCAAAAAATGCACAGAAACAGAGTCAAAATGGTTGGATTCACCTTCGTGTTTCCTTTTGCGGCTTCCTTGTGACAAGTCCGCATTTCGTGCCTCCATATTGCTCAGAACAGAAGTGACGTGTAGCAAAATCTAAAAGCCTATGAGATCAGTAAAAGGTGATGACGACGAGGGACCATAAAAGAAGAATCTCACTATACATAAAGTCACATGTACTGAGGCCAATACTCACTCGGTGATCTTGGGCACGAGACTCTCTCTCATTATGAAACAAGCCTTCCAAAATCGAATAATTGCCATGCATCTTGACCATTTTCTCTTCCAGCTCCAAAACTCGTCTCGTCAGTGCTTCAACTCTCTCATCCTTTTGCGCAGCTTGGAAGAGTATACTGGGTGATAGAGTCTTGTCGTCCATGTATCCAGAAGAAGAAGCAGATCCCGTTTGCACGTTTAGGTTTGTGGCAGATGATGCTCGTTGGTCCTTGTTTCCTTTGTTTGCTTTTCGTTTGATGGTGTTGATTGCTTCAATGTTGCCTCGGATAAAGTCTGGGTGCTGTTTTTAAGAAGATTTGTTAATGAGTGTGCAAAAAAGAGATTTCGCCAATTCTGCCGAATAATTCACCTTGAACTCCCAAACGTCCGAAGCTGCTGTGTGAGTGTGATAGTTATCATTCACTTTGTGGAAACCATACATGTTTAGCTGCCTCACAAAGCTTGCAAACTAGTATGTTTTGGAATGCGAGAAAAGAGTGTCAAACTTTGAAGTGAGGAACTGCTCTGCTCAATCTTCTTTCATCTCATACATTGTTGTGCTTGTAAAAATGAGGTAAGACGGTCTTGGCAAACTCTATAAAAGCCAAAAGCGAGCAATTAGGACAACAATACCGAAAACAAGTGATTTGCATGTATTTACCAGTAGGATCGTAGACAGAAAACCCCGTTCCCGCCTCATCCCAATGAATTAAATGCTTGTGTGTATCATCTTCCAACATACTAAGTGAAGATACCAAAGTTGAAGTCAAGTTGGTGGACAAATGCTTTGCTAACAGTTTTGTTGACGGCTTCGTGAAGCATACCTGTGCAGCTTATGCACAAACGACTGTGGCTGATGTGGACTCGATGATAAGCCATGTTGTCCATGTTCATCAACAGGTGAAAATGGATTTGCAGAAGTAGGTGATTGCAAACTTCTTGCGGAGCGTGGTCCAGACACGGGTGTAATAATTGCTGTATTCAAATGCAGAGGCATTGCTAACCTGTTGTCGTCGGGGTGCGATACAACATATTGATTTGTCGTCACCGATAAAGGAACTTGGTATGGCTGCATTATTTGAATAACCACGAGGTACCAGAACTCGGAGCGTTTTGAATTTTTTGGGCTCTGTTTGGAGTCCGAGGTTTTGGCTGATTTGGAGTGAAATTTGCTTCGACCTTCCAGAAACGTGAGCAAACTGCTTCTGTGTGTGTGTGTCTGATTGACGAATCCGATTCGACCCCCAAAATATAGCCAGGAGTGTTTTTTTTGGAAAGTTCCAGGCAGGAGCACAAGGAGACTTGAAACACAAAGCAACTAGTTCAGATCTTCAATAAAGCAAGCGAAAAACTGTGCATAGGCTAGAGTGCTGACACAGAATTTTGGGACTAGCTGAATTGTAGTGGATGTAGCGATGCAGGTTCAATGGACTAACGAAAAGGGTTAATTTGGCAGATCGAAGTCCGATATGTGAGATACGTCCTGTTTTCGTTTCGAATTGACGTGTTGTCCTGAAGCTCTGGCTTGCAAATCACAAAAACCCACATTATGCAGATGTGTTGAAAGCTAGCCCAAAAATGTATCCAGGACCGCCTCCTCCTAGGTCTCCACTTCCCATAGATGAAGAGATAGACGACGAGCAGCCTCCTTCAGCATCTCATACCACGTATTTCCCAAGAAACTACCAACTGTTATCTAGTTCCAGATATCCAACTGGTCCAGCCTATCGAATACCTATAAGACATATCGGTAAACATGATGTGATCTTCCTTCGAGACATTCAACGCATCCTACCCAATGTCACGGCCTTGAGGATTGACAATGAGTTCTTGCATTCAATGGAATCCGACGACGGATTTGAGCTTGAACCTACAAGGTATATCAAAGCCTGTATTGTTGAGATTTCATTCATTGACATTGGCTATCTTATGTAAAGGTGGGAAGCTATTGACGGCCGTGTCATTGAAGGATATGAGCCAGGTTGGTGTCGATTTGTCTTCAGAAGCCAGACCTGTCAAACTTCAAATCAAGCCATTCATCGTTATGTTTCTTATTAGCTGATGAAAGAACTGATTTGCTACGCGGACTGCTACGTCAGGCTACGGGTAAGCCACAAACCGACCTTGATCATGTTGTGAACGGCCTGTTTCGTTGACAACCTATCATTGCACCACCACTTCGAATTTCGTAACTCACCGTATACCCTATCTCTCACAGACCTGGTCGTTCAACTACGGGCCTTGTCTCAAGAACTACGGCATCATCGAGGGGGTTCAGAGCCAGCTCCTGTACGATCATTTCGTCTATTAGAGGATCTCATGAGGTCGATAGGAGAGGAGCCGCCATCTGGAGGTGGCGCTTCTACATGTGAGTGCTCCTTGTTTTTGATCCAAACCAGTCCAGATTCTAAACTAATGTTTGCAACAGCTCGAGGTGTCGCAACATCTACATATCCAGATGGCCTACCATCATACCCAACTTCATCCTCAAGTGGTGCTGCTACTAGCTCGTCACTGCCACCATCATATGCAGGAACAGCAGCAACAAGTATCAATCCTCCATCGTATCCAACATCAACGTCTTCAGCAATTGTGACTGCGCCTCCACTCTCTACTACACCATCAGTGACATCTACTGTACATCCGCCAGACTATGCCGCAGCCACTACGACGCCTATCGGACAGCAACCAATCTTGCAAGTTCACGAGGCACTAGCATCGCCTGTTTCTCCTACTAGCTCGGTAGTGCAGCCTCCAACAATATTGCAGACTGAGTCTACTGGTGGGACAATTGCATCGACCTCTGAACCTCCAGTAAGCACCAAGAATCCTGGTGCATCGTTTTTCAACCGAACTAACATCATTAAACCGTCTCCTAGTCGTATGCTCCTTGATTATCTATCATATATTATTCTTATAGATTCTACACACGAAAAATATAGCAGATGCGTAGGAACAAGTATGCTTTTGCAACAAAATGTGATCACACCTCTGTGCATGAATCTGTTTTGGGTCAATGGCAAAACGTCCTGCCAAAATAAACCGGTAACGGAGGTTTTTACGTGTTTCGGGGAGGGAATTCTCAGGGCGACATAGGTGTGATGTCTGATTGGATTGAGCGTAGTAATTCATCGCAAGTTATCAAAAACAACCTTGGCCAGTTCAGCATCGCGTAGAAGGCAGAGGTCGGGACGTGTCGTTTATCATCAGGTTAGTCCAATACCGACGTGATTTTTTTATTTGAAGATCGGCTTTGGTCGATTCCCAGTATTCGCTAAGGAGTTAGGTCTTCCCTTCTTCGCTCTCCAAAAAAAGCAACACTTTCGGAATCACTAAAGAAGAGAGAGAGACAGAGCTAGAGAGAGGCCAGCAAAGTCTCGGTCGACCACAAGTCTGTGCTGTATTGACGCTCTGGTCTCCTTTAGTTTTAGTGGCTTGATTTATTGGTGTGGTGCCTTTGGACTTATAAAAGGTATGTGCTCATCGCAGTGATTATTCGAACCCGATAGTGATATGGCGAAAGGCTCCATCCATTCGTAATGAATGTTAAGCTAATCGGCTCTATTCCGTCTCCTTCATCGTTTCTATTAGCTTGGTTGATTCATTTGGTTTCAGTCTCGGCCAAGGGGTTCCACTTATAGATTCTAAAGCTATATAAGTTTGCAGACAGCCTACATTTTGGGAAGGCTACCTTTCTTGTATTGTATTATACCATGTCAAGTAACTCGGAGCAAAGTCATTTGACTTCGTCCGACAATGGCAGTATAGTTCCTATGGAAGATGTTTTGCACCATCATGACCACCAACACCAGCATCACCAGCATCATCATCACAGTCACCACCACCATCACCATCATCATCACGGTCACGATCATGACCATGAACACAGTCACGATCACGATCATCATCACGGCACAGTGAGTTTTTTCAAATAGTGTGCTAGTCGACAATAATCAAGTTCCTAACGGAGCTCTTATTTTCAATCAGGAACATCACGACCACGATATGGCTGGTGATGAATTCGAAGACGAGGAAGATGAAGAAGACTTGGACGAAGACGACGAAGAATCCTACTCGGACTGGGAAGAAGATGAAGAAGGAGAGGAATCAGAAGAAGAAACATCCATTGCAAACAACAACACAACCACCACAACAACATCTGCTACAACTACAACAACAGCAACAACAACTACAACATCATCTAATAATCACCACCATCACAATAATGTTACTACGTCTTCGACTCGTTCAGCTCGCTCATCAGTCTCTTCACGTCATTCTCATGGATCTGCTGCTTCAGACGCTTCTCAACCACGTGTGTCGGAAGACAATGGTTCAGTCGACAGCTCGGATGCCGCTGGAAGTACGTCTTCTGCCAGACCTCCAGTCGTTCGACAAGATAATGAACAACAACGCAAGGAGAAAGAAGTAGCTGTAGCTCAACAGCAGACTGATTTGAGACGTCGTATTATGACTATTCAGCAAGATACCACAATCTCTCCTGCAGACAAGGCAAAGAAGATTCAGGTACGAGAATTCTTTATAGTTTGACGTAGAAGGTGCTCTTTCCTCAACCTTTTTTGTTGTATTCTTGTAGGAACTCATGACAAACCAATGGAATAGCAAGCAAAAGTCAACAAGTTCTCGTGGTGCTATGGCCAGCAACAAATTGGAGCACAAGCGTTCTGACTTTGATGCTATTACTGATACCGATCGTTCCAAGACTTACCACGTACGTGATTCAATAAGATAGCGGCCTTTTTTGCGCATACACAAATTTGAATACTCTTGATAATAGGACAAAGATGCTCAAATTTTGGGATGCAAGCATTATCAAAGAGCTACCAAATTACAAGCTCATTGCTGTGGAAAGTGGTATACCTGTCGATTCTGTCATGACGAAGTTTCAGACCATAATATCATTAGGTATGTAGTCAGAAATGAGCTTTGCACCTCTATTAAGTGTCCGAATTGATACTGATTCTTTTTGCCCCTTTAAGAAACTTGACCACCACCATGATGTGTATGTACTGCAACAAGGTTCAACCCGCTGGACAGGACTGCGTCAATGCCGAATGCAAACGTCGAGTATCAAAGTATTACTGCAAGGAGTGCAAGTTGTGGGATGATGACCAACGCAAGAACATTTACCGTGAGTTCATTAATTCATTATGCGGTGTCCTATTTTGACTATAAGGTATCCATTTTTCTAACTCGTGATTTCACACAGATTGTTATGATTGTGGTATTTGTCGAATTGGAAAAGGATTGGGTCAAGATTACTTCCACTGCAAAAAGTGCAATGTTTGTATGGCTATCTCCCTCAAAGGTCGTCACAAGTGTATTGAACGCAACTTGGAGTCTGATTGTCCAATCTGTGGCGAATATATGTTTACCTCTACTACTACTGTCATCTTCATGGTATGTACTTGATACAGTAGGACCTCACTTGGCGTGTGCTGAAAGTCGGATTCTGTTTTGCTGTCCTTTAACACTTTACTCTCTCTAAAAACAGCCTTGTGGACACTGTATTCACTACAAGTGCCACCAAGAATATATTCAGACGTCATATCAATGCCCAACATGTTTTAAATCGCTTGCCAATATGACGGAATACTTCAAACGTATTGATGCCATGCTGGCACAACACCAGATGCCACCCGAATATGCCAACTCACGGTCCCTGATATATTGCAATGATTGTGAGAAGAGAAGTTGGGCCAAATTCCATTTCCTATACCACAAATGCAACGAATGCAAAGGATACAACACAAAGATTCTGAAAACCGTGGATATCTTACCTGGACAACCCTTCCCTGGAGAATCGGAATTGGATGTCAAGACAGGAGCAGGAGCAATTGGCGCAAGTGGTAGTGCATCTGGAACGCCGACTTCTGCTGCTACGATGGTTGATGTTGACACAGCCATGACCAGTAGTGTTGCCGCAATCACCGTGAATACTGCCCTCATTACAGCTACAGAACCACCAGCATTGGCTAGACGGGGAAGCGAGTCTGGGTCGAGTACTCACTCAGCATCTTCCTCATCTTCCACCACATCCATGTATTGAAGAAGAACGAATTAGGTTATAAAAATAGGTTTGGCTCAAACTGGGAAGAAAACAGGGGACATTTTTGTTGTATAATAAGTGAAGCCTCAAGATGAAACTATTGGAAAGTTTAAGTAGGTTGATAGATTGCCTCTTATATAAGTTACGAAATCACTCAAACTGTATAGATAGACCTCATATATTGAATCGTCATTGAATGTGTTAATTCGTGAATCTGTATTTTATCTCGCGTTCTGCACCAGACTATAGACCATAGACTATGCTACATAGCGAGATCATGCTCTTCACGTCAATGACTGCAGTCATTCTAAGTGTTGTTTTGGCTGATGTGTTTTTGATCTCGCGTTCTGCACAAAAATTCAACAGGCTAGGTCATCATAGATACCAAATTCATCATCTCTCAGTCCTTAATTGTCTCGTCCCGTCGCCATTGGCCTGTGCTTTCGATTTCTAATCTTTTGTCACTGCAAAAAAGACACTTCTCGAACTCAAACTTTTCAAAGCAAAGATGGCAGTTTTCACAGCATCAGCAGGCAACAAAGTGCTCCTAATAGGCAATCCGGCAGCTACAGCAGATGATATCAAGCATGCTCGTAGTGAACTATCAATACAAGTGACAACCGATGGACTTGTTGGGTTTGAGCAATTGGATAGGATACCATCCCGTAAGCCTCAAAAACATTCAACGACACCAAGATCGCACATATTAACTTATTCTATGATGTTTCAGTCCAACTAGCACGATCCAATTACAACATAATCTACTCTGGCTCCATAAAACCATCAACATTTACACACCCCGATACAATCCTCTCCAAATTCGCATCCTCTCTGACCCCAAACGGCACGCTAAACATATCTCAGCCCGTATTACTCGATTCCGCATCCTGGGCACCTGCTCCCGAAGGTTTGATTACCGAATCGGCGTTCTTGTCTGCGCTCAAACTCGCTGGGTTCGTTGATGTGGCCGTTGGGATGCGACACGATGCATTGTCTGATGATGATGTACGGAACGTTTTTGATTCGTGGGGGATGAAGAGAGAAGAGAGGGAGGGACATGTGAAGGTTTTGAGAGGAGCTGTTTATATTGTTGACGTTGTGGCGAGGAAGCCCGCTTATGAGGTTGGGGCTGGGGTTAAGCTGTCGTTTGGAAGGAATAAGAATGGTAATGGTAGTGCTGTGAATAAGGTTGTTACGGCTCCTGTTGTTGAAAAGAAGAAGCCTGCTGTATGGACTATATCTGCTGATGATGAAGATGATGAAGCTGCAGAGGAGGATGAAGACTTGATGGATGAAGATGAATTGCTCGATGAAGAGGATCTCAAGTTGCCTGCCAACCGTAAGTTGTGAGAAAGTAACGTGGGATAAAAGTCCATTTCACGGTCCGTTTGGCTGCTTTTGCTCACTCGTTTTACTTCTAGGTCGTGACGGCTGTGACGCAACAGACGGCGCAAAACGTAAAGCATGCAAAGACTGTACATGTGGTCTCGCCGAAGAGCTAGATGCAGAAGAGGTGGTGGAGGAAGCAGCTGTTTCGGATCAAGTTATTTTTGTTCGACCAGTTACCAAGAAGGCTGCTAAATCTTCTTGTGGAAATGTGAGTGACATGGATTCAAGTCATCCGTTGCTTGGTGAAATCTCAGACTTACCGTTCTTTTTTTTGCCATAGTGCTTCTTGGGAGATGCATTCAGATGTGGCAGTTGCCCCTACATGGGAATGCCTGCCTTTGCACCAGGAGAGAAGGTTGTTTTGGGTGGTAGCATGTTGAAGGATGATTTAGAGTTGTGAAGTTTGAAACGATGTTGAAACGATGGGTTTTGGTATACATATAAACTCTTTGCAAGTAATTCTTTTGTGATTTTGAAAACATTATAACAGATCGCTCATCTCATTAAAATCAAGCTCGAAATAGAGGTATGTAGTTGCCAGTGTAGTTGAAGTCCGTCGCGTAGGTTTGACATTCTTGAACATCGCCAAAATCGCTAAGAAGTGTCGCTGATTGAGTAAGGAAGAAGGAGAAGGATTTACGGAGTGGGAGAGAGAGAATCAGAAAGTGAGCCACTAGTTCTGCAAGGTTATGTGTTCATTTATAATTTCATTGGTTAACACATTGTATCAATCTCACTTCAACAATCACAAGTGTTGCCTTCCGTAACATACTCCCACTCTTCTCATACATTAGATATCATCAAAGTATTTAGAGGTCAAGAGAGTCAAATCTTTAGACGCTTCTTGCCTTTTGCTTGTCATTGGCATCATGAGTATGTCTCGAAGTTTGATCATATTGCAACATCTGAAGTCATTTGCTTATCATTTATCACTAGCTCCCTTCCAACGGAAATACTTCTCACCATCATTCATTACACCTCTCCTCGACAACTCGCCATTTGGCAGCATCTCTCAAACGGATTCTTCAACATTTGGACTCAGCCGACATCAAGTTTACATCGTATCGGGAATTTCTAATGCGAAATGATGTATTGAAAGAATTCCAAATTGGTTCTTTGTGTAATATATCGGTAAGGAAGGACTGCACCAGCCCCTTGCAATGTCTTGAGTATCTTACAAAGGTGGTAGTATTAGATGAATGGAAATGGACTGGCCAAAAGAAGACCTGGAATGGAATTACTGTAAGTCTCGCATACGTTCTCGAAAGCCAAGGAAACATTGGGACGAATCAACCTGGAATTTGTAGATCTATATGAATCCAAGCAATTTCAAGTCATACGACATGGCTGAAGAAGATAGATTGGATTTGACTTTGAACGCTCTAGGCTATATAAGCATCGGAGCTATCCTTCCCTTTTTGACACGATACACCCATATTGCTACTCTCAACATCTCAGAATGCCACGTCCAACAAACTTACTTTGAAGACTTCTCTATACCACGTAAATCCATAGTAGCTGCCGAAATGAAGTCGTGTCTCAGAGATCTTGAACTGACGGATATGCTTGTCGTGGCAGTGCACGGATTCGTGAAACTTTACGAGTTTCTGCCTGCAGAGATTCAACAGCTTGGGATTGTTGTAGATCACACTCCAAGATATAGTCTCTATGAAGAATTCATAGCAGATAATTTTCCTCATCTTCGACTTCTAAAGTTTCAACAACTCTATACAGACACTGTAGGTCTTGAGCCAATATGGGAGAAGCTGATCTCACCAAGTGTAGAAATATTGAAAGGAACTATATGCGTACTTACGTCTGGCGTTGAAGCCTTAAAGATGCTCCAGCTAATTGCCACGAGCCGACCAAACCTTAAAACTCTTGGGTAGAGCCCGATGCAGAGCAGCTCGTCACACCGATACGCCATCTCCGTTTAGTCATCAACCAAAGGAGTGCCTTCTACTCGTCGCCTTTGGCTCGTGACCTGGAATCTTTGGGTGTAATCGTCAACAATGAGGCTTCCGTCGACACCTTGGTAACAGCTCCTCTTCCATCATTACGTCGATTGAATATACATTGGCATGCTTCATCAAGGATCTGGCGGCGCCTAGACTTTGCCTCTCCTGTTGTAAACATGCTAGTCAGAACGTCAAGTCTCTTGCGTTTTATACGGTTTATCTCATTCTCATTGGGAGATGGCTACTGTTCAAATGGCCGCTGCAGTTCCAACCTTGAAAGTCGAAATGTATGATTGTATTGAGCGACGCAACAAGGATTCAAGTGATGTCGTCCAGTGATGAGGACGAGGACTAGGATAAAGATGACGCTGTAGATCTTGCCAGTTATGCCGAAAGATGTTGAGCAGGAAGACAATGATGATGCAGATCGCTCTTTGTAGTTTCTTCATAGCGTGTTATAGCATACATACTTACGTAGTCACCTTGACGTTTGTTCAAAGCGTTCATCGGCATCTTGGCATTTTGCGTAATTGCATATTGTCGCAGGACTGGTATTCGAGTATTCGAGGCGAAATACGCGTAAATTCTAACTCGCTATCTCACCATAGCGGCCATAGCGGCATAGATTTCGTTCGCCCTTCACATTTCTCGAAATTCTCACCACCACGAGACACACGACGATGAAGAACATTTCACGTGGAATCCTCTTACTGTTGTTATCACTATTACAAGTATCAGCATCCTCGTTGTCCGCTCACGACAAGGTGGAAATCCTTGAATCCAAACGAAGCAACATCGAACCCATTCAACTCGACACGGACCTATATAATCAATTGACGACAAAGCCAAGAAACTATTCAATTATCGCTATCCTGACTGCTCTCTCTCCTGAACATGGATGTCAGCCTTGTCGGTATGTCAACATTAAAACTTCGTGATTTTGTTTTCGAGATTTTTGTTTCGGAGGAATAAACTCTCAATTGTCACTTAATAAAACTATTAGAGATTTCGATGCTGAATTACGTGTCCTGACTCAATCCTGGAGTAAGCAGTATGAGCGTGGAAGACTCTATCTGGGTGTATTGGATTTCAAGAATGGACGTGATGTGTTTATGAAGGTAGAGACAAATTACAGCAGGAATACTCTAGACTCATCACAAGTTATTCATCTGTTGATTCCCCCATAGCTGGGACTCAACAATGTCCCATATGTCATACACTTTCCTCCTTCAGAAGGAATACATGCCAAGGAAGATGTGGATCAACAGGTTTACGATGTATTGAAGAGGTAAATACCGTATATGCTTGCATCCCTCATTGGGTACTCAAACCTCTTTCGAATAGGGGTGTATCAGCCGAAGCATTAGCTGATTTCATTCGAGGTCAAACGCAAATCAATGTGAGTTTGAAGTGCAAGTAGAAGATATCTACTGGATGCAATGCTTATTACCAACACGTTATGTTTTATCTTTTTAGATCAAGATCCGACGCCCACCAAACTATACCAACTACATTATCGGTGCAGTCGGCTTCCTCTTCACTGCTCTTATAGTTCGATGGCAGTGGGATGCTCTAGTCGGAGTGTATACCGACTACAGGATATGGCAGACTCTCTGTTTGGTAACGCACCAATATCTGCATCTCAACCATCGCTTTTTTTGCTCACATCATTATATGTGTATACCAGGGAATAATCATATTCATGTGCTCAGGATTCATGTGGAATCAAATCCGAGGTGCTCCATTCTCTGGAATGCAGGCTGGTCGTGTTGAACTCTTTGCACCTGGATTTGGAAGTCAGTATATTATGGAGACGCAGGTTATGGCTATGCTTTGTGAGTAGTGCTACCATTGGTGTACGGAAAGTTTTTTTTGGAACGGTTTTTTTGGTGCTGACTTTCTTTTACATAGATGGATTGACAGCAGCATCAGCCGTCACTTTGGTTACACTTGTGCCTACAGTGAAGGATGTGGGCACACAGAGAATAGTTGGATATGTGTGCTTGGCGGCCTTTGTCTTGTTGTATTCCGTGCTGCTCAAGATTTTCAGCTTTAAGAATCAAGGATACCCGTTCAGAATGCTGCCTATTTAAGTAGGGGTAGAACTGAATGACAAAATACAGCATTATTTTGATTAACTTGAAGAGATTTTTGGGGATCTGTTAATCTGTTACGCGAATATTTCGAATTGTAGCAGTGCGCAAAAAAACGCTTGATTGAGCACGCATGTGTTGTTCACCTTTCTAGCTCTCACAAGACATAAAACTCAGACAATGGCATTCCTAGCAAAGTGGGCATCAAGCCTATGGAAGAGCATCCCAAAGAGCACCAACGATTTACGATGGATTGTTCAGATTGTAGGTTGATTGTTGCTTCTATTGCCTTTAACATTGTGTTTGCTAAATGTTAAACTTGTGACGATTATGACAGACAAAGAGGGATACTGATTATGTGGTACTTTTATAGAATCCAGACCTGGCTCCTCACGTCGTCCGAGCTACAGAGTATCGAGCAGTAGCACCTGGGTATGTATTGGACATCAACCATTTTGAGCAACATTTGTTACATTGGGGTATATAGATGGGCAACCCTGCATCATTAGGTCGATATGCATAAAAATGAGCTACATCACATTGCATATGCAACAGTTTCCATCACTCTCGTGCACCCCAACAAAGAAACAGCCTTATGAAATCTCCCATGTTTCTAAACTCCAACACACTCTCTCGCTCACACGCCCTCTCCCCTTATAAATACATAGCTCAGACAAACCCTTCACACCCACACTAATCCCCGGCGTAAACGACAAGATTAACAATGCCAGATACTTTCTCAAGGACTCTCGTCGTGCCTATCCACAAACAGTCGTATTCAGCGCTGTTGAAATCCAAAAGGCGCTGTCTTCTGGGACTGTTCTCAGGTATGCTTGAAGTGACTTTTTTGAAATGGAAAAAAAAAACCCTCCAGCATCGCTTCCTCGTGGATGATTCAACTTTTCGCTCACCACGATATTTGGTATAGCATAACGGCAGGTGCTACAGATGCAGCACCAGCAGCAGCACCAACAAGCATCATTACAGAAAACAAGTTACCGCCCATTATCAACAACAAATATACCTGGAAGAATGCTACGCCGTATCTGAAGCCGGATTCGATGAATTTGGAGTTTAGTATTCAGGGAAGAACATAATGATAATAATGTTGTCGAGGGGTTGGAAATTTGAAAATAGAAAGGCTGTGGGATTTGCACAGACATTGAGACAGTGTATGCTTGGATCGGATTTTTTTTCAGGTGTGGGCTGGCTTTCCAGATCATGATGGAATTTAGACACAACATTCAAGAACCCGAGAAATTGCTATTCTACCATCCAGTGCTGAATGTTGGGAAATAGATTGTCAAACATGAAAATTATGGTTGTCCTTTGCTACACTAGTTTGCAGTTTTTTAATGCAACAGATTTTATGAAGTCCCTTGGTACTTCAGATAGGACTGCCATTATTCGGAGGAGGAGCCAAAGACAAAACAATCGAAAGCACAAACTTGAAATGAGTGCAAAAATTCAGCACCTCACTTTTTTTTGCTTAGTAGCAACATAAATTCAGGTATCAATCCGCTATGCAAATATACAAGCACCATACATATACAAGCTGAATACATATCAACAAAGTTTTGCCTGCAAAGCAATCATCCATCACTCACATTCTCACGATCACTCTCCCCACCTCGCTGTCCTAGCGCTCTCCACCTTCGTCTTCAGTACCATCATCAACCCTATCATTCAAACATCGTATACAAGTCATTTCATCTCGACCAAGTACAACCTCAAACCCATTCGCCCCACACACATCAGGCACAAGTCCCAAACACGCTCTCTCATGCATCCCATACGTCATTTCTTTAAAATTCTTGATACCACGTAATTTACAAAACTCGGATGGGAATTGGGATGCTAAATCCAATGTGTGCTTGCAGAAGGAGGTGGCGGCCGCTGTTGCTGTGATGTTGAGTTTTGTAAGACTGGATGGGAGACAGTGGGTGATGAAGAGCGATATCGTTGTGGATGTGATTTTGGTGCATTGTGCCAGGTTTATGGTTGTAAGGTTTGGGCATTTAGGGTGTTGGTTGCATTGGTTGGTGGTGTTTTTAAACCAGGTTTCGAATGCGGCGTCTGATACGTTTTCACATCTGTTGAAAAATCGAGAGTGTTATTAGGTGCTTTTTCTGCTCGTTCCGTTGCGAAACCGAAGAACCAAACAGCGAGAGGAAAAAAACCAGACTACGAAGATCTGCTATGTTGACGAAAACTCTGCATTGCGACTTCTACTGAGCTAACGCGACTCGAAACACTTACTCGGACAAGTCCAAAGAATTCAATAATCCAGGACAACGTGAAATTCCAAGATTCTGAATCACATCTATTAAAGAAAAGGGAAAGTCAACACAGCGAAAAATGCTGTCGTTTGTATCTTCAAACACAATCATTGTTGTTTTCACTCTCACACACTCTTACCATCAGTAATAGCATCCCCACTCAACCTCAGCACCTTCAATCTGGAAGCATGTGCAATCAACACCATGACTGTATCCGAAGCACAGCACAATTCAGTCAAGGACAATTCAACCCATTTATGAGCATAATCCGATAATTGCAAAATCTTGGAATCGTCAAGGTATTTCAACTTTGCCAAGTTTAATCTAGTAATGTTGGCAAGAGATGTGGTTGGGAAGGCAAAGAAGTGCCAGTTTGGTGAACCCTAATTGGAAAGTATTTAGTAAGGATTGAGCGTGGAGAACCATTCTTCGAGTTCATCCTTGGTGACGAACGACTGCTTTTCTTTTTGCCACTTTGGTTCAGAATATCGAATCTGTAAACCAGGCGTCCCGACACTCCAAATAAGCCAAAACGTACATGCAATATCACGAATGCTAACCTTTGGAGGAGCAGGCACAGAAATCTCCAAGTCATCAACACCCAACGCACTAACTCCATCCATAATAGTCAAAAAAGCAGCCCTCGTCAATTTAGGCACTCGAATACATTTAAACGACTGTAATTTCAACACTGGTAACACGACATCCTCGACGACTTTTTCGTTATCGTCATCCAGGGTGGTTTCGAAGAGAGACAATACGGCGGTATCTGATATTCGTTTACAGCCTGATATATCTAGGTGTCGTAGTGATGATCTGAGGAAGCGGTTTATGAAGAGGACGCCAGTGTTTGATATGAATGGGCAGTCACGGAGTGAGAGGGATGAGAGTTTGTTCCATGGCTATTATCAAGAAGCAAGAAAGAGAAGGATTTGAGTTGGTGCATTCCCATCATCGCTCGAAACTGGTATTTTTTAGCACATGATACAAGTAAGCTTACACTGCAGAATGAAGCAACAACAGATACAGCTGTATCGCGTAGTTGACAACACCCGTCCAATGAGAGAGAGACTAGTGTCGTGCAAGTAGCCGTGACTATGGCGATGATGGCCTCGTCAGTCAAATTTCGACAGTTTGACAAGTTTATGGTGGTCAACATGGGCCTGTGAGAAATGAAGAAGGTGATTAGTTGGTTGAGAGTGTTGAGCAAAACAGTGAATTTGTTCAAAAGGACCAACAAGACAACAACCAAAAAGGCAAACGATCTCGACTCTAATGGCAGCCAGCTCATAGCTCATTCAGTGTCATGTACAGTACCTTGACTCTGCAATGGATATGATGTGGTAGTTGCGAATAAAGAGAGGTAGTTTCGGCGTTGATGCGTGTAGAGAGAAAGATCTCATACATTGAGCATTCATATTGTTGGTACCATCAGTCGTATTGGCACTATTCACGGCAGCCTGTATACAATTCACGAATTTATCAAACGCTCGTAATGTTGTAAAGTTTGGAGCCCTGTAGAGCAGTGGAGTGGCAGCCAGACACCAGAATCGACATGTTTGTAGTACGGAATATAGATCTAGTTGCGGATCCTTGTATGGGTAGTTGGTTGAATCCAAGACGAGGAAATGTAGGATGTGTTGGAGTAATTCAAGAGGCAGGAGGAGATTGTTGTGGGGCACTGCTGGCTCCTTGTCTCGTATTGTCATGGCATGGTCAGGATGCGACGCGTCCATCTGTCGGATCTGCTCAAATCACTTAGATGCGATTAAGGGATGTTTGGAATTTGTTCAGAACAATGAGACGTGCAGGGTGGACTATACAGACGCGTCAAATATAGGAATAAAGGAACAAATCACGAAGTCACGTCGACTAGACCGTGTCTCTTCATAGACATTCGTGTCTATCGCCGTTGAAATCCCGAAAACAATCCATTGCCGTAGATTCGAGTATGGACGCTACCCAAGACTGGCTAAAGCAAGTTCTGACTCCTGTAAGTGTACAGTGCTTGTATCCTTTAAATCGTTTCCTTGGTTGTCTTTGTTGTTTTATTGTCCAATCGTTGAGAATCTTGGCTTTTGTCGCATGGTGAAGATTGCAAACGCTCAACTAACCCGTATACTTTACTGCCTCATACTAGTATCAGTCTGCTGACAGAGTATTTAGAGACACCGTCGCTGTCCTGACCTCATACAATGGACTCTCGCCGAAAACAGACACATTCAGTTGAGCATCTTATACACCGCATTCATTATCACATACCCACTCTAACCCTCCAATTACTCATACTTGTTTACAGCAAACGAACATGGCGTAACCGCAGTCCTACTATGTCTGCACGGAACAATCCCAATCCTATTCAAAAATGTCACATACAACATACCCATCGCCGTATGGTGTCCTTATGTCTATCCTGCCCAGCCCCCAATAGCATTCGTACAGCCCACCTCTACTATGCTCATCAGGAATGGTAAACATGTCGATCTGGAGGGAAAGATATATCATCCATATCTCGCCTATTGGCACACTGCTCCAGAGGTGCGTGAGCATGCTGTCGATATCAATAGTGCATTCTGATATTGGATGAGAATATTGAAAATTTGATGACAGCATTATTGAGATTGGGTTGAAAGAGTACATGTCTGGAGATGGCAAAAAGACTCCAACGAACACAAGTATTGCTGAGATTGCAACCCTCACACACAACTCTCACCGATAGAATCGAACAGTCAAAGAACTCTTAACAATCCTGCAAGGAATCTTCCAACAAGAACCACCAGTATACAGCAAACCTCCTCAACCTTCAATGCCAGGTGGTGCATACCCTCCCCAACAACCGTCATACAACAATGGCAACCCACAACCATCATTCGAATCACCACCAATGTACACACCCCTCCCAACCAACCTACAATACAACAATCTCCCATATCAAACACAACAACAATACCAACCAAACGGTAACGACCCATCATATCGACCATCAGAACCTCCTTCTCAAGTCATACAACCACCTATATTGCCATACGATTCATTAAATAGAGTAAACAGTAATAATAACACGTCACCAATGATGAATCACTCGAGACCTAGTAATAATAATACAAATCCAGCAGACGATGATGCAAATGTCCGATTAGCATCACTACGAAGTATGGTGACTGACAAACTAGCTAGGATACGGAGACAGCAGGATCCATACAAGATGGATACGCTGCTGGTTGCTAATAGACAGTTGAATGATGGGGCGAGTAGGATTGATGATGTTGTGAGGAGGTTGAATGATGAAGAGGTACGTATGCTTTGTATGTTTTTGCACAAAGAAGTGCGAGAGACACTGGTCTAAGGTCGCTGTAGGAATCGCTACCTTTTTTGGCTCTCAAATCGTGTTGTTTCTGTCTTCTAGCAAAAAGTAGCTCAGAATTCGACCATTCTGGATACCAAAATGCAAGAATTGAATGAATTGTTAGAGACGGTACGGAATCAACCTAAAGTTAATGCTGATGATATCATTACTGGGTCGACAGTGCTTTATAATCAGTTGAGTAAAACTTGATGTTGTTGCATAGTTTTTTTTGGTGCAGCACACCTGCTTTTAGTTGTCGCAAACTCCATCTGATAATCTCTGTCTTTCTTAATCATTTATGCAGGCTGATTGAAGTGGTTGCAGAAGACCACTCTATTGATGATGCCTTATATTGTCTCGGTGAAGCATTCAGTAGAGAAAAAGTTGATGGGCCTACATATTTAAAGGTATGTCATAGACTTGCTGTTTATGTGTGAAGAGCCATGACAACTTGAGAATGTCATCAAACTACCATACACACGGTTTTTCTTTCGCTAGAGTAACATGTCTTTTTTGTTATTATAGCATGTTCGATTACTTGCCCGAGAACAATTCCTGAAAAGAGCACTTGTCAAGAAGATCAGGAAGGTGGCTAATCTCCCACCATAGAAATGGGTCAAAGGTTATTTATATTATTCAATTCACACGTCGCATGTTATATCACATCTGGATCTCATTTTGTATAATACAAGTCCCCGTTAGAAAGGCATTACACATGCATATGTATGATTCTCTTCTTTACGTGGTTTTTTGTGTTGCTTTCGATTCGTAATACTTACCAAGCGAAGGAAGCTACAAAAAGAGACCTATGATTTTGCTCAAAGTGCGCAGACACCAGGCAAACCCCACACTCACAAGACACTACTTTCGGATATCTACAAACTTTTGCTAATCAAAATTACTGGCTAGAGCATACAAAAAACCCCATCCTCCCCACATCATTATCTTCCCTTTCAAAAGCAGTCACTCTTTGCCTTCGTATTCAATATAAGCGCAACAATCAACCCATACAGCCCCAACACCTCCGCAAAAATAAGTATCAGCACCATCCCCACAAACAATCGTGGCTGGAAGGCATACTGGCGCACACCAACATCACCGACGATTCCAATTGCGTAGCCACCTGCTAGCCCTGTCAAGCATTGTATTTAGACGGTGTGAGAAGATGCGGTGTTTCATAGACTTGACATGAGTGATTGTGCTTTCTTTTCTTGTTCATCTTTGATTTCGATGCAAACAAAAGAGTATAATGCCTCTTCACGTTTGATGGCAGCAACAATTTGTTTTGTACCTGAAAATCCACATGATAGTCCAGCAGCCATATGCACAAACCCAGCGAAGAGCGAGTATGAGTCTGCCGGGTTGAGCGAGCCTGCTATGAGGACGGATACGACGAGGCCGTATACCGCAATGATACCTATGTGACGAGAACAGGGTGTGAGTAGAACTGCAAAATATGAGTATATCCCACTATATGTGGGGATATTTTGTGTATGAGGCGTTCTGATGGGGTAGGTAAATGCCGATGTATTTGTTGGGGGCTTTTTAGCCTTCAAACATGAGAGTGGGGTGCTGTAGTATTCATCACCATACCAACAAGACCTTCGATGAGACTTTTTTTGGCTCCACGACTGATTTCAACCAGCAGCCACCAAACAAATTCAAGTGCATGCTATAACTGTAAAGCACATCCTCTCCATGCTGTAATCCATTCCCTTCTCCTCCTTCATACACCATATCTCCCCAAATCACCAAATGCCAACTCACCAGCCATAACAACAGGAATCAAACTCTTCATAATCCTATCATGAACCAACGTATCAATACATATTCATCCCAATACATAATATGTACACATACAAATCAGGTCTAAAAGTACCCATCCCCGCAATTCCAATTCCAGATTTTGCAGTTCCATAAGCAGCACCGAATGATGAAAGGATTGTCGCACTGGCCGCTCCCATAAATCCAAAAAAGGGCGCAAATGCTGGACATGCGCCTGTCTCGAGCGGGTTGACCAGGATTGTTTGGTTCATTGTTGTTGCGATGTTTGGAAGTGTAGGGAAGAATTGGCAGATTAAGAGGAGGTTTTGTTTTAAACAAGCAATACGCGTGCAAAGGACGTTACATCGTATGGGGAACGCGGCATGAACTTATTTCGCTATGCAAATATATGTGTAATTTATTTGAAGCTTCCCAAGCTCTCTTGATTTTGGATATTTAGATAAACAAATAAACATTTACAACCTCCTCCTTTTTCATTCCTCATCTCGTCTACTCTATCCCCGTATCCTGTTGATCCTGCGACAATCGATACTCTGGCTTTAATGTCCACATACCTAACCAAAAATCAACCCATTATACATTTTGTCCCATGACAATCATAACTCATGCGACATTACCATGATACGGTCCGTATTTAACCATCTTGGCAACCTCAGACAAGCATTCCCGCAACCAGCCAGAAGGTTGTCGAGTCTTTTTCTCCAACCCGACGAAATTCCAGTACTCGTGTTCACCAAATGCACCGAATAATTCTGTACGAAGGTCTTCTTTTGGGAGCTTTTCATCGCGGTCGAGTTTTGTTTTCTTGATCTGTTGTGTGTAGAGGGTGCGTGGTGAGCTACAGGGTTTGGTGTTTTTGGCGGTAGGCACAAAAACGAACGTTTGGGTAGAGCAAATGGGTGATTTCCACCGTATCAAAATCCATCGAGCCACATTCCAAAACTCCAGCATACATCAATAACCCACAAAATAATCCAAACATAACCATCAATTCACCACTTACGGCAACTTGTTTCGCCAACTTGTCCCTCGATATAGCACCCATATTTCCAATAGCCTCAGCCTCTCTCGCGACCTGTTTCGACACCATCTGGATCTTTTTCGATGACGATGCTGACCCGGACGCAGCCTCCAGTGCCATTCTGGCTTTTTTGAAGGCACGGAACTTTTCATTGGGTACTGGTTGGGCTATCGCTTCCATGACTACTTGGCCTGTTATTCCTGTTGCGGCTGAAGGTATAGCAGTGTAAGCGTAAGAAACAAAAAATATTGGAATTGTGTTTTGCTTGATAACTTGACTGCACATGCTTTGTACCTTTGGAAGCTGGATCAACAGTAAAAGAATATAGTCCACGTGGCCCAGTCTGTGTCAAATTCAGGTTATAATTCTTGGGTAGCTGTTTTGTCCATTCGGCATCTGATACTGCGAATGTAAGCTTGCGTTTTTGGCCTTTTGGGCTAGTTATAAAACAGGGTCAGCTCTCCTGTAAATCATAAAAACCTCAAACAACAGATACACATCAATAATCCTTATGTACATACACATCATGCTCAATAATCTTTCCCAACTCGACACCGCCCTTATCAAACGCAACCTGGAACTCATCAGCAAAGAATTTAGGGACCTTGAGCAGCCAGACAGGATGTTTTGCATGTTCGGTGTGTACTGTTCCGTCGGATATGACTGGTTTGATGTCTCGTTCGGGCTTGACTTCAATCATGTCGTCGTCGTCGAGGTCGTCCAGCTCTGCGTCATTGCTGTTGTAGGAGAGGCCGAGGCCTGATGGTTGGTATGTCATATGACTAGTGTATCAGAGGGTACGAGCTTGTAATGGGTTTGTCTAGCTTGGTTTTATAACGGGATGTATGATTTGAATGTTTGTGCGAGTTTGTGAAGCGACTGAAGAGCATGACGGAATGAAAAGGCGCGCTCAGTTATCTACCTATTCGTTTTTATATTTGACAAGCGATTTTATACGTGTTTTACATATTTTGGAGAGAGAGAAAGTACACCTTTATATCAATAATCATCACGTCAACGTCAACCCGTCATTCATATACTTCCCACCCCTAATTATCACGCTTCGATTCCCGTTCCCTCTTTGCCAATGCCCTCTTACGTATCCCGGCATTCAACGACGCACTATACCCAACCAAGTAAGCCTCTGGCACAAACGTCGTCATTGCCCATTCAGCCCACGAGTGGCTCCAAAACGGGGTAACATTAGGACCTTTACCAATACTAGCAATAGCAGCCCTCACATAATCCTTGGCAGTGGGTGTCGTCATGGAAGCCTTTCGTATTTTTGACATTCCCGTAGTGACAAAGTAGGTATTCAAGTGCTGGACTATAACCCCCTTGGATTTGACTTCCTGGTCGAGAGCCAGCGACCATGATTTGAGCCAAGCCTTGGATGCCGAGTAGACAGAGAGGTAGCCTGTTGGGACCTGACCTGCGAATGATCCGAGGTTGAGGATGATGCCTTTATGTTTGGCAATCATGGCTGGGAGTACGATACGGGTAATTTTCATTGTGGCTTTAACGTTTACTTGGACTATGCCATCGATGGTAGCAGCTGTTTCGTCGACGAATGGAGTTGGGATGTCATGGTTTACACCGACGTTATTTACCAATACAGTGACATTCAACGAATCAAGTGTCTTTTGTAGCGATGCATACTCGGCGTCACTAGCATTCATAAAATCAAATGCAATGACTTTACATTCGATTTTCTTGTTTGCCTTTTCTTTAGCCTCCTTTGCTACAGCATCGAGTTTAGATTGAGTGCGGGCCATGATGAGAATGTTGAATCCACGCTTGGCAAGAGCGAGTGCGAACTCTTTTCCGATTCCGTCCGAGGCACCTGTTACTATGGCCCATGCATTGTCTGCCGTGTATTTGGAGATGGAGATGGGAGATGGTCCATAGAGAGAGTATACACGAGACATGAATGTGTAGGCCAGGTTGGAGAGGTAGAGAGCTCCTGCTACGGCGAGCATGTTGGTAGCGATGGCGGTTACTGCTTGCAGCATCGTGTATATTATCCCTATCTATGGTATACTAGATGGTTGTCAAATATGTTTTGTTGGAAGTGAGTGAGCCAGTGTCAGGGCCATTCAAAGGGTACTCCAGGAGGGTACTGTATTGGTTAGACTTTCAGAGAGAAGGGTCTTGTATGCGGTAAATTCATGTATTTTCAGGTACTTTTGAACTCTCTATTCAACCTGTCATCCAGCGTTCATACACGAAAACAATTCCAAACATTTGACAAAAACAGTGCACGCGATTTCATGTATAAAGACCACATGGATTATGTACAGAACTGTTTTATATCACCAAATGACACGAAAATCATTACCCGTTGCTCTACTGAAAATGATGGCACCTCAGTCTAGAACGGGAATGTCGAATTCACGATTGGAGACAACATTGCTGGGACTCGGTTGACGGAGACTAACACAACCAAAAAGGTAAAATTTTCATTGGAGGTGCCAGCATCGTCAGGAATACACGTGAATAGTCTCTCTTGAGTCGTAATATAGTCGCACTGCTAGTTTCACTTGCACCTGTTTGCTTTGTTTTGTTTGCTTATCACGAGCAGATCACCCACGAACTAGCCCGAAAAGGCACCCATTCCATCACTCGCCACTTGAATCACATATCGACCTGCCACGCTGGCTCCCGGGGTAAGCGACTACCACAACGATTGTTATATTATAAAGGTGTTGGCTACACATTTGATAACCAATTCAATTCGATACGATGCTAGATTGATTACGCGTTGAGGGAACGGCATCATGTCGACCGCAAACATTCCCCCGTAGAGATATCAAAGGAACGGTTGCAGGATGACTCTGTGGCCAGTTACGTCAAACAACATGTTGCTGTCGTCTATTGGGTGTTTCATTCCTTCCTGTTTTTGACTATATTATGGTATGTACCCATTCATGCTGCTGCTTGCTGTTGGAGTTGGTATTCGTGAGTGAGGGATGAGGCTGTTGGTGCAAAAGTAGAGGTTTTTGGTGTGGAGTGCTTTGTGGGTCTTGTTTGGATACCCCGTTTGATTGTGTCGTCGTAACTTTACAGCGGAGGAGGGACGATACATTGCGCTGGTTTATACGATTGTGATGCAGGTGTGGAACGACTTGTGATACTGGCACAATGTGGAAGGAACCAGTGATTAGCTGGTAGTTTCAGCAGTCAGTTGCGATCTGCAAGTCAGCGAGGAAGCATTGGAATAGTGGGAGGACACAGCAGACATGTTGATCGATTGGATAGTGGAGTTTATTCCTCCCTTTATGGATACCAAATCCTTGTTTTTTGTTGGGAGTGTTGATATCAGCAACAAAGCACCTCGCACCAGCATACAGGAATCGTCGTAGCAACCAACTTATTAAGCCTATTTTCGTATAGGTGGTGTGCATGGAACTGGCAATTCTACTGGCCGGTCATAATAACATATTGGACATTTATATGGTTTGATCGACACACTCCTCATACGGGTGGAACGGATCGGTATCAGTGGGTTCTGGATTTGCCGTTATGGAGGTATGTGTCTGCAGCGATATTTTGCGTACCCTTTCTTTGTGGTTGTATGTTTCTTTCGAATATCAGTCCGCTGAACAGACTTTTCTTTAGCTGGTACGCAGACTATTTCCAAACCCAACTTGTCAGAACAACACCCCTAAATCCGCATGGAAATTATATATTTGGGTATCATCCGCATGGGATTTATGTGTTTGGAACGTAAGTGTAGAGTGTTCCTATGTGGGGTGTTGAAACGAGAGCCAGCAGAAGTTAATTTCGTGATTTCATTGCCTTGAATGACTTTTTGGCTAGTTTTTTAACTAATCTTCCTATCTCTTTTAGACCAATATTTGTCACAAACGAATGCAACTTCAAGGAATTGTTTCCAAATATTAAACTGAGGATTGGAACACTGGATGTCAATTTCAAAGTACCGATATGGCGGGAGATGCAGGTACGCCATACATACATCCAGCACAAAAAAACAGAAGAAAAATCTGGAATCATGTCTTGCCACAACTCATTCAACTCAACTTCCAACTAGTTGGCAATGAAACTGATATCGGTCTCAGCTGATTCCATCAAGAATGTGCTGAGTAAAGGACCTGGATGGTCTGTGATGATTGGTATGTGTATGATGTATGAGTTTGGTGTCGACAAATCCGCAATGCTGAGTTATGGTAACCTGTCTCGAATGCTTTTTTTTTCCTTAATCCCAATAGTCATTGGTGGAGCACAAGAAGCGTGAGTATCTTTGGATCTTGCTGTGCATCTTGGGAAACCTTTTCTGCACTATTGAACTTTCCACCGTCGTTTTGAATAATCGTGACGCCAAAAAAAAAAAACCATCTGCACACCACGCTGGATCGAGCTAGCCCTCAACATCCTCTGCTAATATTTCAATTACTTATTTGTAGGATGTTATCATACCCTGGCACTGCAGATCTTGTCTTGAAACGGCGGAAGGGGTTTGTTAGAGTCGGTATTCAGACTGGAGCGGCGCTTGTGCCTGTCTTTACATTTGGAGAGAATGATTTATATTATCAGGTATAAAAAGTTGTGTTTTGCGGTCACATTGAACGAATCAGAGGCTTCGTCTGGTGGTGCATGGAGCATTTGAGCTGAAAAAAAAGCCCGCGGCTACCAGCACCCATGTTGCTAACAACAATTTTATGTTTCAACGTATAATTAGACAACCCCAGAACGAAACCCAAAAATCGCATCCCTCCAATCCTGGTTTCAGAAAGCAACAGGCTTCTCATTCCCATTCGGTATGGGCAAATTCGGATGGATACCGTTACGGAGGAAGATTGTGTCTGTTGGTATGTTTCCTCCATTCCTTCCTCGGTTGCAAAAGATTTTTTTGCTGTATGCCAACGCATTTCTTTTTCTTTCCAGTCGGAGCACCAATCCACGTAATAAAACAAGACAACCCATCACAAGAATACATTGATGAATTGCATGCCAAGTATATTCAGAGTCTGGCTAAACTGTACGATACGTACAAGGACACGTATGCGCCGAATCGGATACGGGATATGAGGATTGTTGGATGAGGAGGACATGTAGAGAGGGAGAGAGAGGTAGAGATGCATTGTGGAGTAAAGTGTAATTAAGGCGCTGGACGTTTATATACCGGAGAACCTCGATTTCGGGTACTTTTGTAATTGTAGAAATAACATGTTGAAATGCTGTTTGAAGGCACATAGAGGACTTGTTCGAAGCAAGGTTTTCTCGGTCATCGTGTCTATCCAAGATAAGAATAGTAAGTATCATTGATGAAATATGAGAGTGATCAGCAAAACAAAAACCAGTGTTGTAACACATACCTTTCCCCTTGTTGTATCCCCTTGTATCCCCTTTCTCCTCGTTGTATACAAAATATGTTCAATCGGAAAAACGCGGCGTATGTCAGCATTTCAACATTCAAAGTGCCTGCTCCACAGGAAGTCTTCACCAATTATTATCACATTGCCATCAAAAGTCACGTCTGATCCAATTGCAGAGTTCACAGCAGCACATACCTTGATGATGAGCTTGCCTCGTTCGACACCTCACAGGTCTTTGTTTGCAGGTAAGACTGCAAAACATTTCAAAGAAACCAGAGTGAAAAAACGTATGTCTTGGTGTAGATAGAGTGAAAAAACGTATGTCTTGGTGTAGATAGTCTCTTTATTTGTATACAACACAATATCCTCGCTCTCTCTCTCACTTGCTCAATGTCCTTTCCTAGTTCTTAGAACGAGACAAGGATTTTTTCACGGTCTTGACAATAGCAGATGTATCCGGCAGTGACAGATCTTCAAGGTTTTTGGCATATGGCATGGGTATATCAGCACCCGTCACTCGATACACTGGAGCATCCAAATAATCAAAGGCTTCACCTGATAAAAGCAAGAAAAAAGTTACAGACGGTCCTGATGGGAAAATTTGTGGCATTACAGTGTATACAAGATCCACTGGTTCAGTCACAGAACACAGTGTGCACTATAAGGCATTGATGCCAAACATTTGCGCAAAAATAGGGAAGCGGCGGTTGTCTATTCAGGTAACTTGACTTACTCTCCATGATTGAAGCAGCGATTTCTGATCCCACACCAAAGTGAGGCCATCCACCTTCAACTGATATAAGATGGTTTGTCTTTTTCACTGAAGTGACAATGGTTGGAATGTCAAGTGGTCGTATGGATCGTAGATTGATGACCTAGTGAAAATGAATATTTAAGATGAATTGATTACTGCTCGGAACAAGATCGATGAGTGTAAACGAGCGGTGATGATACACATAGTTGATTCGCATATGATAACAGTTCTGGCTTGTTTGTCACTCCGATTTTTTGGTGCCTACCTCTGCTGAAATGCCATCCTTTTCTAATATTTTGGCGGCTTCAAGTGCAAAATGGACTGCTCGAGAATGAGCAACGATTGTGATATGTTTGCCTTTCGTAAAATATAGACGTCAAAAACTTACACCTGGCCAAAAAAGGGATAGACGGAGTATACAAATTGGTGAACATACCATCTCGTTCAATCTTAGCCTTCCCAATAGGCAGCACAAAGTCCTTATTCATAACTTCCTCACCAACATCAAACGAAACACCATACATGACTTCATTTTCCAACACGACAACAGGATTTGGATCTCGAATGGCAGCCTTCATCAATCCTCGAGCATCTTCGGCTGAATATGGAGATATGACTTTGAGACCTGGTATAGATCCATACCATGCTGCAAAACATTGAGAATGTTGAGCACCGACTCCTGCTGCTGCTCCGTTTGGTCCACGGAAGACGATGGGACATGATAGTGTTCCACCAGACATGTACCGTGTCTTTGCTGCTGAGTTGACGATGTGGTCGATGGCCTAAAGTGCCAAATATGGTGTTGGTACGAGGACAAAATAGTTTCTGTTGCGATGTGGCGCTTCTTTGCGTTTGAGGCCCGAGTAATGCCTTTCTTTTTCCTTTTCGTGTCTTCCCACAAGATGAAAAACCGTCGCGAGAAACTAGTTTGGCTTAAATCAAACTCAGGTTTACCTGCATAGCGAAATTGAAGGTCATGAATTCACAAACAGGCCTGAGACCTGCAAGAGCAGCACCAACAGCCAGACCAGTAAAACCCATTTCAGTGATGGGTGTATCAACCACTCTTTGATCACCAAACTTTTCCAACAATCCCTTAGTGATCTATTGCAAAGTTTGGTGTGTGTGAGATATGTATGAGATAATTTTCGACAACATTGGTAGATGCGATAATATGTGCACAGTACCTTGTAAGCACCATTGTATTGAGCAACCTAAAGAAACGTCAAAAGAGAGAGCGTCAACAAAAAACAAATTAAGGACTGGATGCATGATATGTCAAACTTCAAAGTGTCAGGTAGAACATGTCCAACTGACCTCTTCACCGATTATAAACACTTTATCATCACGGGTCATTTCTTCTTCTAATGCCGAGTTCAGAGCATCACGGACTGTAATCTACAATATGTCAAGGGTGATTTGGTTTAGTTTGACACTTTGACGTGCTTCCGTTGGCAGATACGGTAAAATACTTTAAATTCAACAGTGAAACATAGAGATTTGTTCAAAGATCTATATCTTTCCCAAATCTACAAAGCTTCCTCCATTCAAAATCTTGACATGAAGTCCAAAATGCCACCGTATGTCAATGACCAAAACAAAGCAATATAGAAATCCCAGCGATTCGATACGTGTAGAAATGTAAATCCCCTTCTACTTGCAATCAAATCCGCCGGCAATCAAGTTGTAAAGCTTGCAACAATCGAATATAATCTTACAGAATGTCCCGATGAAGAAGAGGAAACTGCCCTTATTGAAAATCTGGCTGGCTGAGATACATATCGAGCTGTATGTCTGACTCCCTGTCTAAGTACTCTATATAACATTATTGCTCGCTCCCGTATAGATTGTCAAAGTCAAGCAAAATTGTGAATGTAAGTACAGTTGGCGTGAACAGCACGTTGACATAAGGACAAGCCATTGGGCAGATCAAAATCTTGGGTTATCTAGGCTTTTAACGCGTTCCTGATCCATTTCCGTACCGTGTTTCGCTCGAAATCGTCGAGACGTTGACATTGAGATCAGATTCAGTGCTTGCATTAACAAATTACATTGTTTATCTCGGAAACGGGAAGCTATAATTCCTACACACCACACCTGGCAAACTACTTTGAATCCATACAAACACGATCATCACATTCACCTCGTTACTTGTTTACTGCCAATATGCAACCCATTCATAATACATCTCCATCCTACTGTTATCAACGTCAAAGGTATCGACGGCCCAATCAACTATGCATTTTAATGTTCACATCTGGAACTTCCTTCTGCAAATTTGTACTAGCATGACCCAGGCCTTAACGAAAATTGTGCGACTTTGCGTTTTGACTATTCAAGTTGGGAGCTAATGCCTTCAAGTCTAGTTGCAAACAGTCGTCATGACCATACCAATACACTGACAAGCTGCGAAGCGTTTCAGCGAAGCGTGTTGTTGCTACCTTATAAAAGGCCTCCTCGGTTTTGATCCTCACACTGAGAGATTCATGGCCACAAGCTAGAGGCGACGTATAGAGTGTATCATTTGGCATACAAACTATACCCCAAATGGCCTGGAGGTACTTCAGTCTTCGACTGGTTTGAGACCGCCACTTGGGAGTTAATTTCGTCTGGGTCTTGAACAATCAAACCAAGGGTCAGGTGGCAGAGAGTATTCTACAAGGAATGTAGGACTACATGTCTCTTACGGAGTAGATGTACTGATAGACAAGCAACAATCGGCTGGTCGTCGACTCGCACTATGGCAAGCAGTAAACAAACCAGCACTGTTGCAAGTCCTACATACAACCCCAGACAGGAGTCGAGACGCTTCAGTTTCAGACCCGCTCAAGCGCCTTTTAGCTTACTTCTGCCACCCCGTTGTGGTCCGGAAGTACTTGTTCCTGGGTTTATGTGGGAGGCCCCCAGTGGATGGTCTAGTAGAGTGTGGGTCGAGCGTTAGTTGATTATTGTGATGTGTGATCTTCTTTGATAAAACAAGCGATACAGGAAGCAGCATCGTTGAATACCTTTGCATCCACTGGCCAGTGGTTGTATATTTTGTACTGAAGACGACGAGATCTTGGTCGTGAGACTCCAAGATTAGGCTTGTTGTTCATCACTGTAGTACATATGAACTAAGTAATATACAAAATAAAAAGTATCAGCGATGACAGTCGTATGAAACTCGCTTCTTGGTCCCTTATGGTTCCAGAAGATGAGACACTCCACTAGCCGCCGACAGTGGGTATTGGAGTGCAAACAAGAAATAAAGTGATCAAATTACAGTAAATAACACGATTGGGTCAAATTGCGCCTCTTGAGACCTCCTGCGGCTCGCTGAGGCAAAATTGGCAACCCAATATGACATCAGCAAAGAAGCATCAGCAAGTAATCCAACAAACCTTCAACCAAACTCTCAAAGTGCTAGTCACAACTATAAATGTCAACTGTCAAGCAATCTTATCTCAGTGGTCGTGTAAACCCACATCTGAAGGAAACTTGATTTGGTCCAGAAATGTGGGCTTCATTTCGATGTTGGATGTCACTTGGAACCAGAGATAGAGGACATATATAGATGGATAGAGTGCATATAATAGCATACTGCTCGAAGATCTAAGAAGAATACATTGAATGTTAGAAGTTATTCAACATTTTGAAAACACAACATTGATTGCCGCAATACATTCCGAGACTTACCAGCATATATAAAGGAGGAGAGAGAGAGATGATGTGGCATGATGTGCTATGTGGCATCATGTAGAGCACTTGCGTCCTTGTATCAGGCAGTAGATCTTGATGTCGTTGTTGGGATGTTGGGATTGAATGATGGAAGGTGTCTACGTAAATCCCACCTTTTATAGTCTCAGGTGCGCAGCCACGATTCAAATCAAAACAACATAAATCGATTTCATTCGTTGGGATGCGACAGATCAAAATCAAATTTGCTGCACGGTAGGCTTCGTTCATTTGACCACTGTAGGATCATATCTTTACAATAATGTCAAAGGGCGTCCAAACGATGCAGGCTGATGTTGCTGAACGAATGAAGAGGACTCAACCAAGCTACGCCAAGTTACTCCTACATCGCCATGACAACTGTTCTTCTTGTCTTTCCCAAAATGGTAAAATTTTGTATGTGGTTGGCTGGACGTAGTCAAGGATTCAGAGTGGAGTACTATGCTGAATAATGTATTCAATGCTTTCAAAACAGCTCAATACCTTGTCGCCAGTTACTTGGACGCATCTGCGTCTTTTGTCGGAAAATCGACCAATGAAAAGCCCAACAGGAAAAAATAGACGGAGTGGTGAAAGAGGGATAGCCAGCCGACCATTACTGTCACAAAACTTTTTTCTTCCCTTATTAAAATTCTAGAATATACAACATACCCATTATCGTCATGCACCGCACATCTATTCTCTCCATTATGATGTTTCTGGTAAGGTCACCGTAGCCACTTGGTTGCTTCAATACGGCGCAGAACCGAAACAAAATCCATTTTTATCTAATATTGAAATCATTTGAACCATCGTACATAGTTTGGATACTTCTATCCATTCGGATTTTTCAACCTCCCTGACTATGCAACACATGGTCCAATTAGTGCGGCATCTTTGCCGGTGATGTATCAAGTCTGGATCACATTTGGAATCTACCTGCTTGTAGTCACTGCAACCTTGGTGTTTCTATCCTCGAAATACGCTCCAAGCAAACTCAAGCAGTTCATGTCTGCTCGTATCTTCAAGAGTTCCCTCATGCCTCACCTCAACGTCGCCGAAGCTCTGAATTTCATCCTTGTTGCAATCGTCATGGCCATCAATTTTGTGTTGTGGTATCTATGGCGTGTAAGTTAACTTATGATTGATGACGGGCGAGGGGTTGGATACAAAGATACAATTGAACATTTTTTCATTCACAGAAAGATCGCTTGTCTGCCAAAAATCCGCCAGGGATTACGTGGTCGGCTGCCTTCACTGCTTCTGGTAGGAATCTTTCTGCACATGCTTCCAACATTGTTTAACAGTCTCACCATTCGCGATTGATTGATAGCGCACTGGTGCGATGTGGCTTTGGGACTTGCTATAATTCCAGTCTCAAAGTACTCTTTCTTAGTACGGGAGCTCAAAGTCTCTGTCAGCGCTGCCGTTCGCTTCCATCAATGGGTAAGCTATCAGCTGTGATTATCGACGATGCTCTGTTTGGTAAACCAACATTGACTGTTCTCGCACCTGCTGTTAGATTGTGAACTTTCTTATTACCGCTGTGATAGTGCATGGTATCATCACTTGGGGTGTCTACACGTCTTTACAGGCTCCACCACAAAACACTGTAGCATATCAGTACTTTTCTATTGGTGATCCAGCTGCTTTCAACAAGTGGACAAGTCGAAGGTACCCTCTACCAAAGCAACCCGATGTCCCTGGGTCTACTCATAACTCAATAACTCTAACACCTCATTTAGTTTCACATTTATGTTTGGAATGATTGCCTTTTTGATTCTGCTCGTAATGAGAACTTTGGCGCTACCGATAGTTCGACGTCGCCTTTACGTCCTATTTGTAGTCCTACACCCTTATCTTGCTATCTTTCTCATTGGCGTTACTGCCATTCACGCATCAACTAACGGATATTATGCACTTCCCGGAGTTGGTTTATACGTCGTGGAGCTGGCATGTCGTCTCGCCGCTTGGTTTAACGAGACCCTTATGGCTACTGCTACAATTGAAGACTGCCAATACGTTCGTCTTGATGTTCCTATTAAGAACAAGTGGCAAGCAAGTCAATGGTCTCATATTCATATACCTTCAATTTCGCATATTGGACATCCATTTTCGTGAGTGTTTGTTGATTTGTCGCCTCACATGGAATTGAACACTGATTCACATCCGCCTTGCCGCCGTTTCTAATAAGTGTCAGCAAAATCCACAACAACACTGCCACATTCATTATCAAACCATCTCGAGGTTTCACTAAGAAACTCTACGAGTCTCTATCCGAGAAGCTCACGCATGACTTGCCCGTCAAGATCTCTGCTCCGACAGGCGGGATGACTTTTAACTTTGATGAGTGAGTTCTTATATATTAGAGCAGCTCGTTTCCGATTTCTAAAATCTTTGTTTACTTTTAGAGTTGATTCGTTGGCTGTATTTGCTGCTGGATCAGGAATAACAGCAGCGTTATCTGTAGTATCATCTTGGTTGGATGATGGATCACACACTGGGCACGTTTTTCTGTTTTGGGTTGCTCCTTCTCGGGAGCATCATGGACTTAGTTTACTGAGTGGTAAAACTATCGTACTTGGGTCTGTTTGCAATAATTTAACGACCCTTTTACAGAACTGAAGAATCGTAATGATCCTCGTCTTCATCTCGAGTTGTGGGCTACGCGTCTTTGTGAGTGAATTTGTACAGTGCTATACCTTTTCGTATTAGCTCAATCCACAAATCTGAACTTTTTTCATCGTGAAGATAAAGTGAACCTGTTGAAGAAAGACGAGATACCTTCCGCTGCTACAGCACAAGTATTTAGTGCTCAAGGTATGAGCTGGATTGCTATTGTGCTTGAAAGGTGCATCATATTGCTAACTACGACGAATCTCTATAGAGCTACTTTATAATATGGTTGTTCCTGCAATGCACCCTGGTGACGTCTTGGGTGGATATGTCTGTGGGCCGTCTAGTTTTACTAGTGACATACAAAACGCATTCGATTCCTTGAAGATTGTCAGTATGGTTCATGTGGAAGGATACCAGTGGTAGCTCGTAACATATACCTGTACTTATAAGTATCACATTAGACGTTGCTGCTAGATTATTCTTTTCTTTGTTTTAAGGGTTGATAGAAGGGAAGACAAGGTCTAATTACAGCTGACTCGTTCTTGGTTCGAGGCCAAAGATTTTTAAACAGTGTTTGAGGTTTGGTTTCAATTTGATCCGCTTGAGTTCTTTACGATGACTGTACTTTTAGGTGTTGTTCGCGTTGATTTATTCTTGCTGTCGTGGTATCCCAGAAGCAAGGCACAGTTGAATATTTCAAATTTCTGGAAGCCCGTGTAGGCCTGCTTTCCTATGAGACTCAGGTGGGAGTACCCTCTCAAATAACTTTCGAATTTGAAATTGTAAGGGACGCAAAATGAAAGATCATGTTGAAATCACTCCCGAGCCATAAATAAGATACGTATTCTAATTGAAAAGAGAAATTTCGTTCTACCAACTCCAGTCGTTCTGTCGTCAACCTTTCCAAACTGTGTATTGGTGACAAATGTTAAATGTTGTAATCGCGTGGGAGTGTAAACCTCGAGAATGGCTTACCCACCCCAGGCTCAAATCGCGTCAACGTTAACTTCAAAATCGGGGTCGGAGAACCAACCAATAGTAAATCACCCAGTGAGCTCATCTCTCAAGCCAGGGACCTCGGGCTCTCCAACATCCAACATCTCCAACTTTCATTTTCAATTCTTGCGAAAGATAAAGGAAACCGAGAAAATTTTCCTCTCAAAGTCTGAAACTTCTAAATTCAATATTCATGGCTCGCTGGACGTCCGTCGCTTCGATCATCTTGTTTCTGGTAACAAATTGCGTCTTGTTTACTTTATTTCAACGTTTCAGCACAAGTGGAGGACCGAACCTCATCAATCTGGTCTAATTTTGAATCATTTTAATCTCATTTCTATTGTAGTTTGGTTACTTTGGTCCGTTTGGATATTTCCGCCTCTATGACTACACCACACATTCGGCAATCAACTCATCATCAGTACCTGTGATGAATGAAGTATGGATTACATTCGGCGTCTACTTGTTCCTAGCTCTCGGAGCCTTGGTATTCCTGTCATCAGATTATGCACCAAAAAAAGTCAAACAGTTTATGGGTGCTCGTGTTTTCAAGACTTCATTGATGCCTAACATCAATGTGGCCGAGACCCTCAATTTCGCGCTTGTTGGGGGCGTCATGACTGTCAATTTTGTGTTGTGGTATCTATGGCGTGTAAGTTACCTGTGATTGACCTTTTTGATAAGGAGAGTTTGGACAAGCACTTAACACGAGTTTTGTCTCGTTTACAGAAGAATCGCTTGTCTGCAAAGAATCCACCAGGAATTACATGGTCTGCTGCCTTCACTGCAGCTGGTAGGAATGTTACTTCCTTCTATATTATATTCTCGCTCAAAAGTTGGTGACATCCTCACTATTTGCCATGAATAGCTCACTGGTGTGATGTTGCTCTTGGGCTAGCCATTATTCCAGTCTCAAAATATTCTTTTTTGGTACGAGAGCTCAGAGTATCTGTCGGTGCTGCTGTGCGCTTTCATCAATGGGTAAGCTTCCAGAGGGCTTCTTTCTTCTTTTTGCCTATGTCTCTCTGTGGATCCTCACTAACCTTGCTTTCTTGACCTATTTTAGATCGTAAACTTTCTCATTGCAAGCGTGATAGTGCATGGCATCATCACTTGGGGAGTTTACACCTCGCTACAAAAAGCACCACAAAACACTATAGCATATCAGTATTTTTCAATTGGCGATCCAGCCGCTTTCAACAATTGGACAAGTCGAAGGTATTGCATTTTGACTAAAACTATCTATTTGACAAGATCTCTAATACGTTTCATACATTTTACATAGTTTCACCTTCGTGTTTGGAATGATTTCCTTTTTGATTTTAATTCTTATGAGAATTATGGCTCTACCGATTGTCCGACGTCGGCTCTATGTCGTATTCGTAGCCACACACTCTTATTTGGCACTCCTTCTTATTGCATTGACTGTCATGCATTCATCAACGAATGGGTATTACGCACTTCCTGGGGCTGGTCTTTACTTTGTTGAGCTGGTTGATCGTTTCTTTGCCTGGTTTAACGAAACAATTATGGCCACTGCTACCATAGAAGATTGCCAATACATTCGTCTTGACGTTCCAATCAAGAACAAGTGGCATCCAAGTCAATGGGCTCATATTCATATACCGTCAATCTCATATGTTGGACATCCATTCTCGTAGGTGTTTGGTCGAGTACTTCGTTAGTGCACTGTACTGACTTATGCAATTGGTCAATTCCTTTCTCAGTGTTAGTAGGATCCACGATGGCATGGCCACGTTTGTTATCAAGCCATATCGAGGATTTACCAGGAAACTTTTTGACTCGATTGCTGAAAAGAGCACACAGAATTTACGAGTCAAGATTGCTAACCCAACTGGAGGCATCAATTTCAAAGTAGATCAGTGAGTTCGCATACGTCAAAGTCGTCCTTCTTTTTTTTTGGTCGCTAAAGATTTTAAATTTATCTGCAGAGTCGACACACTAGCTGTATTCGCTGCTGGATCAGGAATTACATCAGCCTTATCCGTCGTGTCATCTTGGTTAGACGACGCTTCACATAGTGGTCGCGTGTACCTGTTCTGGGTTGCTCCTTCTCGTGCTCATCACTCACTTAGTGTACTGACTGGTGAGTTGAATCCCCGCTGATACTGGCTGGGTTTTGATTCCAACGCGATTTTGTAAATTGGAATCGTTTTCGCAGAATTAATGAACAGTAATGATTCTCGTCTCCATGTCGAGTTATGGGCTACACGTCACTGTAAGTGTCTTTCAGTTGATTGATTTACTTGTTTGTTTTTTGCATGCAAAGCTAACACTTATCGTCTAGTTAAAGTCAATCTTTCTAAGGCTGGAGAAATTCCACCTGCTGCTGATACGCCACAAACTTTTGATGCTCAAGGTATGTGAAATATGGGTCAGTTCCTGTAAAGTCTTCAAAACACAAACAAAACGTCTAAACAATCTTCAACAGAGCTGCTTCGTACTACAGTCTTACCCTCATTGCGCTTTGATCAAATCCTGGGAGGATTTGTCTGTGGACCTTCTGGTTTTGCTAGTGACGTACAAATTGCATTCGATGATTCCAAGATTGTCAGTCTGGTTCATATTGAAGGGTATCAGTGGTAGCTATTCATTAGTAAGAGTCACGATTGGCAGGATGCTAGACCACCTGCTGTGTGTCTGTGTGTTTTCATATGTACAAACGTAAACCAGACTCTTTTGGCTAGAAGGAACGAACACGAACTACTAACCATAACCTGAGTCTAATTTACTTTTTACAATGTATTCCATTATATAGATAAAAACCACCTTTACATTACAAACCATTCTCCGGCCTTCACTACGCGCCTCCAGCAACCGGAGGCACAGTATGCTTCAACGACGGCTCCTTTATCAACTGCTGTATCAAACCCGGTGCCAGCTCGTTCTTAGTGAGAGCCTCTTTAACCATCAGTGCTCGCTCCTTCTGTCTCTCTAGCGCTTTACCCAGCCTCTGGTTTGCTGCCACGACTTCCTTCAGTCGTGCTTTCATTTGTGCATTCTCAGTCTGTAAATTACTATTGTCTGGATGCAGACCCGGGATTGTTATAGGTGCATCGGTTTGGACTTCAGTCGTTGTCGTTGGGACATGAGTAGTGCTCGCAGTTTGCTGTTGTTGCACGTATTCTATCTCCCGTTTACGCATATCAACCACATCACGTAGCAGAGATGCAGCCACTACACGTGCTTCTCGAACTGATGAAGATTTCTAGGACCAAAAAAAATAATTCAAATGTCAGCACATGAATGCAGCTTTGCGTCCAACATCTTTCACAAATTCTTCAATTGCACATCAATACTTACCAGCCGAGTTAAAATCTCAACAGCATGCTCATCATCTCCAGCTAACTGAATCATTGTATCAAACTTGTCCAGATCTTCTGTCGACATGGGCTCGTCAGGACCAATTGTATCAACCGTCTCCACATCATTGCCAACACTATAATCGGTGTCAATTAAAGCGCGTCAGCGAGATCATAATCCAACAAAAAAAGGCCACGGAAACTATATGAATACCTGACAGAGCGCATCTTGGCTGAATCAACCCGTGGTTTACGACTAGAAGCAGCAACAACCTCATCCGTCTTTCTGTCCAATTTCTTACGTTGCATCTCAATGGCAACCTCTAACGACCGAATCTTTTTACCATCTTCGTCGTGTTGTTTGGCATGAGCTGCTACTTCTCGTGCTCGTCTATTGTCTAGCTCAGTCAACTTTTCCGTATCTAATTACATAAGATTAGGTGAATAACAATGATAGTGCAAAAGAGTAGAGCTGCAACCAGATATAAGGACTGTTTTGTCGTTTTTTGCCTACCATCTTTCTGCCGTTTCTTAAACACAGCAACTTGTTCCTTCAACTTATCAACCTCAGCCTGCAAATCAGTAATCTTTCGATCCGTTTGATCCTTGTCTTTGGCATGTTTATCCAAATCCTTTTGTCGAGCCTTAAATTTCAATAGCTAAAAAAATGAAAAATCTCTGCGTCATTATTGATTTTCAAAGAGAATTACTTTTCTCAAACAACACAACATACCTGTCCCTCCAACAACCTCACTTTCCGATCATGATCCCCACTCGTCTTTTCCTTGAGGGCTTCTCGCTCCTTGATATCATCGAGCAATCTCGCAATCTCCAGTTGTGTGCCGTCTAAATCCTTTTCGAGTTTGTATACTTGCTCCGCATGCTGATGGCGTAATTGGACCATCCTGAAACGAAAAAAACAACCATTGTTAAGGAAGAAATCACTTTTAAACAAACAAAGACACAAAACTTACTCTTTATTCACTCTCGAAATCTCTCTCGCCAGTTCACCTTTTGATTTGACAGCGTGAGCCAGATCATGCGCAAGTTGCTCATCACCTTGCATTACTGTTGGTGCATTGACAATTCCACCAGTCAAATCATTCAAGGATGGCATGCGACTTGTCTGGTGGCTGGATTCTGCATTCATGGCATTTCGATCATCCGCAGAAGCATTACTATAAATGCGTTTATGACAAGAAGAATGAACAAGTTGAAGCGAAAACCACGTAAATTTGAGAGAATAATTCCACACCTTATGTGAACAGTAAACACATCTTCTGGATCATTCCTCGTCACGGCGCTTTCATCATCCTGTCAAGAAAATTGAATATTGGTTAACGTGCTCGCCCCAAGAATTCAACGCATTATGTCGTCACATCACATACATGATCATGCTCAGCAGCCATCTGCAGCGCCTCCAAAGACTGCAACGCTCTCCTCAGCGCAGGCTTAACATCCTCCAAATCCGCACGTCCCGATTTCGTCTCTGTACTTGCATCAACCATCATCATAGACCTCGCCAAATCACCATTTACTACTGACCCTCCAACACGCGAAACAGACCTCGACAGCGTCTGTCTTAACGACACATTCTCCAACTGCAATTCAGCATTAACTCGTTCAAGTTTAACAACATCCTTCTTCTTTTCTTCAACTCGTGATTCTTCTTGTAGTAAGAGTGTTTTGGCATGCTCTAATTCTTCTTCGAGTTGTTTGGCACGTCGTTCGATTGTTGAAGTTGTGGCTGGGCGTCGTGGTGGTGACGGATGTAATGGTTCGGCGGCTTCAGCGATTTTGGCAGTGGATTGGGCTTTAAGACGGCGTAGCACGCGGGGGTTTGGTTTTTGTGGTGCCTGAAAAGTCAAGCGAAAAAGGTCGGGATTGAAAAAGAATGGTTTAGTACGAGACAACTCATACCTGCTGCACCTGCTTGCTCGCACTCTCAACAGCCTGCTCTTTATGGTCAGTCACATTCTGTTGTTGCTGGCCAGGCCGATACTTTTGGATTATCCCAGATATAAAATCAGGAAGCTGGGTGGCCATTGATACCACAAAGTCGACAATTTGGTGCAAATCAGACTGGTAGGTTTGTATCGTGGTTTGATTGGTGTCAGTGGTAGACTCTAGTATCTGTCTTAATTCCGTATTTGAGATCTCGACGTCCTGCCATGAAAAAAACCGGTCAATGTGGAGAAGAAACGTGATTTGACAATCACATACCACCAATCTCTGCTGAAGCGTTACGAGATCAGCAGCCAGACGTTCTTTTTCCGAATTGGCTACTTTAAGAGCTTGTACAGCGTCTGTAAACGAAATAAAATAAATTTCCATCTTTGGCAAGAAATATTAGACTACTAGATCATGAAGAAACAGGGTCCTACTTGTCCCTCGTATAGTCCTACTCCTCAACTCATCAACAAAATGCTGCATCCACTGACTATCATTCGACGTCGATCTTGGCAATATTGGTCTCACCACAACGTCTTCAGCACTGTTATCACCCGTATGTGCAAACACTGGATTTACAAATGATGGCTGAATGGTAACCATTCGTTCCTCGTTGGTATTATTAGTGGTATTTGATGGCTTGTCAGGCGATGCAGATTGTTGACGCCGAGTTTCTTCCTCCTCTTCATATCGTTTCAGTCGATCCTGTAAGAAATCGACTCGTTGTTGCATGGATGCGAGTTTTGCGGCGTTGTGGTTTACAGTGTTGATTACGGGTTTGTTTTTTATCTTTTTGGCGCGGTATGCGTACCTGTTATTGTAAAGAAGAGTGATGTTAACGTTTGAGGCGGGCGGCAAAACAAAGCGTCACAAGAAAATGGAAAATTACTTTAAAGTGTTGAGCGTCTCATCATGATTGTCTTCAGTAGGTGAAACACAAGCAATCATGACGGTCTGTGCGTTCCCACCCAGCGAATCCTGCAACAGCCTCGTCAATTTAGAATCCCTGTAGGGCACATGTTTCTCAGTTGACGTTGGTTCAGCGCCCAACACACTAATAACGTTTCCAAGAGCCAGCAAACCTGTATTGATCTAGAAGAAAACAGATTATAAGCCGTCCAGTGGAAACACAAAAAAAGCCGCAATTACCACTGACCAATGTGTACCCACCTTAACAGCTTCCTTCAACCTAACACCCTCCGCACCCGTCCTCTTCAACCTCTCACTCCCCGCAAGATCCACAAGATGCAGTTTCGAGCATCTCAAAACCACATTCTCAGCCGGCGCAACTTCATCGTCATCGGCAATATCGGTTCCAGCAACATACGAAGAATCAATGCGTTCCTGTAACGTGACTGTATATATAGCGTGCGACCGTGATGACGCGCCGTGGATTTTGGTTTCGGCTGTGGTGCGTTCGATGGCTCCAGCTTCGAGACACGCGAGCATATCTTCGGGGGAGGATACGATTTCTTCGTGGACGTTTTGGAGTGTTATGCCTCCGTGCTTGTCTTCCCGGACGAATATTTCTCGGGTCTCGGGTACCAGGAGGTCTCGGAGTTGTTCTTGGTAGATCTCGATGACTAAAAAGTTGAATAAAGAGATTTGATGTTGTTGCAATTATTTTATTTTTTTGGTATGAAAAAGAGAAAGATCATACATGAGACTTTGAGCACGAAATCGACTCTTGGATCCACTTGTTTCCTCAGCTATCAGATATCATTGTTTAGATTCAGAGAGCGTCACATCCGCAACAAAAAATGAAGTTTGTTTTCGATGCATACCGCCAGTTTCTGAAATATATGATTCGTAACCCTCGGCACAACACCACAATCAAACTCAACCGTATCCGCTGTATTCGACGTCCCCATCGTAAACGTCTTTCCTGATCCTGTTTGACCACTACAATTAAAAACAACCGATTAGACACCATACCAAAAACAAGACAACGGAATTTCTGAAAATGCTTTCAAAAAGCACATACTATGCAAACACAGTAGCATTATACCCATCGGCAAACCCATCGACAATATGCGATATCGAGTCATACACATCTGCCTGCGATGAATCCATTCCAAAGACAGAATCAAAAGCGAATAGTCTAGGTTCAGGTGCATTTTCCTTGGCTAGTTGGACTTGTGGTTGTCCCGGGGTTTGAGATAGACAGAGTTTTCTGGGCTGCAGTGGTGGACGGATCTAGTTTGTATTTTAATGTTGGGGTTAGATCAAGATGCTAGACCTTTACTTTAAGCCAAGACAATGAATAAATTGAAGTGCTTACACGAACGATTACTTGGACTGGACAGTCCTGGATTCTGCGGTGGCCTTCTTCTACTTGCTAAGAAACCATTAAAAAAGATTGGGATTTTAGTTCAACTTGATTGTTTCATTTCTTGCGGATTTAAGCACCAAAGATCAATTGCAAGCATGTAGAATTTGATAGATCTACTCACCATGTCGTCCGCCATGGCACAGATCTATCAGGATCTAAAACTTCAAGGCCCCTGCTGAGAGTTGCAAAATGTGCGGAAGTGAGAAAACGTGCACAAAAAGAGCTGCACCATTTGATCCGCTTATACGGTACATATCGATAGGTATATATTTCATTTGCTTTACATGATATAAAATCCTCTTTTCGTGTAATATGAGAATCAAGAAAAACTAGCAGCCTTTGAAAAAACAATACAAGCCTCTTTGTAAAATTGCAATGTCCTACTAAGCGACAATCTCTAATGGAACACCTGGTGCATACGTATTTTTGTGTGCGTCATATGCAGCATGGAGAGCTGCGACATAGTTGTGCCAGACTTCATCAATGTATTCTGTTGATGGGTTGTCTTGTTTGATGACCGCTACGGGTGCGCCAACTAAAAGCAAGGTGGATTGGTAGGCTCTATGGTGATTTTTTTGGATCCAGATGGAATTCGGAATCAAACAACACTTACTAACAATAGCAAGCTGAACCTTCCTCGGCATAGTAATGAATGGAATCTGGCCATAAAAGATAAGATTGACCCATCCGAAATTGCGCTTAAACCAAGCATGGTACTTGGCAATGACTGGCCCTCGTAGTTGCCAAAAGCAGTCGTTTTCACCAAAACAGAAGACTGGTACGAGTGATGCACTATAGATTGGTTTGAATGTTCATGAGCAAAAAAGCTTTACAAATCAAGCCGCAATGTTGTGAATTCCAACTTTTACATACCCAGTTCGAATGGCAAGCTTCACAAATCCCTTTCTCTTCTTGAGCACAAGCTTGTTTTGTCCTGGGTATGCGTATAGCGCTTCTTCTGCACCTCCTACTACAATCATTGCAGAACGTCCTGGACCCGATTTGGTCAGGATGTGTGTCAAAGATCTATGGAAAAAAAGTCAGTGACGTTTGAATACAGGTCCAGACTCCTTTTTGGCTTTTTGCGCATACTTTGCAGAAACAGATACGAGATTGAATGCGAAATTCCATTCGCGCCAAAAGGGCACATTGAAATTAGAATCCAATGTTCCAGTCTTGATGTCAATGCCGGGGAAGAGTTCCTTGAAGTTGCAGTATGGGCTCTGCACAGATACGGTGGCGCCTAGACCATATATGCCATGTGGTGCGTATGCCATTAGATAATTCTAAGCAAAAAAATTGCCGTTGAGCCAGACCCATAATTTGGTTGGGAAGGTTGACATGTGTTGCGAGCTTGCACACACCTTTTTAGGATCCAGATCAGCGGTCTTGTGAAGCTTCACATTGAAGAAATCTCGATAATATCTCCACCCTATACGTGTTTTGGGCCAAATCTGTGAAAACACTTCCAAGCTTCAGTCTTGGTAGGAGACTTACAAATGCCATCTCTAAACCACTGATATCGATTAGATCCACCCTTCCATGCAGTTTCACGATCTAATGATGTGCACAGATGTGATCAGTCAACACGAATGCATGTGATAACACGTCAAGTCAAATTTGTGTTTGTTGATCAAAATGTTGGCATGCGAAACATCAACATGATGAAATGTAGACGACATACCAAAGTAAATATAGGGTATATAAAGCAGCCACAACCACCAGTACGTCCTGCAGTGATATATAAAGTAGAACAGCAATCCAAACATCGAAAAGCCTGACAGCGACAGAGCAAACACACAAAAATACTGTATCAAATAGTCGACGGCACTATATTCAGGCACTTTTGAAGCTGCGGCCGCCTTGCCCGAGCTGCCATTGGCTGCTTCCGTCGGTTTCCCCATTCCTGCTTCTTTGGTCAAAGAGTCGCACACGTTGTTATCAATCGTGAAGTGACGGTTGCTCTTGGCAAACGTATGAAAATGGTCTAATATATTCTGTAAAAATGCTATATGAAGTATTCGACGTGTCCAATTTCCAATGTGTAATAACACGAGATGTCACAAACATCAAACTTGAAACAGTTCACTAGTGCTGTAGTACAGATGTATTAGAAAAAGAACCAGGAACTTCCAACCCAAATACCCAGACCACATACACTCCAAGAATGGTGAGCTGTATTAGATAAAGAACCGTGAATCCAACCAAAATGCATACATTTTCTTGTCAAGACATATATCTCCTTGGATCAAAATACGCCAAGTTTCGTTGTTGAGGACTTGTCTGATCGCCTGTTCGTTCACGACCTGCCAAAAGCTTGTGGGTAAAAAGGATCAGTTGTCGTCATCAAATGAGGATGGTTTTCAAACCAGTGACATCTTACAGCACCAGCCTATTTACACAAAAGACAAGAGTTGGCTGTGTTTTGTAGTCGAATGTGCTTGGAAAAATCTGGATAATTTACTAAAATAGCTGCTAGTCCAACTAAACCAGCGCCTGCCAAAGTTCCCAAAATGCCACCAATGAGAGCAGCACCACTTCCAATACCAAGAAACCCATCTGATAAAGAGGCTATAGACGGCGGAGTAGCCTGTGCAGTCGCAGTAGCTCCAATCACTGTCGTTGTTGTAGTGCTTGTTTGGGCAGCGATGGTGACTGTTGGTGGTGTCAAGGCTGCTCCTACGACATCATAGCTTGGACGTGCTATATTGGAAAGAAAAGTCGTTCAAACTTCAAGAAATGACACTTCTTGTCATGCATAGAAGTGCACACCAGACAGAGTGCTTGTAGGTAATGCAACGGCTAGAGATGTTGCGGAAGGACAGGTATTGGGTGGCAGATTGATAGTAGACTGGCAAATAAAATAAGTCAGTTGTAAGAGGCAGCTTCCATGCTCCATAAGGTGAGTCTTACGTTGTCACAGGTATAAACAAAGTATTCCGCCTTCAAGATATGACTAGCAGGCTACCGAGAAGCACAATTTCCAGTTGGTGACCCTCGTACTACAGCAAAAAAAGGCTAGCGCGCACCTGGTCGATAGCTATAAATGGAGCAAACATATCATCTGTATCTTCACCCTCTTTCACATTGACAACTTCTACCATCACATCTGGTAGTGACTGGTTGTTGACCTTGGCAGGATCCACTTCATACACTATCAAGTTTTCAATTGTGTAAGAGCATTTTGGTCACAAAAAACTGCTGAAATTGAGTACATACAGGCCCAAAGCTCTAAACCCCAGCTCGTCCCAGACAGAGAGCGACTACAATCCGGCGCTGAGAACGTAGTTTGGCCACTATTCCAGCTGTATAGGGGTATAGTATTGACTCCAATAGCAGGTTGATAGGTTTTGAGTGGCGGATTGAATACGATAGGTTGTGTATTGTTCAGTCCATTTTTGGATTGGAGGAGGGTATAAAGCGGACTTGTGAAAGCACCGATTGAGTTGGCGGTGGTGTTGCTTTCGACTAAAAACATTAAGGGTGTATGAGTACCGATAAAGTGGGGTTTGTCTTTGGCTTCGACGGTGAATACCATAATATTTCTCGTTACCTTTAGCAGCGAGCATTACACCAGAGGGCCAATTAAACAACTGCGGAGAGCTGGGTACCCATGGATTTGAAATCTTTGTCAAATTAACGTGTATCGATGTGATTGTTGCGTTGACATTTTCGACTTTTACGAATATCGAGTTAGTATTTATTCGTCGTAACCAAAAAATCATGACGGCATTATCAAAGTGTTGGGAGCTTACCAAAGAAACTTGTCTGAATATAAACAGGTGCCATGTAAATCGAATACGTCAAATTGAATTGACCAGGAGATATAAAGACCGCATTTGATGAATCAGTCAATAAAAAATATTGAGAAGAAGTACTGAATCCTGCCGGTACGTTCATCAAACTAATTGATGTCTTGGTTTCGCCACAATCATGAACTGGGTTTCTAGCACCCAGTTGGTTTCGATTTGCAGTTTCGGTGAATGTGAAGGTGTTTGTAGCGGCATTGATACCAGATAGGAGTAATAGGGCAGACATTGAGTATAAATGGTTCATTCTCGCAACTTCGTGAGGTGACGGTCTGACAGGTGCTGATGAAATGTTGGCAGCCTAAATGTCAAAATCCAAATCAAGATAGCAAAGCGGCGGCCGCCAATGTCAAAAGAGGAAGCTTGGAATGATTCACAAAGCATCCTTTGGAACCTGAATTTGGGCTCAAGGATGAGATACAGTGGCTTGTTTGAATGAAAAGTAGAAACTGAAACGACATTCTCCATCTACTGTGGCCAAGTTACGACAAGTGACAACAATCCACTAGTACATGTGACTACCAATTGATTCTTTCCAGTGTCAACCGTCGATTCTTGTGGTGACTCTTGGGCGACCGGTATGGCATCTGTCTCGTTAATTTGGAAAGAACTGTATGGTTGCTCACACACAGTGCAATTTCGTTCTGGTCGTAACAAGAAACAGCGCAACCGTGCCAAACTTTTCATCCGACCGTTTGAACCTTCAAGATTTTTAGGGTCGCCTTCAATCATTGGAACTATTTTTCTCGCAAACCCTATAGCTAAAAATATTGGAGGCTTTTCGTACAGCGGAACTGTGTGAAGGTCTCTGCTATCCAATGGATCTGCCCACCTCACCGATTTTCGAGACGCCAAAATGGTCAACGGCGACATACATTCAAGTCATCGCATCACTACCACCGCTACTCTTTGCTGGAGTGCTTCATACATTCCTGTTTGCCTTGTACTTGAGACATCGAGATTTGAGAAGTAACAGGCCCGGGCGTTTCTTCTTCGCCATATTCGTAGCTGATGCTCTGCAATCGTGGTTGAATTTTGGTGTATGTGTTGCAGGGATTGTTTATGGAGGGTATCCAGGACGGTCGCAGATGCTGTGTAATGTACAAGGATCGCTGAATATTCTACTTATGAGTGCTAGTTTGGTAAATTTGGTGATTTTGTCTGTGGACTGGTATATTGCTGTCAATTTTGTAAGTCTTGGGGAAACAAAAGGCTAGTGATACATTGGCAAATGACTCACACTACCTCCATTTAGAATAAAGTCAGTAGTGATACAGTGACGCTAATGCTGTGCTGTTACCCATGGGTTTGGGGTTTCATAGCGATACTGCCTCCGATAAGTAGGTTGATTGTTGTTGGCCACACTGCCTTTATCATTCTCGCTGACAATGTATCATTCCAAAGTTGGACAAGAACCGTATAAGCTCACACCTCTCGGATCTTACTGTGCGGGAAGATGGAATGAGCAATCGGGAATGTTTCTTGGGGTACAGTAAACGTACTAAAAGTATTCCTCTTGTACCCAGACTAACATCCGGTTTTCAGCAAAACGTCCTAACCGTCGTGCCATTTTTTGTAGTGACAGTGAGTCTGTTTACGAGTTTCGCCTTGTAGCTCTGCTGAACTAAACCAAAAAACCACTCCAAATAAACAGCTGAAGCTTCTGATCAGCACTGCGCTCACGTTGGCATACGTGCGAAAGACAACCAAAAGTCTCAACAAGACACTCCAAGAAGCCGCAAGCCAATACTCCCACAAGACACTTGAAATACAAACCGAGCACCCAGTAAAACCATCAAGTGTCTTGCAAAGATCTCTTATGGGTGCCTCAATCATTATGCCAGTGCAAATTTCTGTCAAATCATTGCCAATAGTAAGCGATCCTGACACGATACCTCCAACCTCGGCCCCACCTTTTACACCAACTTTGCCGACATCTCCATCTTCCGAGTTAGCCACACAGCAGTCTTCAATTTCAATTCCACACAGGGCCCTACTGCATCCGCGAAAGAGGACAACCTGTGATTGTGGCAAAATGGTTGAAATTGCTCTCTTTTTCAAGTTTCTGAGTATGCTGATAGGATTTGGTGTTTGTTGGGGTATGCTATTCTTTGTCGCTCTTCTAAGCTTTCTTGCTCGAAATGACGCTTTATCCTGACCTGCCATCTTCTTTCAAAACAGGACTCTATGGGTGTCTAATGTACTACTGCTTCATGACAGGAAACCAACCTCCAGTGCTTTTCGATGCTATAGCTACAACACTCCTGCTACTTCATCCAGCAGTTAGCGGTATGATTGTCCTCTGGACAAATATCCCGTTTCAAGTTAAAGCATTAGCTGTGTTTGGAATCAAGATGAGGAGGCATGGGACACTGCAGTCGCCCATTCAAAGCATTTATGTGTATTTGTAGGAACAGTTTATCTTGTATATAGAATAATAATTGTTGATAGTCGCAGCGTAGTGCCTCGTACTCGCAATTACTAATTTCCCTGGCGATTGCTGAAAGGCAAGGTGCTTTACATGTTAGTCTAATAAGCTGCAAAATGTTCAAGAACTATCATAGTTGACTGCACGAATGAGAAGCATTGGTATTTTCTAAAACTCGAAATTGTCACCAAGGTCCTGGATTGAGCCAAGAGAGAACACTCAAGGATCCAAGGCAACCATCATTCGATTATTAAGCTATCCAGGTGTCATGTACTTAGTCAAATTCAGAGCGACCGGTATGACATCTGCTTTATTTTTGGGGGTAAGCTATATCAGGACATTTACCACAAAAACTTCCAAATTCGTTCTCGGTGTAACAAGCACAGAAGGACCTTTATCTGGGGATCTTCCGTCCGAATAATTAAACTTTAAGCATTTTGAGGATGGCCCTCATTGCCTCACTATTGACCCTCAATCACAGGAATTTTCTGCAGTGCTGAATACTCGTGTACCAAATTACGAAAAGCGCCAAAATAAGGTAGGTCTTTGACATTCGACATGGACCTGCCTGTGTCTCCAGGTTTCGAAACACCACGATGGTCTACTACCACTTACGTTCACGTCATCCTGACGTTACCACCACTACTCTTCGCCGGATTGCTACACA